TTGTTTTTTAGGAAGGTATGAAGGTTCACCATCCATTATACTTTCACAACAATGGATTAAAAAATCTGTGTGCATTCTGAGCACTGAAAATACAGTCCATACTGGGGAAAGATATATAAAAAGGTGTGCAACCTTTGTTTAACAAAATGAAAAAGTAATATTATTGCAGCGAATTTGGGTTTTATTTCAAAGAACAACGACAACAAAAAGAACTGAGTCCCATTTTTTAAAAAAAATGATTTTTGTGTGGTGAGTGAAAGAGAAAGAAAGGGGAGGAAATGTAGCTTCTTATCTGATCTTGATTCTTTGTAAGCAACCTGATCATTATGCTGCATATTATCTTGGTTTGTTGTTGCTTAGCTCAGAGGCAAAAATGTAGCTTTTCGCATAAGTAACCCCTTACATCTTTTTATTTAGGTTATTACAAAAGAATTTCCAATTAAATAAATCAAATGGGTCTTTTTAGGTCTGTTTCAGCCCAGTTTATGCAGACTGTCGGTGCGCAAGTAATTACTGCAAACGGTGGACCCAGAGAGCAGATCAGGTTATATATTATACAGTACCTTCAAATATTCAGTGCAGTGCTGATGATGATCGCACTTATGATATTGCATACTGTGATATGCCTCTGAATTCAGTCCCTGCCAGTTTGCCTTTCCAAATATATTTGGCTACTTACTTGCACGCAATGGAAGTAATAATCCATAATTGTCTCTTGTTAGGGTTCACATTGATTTGAACCCTCCAAGATCTTTGTGTGCGGAAATACTCCCTTATCGAGCTTTGTCTACTTTCCACCTTTAAAAAAATAATGCATATGTACTGTCATTTCTCCTGTAAGATTTTTCTAAGCTGTGGTGAAATGTTTCCCCATCGTTTATAGCTCAGTTGTCAGAAAACGCAAGTAAAAAACGCAGGAAATGTGTAGCTATTCGTGAGATGGAATTTCAAATAGTATTGACAAATTCCCTCGCTCCTAACCACACCAGCAGAAATTGATACAAGTGCCGTAATATGTTCTACAAGTCTTCATAGCTCAAGGAAAATAAATGCATATGGCACAAGCATTTTCCAAATCAATATTACCTAGAAATAAGCTGCAAGTAGTCACAAATGTTTGATTTATGCCAACCAGCCTTCTTCTTCTTCTTCTTCTTATTATTATTATTATTATTACAAGTGGTTAAACTCCAAGAGGAGGCATTCCATGGTGCTCAGTGAAGCCCAGTGGATGGTGAACTTTAGATGGGAAGGAAAATAGGTGGCATAATCTGAAAGCTTCGTTTTGCAAATAATCCCAAATTATTAGACAAATATAAAGGGACGCAATGCACCATTTAGTTTTTTTCTCAGTCTTTTGAACCTTATTTCCCTATCTATGAACCTAACAAAATGTGTATATCATGTGGAAAAAAACCATCTAACCATTGCTCTGTATAGCACACACTGGGGGCAAATCTACACTCATGGTTTATAACATTAAGGAAGAATTAAGGAATGATTTTCATAACGTAATGAACATATTATGATTTGCTTGTAACATTAATAATAATAATAGCAATAATAAAAAATGTTATTTGTATCCCACCCTCCCTCGCCAAAGCCAGGCTCAGAGCGGCTAACGTCTTATAAATAAGACAATATGCATAATACAATATACAATAGGCAAATAAAATAACATTCATTAAAATAATATAGAATACAGTAATATTAAATATTAGCATTTCAAAACTAATCAGAAATCCACTCTTAACAGTTACAATAAGTAATTTCTAAACTCCAATCAATAAAACACAGCAAACCACAGTGCACAACATAATACAATACGAGAAGCAGAGACTGGAGGGGAGGGCAAGGCAGGGGGAAAGAGGCCTTGCCAGATGGAGTCTCTACCCTCACAGTTCTTCCTCTAGGACCAACTTCCTCATGAAGAGTCCCAGGGCCGGAGGGGGGCGCAAGGCAGGTGGAAGAAGGCCTTGCCTGATGGGGTCTCTCCCCTATAATGTGTTATTACAATGCGACACCATAGGGTGGTGCAGAGAAACCAAGACCTGGCAATAGGGAAGCTGTTTTTTTACCAACAAAACAAGGTAGAAACATTTTTAATTTACCAATATGCCCAGTGACGTTTCTAATATCGTTCTAATAACGTTTAGAAGGTCAGTGTAGATCCAGCCAAGGAATCCAAATGGCCAGGTTCAAACCAGGCGGTCTAGGCATCAGCTTGGGGCATTTGCTTGGGCCCACAGACAGTACCAAGGCCCACCCGAATGTATCAGACACTCACCTGCCAATCATCTGATGGCAATAATGGTAGCAGGTAATTTGCAGGCGGTCAATCCTACCCACCACTCAAGGTTCAAAGGAGCTCAAACTCATCTGATTAGCAGTTACAGAAAGCCCCTTTGAAGTCCATTTGCAGCTGTGATTTGGATTGTAACCACAGCAAACAGACAAAGCATCAATCGGCACTAAGAGGGAGCCCTTTCAATGCTGTCAGCGAGCCCTGCTTGAAAGGAACTGGTCAGGAGCTCACTATTAACTCTGAATTACTTATTTGTAGCTACATCCTTACCTGCTGCACAGCTGATGTCACACCAGGCGTGGGGCGCATTATATTTGACCTCGCAGGCCAAATTTGAGACTCATGCCACCCATGCGGGCCACAGGTTCATGCATCACCACTGCAAGCAAGATGATGATGCTGGTGACCGCAGTGGTGCTATGGCCACCATGGGCTGCCCAAATGGCAGTAGGTGTAGGGAGGCCCACCCCTTCCCCTCAAAACTCTGGAGTCAGACCAAATCCTTGGCATCTCCAGTTAGATGGATCAGCCAGGATAGGGATGAGGAACTTGTGGACATTGTTGAACTCCACTCCCACCAAGGCCAGTTGTTGTTGTTGTTGTTGTTGTTGTTGTTACCCTGCCCATCTGGCTGGGTTTCCTCAAAAGCCAGGGATGATAGCAGCTGTAGTCCAGCAACACCTGGAGTCCGATTCCTAAACTAGCAGATGATGAGAACAATCTCCGTCTGAGACCCTGGAGAACTGCTGCTGCCAGCCAGTGTAGATAATACTGAACTAGATGGACCAATGGTCTGACCTGATATAAAGGCTGCTTCCTGCTCTGTCCTAAGACTCGCTCAGCTCCCTTCCTTCACATTCCTCTGGTCCTGCAATGCAGCACGAGAGAGCCTAACAGAATGTGTTTCTATTATCCTTGGCAAATTCATCTCATCATACCTAGGAATTCGTTTTCTCGCCCTTTCATCAAAAAAAAGGGGGGGTGATTTGCAATGAAATATAAAGTCCCCAGTGCTTATGAAGCTGCATGAATTGCCTGAAGAAGAGACTGCCACTTAAAAGTCTGAGATCCATCGGGGGACTTTGAAAGCTATATACTGCTCCTTTAATTAATCTAGTCGAGATAATATTGGGAGAGCCCCAGCTCCCAATTCTTTTGCACGTCTCACAAGGGCTTAGAAAGGAATCTCTCACCTTGCCTGGGAAGAATGAAGCAGCCTGCATCATCTCTCCTGTTGTTCCTTGGCTTCTCAAAAATTAAAACGAGTGAAATTTTAACCCCTTTCTCCTACTTCCTCTTCATACAACAGAAAGATTGAGGGGGAAAGTGTAATCTCTCCACTTTCAGACAAGATGGATCTTTCCTATTCTATGTACAGAACATTAGAAGAGCCAACGGTTAAATGAAATTTTCAAGTCAGACTAAAAAATAAATGGATTTGACACAAAGATATCAGATTTAGAAAAAGAACTTTTATTAAATAATAATAAAAATGATCAAAACCATATAAATTACTATTGGATTGGAACCTTAATGACGAGGAGGTGAAGGAAGTGATGGTGAAATGGGCACACGATTTTGGTTATCCAATTGAGATAGAAAAATGGGGGAAAGTATGGAAAACAGACTAAAAATTCACCACGTGCTATCTGATAAAAGAAAACTTTTTGAAAATGATCCACAGATGGTACGTGACCCCAAGCAAATTAGCCAAAATAAATAAAAATAACAGTAATAAGTGTTGGAGATGTAAACAAAATGAAGGAACCCTATTCCACATGTGGTGGACATGTCGCTAAATCAAAAAAAATTGGGACATGGTTTATGAAGAACTAAAGAAAATGCTAAAACATACATTTTTAAAGAAATGTGAAGCTTTCCTATTAGGCATTTTAACGATAAACATCCCAAATATAAAAGAGTGTTTCTTTATTTGACAACAGCAGCTAGAATATTAATAGCAAAATACCAGAAAAGTGAGCTAATACCAACAAAATAGTGTGAGTATCTCAAACTAGCCAAAATGACAGAACTAATAAGAAACCACTCAGGTGACAAGGTAAAAAAGGAATGGGTTTGCTTCAAAAACTATTGGACTAAATATGGTTCCAAAAATAATACTTGGTTGTGCTTAGATTAATTTCACAGATATAATGGAAAAAATTATTTGAATAAAGGAATACAGATTATTGGTAACTAATGAGAAGTGTTGAAGCTGCAAAGAGATATAAAGGGAAGTCAATTAACATATCAGGAATTCAAAGAAGTTTGGTGGAACAGGAAGAAAGTGATTGTAAGGAAAGAAAGAAAAGAAGAAATATTAATGTAATTTCTTTCTGGGAGCCTTTTGTACAGTGGTACCTCGAGTTACATACGCTTCAGGTTACAGACTCTGCTAACCCAGAAATAGTATCTCGGGTTAAGAACTTTGCTTCAGGATGAGAACAGAAATCGTGCAGCAGCGGCGCAGCGGCAGCGGGAGGCCCCATTAGCTAAAGTGGTGCTTCAGGTTAAGAACAGTTTCAGGTTAAGAACGGACCTCTGGAACGAATTAAGTACTTAACCCGAGGTACCACTGTATAGCTATTTAAATTATGGTTTGCATCCTTTGAACAATTGTGTGCATATTTTTAATATTTTTTCCTTTTTGTATTTTTTCTTTTATTCTTTTCCTCTCCTTTTTCTGTATTTGGGCGTAATTTCTTATTTACCGGTACTCTTTTTCTCTCTGTAATTTTCAAAAATGCAATAAAAAAGAAGAGCCAACAGCCTACCAGAAAACCCAAAAGCAGTACCTGAGCACAACACTCTCCCCATTTGTGATTCCCAGCAACTGGTTTTCAGAAACATACCGGTACTGCCTCTGACAGTAAAGGTGGAACATAGCCATTGCGGCTAGAAGCCCACCAGACAGAAATCTTACGTCAGCACTGGCAAACAGCACAGCATCTTCCCCAGCACCTGAGGGCAGCGGGGTAGCTTTGGGGGCACAGAGAAGGCAACATAGTGCACCTCGCTCTGTCCCCCAACATCTTATTGCTTTTCGCTGTCCTTTAGTATCTGCCACCTGAAGCAACTGCCTCACCCTGCCTAAGGGTAGGGCTGGCTTTGCTTCCTTTGCAGCAGGCTCCCTGGAAACATCAGAAATAGCCCCTTTCTTGCCACTTCCAAGCTTCTTGAGAACTCAGCACAAAATGAAGGCAGCTTAGTGGGCCTCAACTGCTCTAGCTGGGTCCCAGCTCAGTGGAAGTACATATATTTTGCCTATAAGAGGTCCCAGTCTCTGCCACTCTAGAGTCAATGGGTGCACCATAGACAGTATCAAATTAGGTTAAGCGTGTGTCTTTGTATAAGACAACTTCCTGTGTCCCTAAATTTACTCAGCATGCCTTGTCTCTGCCAGCACACTAGACTATGCAGAGTCATTTAAAGCCACTGCTGTGAGAACCTCTTAAAGAGTCAGATAAAGAGCATGGGTTAAATCAATACATAAAAACTCCCTTGTAGCTCAGAGTGCAGGCAACTCCTGAGTCTCATCAAGGGCAGGTAACCTTTTTTAAAAAAAAGTTTACTAACTGCTACCTGTCATTGTGGCGCTGTGGGTTAAACCACAGAGCCTAGGACTTGCCGATCAGAAGGTTGGCGGTTCAAATCCCCGCGACGGGGTGAGCTCCCGTTGCTCGGTCCCTGCTCCTGCCAACCTTGCAGTTCGAAAGCACGTCAAAGTGCAAGTAGATAAATAGGTACCGCTCCGGCGGGAAGGTAAACGGTGTTTCCGTGCGCTGCTCTGGTTCACCAGAAGCGGCTTAGTCATGCTGGCCACATGACCCCGGAAGCTGTATGCCGGCTCCCTCGGCCAGTAAAGTGAGATGAGCGCCGCAACCCCAGAGTCAGTCACAGCTGGACCTAATGGTCAGGGGTCCCTTTACCTTTTACCTGTCATGAGCTTTTGTTGTAAGCCAGATTACAGATTTAGAACAGGGATGGTCAGAAAGTAGTTTGAGATCTATTCGAACATCTCTGGCTGATTTACAGTAAATAAGGATTTCTGACTTTTTGTTGTTTAACAAAATCTACCCCACCCCAAATTAGGCTGCCGAAACAAAGAAAGTGTATAGGGAAACTGGGTCTGGATTTTTGTGTGTGAAAGGACTGTGAGCTCAGTTCTAGTACTGAAGGCACTTACCTGGCTGAAGAGGTGTCCTGTTCTTTCATTTTATCTTGCACTTGGCTGCTATTAGAACCTTGGGGTTCTAGACAAAAGAAAAACAGATCCCACAACCTTGAAGGCTACCCACCTCTGATCTAGAGTTTTTAAAATTTCTAGTTTCAGCAAGGAAGCAATATCGCTTAAAATCCCTTGATAGAATTCATAATTTTTAGTTGCAAGCAATCCATACTGGTTCATAAACACAAGAGGTATTGCACTTTCGTTGCCATCTTTCTGAAAGGAAAGGAAATGAATTACCAGTTAAAACAAAACCGAAAGGTCGCAGAGAATGAAAGTGCATTCTGGTAGTCAACCCAATCTAGGTCAGGAATCAGGACCTGAAGTGTTAAACAGAATATAAGCCTCATTCATCTGCTGATTTTATACAGATTTCATCCAGCTCTGTGAAAATCAGAAGATTGCTGTGGTGCCAAATTATTCAAACAGATCAGAAATCCTGATAGGGAATTATTGAGCGTTTTTGCTCAAGTTCTGTCAACCGGCAGAGATAAATCCACCATTCAAATGCCAACACTGCCCTCTAGTGATTAGATGAAATGAATATACATTGCTTATTCGTTTTCAATGCCGACTCCTCAGTCCGGTGGTCTTGTGTTCCTATGTGCTCAAAGTCTTCCAGCCTGGAATGCCTTCCTCATTCTTTGAAGTAAAGGGAATGTAAGAACATAAGAAGAGCTGGCTGGATCAGGCCAATGGTCCGTCTAGCCCAGCATCCTGTGTCCTCACAGCAGCCAACCAGATTCCTGTTGGAAGCACACAAGCAGGACCTGAGAATGAGATCACTCTCCCCTCCTGCAGTTTCTAGAGCACTGCTGCTATCATCATCATCATTTTTATTTGTATGTCGCCTTTCCACAGTTAAAAAAGCAATGCTTAAGACAGCTTACAGCATAACAAGATTTACATAATTACAAAAATCACAAACAATAAATAAACCACATCAAAAAATGCACAACCAAATGGGAAACAATTTACACATAAGTCAAAATCTAAAACTAAGAATACAGCATTAATATCACAGTTTAAAATGACATAGGCTAAAAATAGGAGCAATTTAAACAAAAAACAAAAACAAAATGGAGTCCTCTCTGCCCAGCGGCAACAGTCCTTTATAGAGCCCATCAGGCCCCGCCCTGGGCCAGGTGGTGAGTGGCAGGACTGGGATCCTCAGGCATTGAGCAGGAGAGTCCTCCTGGGTGGTAGCCACAGCTAGTAGTCACAGATAGCCTTATCTTCCATTCATTTATCTCAGACATAGGCAAACTCAGTCCTCCAGATATTTTGGGACTACAACTCCCATCATTCCTGACCACTGGTCCTGTTAGCTAGGGATGATGGGAGTTGTAATCCCAAAACATCTGGAGGGCCGAGTTTGCCTATGGCTAATTTATCTCATCGTCTTTTAAAACCATCCCACTTGGTCATTGCCTCCTGTGGTGGTGAGTAACGCTATGCACTGAGTGAAGAAGCACTTTTATCAGTCCTGAATCTTCAAACATTCTGCCTCAAAGGGAGACTATACATTTCCACACTCCTCTGCTTGAATGGCTTTGATTTAATGGGGGTTCCCATGCACACGCATACTAGAACATTCACAGATAGTTTTATAGCAGTTGCAAAATGGTATAGCAGCTTCTCCTTTGTGACACTTAGATGGGCAAGGTACTGATTAGCATGGAGTGGTTTGTAGGTTAATAGACACCCCCTCCCCACAAATAAACTCATCACCTGTTACAAATATCCATCTTGCCAGAGTTCAAATTTGGTCTGTCTGTTAACTCTCTGTTGTCAACTGCCAAGAATTTGGAGCTTATGCTGTCTGTGACATCATTCATGACAGCAGAATGTTATGTTTGCCTTCAGCTCCGGTTGTCTCCGTGCCAACAGCAAGGGGTCAGGAGTATGGTAAATCCCTCCAACTACAGAGCTATCAATGCAGGAATCTCCAGCAAATTTTATTTTTGCTCTCCTGCCCTATGCCTAATTAATAGCTGTACGTAGCTGGAAGCCTGCTTGCAGAAGTTAGTTCTAATAGATCTCAATGAACGATTCCAACGAATGAACGATTCCAATTGAATGTTATTCAGTAAATTCACCCCAACCCCTTTCATCAGTTTATAGCAGTTTTATAATTCAAACCCCTTTTGAAATGTTCAGTTATCTCTGGATTATTCTTCCAAGTTTCTCTGGCCTTTCCTATGTAGAGGTTGTTGGTTCATCAATTAATTTTACTGGGTAGGGGGCAGTGTCAGATAAACTCTACTCATTCCCAAGCACTTCCCCTATGATAAAAGTCAATATAGCCCCAATATTTATTTATTACCTGCCATGTTGATCCACCTTGCCAGAGTTCAGACATGAGCTGACTGTTAACTGCTTCTAACTCTGCCAAGACTTTTGAGCATAACCCGTTTATGACATCATGTGTGACATCAGAATGTCCATGTTTGAATGCTGCCCAGGCTGTCACCATGCCAACAGGGGTGGCCAGTAAACCTCTGCAACTAGAGAATCAATCAGCCTGACTATCCAATACCTGTGGGTTATTGTTTATGCTTTCTTGATCCTTCCTTTTATTATTCAGGAATAACTGGTCCTCCAAATAATTTTAATCAGTATGAATATTCAGATCTACAATTTCCAGAGTTCCCAGGGAAGAGGGAATGGTTGTTAAACCCCTCTAAGAATTGTAGCTCTGTGAGGGGAACCAGGTCTCCTAACAACTCTTGGCTCCCTTAGTAAACTACATCTCCCAAGATCCTTTGGGGGAAGTCATGACTTTTAAGTGCAGCACAAAACCTTTATGAACCAGTACAGTACTAGGCTACCCACCCCACCCCACCAGCTGGCAGTGTCTTTCAGTTCTGCATTAAACTCTATTGAACTCAGCAGGACTTCTGTGTAGGCATGCATAGGATGGCAGCATGGCACAGTGGTTAGAGTGGACTATGACCAGGGTTCAAATCCTAACTGGGCTACAAAGCTCACTGGGTGACCTTGGGGACCAGCTGCTGCCTCTCAGCCTAACCTACCTCACAGGGTTGGTAGGGGAGGATTAAACGAGGATTAAGAAAACCATGTTTTCTGCCCTGAGCTGCTTGGAGAAAAACGGTAGGATATAAATGCAGCAAACAGATAAATAAAGGCTGCACTTCCTAAAGCTCTTTAAAAAAAAAAATTAGCCCCAAAGAAGCGAATAGTGGTGGGTATAGATCAAGGGAAATCATAGTCCCAATCTATTCTCCTTTGGTCAGACCACACCTGCAATATTGTGTCCTGTTCTGGGCGCCCAAATTTAATAAGGTTATTGAAAAGCTGGAACATGTGCAGAGGAGGGCAACTGAGATGATCTGGAAACCCAGCCTTAGGAAGGAGCTTTCAAGAGAGGAGACTGAGCGGAGATAAGATAGCCATCTTCAAATATCCGAAGGGCTGTCCCCTGGAAGAGGGAACAAGCTTATTTTCTCCTGCTCTGGAGGGTAGAACTCGAACTCATGGCTTCAAGTTACAAGAAAGGAGGTTCCGACCCAACATCGGGAAGAACTTTCTGACGGTAAGAGCTGTTTGACTCCCTCGGGAGCTTGCGGACTCTCCTTCCTTGGGGGGTTTTAAGCAGAGCTTGGCTGGCCATCTGTCAAGGATGCTGCAGCCGAGATTCCTGCATCGCAGGGGGTTGGGCTAGATGACCCTCGGGTGCCCCTAATTCAAAGTGAAGGGCGGCCAAGGCTCCTTCCCCCCCAGAGGGGAAAACATGGCGCCTCCTCTGGGAAGGGATGAAACCAAGCAAGGCGGGGACTTCTCCCCCCTTCCCTCAAGGAAGCGAAGCGGCGCGGCAAAGGAGAGCCCCGGCGGCCTTCCTCGCTTCTGGCCTGTAGGAGGCAAACGGCTCCCGGCGCCTGGGCGGAAGAAGGCGGGCTCTCGGCGGGGCCGCGATGGCTGACGAGGGCGGGCAGCCTCCGCCGAAAGGGCCCTGCTGCCGCGCCGGCCTCCCCGCGCGCTATTTCTGCACGGCGGGCCGCGGGATGGAGCCTTTCCTGCTGAGGGAGGTGCGGACTCGGCTGGACGCCGCGCAGGTGAGGCCCTCCGGCCGGGCTGCGAGGAAAGTCCGGCGAACCCCTTCGGACCGACAGCCTCGCTCCGCCTCCTTGCCGGCGGAGAGGAGGATGGGTGGCTAAACACGCTCCCTTTGTGACTTCGGAAAGGCGGTGCAGACGAGCGAGCTGTCCCGGGGTTAGGTTGCTTCGTCTGCACGGCCAGGGCCGGATTGACGTATAAGCTAAACACTCTCTTGGCCCCACTCTCTTGCCCCCCCCCAAAATGTAAAGGTAAAAAAACTAGATGTGCATTTCCAAAATATAAGATAAAAAGCAAATAAAATAAAAGCTACATACAGTGGTACCTCGGGTTAAGTTCTGGAGGTCCGTTCTTAACCTGAAACTGTTCTTAACCTGAAGCACCACTTTAGCTAATGGGGCCTCCTGCTGCCGCCGCGCCGCCAGAGCACGATTTCTGTTCTCATCCTGAAGCAAAGTTCTTAATCTGAAGCACTATTTCTGGGTTAGTGGAGTCTGTAACCTGAAGCATATGTAACCTGAAGCGTATGTAACCCGAGGTACCACTGTAATTTTAAGTTAGAGCTTAATAATTATTTCACTACAGTCATACCTCGGGTTACAGGCACTTCAGGTTGCGTTTTTTCGGGTTACGCACCTGCCGAAACCTGGGAGTACCAGAATGGGTTACTTCCGGGTTTCGGCGGTCACACATGCGCAGAAGCGCTAAATTGTGCTTTGCGCTTGTGCAGAAACGCTGAATCGCAACCCGCACGTGTGCAGATGCGCTGCTGCGGGTTGCGAATGCTGTGGGTTGCAAATGTGCATCCCGCACGGATCACGTTCGCAACCCGAGCGTCCACTGTATTAATATACTTATTCTTAATTGTATTTCACTATTAATATACTTCTTCTTAATTGTATTTCAGTTCAACAATTACTTTGATAAAATACATATTTTGTTATGTGCAAATGGCTTTATATACCGATTAGGTCCATAAATTATCATATAGCATATATTGAACACAAAAAACAGCAACAATTTGTTGTTGACAAAGGACAGCTGGACATATAAAGGGCCCCATTACCTTCAATAGCTTAGGGCCTCATCAATTCCGGCCATGTTCATGGCCTCTCCCTTCTGGAGCTCCTCTCCCTGTTTGCTCAAAAGGAGAGCTCCCCACACCCTCAGTGGTCAATGGGGGAGTTGCCCACAAAACTGGGTTGAGGACGCATTGAAAGCACATCTAGTTCTCCGCGCACCCCAAACCACAGAAGAATCCTGGGAACTGTAGTTTAAGGGTGCTGAGGATTCTAGCTCTGTGAGGGGCAACTGTGGTTCCTGCTGTGATCCTTTGGGAACAGTCGTGTGCATTCTGGGTATGCGTTAAGTTTAATTAGTATTATTAATATTATTAATTTATATACCGCCCTATACCTGCAGATCTCAGGGCGGTTCACAGAATAAAATCAAGATATAAAACCACAAAATACATAATAAAAATAAAAACAACCCAATAGCCCCCGCCCCCACAAAAAAAACACATTTTAAAAGGGCATAGGACATGGGTAGGCAAACTAAGGTCCGGGGGCCTGATCCAGCCCAGTCGCCTTCTCAATCCGGCCCGCAGACAGTCTGGGAATCAGCATGTTTTGACATGAGTAGAATGTGTCCTTTTATTTATTTAAAATGCATCTCTGGGTTATTTGTGGGGCTTAGGAATGCGTTCTTTTCCCCCAAAAATATAGTCCAGCCCCCCACAAGGTCCGAGGGAGGGTGGACCAGCCCCCTGCTGAAAAAGTTTGCTGACTCCTGGCATAGTATGTCAATCAGATCAACCAAAGGCCTGGTTAAAAAGGAACGCTTTTGCCAGGCGCCTAAAGGTGTACAGTGGTACCTCAGGTAACATACGCTTCAGGTTACAGACTCCGCTAACCCAGAAATAGTACCTCAGGTTAAGAACTTTGCTTCAGGAGGAGAACAGAAATCGTGCTCCGGAGGCACAGTGGCAGCAGGAGGCCCCATTAGCTAAAGTGGTTCTTCAAGTTAAGTACAGTTTCAGGTTAAGAACGGACCTCCGGAACGAATTAAGTACTTAACCCGAGGTACCACTGTATAATGAAAGCTCCAGGCAAACTTCCCTGGGAAAGTGTAAGGTGCCAGTCCACCCAATGTCTGCATCCCGGTCATAACTGGGACTATGACTTCATCCTAGCAGTGTAACAATAAAACGGCTGGCACATTTGCAAGGCTAAGCAAAGGTCCACTGTGGTTTCAAATCCCATTTTCAAATCCCATGTGGCTTCAGCCCATTTTATTAGTGTTGTGAGCTGCTTTGAGGACTAAAGTAGAAGAGCAGGGTATAAATCAACTGGCTAAATCATAATAAACAAATCATTTATGGGCAATTCCATTTTCAGATTTACTATATAATCAGTGTACATTCTCTGTCAAGGTGGAATATGTATCGGGAAAAGTCTTCTTCACCACCAGGGCAGAGCTGAGTATGCTGAAGGAGCTGAAGTCTGCAGAGCGGTTGTTTTTGCTGCTGAATAAATATCCTCCACTTTCCATCTCTAGAAATAAAGGTAATTTTTTTTTTTTTTTTTACTGTAGTCTTGTGGGTTTGCCTCGTGCAGGCCTATCTCCTGTAACCTTCCACAGTGAGAAAGACTACCCTATAACCTTCCTGCCTCTTTGTTAAAAGGAGTCAGTGCTGAGTAGCTTTGGGGTTCAATGTGGTAAGCGGTCGTTCAGATTCCTGCTCAGCTATTTATTTTTCATAGCTTGCATCTTGCCCTTTATCTGTAGACCTCGGGGCAGGTTATAACTGAGAAAGTAAACACAACAAGCAATACTAAAAACTGCTAAATCTGTCCGTTCAGTGAATTTTGTGGACCAGGACTGTTTTTCCTCGAAGGCCTGTCCAAAAAAAAATGCACGTTTTTGGTTATTCTGCTCTTCCATGCTCTGCTTTTCCCTTTTCTTTAAACACACTTTTTACCACTGAATTGGACCAAATGGCAAACCTAATTGCCGTTTGGTCCAATTCAGTGGTAACCACCTTGTGTCTTCCTGGGAGAAAGTGGTGGGACAAACCCAGAGTGTACATTTGTTGGGCAGATACAGCTTGCCTTTCAGGTGCTCATCCAGCTTCAGCTGCTATTCATCCCAAGTGAACAGCACGTTACAAGGCAAGTTCCAGGTTACTGGTGGTGCCATCACAGCCATCAGCAGCACAGACCCATATTCTGGCTCCTGAGGGTTCTCCTAAGCAGTTCATTGAGGTCAGACAGGTCCTTGGCTAGCTGCTGGATCTTGGGTGAGGATTTTTGGGGGGCATCATCTAGAGGAGCTTTCCCAGTGTGCTTCACTGGGAACTCAGGTTCCTGGCTGCTGCTGTTGCAGCACTGTAGGCAGATATGGTACTGAGCCAGCTCACAGGCAACATGGCCATCGCAGCAGCTCCAGGAGGTGGTAGGAAGGAGCTGCCAGGGGCTTCCTCTGTCTTCAGCATGCAAGCTGCAAAGGGCCCCAAAGGAGCTAACTCTCTAGCCAAGACATCTCTCTGGTGTACTTGGACAGGTGGACACTATCTCAAGACCTCACTTACCTAAGTGGGTTGTTGTGAAGCTTAAGCTGCTGCTCGGCGCTCATTGGAATAAGGACGAGATGCGTATTCAATAAATAGGGAAATTGAAAGGGGCCTATCATAGCAAGTCCCTGCTCCCCTCTCCCTTTCAACCCCATTTTGAATAAAAATTGTGCTGAATGTCTAGGGCAGAGCTTTGCAAACGTTTCCTAGCACACTTTTTAGACATCATTTCGCGACACAGTAATTCAGTTTTACTAGCAAACAGGAGGTTAAACTTCTTTTCAGCCCCGGGAGCAGTGCAGGGAGAGTTCACACAACACACCTGCACACTGCAGCTGACACACTAACGTGCTGTGACGCATGGTTTGGACAACCCTGGTCTAGGGTAGTGTAGGCCTCCTTTCTTTTTACCTTGCTTGTTTAGCCCATATTGCTCATGAACATTTAGGCAACCACATGGGAGCATTAGATCTACACAGGCGTACATGTGGGATTCTAGAGTCTGAGCTGTATCTTCAGCAAGATGTATGAACTAGTATACCATCATCATCACACCTTGACACATCTCCGGGATCCCATGCAACTGGTGTTTGAGGAATAGACCCCTTTTTTGAAAACAGAAAACAGTGATTTGATAGCTTTCAGTGTTATTTGCTTAATTAAGAAGTAAGAAAGCCCATATTATTTTAGTCAAAAGCAGGAATGAAAACATTCATTTGTTCTCTAAATAGCTAAAACATAACTATAGGCTTCATACAAGTTTAACACCTACTTAAAAATAATAGCACAATCCTAGCTATGTTTACCCCAAAGGAAGTCACACAGAATTTCAATGGGACTTATTCCCGTGTATTTGGGTGTAGAATTGCAATCTAAACTTGCTTGAATGTTTCTCTTGAACACAAGCTCTCCAGCTGATTAAGGCAGCTTAGTGGCTTTATGGTTCTTAGGTTTGGTTCTTAGGTCTTAGTATGCCAGGCCCAGGAAGGAGGAAAGTGGCTTGCTAGGCAAAGTCTGGCGGATTAGATAAGATGGGGAGGAAGCATGGGTCTTAGGAGAGAAAAGTATTACGTTCCCTCACCCCCTAAGAAAACAGTCCTTGGAATATATTCCATAATACTTCAAAATATACAGTTTATTGTTATGTGCTATTTATGTGTTAAAGGTTACATGAGTTTAGATTCTTCATTTCTTTTAGGCAGAGTAATTCATGACATTCAAAAACTTGTAAATGAGACTCCCAGGCATTGGCTGGATATGGTTACTCTTTGGAGAAGTCTTCATTGCCAGGAGGTGAAAGAAGAAAACAGGTGTGAAGAACCTCCAGACTCCCAGAAACGGAAGCTGGAAGAGGAGGGCAGCATCCAAAATAAAAAACAGAAGAGAGAATTAATATCGGAGACAGTTTCTGGTGAAACTCAAATAGAAAACCAACAGAGCTGTAACACCTCCGAGGTTCATAACAGCAACGGCTTGTCTTCAGGCAGATCGTTTTTGGAAAAGACTCCTGAACTTACTCAAGAGAAATCTGGCGAGAGCAGCAGTTGCTTCAGCTTCAGAGTTTCCTGCCGCTGTAGTGGAGCCCTTGCAAAAATATTTACTGCTCAGGTTTGTGGGCATTTCTTTGGCCACTGTGAGAACAGGATGTGGGACTAGATGGGCCACTGGTTGGAATCCAGCAGAGCTATTCTTATGTTCTTATCTACAAACAAGATGCATGCAGCTTCTTTTAACACAATCCCAACATACAGCATCAGGCTGCTAATGAAATAGTTAAATGTTCTTGATTGTGTGCTGCCAGCCCAGATTATTATGCAGGCGGCTGAGAGTTTATTTCTTCGTTATGCATAATCAGTAGTCATTAAGTTTTCTGAATGGCAGACGCATAAGGAAAAAATAGCACTGCTTGAGTGGGCTGTATAGGAATCATTAGCATTCTGCATCCTAAATAATATTTTTAAAAGCAAGCTGAGCTTTACAGACTTGTCTTCTGTACCATCTTTTGGAATTCCTGACCAGATGTTTGGAAGCTGTGGCTGGATGGTTACGCGGAAGCCGGTTGAAGTTAAATCCTTCGAAGACAGAGGTCCTCTGGCTGGGACGGGACGATATGGGATTGGGGGGGCAACTCCCATCTCTTGCGGGGGTGCAATTAGTGCCAGCACCGTCCGTTAAGAGTTTGGGTGTAATCTTCGATACCTCCCTCTCTATGGAGGCGCAGATTACAGCTATAACAAAGGCGGCATTTTTTCATCTCCGCCAAGCTAAGCAGTTGGCCCCTTATCTCTCTCGCCCTGACCTAGCCACTGTGATCCATGCGACGGTCACCTCCAGACTGGATTATTGTAACTCGCTCTACGTGGGGCTGCCCTTGAGACTGACCCAGAAACTCCAGCGGGTGCAGAATGCCGCGGCGAGACTCCTTATGGGGTCTTCGCTGCGAGATCACATTCATCCGGTACTATACCAGCTGCACTGGCTCCCGGTGGAGTACAGGATCAGGTTTAAGGTGCTGGTTTTAACCTTTAAAGCCCTATACGGCCTAGGACCCTCGTACCTACGGGACCGCCTCTCCTGGTATGCCCCACAGAGGAACCTACGGTCTGCAAATAAAAACATCCTGAAGGTCCCAGGCCTCAGAGAGGTTAGGCTGGCCTCAACTAGAGCCAGGGCTTCTCGGCTGCGGCTCCAATCTGGTGGAACGCTCTGTCACAAGAGACTAGGGCCCTGCGGGACCTGACATCTTTCCGCAAGGCCTGCAAGACAGAGTTGTTCCACCAGGCCTTTGGTCAGGGCCCAGCCTGACTCCCTCCTCTGGCAACCTGCACAGAACTTTGCTTAACGGTTGCCATTAATTTGATTTTAATTAATTTTTATAATGAAATGTTTTAGAATGTTGGATTATTTGATTGTTTGATTATTTGTTTGTTGTTAGCCGCCCTGAGCCTGGCTTTGGCTGGGGAGGGCGGGATAGAAATAAAATTTATTATTATTATTATTATTATTATTAATTGGCAAAGGGGTGTGTGTGTGTGTGTGTGTGGAGTGCTGAATTACGCTTGATTATCCATACTCGAGATAAATTTCAAGACTGCTATTCTGAAGGTTTGGTTATCAAGCAAAAATAACGTCTTGTCTTGTAAAGCAGAACGCTCTTAGTAGATGTTGATGAGAACGTGGAAGAAGCAATTAATTCCGTTCTTTGAACTCTTTTTCAAAAATGTCTTCAGTTTGGAAGAATATTCCATGAAATAATTGCTTCCTCCAAGTAATTATGGATTGTGTCATTTCAAGATTTCAGTCCTTAACGTGGACTACGCTACATAGAACTTATCGGGAGTTGCTTCAAGGAAGGCATGCATAGGTTGAGACTGCAAGATCTTTTGGCCCCAGCCACCATGGTCAAGGGTGATGGGAACTGTTTCTAACATAACAAGATATGGAAGTCACCAGATTAGCTTCCACTGATCTCAGCCTAACCCGTCTTCTTTTCTTCCTGGCCATTTTAAGTTTCAGGAGCAATTTGTCATGCCACATGCTCAGGTCTCTCTCATTGCTGATTTGTCTTTTCAGGAGATGGGGAGGATAATTGGAACAGCTCTTATGAAGAATTTTGGATGGAAAGCAGATTTGAGAAATCCTGACATAGAGGTAACAAAGTTAATACAGTGGTACCTCGGGTTACATACACTTCAGGTTACATACGCTTCAGGTTACAGTCTCTGCTAACCCAGAAATAGTGCTTCAGGTTAAGAACTTTGCTTCAGGATGAGAACAGAAATTGTGCTCCTGCAGCACAGCGGCAGTGGGAGGCCCCATTAGCTAAAATGGTGCTTCAAGTTAAGAACAGTTTCAGGTTAAGAACGGACCTCTGGAACGAATTAAGTACTTTACCCAAGGTACCACTGTACATTGAAATGTGGGTAATCTCTGTGGATTCTTGGTCCTCAGATAAAGGTCTTGATCTGACTAAGTTGAACTTATTTGTACACTGAAGTTCCTCTCAAAGTCCCTTTGAGATTAGGCTTTGGGAATCAAACCAATGTGTCCTCCTAACCCAGTATTCTGTCTCTAACAATGGAAAGATCCAGGTACCTTAATAGGTTTTTAACACAGCAAGGTACTAATAGAGCACAGTGATCCTGCAATAACCAGTCTCTGGATGCTTAATGTCTGAAGACCTTCAACCAGTTGGCAGTTATGAGATTCTCTGATTTATGAATGGCAGCCCTGTGCAAATTTTATATTTTATAAATTCACTTAAAATATACTAGAATTAATGCACAGAATTTAATGCAGCACCGCACTCTAAAGGAGGAAACTTTGCCACCTGGGTGAGATTAACCCCTTTGATTTCTTTTAAAAGCAGGGATGTTACTAGACTATCATTGCCATCATCCCTAATAAAAGTTTCTGATCAGCAACATCCAGAGTTGTTTTAAAATTAGTCTTATTCTGTAATTCACCTAACAATAAGCAAAGACGAAAGAGCAAAGATAATGAGTTTTAAAATAACTTCAAAGCAGGATAAAGAGCATGCTAGCTGGATATCTAAAAGGGGAGTTACATGCATAAAGGTCTGCAAGGAGTAGTGAAATCTCATACGCAAGAAGTTGCACAAGGGAGTGGTGATTTAATCAGAGTTTTAATACTAAGGAGCCAAGAAGGAGAATTGAAAGAAAGCAAAGAAAGAGGAAGAGGGCAAATCTTATATTATATGGAATTATATGGAATATAATATAAGGAATATTATATGGAATTATATTATATGGAATTATATGGATTATATGGAAGAGGGCAAATCTGTGAAGATGCTTTAATCTCAGAAGTTTAAACAAAATGCAACAATAAAGGAAGCCTGTGAAGAGAATAAAGATTAAAGCAAAAAGAAAGAAAAATGAACAAAAAAAATTAAAAGAGAGAGAAGAGGCTTAAACCAGAAGAAACAGGATAAGCAGACATTTCAATTATCAACAAAGGATAGAATGAAAAACTGAATATGAACTGTAGTAGAATCAATAGATAAAAGACAAATTTTAGACTGTAAAACTGATACCTTGATAGTTCATGCTTGTGGCAGTGCTTTTTTTATTTTTACATTTTTCATATATATTTTCCTTATAGAATTTACAGCCCAGCCCTACAGACTTCCTGTCAAAACCCTGTGCTAAACTCCCATGGATGGTGTAGTGCTGTCTTTGAAACAGCTAATGCCACTCTCAGCCAGGCAGAAACAAATGAGGAGTTCAGCACTGCATTGGGTTCTTCTCCACAATTCTTCCTCTGTTCTTCAGTCCTCAGCACCAGTATAAATATATGCACTGGCAGAGATGCACCATGGTGCAACCTCAGATCTGCACAGCTGCAACTTCCATGCAAATCTGACTATTCCAGGGATTGCCTTTGCCCACAAGGTGTACCTATTTGATACAGATAGTCCCCAGTATAATAACTTTTGTATGAGAATCAGATTGCTTGCTAGTTTAATTTTTTTTTTTAATACCATTGAAAATATCATTGAGATAGGACATTTGAATATATATATTCAAATCGGCTAAAGCTGAAAATGCAAGTAACTTTTCATTGTAATATTCCATTGCCTTTCAGATCTTTGTGCATCTAAATGACATTTACTCTGTGATTGGGATTCCTGTTTTCAGGTAAATACTGCATTAAAAACTACAGTTCAGAGTCCAAAAGGACACTTTTAATTGAAGTAAATTTCTGAGGGGTTACTGTGTTTCCCTGTTGTATATAATACAACAAAGAGTCCCATGGCACCTTAAAAACTTGACATTTTAATTGTGGCATGAGGCTTTATGAATTACTGCCCCCTTAAATCAGATCTGTGGACTGTTATTCTCAGTTGGCTGATGGAGTAAAATAATATACATATACACTGGTGCAGAGAGCGGAAATTCTAAGCAGTAGGACCAAACTGCCATGAAACGCAAGGAGTAACTGTGAGTTTGTTGCATTTCTCTGCAGAGCCCTGATTAGATGTATACAAGATAAGAACAGGCTGGTATAGCAGCAGTCACTGTGATGGAACTGTTGTTCTTGCTGACAATAAGAAGGGAGACAATTACTTTAGTGGAAAAGATCTTTCCAATTTCAGTTCAAAAGACTTCTGAATTAAAGTATGGTGACTTGTGAGGTCAGCTCCAGAATGTTCTGGGGTGTTTAAATGTGACCAGTGACTGCTGTCTTTTGCATTTCATCATGGACTTTTGGTCCCGCTGTTTGCAAAGTTATTTTCCTTCCTCTGTACCCATGTGTGTACATCTGTTTATCTAGACAAATTTCCACTGGTTCTTCGGGGCTATCTCCCCATCTGTTCTAGTCCTAAGTACTAAACAACAATATATCTCATTGTCATTTGTCTTTGTATCTTAAACAAGATTTGCCACCAGCTTATTCACAAATTTGAAGATTTGGGGATAAAAACTTCTTATCTATTTGGAATAACAATAGCGCATAGTTTTAGAGTTTGGGTATATTAGAATTCTGTGTGTGAGAGAGAGATACATTTTAATATGGTGTTTTGTTTGCAGACTTCCATTGGCAAGCAGATCATATATCAAAACAGCTGGGTTGCGCTCTACCGTTGCTTGGGCTATGGCATCCCTTGCTGAAATCAAGGTAATCAGCCAAGTAGAGTTTTAGTTGCTCTGTGGTTACCAAGCAATTCTCAGTAACCAGAATCTTGCCACTGGAAGTATTTTAAATGCAAACGAGAGCTTGTGTAGAATCGTGGAATGGCTAAGGTGGCAGTCAGCGTCCTGTTTACTTGGGAGTAAGCCCCAATGAACTCAAGCAGACTTAATTTCTGACTGAACACACAAAAAATGGTGCTGTGTTTGGAGCTGTTTCTGCTTGGCTCCAGCCCCCAAGTGCATCATGGGAATCATAATGAATACTCTAAACCAGCAGCGGGGAACCCATGAGCCTCCAGATGTTTCTGGGCTCCCAACACCACATTCCTTCTCCATTGGCCATGCTGGCTGGGCTGATGGGAGTTGGGAATCCCTCAACTGCTGGAGGGCCGCCAGTTCGCCAGCCCTGCCCTACACCATTGTTCTAAGGATTGCTGAAAAGGAACTATTAATGAACGTATGGAAAATAATTCATCAGTGCCCCACCGGCAACGAGATATAAGTATTATTGGGTCAGATACTTTTAAGCATGTTTGTAGATTGGGCTACATGAGTTTACAGCATGCCTTTCAGCTGCAATAGCTCCATTTTTACTAATTTCACACAGTGCCCCAACTATGCAGAATGCTTTGCCATTCCCTTGCTATTGATGCTAGCAATATATGAGAAATGTAGATCAATTTCACAGACAGGGGCATTGGGTTCAGATATAGTCAGTTGCCCAAGGTGAACCACTGATCCTGCAACTAAGGCAGGACTTCAATCCATGCTTCCTACATCTTTGTTGTGTACAACAGCATCGTCTGTATTCCATGTCTGTTCTCGTGGTTTATTCCAAATGACCACAGCATTGACCAGAGGAGCCTAACCATGTAAAGCTCAGTCTTTTGTGTCTTGCTTCCTTTAATTTGGTAGATAAGATCTTTGTACCAGAAGACAGATTTCCTAATGTCTTGACAGATGGAATAGTGTTGTGTTTGCTTTTCTTTCTTTTTTTCTCCACAGCCTGGTGCATTTGTACTGGATCCTACATGTGGGCTAGGAACAATACTCCTAGAAGCAGCGACCGAATGGCCTGTAAGCTCCGTCATAACAACAAGTGTGATGTCTGGCCACAGATGGCATCTTGTGGCCAAATCTGTAAATAATGAACCTCTAATATGCAGCAGCGGGGCTGAAAATTAGGTTCCAGAATTTCTTTCTAGAAAATTTGTTGACTTTTAGCTTAAGCGTTCATGCTAATACAAACTGCTGATTCCTTCTAGCTTGTGATTCTGCAGTTGGTGGTGTTAGTATGCCTAATTCTCAGTGATTATTTTGATAATTTATGGGGATTAAAAAAAAAAAACTAATGTAAATGTTTGTTTTTTTCTCTTCAGAATGTGCATTATTTAGGGACTGACATAAGTGATTCACAATTAGAAGGAGCCTACACTAATATTAAAGCTGCAGGCCTGGTGGATAAAATCGGGTTACTGAAAGCTTCTGTGACAGGTAAGAGCTGGCAAGGGTATCTGCAGTACTATACAAATCAATTTATTGCTTTATATTTCCTTTATTGTAATTGAAACGATGATTTGTGACTGCATCAAATACTTTGTGATGCCTTGTAGTCAGTTGTTAGTCCCTAATTAGAGTTGTTATTATATACAAAGGAGAATAATGGCTGAGCATTTCACATGCTTAAATGTCTAAATATCTCGTAGCATTGCCATTTCAGTCGGAAAGCATTGATGTTGTTCTTGCGGACATCCCCTTTGGAAAGAAGTTCAAAATAACAAAAGACATGACCTTACTGCCGGACGTTTTTCAAGAAATCGAAAGGTATGTGCGTTCTGCTATCTAAGGCACAAGAACTGCTACTGCAGATTGGGATCTGCTAATGGTATTGCATGCTAAACAAAGGAAAGTCACATTTCAACGTGGCCATGTTACCTACTAGATGAAGTTGAGAATGTAAAACAGGGAGATAAAAATCATGTTGCCAGTAGTCCTCAGTTGCTTTTAAAAGGCCATGAGTGATTTTAGAACATCTCTAAGATTTGTCATGACTGCCGTATAGTTAGCCTCTGTACACTGAAAAGTCTTCTGCTGAATTAATAAATATTGTAGCTGCACAAGGATATTAATAACTATCCTCTGGTTGTTCCCTTTCAGGGTGCTTTGTGGTGGAGGGATTGTTGTGCTGCTACTTAGTCAAGAGCTCTACAAGCGCCTCTCTGGTGACATTGCCAGCAGTCTAGGTACTAAGAACTGCATCCCTGCAAGTCCTTGCAAACAAAGTACCGTGATGTTAGTCAGCAACACCAAAGGAAACAGCATTGGCCCCACGACTGTTCCCCTATCAACTCAAGAGGCAGAGAGAGAAGACACCAGCGATAAAAGGATGACTTTTGGCTCACTGGTGCTGGTGGAATCCTTGGAAGTTAGCCTTGGCAAAACAGGTGCATTCATATGCAAGTATAAGAAGGTAACAGGAGGTTTTGCAAGAAGTTAGCAGCATTCAGCAAGTGTGCATGAAGCAGTTTGGAGCTTCTGCTTTGAACCATACTCAGAAGTAAGCCCAGAGCTCAGCCATCAGAATTGCCTTAGTTTCCATACCTCCAGTGGGCCCCAAAGGTATGCAGCAAGGGTCTCGAAATGTGAAGGCCTTTGGCCAAATCTAGGCCTTTAAGGATGCTTAATTCCTTTTCCAATCTAGATAGAAAAGAGGTCTGGAGAAGGTGTGGTTAGTGTAAACAGGGCTTGCTGGCAGGCAGCTTTATTAAGGATGTGGTGCAGGTTCACCCCTCGGAAAGTAAGTTGCCAACCAGGAGCTGATATAGCATGCCTGATAAAGGAGTTGGTGGCAGTCCTTGGTGCTTACATGGGACCATTTTGCCACAGTAGGGTGGGGCTCAAGGCAGGCTGTGACATTGTGCTGGCAGAAAGGGGCATGGTGCCCTATTTTGTGTGCTGCAGTGCTGACGCCGTAAATCACAGGGGTGCAAAAAGTCTGCCTTTTTTGAGAGCAGACGTGTGGCTTATAAGTGCATCTCCTGTGTCTTTAACAAAATCCGGACACAGCTGTAGTCTGGCCGCTTTTGACCACGACACGTTAACTTCCATGCTTGACAGTGCATTATACGTAAGCCAAGTGAGGGAGGAATTTAAGGTGACTGTTCCATCAGTGCAAGAATTTCGGAGTGTTAGATGGAACAATTCCCTCTTCTCCCCCCCTCCCCCCCGGCACTCTGCTCCTGATCACCTCTTGGAAGTGCACTGAAAAGGAGAGGGTGAAGCTCCGTTGCACAGGGCTTGTGCTGATTGGGCTCATTGGACTCCTACCCTTTATGCTTGCACTAATTTTAATTGCTTTGGAATAAATTGATTTCTTTTTTCCCCTCTTGTTTCATAAGTAAACCAAAATAAACATGACTGGAAAATTCCAGTATGCTTTTCAGAATGGTGTAAAATTCCAGTGATAATATTCAGAAAGGTGCAAAGTAGTATAGCCACATAACTGGAGACAGAGTTTTTAACTCGAGGTTGTATTTTTGTCTTAAACTTACATGACGGTTTAAGAAGGACCCATTTCCAAGTCACTCACTTGGAAATTTTTACAAACACTTTCAACGGAAGTTCTACCACAAAACTTTTTTTTTAGACAAAGAGGCTGAGGTTGTACAACAGATGTTACTTCCAACAATATTAAATGTCATATAATTGTTTTTGTACAATTAAACTCATTTATACATGGCATTTGGCTTCGTATGAAATACAAAATGTATTTCAGAGAGATACATTAAAAGTAGGAATCTAGCTACCGCAGAATAGTCAGATGAGTAGTTTAAAACTTTTTCTACTACAGGAACTGCTAGTGGCGTTTTGGTTTACTGAAGAGGTCCCCTTCCCGCACTCTGGAAGTCATTCCCCTTCAGCTCCTTCCCTACATTACTGCTAAAACAAATTGCCCATCCACTTACAACATCAGAACTCTTCACAGTCTCTCACACAATACCATTCGGTAACCACTAAAGATACCCAAAGGAGGAGGTTTATTTCACTTAAAGTCTAAAGTATTTTACAGTGCAATCTTATACGTGTCAACTCAGAAGTAAGCCCTACTGAGTTCAATTGGGCTTACCCCCAAGTAAGTGGGTATAGGATTACAACCTAAGACTGGTCGAGGGGAATAGGGGAATAGGGTTGAGATTTGGGGAGTTGTGTTTTTTGTTGTTGTTGTTGTTGGTTGTTAATTACCTTACGTACAAACCTCTGCTAAATAAAACAGCCCTACATTGTCAACACAGGTTTCTTACCAGAGTGAGAACAGCCCTGTCTCGCTTGTGATGTGTGCATATACACTGTGCTAAATTGCAGTCATCAGTTCCACAAGAACTCAGTTGTCTGAACGTTTTATTTCAGCCACCCTGAAGGTAGAGAAGAAATCCTCTGTATTTCCTGGCTAGTAAGACACAATGTTTGGTATTTAAGGGACAGGGTTTTGTTTTCATTTGTGCTTGGAATTATGAATTTAGCTCCCTTATAAATCCTTGAAGACTACTCTTCACCTGTTGCCTTTCAAGGGGAGGGATTATCCCCTGATAAGCAGTCATACAGAAGAGTCTCTGGTAGACTTTAGATGGCTAATCTTTGTCCTGCTAATGAGTGGATAAGTGGTGCAAAGACATCCTGCTGCTACGATGAGTCCTAAGCTGCACCAAGCACAGAATATAGACCAGCTGTATCCATGTTCCACGTCATCAGGAAGACCATAGATAAATTTGGGTAAGCGGTTTAGGTCATAGGAGACACTTGCTGCATAAGTGCAGAGAGAAATAGTGCAAAAGATGCCTGCAATGGAGACAAAATCACAATGTCATGGTTACCAAATGTGCACAATCAGCAATTACTAACAGCTCAAAATAGCCCAGGATAAAATCATCAAGAGACATGCAAGGCAAATGAAAGATACACAATCTTGAAACCAGAAGTCAACAGGCATTGTTTTCTTACAAGAGTGATGGTGAGCATGTTCCATGCACTTAGCCCGTCATCAGAATTTGAATAATTATTAAGCGCAATTATTAGGGTGACCAGATGACCTGCGGGGGTGGAGGGAGATAAATATCAGGCCCAGCAGCTTAAAAAGGTTTCACAGCCCTTCTCTGTAAAGAGACATGGGCAGAGTAGACAAAACAAACCCTTCTATGGTCTTTCCATTCTTTTGGCTTTCAGTAATTGGCAACACTAAGAAGCTTCCACCCCCTCAAAATGTCATTTTAGATTCTGCCTGAATAAGATTTTTTTTAAGTGGGAGGAGAGTGGGCAATGGATGAGAAATATTATGACTGTTTTTCAAGAAGGAAATGCTGGGAGATTTTACTTTTTCCAGGTCTAAGGCGTTAGCCAGCATCACAAGGTAAGCACAGCTTCCCATGTCATCTAGAAGCATTAGCAGTGTGTAAAAGAGGGTCATACATCCCACCCCACAACTTCCAGAGGTGTAGAGGCATTAGTGTCTAGCAGCATGAAAACAAATGGCTTAGGGTACCTTCAAGGCTTCACAGATTTACCATAAGTTTTTGTGGACTCTGATTCACAAAAGCTTGCAGCATAATAAATCTGTGAATTCTTTAAAGGCAAATTCATGGCTGTGTTCTGTCTCCACTGTCAGAAACAGTATGTCTTTGAGTACCTGTGTTTGGGAATCACAAGTCCTGCTGCACTCAGATCCTGATTGTGGGCTTTCCATGGGCACCCAGCTGGGCACCCACTGTGAGAACAAGATGCTGAACAAGATGGGCCCTTGGTCTGATCCAGCAGGGCTCTTCCTATGTTTTTAAGGCACCACAACCCTCTTTATTTTAGCTCTTCCACAGGAATTGTGCTTCCTGTTTAGGTCTGTTTATAGAATAAGTGATTCTGGTGTGTTCCTTTGGTCTTAGGTAACGTGTGGAGGTTCAGTCCCCACCACCACCACCTTGAATTAGGGAAGCTTCCTAAATACATAGTGGCGCGCGCGCGCACACACACACACGGCAACACCAAGGAGGGGGAATGTGAAACTTCAAAATGTTGCAGGGAATTTACTGGAAAATACAACTGCTCAACACACACATTTGTGGATGTATGATTGCTAAAGTATGTTTGTGTAGAAAAATACACTTTTTTTTTACATTTAGTATTTTTAAAGGCAGTCTCTATCTTTTCCAGTGCCCTGACCATTGTACCTTTTGGTTAATTTCTCTACTTCCACCATCTTTCTGTGGTTTCACCTCTCTCCCCCAGTGCTACGAATTTGTATGGAAACCACAAATTCTACTAAAGATCCCTAGTTTCCCTAGTAGAATTAAGATTATCAGATAAGGAAGAGGGAAGCAATCAAACCCGTTTACATTTGCAGTGCTGACCTGCCCAAAATGTGAAAACTCATTGGCCAGATTATGTGGTACAACTCTTCAACAGATGGGAGTAAAACCTGACACACATAAGGATATAGCAGGCAGAGCTGAAATAGTACCTGACATAAGGAAAAGGAGGCCGGCAACATGCTGTGTGAGGCTTTCCTCCCAAAAGAAACTGACTGTAGTTACGATGCACCCACAGAGAAGAACAGCTGCTGCCATCCCAAGAAATCCTGCTGTGATTCTTCTTAGATCTGTTTCCAGAAGTGAGAGAGGACGAGGTTAAATATGCATCAGTGAAACAAGTTAAAATTCAGCCTTGGCAAACCGGGTTTCCTCCATGTTTTGAACTACAACTCCTCATCAGTCCCAGGCAGCAAAACTGATGGGAGCTGTAGCCCAAAACCTATGGAGGGCGTCGAGTAGGCAAATGCTGGTCTAATCATATGCACATGTTTCTGAGGACAAGCCCCTTGAACTCTGCTGGAATCGATTCTGAATACAAAGAATTGCACTTTAAGATATCCGTACATACCCACTATCAACAAAAAGTGAGAGACGTTTTTCTGCAGCATACCAAAGTGGTTTTCGCTAAGCATTAAAAAATCACCCTTGATAAAAGAGTTTCCTGGAAATGCATTGGGAACAATATCCATCTTTTTGGTGGTATTTTCTCCCCTTTGATCTACAGATCGCCATTTGTAACGCACAAGTACAGTGGTGCCTCGCAAGACGAAATTAATTCGTTCCGCGAGTTTTGTCGTCTTGCAATTTTTTTCGTCTTGCGAAGCACGGTGTCTTTAAAAGTCTTTAAAAAGTCTTTAAAAACCTCAAAAAAGGCTACCACACTGCGTTCTATGAGTTGCTCCTCGAAGTCAAGTCGCAACTGTATTAACGGTGTTAAGAAAAAGGAAACAAACTTGCAACACGTTTCCGTCTTGCGAAGCAATCCCACAGGGAAAATCGTCTTGCGAAGCAGCTCAAAAAACCCTTTCGTCTAGCGAGTTTTTCGTCTTGCGAGGCATTCGTCTTGCGAGGTACCACTGTAGTTATCATTGATCTCTCTTTACCACTGTTGCCCTAAAAAGTGTCAATCCATCCTGCCTGTCCCTTGTCTTCTCCCGCTCCCTTTTAAAAAATAATAATACAATCAACGTTAACGAAACAGTGCAGTGATGCATTTCTAGAGGTAAAGAGGCTATTGGGTATGGATCAGAGGAGAAATTTCCTGAGGCCTTTTCAATCCTTTTCTGCTGGGCTTGATAACAAAAGCTGACTGGTTTTGCAAGATGATGCACAGTTTCCTGACCTGGACTGCCATGGGGGGGTGTTATAATGGGTAAACAACAACATTTAGCATCATGAAAACCTAACTACTTACGTAACAGATGCCATTCATCTTGTTGGATGGTCTTGGTTAAATTGAACGGGATGTTGCGTAAGCGTATTGGTGGAGCGAAGTGGTACTTGATTGCCGTACATCTCTGAGTGATACCTTTACAAAATGGAAGGGCAGAAATGCTTAAGAAATTCCATTTAACGAGGATGAATAAGCGAAGCTCTTCAGCAGTGAGGAATCTGCTGTTAATAATATGCAAGCAAAGGGCAAGCCACTTGGAAGAACTGGGTTCAAAGGAGGACAATTCCTCACCACACAAAAATCCTTTTCCTTTCATTGGTGGAAAGGGAGGGTCTTGTGCAACAAAAAGGATCCTTTGTGGAAGGACTCAAGTCTTCAGAAGAGGCCAGTTAACCCCTTTAATAAAAACAACTCTCTGTAGAAGAGGACAGTTCTCTGCCTCTCTCATACTAGCACACTGATCCTTTCTGCAATGAAGCTGTACGTTATATTTCCCTTGGGTGCAAGATTTTTCTTTCACAATGTAGGGGCTGACAGTCCAAATCAGATTTCTGGCATGGATAGTCATTACTTTTTGCTGACAGGATTCCCCTGCAGCCCTGGAAGCAGCTTACACAATACCCCTTGCTGTGGCCCATGCCAATTTTGACTTGGGGCTAGTGGCGTACCAAGCCGCTTGGGTGCCCAGGGTGGCACCCGTGCTCTGTGCCCAGGGCAAGCCACACACAGTGGGGGAGCTGGGGCAGGGCACGCTGCGTGATGCTTCCAAGGGGTCTGCCCGCTGCCTCCCCCCCAGCTGTAGGGTAGCTGAGGGGGAGGTGGCAGGCAGACACAAGCCTCATGCTTCCATTTCAGGCAGTGCAAAGCTTGTATGTAGTCTACCTGCCACCTCTCCGTCAGCTGTAGGGCGGCTGAGGGGGAGGTGGTGAGCAGATGCAAGCCCCACACTACCGTTTCGGGCAGCACGGAGCCAGCAGGCACCCAAGCCACCGCGTCACTCGCAGGAGAGATGCGTGGCTAGGGCGTATTGCAGGCCCCACAGTAAGTGCCACCCCCCACGGTGTGACACCCAGTGTGCCCAACACCCCTAACTACTCCTCTGCTTGGGTCAGAGAGTAGTGTGATCATTCTGGTCCCCTGATCATTTTGCAATACATCTAGACTCCAAGATACCCCTTACAGCATCCTGCTTTACAAACTGAGGAAATAATACAGTGAAATAGAACAGTGGTTCCCAGCCTCTTTGGTATGGTGGGCCCACAAGTCCAAATTCCCTTGGTATGATTAATTTTATTGCCACTTGAATTTTGGATGTTAGATCTTCAGCAGCTGTCGGTTTCATGCATTTTAACTGCAAGTTTGCCTATTTTCCTGGAGGCGCCCAAGCAAACATTTACTTAATGCCCATATTAAAATGGAATTTGCTGAAATATTTATAGTACTTACTAAGTTATTCACAGTTTTGTTTATGGGAATGTAAGAACACCATCTGATTGCAGGATTTTGCTGCATAAGCTACAAAGATTTATTCTAAGAACATACAGTTTACACATGCAATGTTAGATAAAATGAACTATGAATATTTTAAATAGTTTTATTCATGATAGGTCCATTTTGCAAAGTGTCAGTGATAACAGGAGATAAGCTTGCATTTTGCCAACCAGTGGGTCAGTGAAAGATTTGATGGTTGGCAGACATAATCTCAGATCTTTATTGAGACATAGGGTAAAAGTATTATTTCTTATTTTGACTGAGCAAACTTCAAATCACCCTTGACTATTAACTAGCCCTGGAAGCAAATTTGGTAATACTTCTGCACAAGGTGCTCATACAGGGAGTTTGGAGCCTGCTGCACATCAGAAGCGAGCTGCAATAGTCACTCAAAACAACTTTATAAGTACTTTGTGGCCAACTTTTACCAGATCCTCTACCTAATTAATCCAGAGCCTCATGCTGGAGTGTTCTTGCAAACATGGGATTTGTTTGTTTGTTAAATTTATATATACAAGGATAACAGTGCAATTTACAGTATTAAAAACACAAAAATACATAACATAATAAACGAAACAAAAACCCACACACATGCACAGTTTAAAAGGCCATAGGCTATAGATGGTTTAATTAGCCAAAGGCCTGGGAGGAGAGGAATGTTTTTGCCTTGCGTCTTCATTGCAAATCTTTAGGTGCCAGGCAAGCCTCCCTCAAAGAGCATACCACAAATGGGGAGCCACCACAGAAAAGGCCCATTCTTGTGTTGCCACCCTCCAGACCCCTCGTGGAGGCACACAAAGAAGGGCCTCAGATTATTATTGCAAGGTCCAGATTTGTGACATGTATATTGTGCAACACAGGTCATTTAAGCTTCTTGCTACTTGCCGCATTGTTTCCAGCCCTATGCCCTTAAATTTTCAACCAGAGCTCTGCAACCATGAAAACTAAAAAGACCTATTGGCCCTGATTCAACTTACATTGCAGGCAACTATTGGCACTTCACAATCCCAGATGCAGATTCTCATCCTTAACTATTAAAAAAATGCACCAAGCCTGTTCAGTAGGGCCCACATGAGGACTGTAATTCAGATGGAGAGAGGCATGCTGATTAATGCATTATTATTCACTGTGCAAGTGGAAGGCTGGTTTCTTCTCAGTGTAAAAGAACTCCCAAGATGGATTAGGACAATTGACTTCAACAAAAGAACTAAATTTATGTGTTCTATTTTCTCCCACTGAAAATCATGGGCTTGAAAATGCTTGCTTCTTGGCTCGACTACTTCCTTAGAATTTTAAAATATGAAATATGAGATTGTCAGGATTGTGTAGGGGTGAGGACAGACCTCACAGGTAATGCAGGAAAACCACCTACAAGTCTCTCCTTGACTTGTAAGCATTCGGCCAAACCTGAATGGGAAGACTCTAGTGAAAAGAAGGAGTAGACTGGAAGTATGACAATAAAATGGAGATGGGAGGAAGAACGGCTTAAATCAATACTGTCAATTTTGTCCCTCAAGAAAGCCCTGCAGGTTTTGTCACAACAACTCTAGGAAGGAGAGGGAAGAAAAAGATCAAGCCCATTCAGGAGTTTTTGGGTGCTTCCAGGCAGTCACTATTTTGGGGTGGGATTCAGTTACATACCAGAAAATGTAGGTTGTGCAATTGTAGTTATTTGGGATGCCCTGGGCAACAAACCCACTTCCCCAAAAGGGGGAACTTTCTGTGATAAGGAAGGTGATGGGGAGATGCACGGGAAAGTGTGGGATAACACTTGCTTTCGTGCCACATCATCTAACCTCATAAACAAATCAGAATGCATGCTTATTAAATAGCAAACATCATCTAATCTCCCTACAAACAAATCAAGATAAATGCTCAATAAACAGGTCATCTAGAAACCCCTTTTCCAAGTTTACTTAAGCACCCTCACACAAAGCCAGGAAGTGCAGCTAGATCACATAATTTCATTACCTATTTATTCTACTTTTAAATCTTAATTCTGACAATGCCCAAAATATAGAGCTGGGCCTTGGGGGGAGTTAGCTATTGTTCACCAAGAACAGGCCTTATATGCTGAAAGCACCATGATTAATTCCCGGTTTTTCCAGTTAAAAGGAATTCAGGTAGACAGCTGTGGAAAGATCCTTGCCTGAAGCCTTAGGAGAGCTGATACCAGTCAGATGAGATGACAGTGTTCCATAAACAAGAAATAAAGAGTCAAGGACTGAGAAAATGTCAACACCATGCATTGAAAGCATTATTGTAACACTCTAATGTCATGGCTTCCCCCAAAGAATCCTGGGAACTGTAGTTAGATAATGGTGCTGAGATGAGACCCCTAGTCCCCTCACAGAGCTAAGATATTCTGAGTGGCCAAACAATCAGGCCCTCTTCCCAGGGAACTCTGGGAATCATAGTTCTGTGAGGGGAATAGGGGTCGCCTAACAACTGTTATTTTAAAAACAACTGGGGCGCGGGTGGCGCTGTGGGTTAAACCACAGAGCGTAGGGCTTGCTGATCAGGTTGACGGTTCGAATCCCCGCGACGGGGTGAGCTCCTGTTGCTCAGTCCCAGCTCCTGCCAACCTAGCAGTTCGAAAGCACGTCAAAGTGCAAGTAGATAAATAGGTACCACTCTGGCGGGAAGGTAAACGGCGTTTCCGTGTGCTGTTCTGGTTCGCCAGAAGCTGCTTAGTCATGCTGGCCACATGACCCGGAATCTGTCTGCGGACAAACGCCAGCTCCCTCGGCCCATAGAGCGAGATGAGCGCTGCAACCCCAGAGTCGGTCACGACTGGACCTAATGATCAGGGGTACCTTTACCTTTAACAACTGTTATGGCTTCCACAAGAATCAACACAAATAGGCAGTTATAAGGTAGATGTTTAGATAGGCAAGGTGTATTGACTGACCTAAACTTGTTGGTAGGTTAAGAACTGACAACCCAATCTACAAAACATTCCCAAACTCTTCCCCAATAAAAATTAATGGACAATTCTCCCTCCAATAAATTTATCACCTGTTAACAAAGATCCAGAATCTTGCCAGAGTTCAGATTTGGTCTGTTAACTCACTCTCACCTGCCAAGAATTTTGAGCTTAAGCTGTTTGTGACATCATTCATGACAGCAGAATGTTATGTTTGCATTCAGCTCAAGCTATCTCCATGCCAACAGCATTGGACAGTAATAAATCCCTGTTACTAGAGAGCCATCAATGCAAGACTCCAGCAAATTTTATTGTTGCTTTCATGCCCTATGCCTGATTTAAGAGCTGTGTGTGGCTGGCCTGAAAGCCTGTTTCCAGAAGTTTATAATATAATTGATCCAATATATCCAAAGTTATTTGATAACCTCTCTTGTGAATAAACTCACCTCCAATCCCCACTTCCTTTCATCCATTTATAGCATTTTTATAATTCAGAATACCTTAAAATCCTTTTGAAAAGTCCAGTATGTCTAGACTGTGTTCCAGGCTTCTTTGCCATTTCGCATGTGGAAGTTGTTGGCTCACCAAATAATGTTACTGGCAGTGTGTGAGGGGGTGTCAAAAGGCCTCTTCATTCCCAAACACTTCCCCTATAATAAATTGAATATAGCCCCAATATATATTCATCACCTGCCATGATGATCCATCTTGACAGAGTTCAGATGTGGGTTGACTGTTAACTGCCTCTCACTCTGCCAAGACTTTTGAGCATAACTTGTTTATGACATCATGTATGACATCAGAATGTCCATATTTGCATTCTGCTCAGGCTATCTCCATGCCATCAGGGGTGGCAAGTAAACCTCTGCAACTAGAGACCCATCAGCCTGACTATCCAATGTCTGTGGGTTATTGATTATGCCTCCTTGCTGGCATCTGTCTGCCTCAAGAGACAATTGAAGAGTGCACCTTCCTTTTTATTAAACAGGAATAACTGGTCCCCCAAATCATTTTATTCAGTATGGGGGTTTGTTCAAGCAACCTCTTCAGTCTTGCTTGAAAAACATTCCAGGAAGAGTCTCAAAAAATGACACTGAGTTTGGCAGTAACTGTCAGGGGTGGATAATTGGTCAGCCAGCTAGAATGAGCCCCAAATCTGTGGCAGCACTGAGCCATGGGGGTAGCCAAGTACATGAGACCTAAAGCACAAGTCGCACTGAGATCTTAATTGGAGACTGGGTTGCCAGCTGAGTTTGAACTCTGAACTGGGGCGGGAGCAAGGAGCAAGAGTTCATTGGGAAGAGGCATCGCCTGTTAAGCCACTCTGGGAATTGTCGCTCTGTGAGTGGAGTATGGGGGTCTCCTAACAACTCTCAGCACCGTTAACGAACAACAGTTCCCAGGCTGATTTGTAGGAAGCCGTAACTAAAGTGGTATGATATTTACTTTTGGTAAGGTGAAGATGTGGACATAAGGGGGGGGGGGGCGAAACTGACAAGAAGCTATTTGGGTATGTTTTTTATGCAAAGTTGTTACTTTTTTATCATTCCAATTCTTTAAAAGGCTGTGCTTAATATTAGACATATTCTACTATAGAAATCTGAAGGGGGAAAGTCATATTTAAAATCTCTTTAAAATTATTTTGGGCTTGAAACTATTCAATTATCAATATTTTTCTTTGGAGCAGGGGGCTGTGTGGAAAAAATGTGGAAGCTGGAGAACAGTTTTCTTCAACCCTTCTATTTTCCCAGCTTTTCTTCTAGACTGGCAGATTTCTAACCCTGCCTGACAGTGCTTTCATCTGTGGACACACAACCTCCTGAAGGAACATGTTATGTACCTTGCTGCAGTGCATGGCACTTACCGTTCCTCTGGGCTCTCCCAGAGGCCTTGTGGTGGCAGCACATATGCCTTCTAGAGTTGCTCCTGGTGCATGATATGGCAGTGCCTCACCATAGCTGGATGGTGTTCTAAACACACACACAGCCCTACAACGATTGCACCGCTCTCTCCATTTGCAAGATGAGGATCTGGTTCATTTGCACGATGTGTACTTTCCATTCCGCTAGCGCACAGAAGCATGTCCTTCAGACCATTTTTTGCATAAATGCTGAAAGCTCTCTGCGAAGTCTGCCGGACCAAAGTGCTCAGTAATTTAATTGGCACAGTTTCTTTCCAACTAAGAAACTGGAACAAGCAGATTTGCATCCAAGGGATAAAACCTTGCAATTCTTTGTTACATGCCAACTGTGGCATAACTCCCTTGCATGGAAAGAAAGAGCCCACTGAGTCAGAGAGGTGAAAAGTTAAATAATGCTGGAATGTCTCAAAAAGACAAGCAAGCAAGCCTGAGGTTCTGGACTAAATACGGAGCAAAAAGAGCTGTAGAGACTAAGGGTGAGGTGAAGAAGCTGAAGATGTTTTGGCTGTACTTGTAAAACTAAGTAAGAGCAAGGGAAGAAATGTTGTTTGCAGAATTAAAAGAAAGGCATCGCAAACACTTTTGATAGCTTCAGATCTTATGTTTAGTTCGTGGTACCTAAATTTAGTGTTTTTTTATGCATTTTACTGGACACTTTAATAGAAGCTTTTTAATACAACTTTGTTGTTGGAGAACTGCATCACAAAATATTGAGTAGTACAGATTTTGAAGGATAGCTTTGTTTCCCTGATCCCTAGCTAAAAGTCAAAGGGGAATCGTTCACTTTCCGTCTGAGTTCATTGCTACAAGTATGAACATCAACAACAAAAAATCCTTTGAATACATTAGTAGCAGTCCACTGAACCTAGAAGTGGCAATGCACTAATTTATCTTCATTAGAACCAGCCAACGGCCTGTCATGGCTGACGATTAGTTACCAAATATAGCAACACAAGTTGGCTACTAGTGCCTGGGATGCATATCCCCATTGTCCAATAGAAAGACTTAAGCCTGAAGAAATACTGATTTGCATCATGTAACGTTCTGGGCATTCCTTGCTGTGAAGAGTAATTGCTACAACATGTGCGATATTTGGGGTATTATCAGAGGCATGGAAGGATCATTAGTAGGAGAAGCCCTAGCATCTATTGCAAAGAAGGTATTTTCTTCTGCTGTACGGTGTAGCTGGATATAAATATTAAATGTTCTCCCTAGAGAAACAAGCAGTGAAATGTCATAATGATTCTGCCGATTATGATCATGAAAGCACTTAAAGCAATATCTATTTTTACACTTTGCTACTAATAGGGAAGTACATCCCTTGACTGAGGCTGACAAAAATTCCACCATTTCTGTTTGCACAGCACAATTAACACAATTTATAACCCAATTCTCAAGACAATCTAGTGAATGCATGTTTGCATTTACAGAGCAACTGCACTGAAACATTTCATTAAGAAGATTGTTGTCTTGTGCCTCAGCTGCTATAACATGCCACATGTCATAGTAAAAGAAAGCCTGCAACCATAATGATTTTCTTTTGAAACCCAGCAACAAATCTCAGTGATACCTACAAGCTCATTGCCTAGTTTTATTACTGAATTTTTAAAAATGAGCATTATGGTTGAAGGCTATTTCTTAGCATGATGTGAGAAGAACAACGGAAGAGGAAAAGTTGAACCCAAATGGAACCACCAAATATCAGTATCAAACTCTGATCTGGCCTTTGTGCTCCTGGGCCACACTGCTACCTATAACACCCTTGAGTTGAACTATCAGCAGGGATCCCAGGAGAGCTCACTCCCTCACCATTTAGGAATTACACAGTGTATAGTTAAAACTATGGAATTCACTCCCACTATGGCCACCAACTTGGATGGCTCTAAGCAGAGGTTGGATGGCCATCTGTCAAAGATGCTCTAGCTGCGATTCCTGCATTGCAGGGGGTTGGACTAGACGGCCCTTGGTTTCCCTTCCAACTCTACAATTCCATGATTCTATGAGGAATAGATGAAATCATGGAGGTAAAAGCTATCAGGGGCTACTAGCCACAATGGCTATGCTCTGACTCCACAGAGGCTTTATGTGTTTGAACTGCAGTTTCTGGAAATCACAGGAGAGAGTGCTCTTGCACTTGGGTCCTGCTTGCAAATTTCCCACAAGCATCTGGTTGGCCACTGTGAGAACAGGATGCTGGAGTAAATGGGCCTCTGTCCTGATCCAGCAAGCTCTTCTTGTGTTCTCTCTGTAAGACTGTGTTGCACATTGCTTAGCAGGGTAAAGTATTTTACATTATTTATGTATTTATATACCAGCCTTCCCCAAAGTGGAGCTCTCCAGAGGTTTTGGACTGGGCCACCTCAAGAGATTTTCCCACCACACCCCACACTTCCCTCCTGGCACCCCCTCTCCCAATTATTCTTCTCCACTCCTCCCTTCTTGTCCCTCCCCTCATTTGCTGGCAGTTTTCTCTGCTGTCCCCTCCAACTCATTCCTGCCTTGCTCTAAGGATTGGGTGGACAGTGTCCTTCCTCAGAATGAGCTATTCTAGGCCAAGTGGTGCAAAGAGTGCCTGCATTGCCACCACTACAGCTAAGATGTTCATTTAAACTTGGGGGAGGGGAGCTATTTTAAAGTGTTTGGGGTTGTTGTTTTTTCAAAGTTTAAACAGGCTTTCTAGGTGTCCCAGCAAATCACAGGGACAGTAACCATTCTGCACATTTATTTTAACTTTGGCTTGGCAGTTGTAGGGGAAGGGGAGCAACACAAACATGTGAATTGGAGACTGATGCCTAGGCTAAAGCATTGAGCTGGATACAGGGAATACTGATTTCAAACCGTAGTCAGCTGTGAAGTTTAATGGGTAGCTGTGAGTAAGCTCCTTAAATGAAACTGCATTAAACATCCCCCGCCTTTTTTGCTCTTTTCAAAAAGTAATTGTGCTGTTGATAGAATTATCTTGCCCTTTTCTCACTCGCCTAGTGAGCTACCAGTGCAGCCCACAACCTTAACTACTTAACCACCTTGTAAACCTCCATTTCCCAAACTTGACTGTCTTAAGAGGGACCTCATTTGCACTTGTAAGCAAAATGTCACACTCCAGAGTGGACAACCAGGCGACGACATTAATGCCTACTGACTAGGCTTTCTATTTGTTCCCAGAGGGGGAAAAAGAGCACTATTAATGGGGGTATGTGCATCTCTTTCAATATTGAAAACAGGAGTAATAGTGGTTATATATGGCGATCACTCATAGCAGAGTAAGATTGTCTTCCATGAAGAATAGTAGTTATACTGGACAACAAGGTATATACGAAGTAGCAAAAAGGGAAGCCTTAGAACCTCAATATAGGATATCAGAACAGTTAGGATATAGGATATCAGAGCAGTTGTCCAGCTAGTGCAATGAAACTTCCTTTTCTTTTAGTTTTGTTATTTAATTCAAAAATAAGAGTACAGCAACAGAACATTGGAGTCAGAAGATACAGCAACCCAGGATGGCATTCAACTAAGTTTTACTCAGAACACACCCACTGAAATTAAAGGATAACTTTGATATAGAGGCTTTGATTACCAAGTAGGTCTTGAACTAGCCCACAGAGGGGGGGCAAACAAAAGTCTGATAGGGAGAAAAGGTATTTGGGCTCACAAGCTGTTTTGCTGCTCCATTCCTCACTCCCCTTTTGCTTAGATAATAAATAATAATAATAATAATAATAATTTTTTATACCCCGCCCTCCCCAGCCAAGGCCAGGCTCAGGGCGGCTTACAAGCAATAATAAAAACAAGTTGAATGATTACAACTTAAAAACAAAATTAAAATACATTAAAATATTGAAACATTAAAACATAAAAAGATCAAGGATGGGGATCCCATGTTGAAATAAACAGGATTACTCAATTGTAGTGCCCAGCTCCATGCATGCTGAGAAGAGCGGAAGAAGTACATAAGCTTGAAACCTCCTCTTGATCTCACAGCGCACACAAGAGAAGTACATCTAAAGCTAATTCAGAATATACCACAGCAAAGCTGTTGGAGTGGGTGCCCAATCAACACTACTGCACTGGCTGCCAGTATGCTACCAGGCCATGATTATGGTCTTGAACAACTTGGGACCAGGTTACCTCTTGGAATAATAATAATAATAATAATAATAATAATAATAATAATTTTATTTATACCCCGCCCTCCCCAGCCAAGGCCGGGCTCAGAGCGGCTTACAAGCAATAATAAAAACAAGATGAATGATTACAACTTAAAAACAAAAATAAAATACAACATTAAAATAATGGAACATTAAAATATTAAAATGTAGCCTCATCGCAGGAGGAGAAGGAAAAGAAAAAGAAAGAGAGGGAGGGAGGGAATCAAATTGGCTCCAAGCCAAAGGCCAGGCAGAACAACTCTGTCTTACAGGCCCTGCGGAAAGAAATCAGATCCTGCAGGGCCCTGGTCTCATGAGGCAGAGCGTTCCACCAGGCCGGAGCCAGAGTTGAAAAGGCCCTGGCTCTGGTTGAAGCCAATCTAACTTCCTTAGGGCCTGGGACCACTAGGGTGTTGTTATTTATGGACCTTGAGGCTCTCCGTGGGGCATACCAGGAGAGGCGGTCCCGTAGGTACGAGGGTCCTAGGCCGTGAAGGGCTTTAAAGGTCAAAAGCAGCACCTTAAATCTGACCCTGTACTCCACCGGGAGCCAGTGCAGCTTGAAAAGCACTGGGTGAATATGCTCCCATGGCAGAGACCCCGTGAGGAGCCTCGCTGCAGCATTCTGTACCCGCTGGAGTTTCTGGGACAGCTTCAAGGGCAGCCCCGCGTAGAGCGAATTACAGTAGTCAAGCCTGGAGATGACCGTCGCATGGATCACTGTGGCCAGGTCAGGGCGGGAAAGGTAAGGGACCAACTGCTTGATGCGGCGAAGGTGGAAAAATGTCGCCTTGGCTGTTGCTGTAACTTGCGCCTCCATGGAAAGGGAGGCGTCAAGGATTACACCCAAACTCTTAACGGAAGGCAATGGCACTAATTGGGCCCCCGCAAGAGAAGGGAGTTGGTCCCTCATCCCCATGCCATCCCGACCTAGCCATAGGACCTCTGTCTTCGAAGGATTTAGTTTCAATCGGCTCCCACGAAACCATCCAGCCACAGCTTCCAAGCATCTGGTCAGTGTGTTCGGGGCCGAGTCGGTGTGGCCATCCATCAGCAGATAGAGCTGTCATCAGCATATTGGTGACAGCCCAGCCCAAAGCTCCGGATAATCTGGGCAAGGGGGCGCATAAAGATGTTAAAAAGCATCGGGGAGAGAATTGTGCCCTGCGGCACTCCACGCCACGACATTTCCCTCCCTAGTGCCACCCTCTGTCCCCGACCAGAGATAAAAGAGCACAACCAGTTACGGGCTATGCCCTGTATCCCCATGTCTGCGAGGCAGTGGTCCAGAAGATCATGATCAACCATGTCAAAGGCTGCTGACAAATCTGAAAGGATCAGCAGTCCTGACCCGCCTCGATCCAGTTGTCTACGGAGATCATCTGTTAGGGCAACCAGAGCCATCTCCGTCCCAAAACCAGGACGGAAACCGGACTGAAATGGATCTAATGCCGATGTTTCCTCCAGAAACCTACCAAGCTGTTCAGCAACCGCTCTCTCAATTACCTTACCCAGGTATGGAAGATTTGAAACTGGGTGGTAATTGGATAGGTCTAAGGGATCTAATGAAGTTTTCTTTAAGAGTGGACACACCACTGCTTCCTTCAGTTCCCCTGGGAATGTCCCGTGTCAAGGGACAAATTGATAATTTCAACCAGGGGGGTCCGCGCAACATCTGGACACTCCCTAATCAGCCAAGACGGGCACGGACCAAGGAGGCAGGTGGTGGGCCTACCAACTTGGAGGAATCTATCCACATCAGTAGGGAGTATCCAATCGAAATGGTCCAAGACTGGACCTGAAGTCAGTCGAGGGGCCTCCAGTTCAGTCACTGTATCTAAATCTGAATGCCTTGCTTTGTATACCACTGTCCAGGAACTTTGATGTTCAGGAGAGATTGTCTTATTAGTGATGTATGCTCTCGAGGTTTGTCTTAGTTATCTAGGACTATGTGTGGTGTCACCTGCCCTTCAGAGTTTGGAGTGTGCCTCAATAAACATCAGGCAGGCATCTACAGAACTAAAACTCATCTTAAAACTCCCATCTTTTCACCCATGCTTCCCCTGAGGGGTGATCCAGCTATGCTAATGGATTAATTTGATCTTCTGATTTGTGATGTATTTTGTACTTGTTTTATGAATGGAATTCTAATGTTCATTTTATGCTATTCATTGTCATGATGTTTTCTTAACATTGGTAGTACATGTTTTTGGGTTTTTTTGCAAATAAATAAGTAAAAATAAGCAACCCCCATAATCAGAATTTACTATCATTTAATTGTTTAGCTTATAAGATATCCAAGTGCTGTAAGATTTCTCATCTCAGACTGATTGGTTACTGCCAGAATTGTTTTTGCCAGGCACTGGAAGGCTGAAAACTATACCATCAATGACAGAATATCTGACAAAAGCTTTGGAGAATACGGAAATGGACAAACTGACTGATATTTCAAGGAGAAAAATGGTGCCGATGGTACTTTATATCAGTATCATTGATGGATCAGTGGGCACCATTTATTATTTACTAGAATAAACACTGTAACTATGTATATCAAAAGAAACTTGATTTTCCAAGAGGCTCAGTACAAAAATACAAATTATTTTGTCAAAAATAAAAGAAAAATATACTATTTTTTCAGATGGCTTTTCTTTATGTTGCTGACTCTGCTCCGGGAGGAGTATAAATTTCCTGGGTCAACTTGACCCTTGTATCTCAATTGTATGCTTGATGTTTTCCTGACAGCAAGTCATTTTTGCTTTATTTTAGCATTTGAGCCAGCTTTTAGTCACTGCTGGGCTAGCAACAATGTCTCAGCCAATTCAAGGAATTGTGCTATGAAGTATCAGCCCTGGAGTTTGGCTCCATTCTGCTTTCCTTCCCTGTATGCAGAAGCTTTGGAGGAGGCTATGCCATTTTCCTGGCAGATCTACTGCACGTAAGTGATTCTCCACAGCTGCAGGCATAATACCACTTTGTGGCTAGCTCCTGATCCAAAATGCTGTTGCACACTAGTGGCGCATTCTGGAAGGAAGGACTTATTTACACCGTACACACAGTTAAATTGTGGGATTTTCTACCACAAGACGCTGTGAGCGCCACCAACCTAGGTCACGCTCACACCATACATTTAAAGTGCTATTATATCACTTTAAGCAGTCATGGCTTCCCTTGAAGAATTCTGGGAACTGTAGTCTGTAAAGAGTGCTGAGAGTTGTTTGTTGTTGTTGTTTAGTCGTGTCCAACTCTTCGTGACCCCATGGACCAGAGCATGCCAGGCACTCCTGTCCTCCACTGCCTCCCGCAGTTTGGTCAAACTGAGAGTTGTTAGGAGACCTCTATTCCCCGTACAGAGCTCCTACTCCAGAGTTCCCGGTGAAGAGGGATTGACCGTTAAACTACTAAGATACAGTGGTACCTCGGGTTACATATGCTTCAGGTTACAGACTCCGCTAACCCAGAAATATTACCTCAGGTTAAGAACTTTGCTTCAGGATGAGAACAGAAATTGTGCTCCAGCGGCGTGGCAGCAGCGGGAGGCCCCATTAGCTAAAGTGGTGCTTCAGCTTAAGAACAGTTTCAGGTTAAGAACGGACCTCTGGAACGAATTAAGTACTTAACCCACTGTAATTGTATCTCTATAGGAAGCTGCCCTATATCAAGTCAGACCATTGACCCATCTAGCTAAGTATTATCTACACTAACTGCCAAGGGTTCTCCAGAGTTTCAGGCATGGGTTTCCTATCCCTACTTTGAGATGCCAGAGACTGAATCTGGGAATTTCTGCGTGCACAGCAGATGCTCTACCTCTGAGCTAAAGGTCTTCCTCTTGCTACTACTCCTACCAATTTCACTCTGATTCTTTGTCCTTTTCAAAAGAATGTTGCAGTACCTGTCATGTCAAGAATCATAGAATTGTAGAGCTGGGAAAGACCATGAGGGTCATCTAGTCCAACCCCCCTGCAGCACAGGAATCTTTTGCCCAATGTGGGGCTCAAACCCACAACCCTGAGGTCAAGAGTCATGTGTTCTACCAACTGAGCTATCCCAGAACATAACATCTTCTTTTGTGCCTTTACGTTTCTTTCTCTCTCTATAGTATTGGGGGGGAGGGGGGTTTGAACCTCCAGAAGTCATTGTACTCCATACAGCTCCCATCAGTTCCAGTCAGCATGGCCAATGTTTGGTTGTTATGGAAGTTGTAGTCTAGCAACATGCTGGGTTTCCCCTGCCTTAAAACGCTTAGACACATGCAGGGAAAAGAGCACAACAGGAAGTGGGTTTGGAAAGAAGACGCCAGAGGAGAGTGTGCTTGACCCCTTCCCTGTCCACCTCTTACCTACCTTTGACTAGCACAGCCCTCCCCGCACAAGCTACTTTGCTCCCCAAGTGGTTCCAAACATTGGTTTGCATGAAACAGGTCATTCCTAATAGGGAATGTGCTGCAAGATATACTAATTAGAACTACAGTGTATCCATTAAGTACAGTCTGAAACCGGCAGTTTTGCACAATTCAAACTTAATAAAGGCAGAGCAGAGCATGTCACATACTAAATCAGCATTTGCCAACCTGATGCCTCCCCCACCAAACATTTTGGACTACAACTCCCTTCAGACCAAATCAGCAGACTGGGGCTGACAGGCATTGTTGCCCAAAACAAGTGGTCACCAGGTTGGTAAAGGCTCTACTAACAAATAAATGCAGCATGAAAACAGCACTTTCAAACAAATAAATATAGCAGGGGTAGTGAACTTCAGCCCCAGGGGCAAAAGCAGTCCTCCTGTCATCTCTATGTGGCCCTTAGGACTCTCTCCAGACCACAGCCCCTTCTCAGCCATGCCCCCTCCTCACCAGTTCTACTTTGCATATTCATTGAGCATTTTTGCTTGACTGGAATGTGTCCTTGAGCTCTGTTAATGCCTCTTGCTTGCCTGTGTGAAGATGTGTAAAACTAGCCAGTTGTATAAAGTCATTGCTCCACCCACTTTTGCTTATGGCCCCACCCACCACCAATGGCATGTGGCACCCAGAAGGTTCCCATAAGGAGATGTGTTCCTTGGTCTTAAAAGGGTTCCCCTCCCCTGCAGTGTAGTGACAGAAAGATGTAAGCTGATTCTAAAACTAATGTGACACTGGAACTTTCCACTTTTGGAGCGCTAACTCACCAATATTTAAGATTTACACAGATCAGAACATCCCTCTCTTGCTCACATGGGCTTGTCATTTGGGGAGGAGGACAAAAGGCGGCTGGGAACAGCAAAACCTACAGCAGCAGAGAAGAGGATAAGGAGGGATTATATTTCGGGCTTAAGCATCATTTGAAGGTGGGCAGTGAAGACAGTGAAGAAGAAATCACAGAGTGATTGTGCTGGTAGAACTAACATTTTGGCCGCATTTAAATACTCTGCTCTCTCCCCCCCCCCCTCTTTTTTGACTGTTGTTGATAATAATTTACATCCAAAAATAGAAGCTCATAAAACTGAGAGGGTTGGTTGCGGGGAGCAACCTTTTGCAACCCAACACTATTAGGTGTCCAGTAGCTGGGTGAATTGCATAATGGGTCTGCTAAACACCTAACAGAAAGCAGATTTACGTTTTGCCTCCTGGAGGAATGAGTACAAAAAGGTCAAAATGCTAGTTTCTTGGGCTAAGAGGCCTATCTAATACCTTGATAGAAAGGTGGTCTGTGGTTTCTGTGTGCTTGGTGGGGAAGTGAATGTTGCTTCTGCATGCCAGGACATTGAACAGTATCCATTTATTGTGAAGGGAAGGTCACAGTGCCTTTGTATTAAAGAGGAGAGTGCAGTGGCTGCGGAGCCTTTTCAGGAAGAAAAGGGGATTCACAGGGAGTGAGAAAGAACCTGCACGGTGTGTAGAGATGCAATAAGATGAATGGTACCACTGGATGGCTGCTTGCATTTTGTGGGGGAAAGACACACACTGCTACCATACATGCGTTCAAGGCTTGATCTGTGGTTCTTTAGAACATAATGACAGAGAATGGGGCATGGAGACATAATAACTAGGAGTCATGATACGGCAAATGGGGGCTTCACAAGGCATTATCAATGGTTCTGTGCCGAGGAACACATGAAGCACTGGTGGAGGGCAAGAGAGAGCAATATGTGAATGATAAGGAGGAACAGGGTCTGGAGTGCTAAAGTGCATAGTGCCACTATCCTGGCACACAGGGAGATTGATGGAGAAGCACATTACAGATTAACCATGTGCTGTGGTTGTGTGGTCCATGCATTCCATTAACTGAGAAATGATGGAAAGATCATGGCTACTTAAGGATATGTACTCTCCAAGTCCACAGTCACTCGGCCATGCATTCCATCACCGATGCACACCACTGGTTCCTAATGAATTGAGCGGTTCTCCTGATGTCCTTCTTGCTATGCGCTCCACGAGAGAAAGAGGAGAAAGGGTAGGAAGCAGGAATATGCAAGAGAGTTAGAGGACAGCATCGTGTGAGGAAGGTGCATCAGAGAGAATAAAGCCAATAACCAGAAGTGAGGAGCGCAAGGAATGACAGAAGACAATGCTGGAATGGAAGAGGAAGACTCGGTCTGGGCAATAACAAAGAGGCAATGCAGTATTAAGCGATGTTGTGCACCCAATAAGTGACTTTGCCTAGAGATGTTACTAGGGCTGTGTGCAAAACCAAGTGTCGGTGCGTACGCTCAGGAACACGCTTGATTCCTCCAAACTGGGGGAGCGAAGGGGTCCCCAAAATCAACCGCAAGGAGAGGATATTGGTGTATTAACTCTGCACGGAGGTCTTATAAAGGGGTGCAGGGATGATGTTTTGGGGATGACAGGGCGAAAGGACGGCTTTGGCTTGGGGGACAAAGAAGGTGTGTGGCAGAGGCAAGGGAACCCAGTGAAGAAATGATAAGGGGGTCGTGCATGGTGATCCTGTGATGGGGGGCACTCCATCAGCAGGCGAGGAAGGAGGTGCATTCAGTGTTGGGGAAAGTGGGGAGGGCGCGAGCTGGGGGCGACCCGCCTGGCCGCCTTACCTCTCTCCACCAAGCTGTCGAGGTCCCTGTCGACGCCCAGGAAGTAGCATCTCCTCCAGAGGCCGGCGTAAGTGGCGAAGAGCGGGCGGCCGCAGGGCGACTGCAGCACCCCGAGCCCCACCAGGGCCCTCCAGTTCTCCGGCGGCGGGAAGTCGCCGGCGGGCGCGGGAGCCGGAGCTGCGCCTCCTCCTCCACCTCCGCCTCGAGGGAGCCGCCGCTTGGCGCCTCGCAAGGGCAAGTGCGGCAGCGGCAGGAGGCGTCGCCGCTGCTCGGGCGAGTGGGCGCTGCCGGCGCGGCTCTCGCAGCTCTCCCGGTGGCGACGGGGGTCGGTCTCGTACCAGTGGTCGCTGAAGATGGCCGTGACGAGCAGCGCCAAGGAGCACAGGCTGAGGCACAGGCTGAGCGCGCCCACCAGCCCTCGCCCCCGGCCGCCCCTCATGGCTCGCCCCGCGCGCGGGCCCCCTTCAGAGGACGCCCCGCCCGGCGTCAGAGCCCCCGCACATCGCGGCGGCGGCGGCGGCAGCAGCGCGGCCACCGGCGTCCGGGCGGGAGCATCCCCGGAGCACGCGCGCACAGCCCCGGCACGCGGCGGACTGGGCGGGCGGGCAGGCAGGCGGACTGGGCGGGGGGCGTCCGTCCCGCGCGTCTCGTCCACTCCCCGCGGGCGGGCGGGCCGAGCTGCACAAAGGACAGCGCGGGCACTTGCAGCTGCAGCCGGCGGGCGCCAGGGGGAGCAGCAGCAGCGACGCCGCTGCCGCCTGGACTGGACGGCGACGAAGTGCAAGGAGACGCGCGAAGGGGGCGGCGGTGCTGCAGCCAACGGAGAAGAGAAAGGGCGCACCTCTCTCCGCACGGCAAGGGAATGGCCTCGTAGATTTCGCACTCTGGACTTAAAGGCCGCACGGAGTGGTCATGTGCATTTCCCAACTTCTTTCCAACTGCTTTCTGCCCGGCCTGTTGTGTCTTCTAGATGAGCCATTGGCTTGATCCAGCTAGACTCTTCTTCTTGTGTTCTTATGAAAGAATGAACTCGGCTTCACTCTCTTTAGTCTTTTAGAGAAGTAAAGGTAAAGGGACCCCTGACAATTAGGTCCAGTCGCGAACGACTTTGGGGTTGCGGTGCTCATCTCGCTTTACTGGCCGAGGGAGCCGGCGTACAGCTTCCGGGTCATGTGGCCAGCATGACTAAGCCGCTTCTGGCAAACCAGAGCAGTGCATGGAAACGCCGTTTACCTTCCCACCGGAGCAGTACCTATTTATCTACTTGCACTTCGACATGCTTTCGAACTGCTAGGTTGGCAGGAGTAGGGACTGAGCAACAGGAGCTCACCCTGTCACGGGGATTCGAACCACCGACCTTCTGATCGGCAAGTCCTAGGTTCTGTGGTTTAACCCACAGCACCACCCGTGTCCCATGCTTTTAGATAAAGAAAAGCCAAAAACCACAAAAGAGTTATACAGGAGCAACTAAAACAACAAGCAAACCTTAAAGTTGTGTACCTCAACACCATGGTGGCTGGTGCCAATTGGGACTGTCAGGGCAGAAGGCAGGGAGGCCAGCAGCAGGTGGCGCCAGAGGCAATGACAGACAGAGCCAACTAATCCTAGTTCTGTCCCCATTCTTCTCCTCCCTGCTGAATTATACAAGGGCAACAGTGGAGGAAGAAGCTGCCAGGCAAGGTCACCCTCTGGAATGATAGGAGGCAGGTAGCTGGGGACCGACTGAGGGCAGACAGAAACTGTTCGAGCAGGCCCCATTTACCCTTTTTGGAGCAACTTCCACTTTCCACATTGTGAGAACTCCTGCCCAATAATAACAATACTGTAAGTTATTTACGGTATACCCTGCCCATCTGGCTGGGTGGCTCCCAACAGAATATTAAAAGCACAATAAAACATTGAACTATAATAATAGTTAATGTTAAAATGATAAACTATTATAAGCAACAGAAGTAGATAAAAGCATGTGCTATAATGCAGCAAGAGGGGGAAAACAAGGCCATAATGTGGAGGACGGGTGGGAAGTCAACTTTTTAAATTGTACTGCATTAAATTTGAATTGATTTGAATTAATCTGTTAATTTTTTTGAAAATCAATAAAAATTAACTGGCCAAAACAAAAACAAAAAAACAGTTCACCTAAGTCACCAAGGCAATAAGGGATATGCAGCAAAAGCACAAATTACATCAAAAGACTATATTAAGCAAAGTACATTCACTAATATAGGCAGGACCAAAGTATTGGATATATACATAAAGAAGCACAGAAGCTTAAGTGCAGCAATGCAGCATTAATGGAGCAAAAATGCAGCTCCAGTATTTTAATTTTTTTTCATAGCAGGCGTGATGATGTTATCTACTGGAACAGTACTTGCCAGTGAAGCTAAGCTTGGGAAATTGGAGGACAGGTCTGATTTGGCACATGCTCCCTCTGCTGTGTAGGTTGGCTCAAATAGTGACTGGCCCAATGTCACATAGTGAACTTCATGGCTGATTAGGTATATTAACCCAGGTCTCTCCAGGTAAAGCTCATAATGATAACCACTACATCAGCCTTCGCCAAAACATGATTGTATTATTGTCAACTGACTTGCTGCTCTTTGGGGATATACTGTATAATGGATCAACACACCCACCTTCATTTTTGAACTTTCTTTGGGAGTTTGGCAATAGACTGTCCATGGAAGCTATCATAATAAATACCTGCACTTCAACATTTACCACTGCCCCAACCTGGTGTTCGCCATATATCTCAAAATACAACTCCCATCAGGCCATAACTGGCTGGGGCTCATGGGAGCTACAGTTTGAGATATATGGAGAAGACCAGGTTGGTGCAGTGTTGCTTTGAGCTACAAAAAGTAACACACACACACAAGGCCAGCCCAATACATTTTGGCACATAAGGCAGACCCAAGGATAGTGTCCCCCTCCCCACTAGGGAAGAAGGGGGTGCCAAGTGAGGGAGGATCTGTCAGGAGCTCGTCCTACACTTGAGTAGGACCTTGGCAGAGACACATGCCCGACTGGCATGTTCTCTTTTTTAAAAAAATAATATTTATTACTTTTATAGATTACAAAAAGAGAGAAAAAAGCAAAAAACAGAAAAAACAGAAGAAAGAACAAAGGAGAAAAACACAATACAATACAATATATAAACAATACAAAACACAACCTAAACTCAAAACTAAACCCATTAAACTGAACTAAACAAACCCCACTCCCAAAACAAAAACAATTTAAAAAACATACATCATCTCTTTTCCATACTCTATCTTTCGTTCCCTTGTTTCCTCGACCTCCTCACACCTCCCTTTTTGTGTTCCACTTCTATTAATTGTTTCAGCAAATCCTTTCCATCTTTCTCCATTTTCTGTGATATTGTAAATAACGTATTATTTTAACCTTATTTTCCATTAAAACTAAATTACTTATATGTGCTTAACTCCTTATAACATTTCTGTTAAGCCCATAAATTAAAAAAAAAAAATCATTCCACCATTTTTCTATCACTCATTAGTTTTACCATAAGTCTATATCTAAACTTTAAATTTTCCAATCTTCTTCCACCATCTCCTCTCCCAGGTTTCAGATTCTGCCAGTCCTTTCCGTCAATTCCATAAAGTCCATCAACCTGGTGATCTTATGTCCGAGGCTCTTAACTCTTTTCCAAGTCCCTTCTGCAGGTCTTCTTCATTTTCTTTAATGCTAAATAGCCAATCTCGGGGAAATTCCAACCTGTCAATCCTTTTCTTCCTTCTGAACAGATCAGCTGAATTTCCATAGTTAAAACTACAGTCCATAAAGTATTTCCGGGTATATTTCAAGATTCCTCCAATTCCAAAGGCCCCCAAAACTTCAATCTCCTCCAGGCCTGAGTCCATGTCCCAAAAGTCAGTTAGTCCCTGCATAGAGGGCTCTTTCCAACTTTCCTTCTTTAATCCAAACCGGGATCCATTCCTCGGAGTCTGGCTTTTCCTAGATTCAATCATAGAAGGCCTCAATTTATAATCTCCAATTTGCTTCTGTAAATCCCCAGATCTCACTTGTATTATTTTATGTTCAACAACAGCTGCATTCTCCTTCTCCTCCTTCTCCTCCACCATTTGTCCTGCCAAAGTGGGTTCCTGTACCAAGTCCTGAATTATTTCTATGTTAGTGTTCGCTTTTTGACTCAAGTTGGTCACTTTCTGTTCCAAATTATCAACTTTAAGAGTCATATCATCCATCTTCTTGTGAAGCTGTCCCAGCGAACAGCTTATCTTACATAAAACAGTCACAATGGCCTCTCCTGTCAACATTTTGAAATAGTCCAAGGTCGCTCTCTGGTTCCCAAACTTTTCTGCAGCTGGAAATCCCCCAGTTACAGTCCTGTTACAGTTTCAAAAGCTCCCTCTAGAGGGAAACAGTCTTCACTTGTATCAGTTCTTTCAAGAACAATTTCAAACATTAAAGATAAAATTTCAGTTACTTTTCCTCTTTTTAAAAAAAAAAAACGCAGAAAGGGACAATGGAAACAGTATCTTACTCTTGTTTAGCTAGCTGTCAAATCCTTTCTGTCAAAAGCACTCTCTCCAAACGTCATCTGGCAGCCCGTTCCCAGGTTCAGAGCAGTGGTAATTTGATTTTTTCACTCTCTCCTGCAGGCTCACTAGATCCAAAAAATTTTCCCCTCTTCTTCTGCTTCCAAGGGGGGTTTTGTATTTTTAAACCGGTGGAAATTTGATCCTTTGCCAAAAGCTTTCAAAGGCTTTACTTGTAACGTCTTTGCTTCAGTCTATTTACAAAAACGGGAGGCGGACTTCCTGTTTATAACCTTCCCGTTTCAGTGCCAAATTGAAGTATTTAAAAATCCAATTTTCCGTTTTACTCACGAGTAGTTGTTTAAAATCCAATTGTCCACAGGAAAAATCAGTGCTCTCCGGCAACAGCAATGCGGCTTCACTCCGTGAAAGAAGCAGTCGATTCAAAGCACCGCACCACTCACCCCACGTCGCTCCGGATCCCCAAAACAGGGTTTCCCCGCGAGTAGGGGAGGCGCAAAGGTGCCAGCCGAATCCCACGTCCACAGGCTTCTCCTGCCTGTGGTTTTTAATGGGTCTCCGCCTCGCCGTGGCGGTTCAGACCCTGTTTTTCACGGAGCGGGTTCCTCCCGATCGGAGGAAATCCGCCATTGCCAGAGGCGCCAACCCGGAAGTTCCCCGACCGGCATGTTCTCTCCCTCCTGGTCGATCGTTCAGGAGCTTCAAAAGCTTTCTTCTGCCCGAACATCATAGTGACCGATGCCAACAGACATTGGCACACTTAGGAATCTGCAGAGTGTTCGCAGTTTGCGTAACAGACCTCAGCAACTTCAGCATTTGGGCTAATCTACTTTATTTACACACACGGAGCACTGCAACATGGCTCACTCTCTCTCTAGCGTCAGACATCGAAGAGAAAGAACAAACAACAATAGTCCCACTTCAACACAGTAACACAAACATCCTGTCTCCGTTACTTCCCACTCTTGGAGTCAAAACATACACTGTCATGTGAAAGACAACAATCCCATGACTGCAATCATGGAGCTGGAATTCTAACAGGATCTACATCAGGAACAAAGGTAAACAGCTAAAGGAGATAGCCAAAGGACTGTCACATGTAGGATGGAGCAAACTTGCTTTCCCCCCTCCTGCTCCAAAAGGTAGGACCCAAACCAATGGCTTCAAGCAACAAGAAAGGAGATTCTGACTAAACACCAGAAATAATTTCCTGACAGTAAGAGTTGTTTGACAGTGGAACAGACTCCCACTAGAGGTGGTGGACTCTCCTCCCTTGGAGGTTTTTAAGCAGAGGTTGAATGGTGATTTGTCATGTGTGAGGTGGCTGAGATTTCTGCATTGCAGTGGGTTGGACTAGATGGCCCTCAGGGTTCCTTCCGACTTTACGATTCTATAAAAGATTGACATTGGGATCTGCTGCCCCCGTGGATCTGGCTGCCTGAAGCGGTTGCCTCACCTGCCTCATGAGTGGGCCGGCCGTGCATACACATACGGGGGGGGGAGCGGTCATTTATTGGTTTGTTTTGCTTTTGTGCTTGTTTTTATTACGTATTTTTATTCTCTGTAAGAACTTACCTGGACCCTGAGATCATCCTCTGAGGCCCTTCTTCATGTGCCTCCTCCAGGAGAAGTTCAGAGAGTGGCAAATCGTGAACGGGCCTTTTCTTCAGTGGCTCCCCGTTTGTGGAATGCTCTCCTCAGGGAGGCTCGCCCAAGCGCCTTCATTATACACCTTTATCCGCCAGGCAAAAACGTTCCTCTTCAACCAGGCCTTGGGCTGATTTGACATCTGATGCCCTTTTAAATGTGCTGTGGGAGGGGGGGAATTTATTGGTTTGCCGTTGTTCTTATAATTATTATGTATTTTGTGGTTTTTTTTATCTTGTGATTTTATGTTGCGAATCGCCCCAAGATCTAAGGATGAAGGGTGGCTTACAAATTTAATAAATGATAATGATATTCTGCATCTTTATGCTGTGGACCACCCTGAGAGCATCGCATGAAGGGCGGCGTACAGATTTAATTAATAATAATAATACTGTAATAACATCACATTGAAGCCAGAATCAAGCTAAAACAGAGCAAAACCTGCAAAGCAATAAATACCTGCTGAAACTCTCCCTGCCTGCACAACTGCGTCCTCTTGCCACCTTCCCGAATGGAGGCAGAAGCCTAACTGCCTCTCCCCGCAAGCTCAAGCTCGCACTGTGGCGTGCAGCCGTTAACAGCTGCCGTTAGCTAAGCTCCGCCCCTCGAGCGTGCTGGGCGGGGCCGCGAGCCTGTCCGGCTCCTCCTCCTCCTTCTCCTGGGCTCCTCCCTCTCGCAAGCAATACGCCGGGCTGCTGAGGGGACCTGCGCGCGTGCGCAGACGGCGGCTCCGGGCGCCATGTTGCCTGAGCAGGCAGGGGGGAGGCGTCGTCGTTGGCGGCGGTGATCGCTCCGGGTCTTCTTCTTTCCCTCTTCCTCCTCCTCCCCCCCCTCGACGTCGTCCACCTGCTGGCCCTCCTCCCGCCCGCCCCCTCCTCTCCGTCGCCGCGCACCTCGCCCTCCCCCCCGGTGGCTGCCGCTGCTGCGTCGGAGCGGGGCGAGGGGGCCGCTCCCTGCTCCCGGGGGCGGCGCACCATGAGCGCCGGCGGGGGGCGGGTGTGCGACCTGTCCCGCAGGAACCCCCAGGAGGACTTCGAGCTCATCCAGCGCATCGGCAGCGGCACCTACGGCGACGTCTACAAGGTACCCGCCTTCTCCGGGGCATCCCGCAGAGCCCCTTTCTCCGCGCCCCCTTGCAAAAGCTGACCCTTCCCCCTCCCCCTTTCCACTTTCTTTGGGGGGTGTCTTTTAGCAGGACCCCCTTCCTGTCTTTGATGGTTGCTTGGCCTGCCCGGCCCCGTACCCGTGTCTCAGCAGCCCCTCTCCCAAATCCACACATATCCCAGTGTCAACTTCACCCCCGTTATTCTTCCCCTTTGATGTACATCCCATTATTCCCGGATCTGGGTCTCTCCCTCCCTTGTGGGTGGAATTGGGGACATCACTTTCCCACTTTGCTCCCTCCTGGCTCTTTTGGGGGTGCCTTGGAGGTTTGGGAGGGGGGGTGTCACCTGCAACCACAGATTTCCTTCTCTCTGACTTGTCATTGTGACACCAGCATACCTCTCCTGCTGCAGTCCCAGTGCACCATCTATTTTTATTTATTTATTGCATTCTGAAAGATCATACCTTAAGAGTGTTTCCTATACAGTCACTTGGCATCCTGAGTAAATAATACAGACCCCCCCCTTCTTCCTCCTCCCCCAACATGGGAGGATCATGGTGGCTGCAGGGCGAAAAGAAGTTGGTTGTTATGTGGGGTGGTAGGAGGTGGTGGGTCACCCTATGTCAACACAGGCCTTGTCCGTATGTCATGCCCTCCCAGCCCACTACCCTATTCCTCAGATGCTCAGCTCTTGTCAATAGAGGCCAGTTTTCACCCACAACCTGACAGCCATGTTTCCCATTCCTGGAGGCCATTCTCAGTCTTACCAGCCAGGTTTGTCAGTACAAACCTGGCTTTGAATGACCCACCCCAGCTAGTTCAATCCTCAGGGCCTCTGGCCAAGAAATCCCTCCTAAGACCTGTGATCTTTTGATCTATTGATCTCTTCCCCCTGGTCTCTCAACTAATTGGCATGTTTCTTTTTTTACTTCAGGCCCACAATCCTGACTTTAGGGGCTTGTCGCCCAAGTCTTCCAGCTGCCCCTGAGGCTAAGAGACAGGAGTCCCATTTCCTTTTGGGCTTAAAGCGTTTTCTTTCTTGCTAGGAGCTGTCAGTTGGTTATCAGAAGCAGAGTTTCCTGAGAGCAAGCTCTCTCACTCCCAGGAATGAAGTCTAGGCTGTTGACGCTTGCATTTAGGAGGTGATGGACTCTTGATAGTGGGAGCTTTAGTCCGAGATTCCTGCCAGGCTCATGTTTTGGAGAGGCCTGGTCCCAAGCAGAAGGTGCTCTTCAGCATTCCTGGTGAACAAGGCACAGCTTCAGACACAGCCATGTTCTGAGATAGAAGGAATATCACAGAGTCATGGTTAACTCCATGTAAAACAAACCGCTTGCCCTGCCTTTCATCAACACCTCACTTTGACAGAGTCCCTAGGGCTTGTTCATAGTAATGTTCTAACATGCCTTTTAATCCAAGTTGTAGTGATACTCTGCTAGAATGCATGATTTACTGAGAACAACTTGTTTTACAATCCAGTGTTGCCTGTCTTTCAGTTTTCTTGCTTCTCCAAGTAATGAAGAATAAGGGAAGGTGTGTGATAAAGAGAGCCAGGATCATTTCGAATTCTTAGTAAAACAAAACAAACCACCACTATAGTCCCAAACTAGAGAGGCATGTAGACACCCTTGACTTTTAAAACCCTGCTTGGAGTGTGGCATGAGGAGAAGTGGGTTTAGATCACTCAGGAGAGCTTTGAAAAAGCCCATGAATGTTATTTTGAATTTGGAATGCCCTGAGGAGTGAGTGTACCAGGCTACATAGTCTAGAGGTGGGCCAGATGAATGGAGGCAGGTCTCTACCAAAAATCTGGTTGTGGAGACTGCGTCTAGAAATTAAGGGTTGAATTTAACTAACTAGTCCTCTCCCTAGGTGCCTCTCAAACGTTCCCCCATTGGCTCAGGGTGTGTCAGGAGGACCATCCCTCCAAGAACAGAAAATAGGGGGGTTGGGGAAAGATCATTCATTGGAGCAAGCAGAAATACTTTTGCTGATGGAATGTTGACTTCCTCCATGTATGGTAAATCAGTTTTTAGGATGCAGTTCTTTGCACATTTGCCTGGAAATAAGCTCCACAGAGCACTGTGGAATGCACTTGTGAGGAAATGTCACACAATTGGGCTGTTACTCTCAATGTCTTGTTGCAAACTTAATATTTAAAATATTAACTTGAATATTTTAATGTCTTTTTTTATAAGAGACAGTTCTAAGAAAAGACCAATCAGTCTGAAGGTAGTAGGTCAGATTAGCGGTCACATGGGCCTCTAGTTGCCACAGATAGATTGCGGGACTAAGATTTGATAGGACGTAGGTTCAACTCACATTGCAGTTATACCTTCTTTGTGTGCCCTGGGAGGTTTGTTATCTATAAGGATGCTGCTGCTACCTCTCAGGGTTGCAGTTAATGCAGTGGTGTGGGTTTGAGGCTGAACTAAGAACATAGTGCAAAGCACTTAGGGGACAGTAAAAAGTAAATAACAGATGGAGGGAGCTGGTCAATTTAAATTAAACATTGAGGAAACTTATGTGATCAGAACTTCAGAGTAGCAGAACTATTTCTAACTCTTCCAGTCATACAAATGGAAGAAACGTATGATGGAAGCTACACTTTGCATCCCCCTGTACATAAATTACATTATGTATATGAAAATAATTACAATTTTTAAAAATCTGAGCTATTGCTAGCCTGAATTCCAAAGTCGTCCTTGTTTAGTTGACACAAAGATCTTGTTTAGTTGACACTTCAGTTTTTGTAACTATTAAGTTAAGCACTTGTGAATAATCAAGTTTTTGCATATTCTGTTAAAATGGAAATAATATTGCACAAATATATATATATATATATACACACACACACATATGCTGATACAGAAAATACTTAAATGCTGAAAAGCCACAAACTGCTTGGTTACAATATAACAACATATGTCTTACAAAGAATGTTGGCATAATATGTTAGTGCAAGAAAACCAGGAAGTGCATGTTTAGGTTAATAATATTCAGATGCCTTTTAAGTTTGATTTCCATATACATGCCATGAGGATGTCAAACAAGGTTGTGCAATCTGGAGTAGTTAAAGAGCCACTTTATAAACTTTCCTTAATCAAAGCATTCTGTAGTTAATAGAACATTTGCTGTTGGCAGGGGTTCACATCTCAGGTTGTCAGTGGCAAACAGAAATGTAATTCTGGCAACCAGCAGGAAATACTTCCAATACACTCCAGTGTGGGAGTCACAGATTTCTTTAAAGTTGCTGGCAGCACAGGAAGGCAGAGAATGCATTTTTCAAATGTTGCCAGGATGCATCCTGTGCTGAGATGGGGTCTTAAGTTCGAAGGAAAGAGTTGTTGTGCCCACATACACATGTATGCATATACACACAAGCACAGTTTCTGTCATTTTCTTTTTAAAAAACCCAAAACATCTTGATAGGTAGTGATCATTTATGCATCTGATTTTGGGCAAAGATTTTTGTTTCGAATCTGTGAAAATCTTTGCTTATTTGGGCCATTTCCCACATGATGCAGATGCAAACTCAGGTTTGTTGTATACACCCAAAATGCAGCTGCAGCTGCAAATGCATCAGTATGACACGTGATGAATTTGCAAAATATTTTGCTGATCACATCCACTCAACTTTGACGTTATGTTGAGCTTGATCTTGGGTGCTAACTGAGACAGTCAGTTATTCAATTTTGATGGGTGAATTGCGTTGTGTTGAGTCTAGAGGCGAACAAGTTGCTTTGCAGAATGAGACCAACCACTTGTTTGTTACATTCTTGTCCATCCTAGTTAGCTAAAGCTGCCAGCAAGGCCTGCCTTCCCAGTTAGATGGTGGAGATTGTATGCTGCTTTGGAGACGGCTTTTAAGGAAGCTGTCCTGACCACAGGCTAAAGAAAAACATAACTGGATCTCATCATCCTCAATAATTACCGTATTTTTTGCTCTATAAGACTCACTTTTCCCCTCCTAAATAGTAAGGGGAAATGTGTGTGCGTCTTATGGAGCGAATGCAGGCTGCACATCTATCCCAGAAGCCAGAACAGCAAGAGGGATTGCTGCTTTCACTGCACAGCGATCCCTCTTGCTGTTCTGGCTTCTGAGATTCAGAATATTTTTTTTCTTGTTTTCCTCCTCCAAAAACTAGGTGTGTCTTATGTTCTGGTGCGTCTTATACAGCGAAAAATATGGTATTCATTTTCCAGAATTGCTTTCTTGAGGAAGGGCCTAGCCAAAACAATAGAAATTCAATTATAGGCTTTCTTGGTTGAAGTTTGTTATTTGGATCCTTTCCAACCTGAGTTCAGAAACTGTCTTTTTGGATAGCAAACACCAGGAGCTAGACAGGAGGAGCGTGTCCCTGGTGATTCTGCTGGTTGGTTGATTCAATCAATCATGGTATCTTCCCAGAGCTTTGGGCTGATATGAGATTTAGCAGCTCTGTTTTACAGTAGTTCAAACCTAAGTGTTTGATCCCTCTCAGAAGGTGGTGCTGGGAAACTCCTGCTCAGCCCATTTGTCTATGGGGTTCCTCAGGGCTGTGTTTTGTTCTCTTTGTTTTTTGATATTTATTGTATGTGAGGCCACTTAGGGGAGGTCATATGGAGTCTGGGGTTGGGTCTTCTCATGATACTCAGCTCGCTCTCTCTCTCTTTCAACTGATGCCAAAGAGTTGAAACTGGACCCAGCAATGGATTGAACGTGGGCTAACAAGAAGAGATTCAATCTAGATAAGTTGGAAGTACTGTTAGTCAGTACACAAGCTAAACTCGGTTGGGGAATACAGCCTGCTTTGCATAGGGTTGCCCTATCTCTGAAGGATTAAGTTTGCAGTTTGGGAGTGCTTCTGAACCCAGAACTGCTCCTGGAAGATTAGGTTGGGGAAGGGCTGTAGACCAGTAGTAGAGTATCTACTTTGCATGCAAAAGGTTACAGGTTCATTCCCCAGCATCTTCAGGTAAGACTGGGAGAGACTCACACCTGAAACTCTGGAGAGCAACTTCTAGTTGGTATAGACTATGAGTGGGGAATATCAGGCCTGCGGACCAAATATGATCCTCAGTTCATTCTGTCTGGCCCTTGGAGCCATCCCTCTCACCAGCCATGTTTTATAACTGAGGCATTTTTGCCTGGCTGGAATGTGTCATTGAACTCTGATAATGTCTCTTGCTTATTTGGATGAAGGATGCAGAGGAGTGTATGAGTGTGTGTACAAACTAGTAGACTGCATTACGGCAAAATTTACATTAGTTGATTTGCCTACTGGCAGGCAGCCCTCAGAAGGTTGCCCAGGAGGGAATGAGGCTGAAAAGGGTTCCCTGCTCCTATTATTCAGGTTGTCCATTGGCTTCCAGTTTGTTGCTGGGCATAATTTAAGATACTGATTCTTTTATATAAAGCAGGAGTAGGGAACCTGTGACCTTCCAGGTGCTGATGGACTACAACTCCCATCATCCCTAGCCACGCTGACTGTGGCTATTGGCAGTTGGAGTCCAAGAACCTCTGGAGGGCCACAAGTTCCTCATTCTTGCTATAAAGTCCTAAACCAAGCAAAGTCCATTTCGGGGGTCTAATCCAGCCCGTTGGTTGGTTTAATCCGGCCCCTGTGGCAGTCCTATTTATTTTGTTTCAACTTCAATCCTAAAAAAATGCCAACAACTTTTGTCAGCCCCCATGGCCCTTCACTTCATCAAATCTGGCCCTCTTTGAAAAAAGCTTGGACACCACTGCCCTAAACAGTTTGTGGCTGGGTTTCATAAAGAGCAGCTTGCCCCAATATGAGTTTGCCCAGAGTTTTAAGATCTGCTTCAGAGACCTTGCTGTATTTCCCATCAGCGAGAGAGGTTAGGTTGGTGTAAACATAGGGGATGGTGGAAACTCCAGCTGCAGAACTGTTCAGTCTAAGGCAGCTGTTTCAAATCTTTTGCTTTTGTGTGCCACTGTTTTGGTATATTTTGAATAAATTTAATTCAGCTCTATTTTTAAAAATGATTTTTATTGGCTTGGAATCTGTAGATATAGATTTAGATATAGATTTAGATATAAATACAGATACAGATACACACACAAAGAAAGAGAGAGTTTTTACATTGCAAGTTGCATTTGATGCCCTGATTGGGATAAAATTAATTTATGAAATGGCCCTTATTTTAAGGAGTTTCATCTTGGAATTTGGTGTAAATTAATGATAAACACATTTATGTGTAACTTAATCATAGAAAATGAAAACAATATAAAATTCAGCTTTTGTATAAAAACTGTTCAGAACATCAAAAGATTCAGATACCTGACATTCAGATACACTGCAGGGATAGAATTGAAAAAACAAAATATTATTACATCTGACATAGATCCTATGTCTTTGGAAGGGGTTCTTTCTCTGAGACAAGGCTTTTGAAATAGACTTGCCATTGATGGACACATTGTGGGTTCAATTGCAATGGGAGCCCAGAATCCTCATTTTTACTCTCATTCTAAAAGGCTGCAAATAGTGTATTAAAACAGACAGTGTTAGTTCAGATTACAAGATCAAACACAGGTGTTTTCCCCTACTGCAAGCTGATTTATGGCAGTCATCTCAGAATATAGATGCATTTGGTGCTGGAACATAAGAAATGTCAGTACAATTTGGCAGACGTGATTTTTGAGATTAGTAACACTTATGTTGGCTCATCATCCCTGTGTATGTTGGATCCTTTCCATAATGGTTTTTCATATGAATCCGCACTGTGAAATAAGTGCAAGTATCTTAGTAATGGAGAAAATTCCTAGATATTCATATTTCTTCTTTACTTTCTTAACTGGAAGTTGCCATTCTTGATCTCATGGACAGAAGTATTCTAGGAATGGATTTTAAGGGTCCTACATTTTAACAGTAGTTTCCAAAATTCAGGATCTCACTCCTCACATAAGAGAACAGGAATTAGTGTTTTGGTAGACCATATTGTTTGTTAGTTTCTATTTATTTATTTCATAAAATTTATACACTGCCTTAGGGATGTTGGTTTTGTACTGCTGAGCCTTGGGACTCAGATTGTTAAAGAAAAAGTGATTTCTATGCATTGTATTTGTGAGAGAACATTGTGCCAACAGATGGCAACGTGGAGTTCTGTTTTTCTTTACCTGTTTTCCCTGTTTAAATTTCCAACTCTTTAAACTGAAATGCTTCTTTGATGTGTCTAGATCCAGCCTTGGATTTTCTTCATTAGCCTATTTGAGCATTGTGGCATTATGTGATCATATTGATTAATGGACCTAACCGATTTTCAAGAGACCATAGTTACAGATTATTGGTTATTCAGCTTTTCACTTGTTAGCACTTAATATAAAGTGATGACTACTTATTGGCTTAGTCTGTTGGGACCAGCTATGGTAATTGGTTAGAAAATATGGCAAAGACAACCACTCACTACCTACAGAATGAACCACTATGCAAAGATTGTATGGGGTACCTTGGTTTATGGTAGAGCGGGGGGTTGCTGCTTGATATTTTATTAAAACTTCACTGTCCATTGGCATGCTTAAGGCGTCTAACAAGATTGCAGTTACACAAAACAATTACAATGCAGAATTCTAAGTTTCAGTGGAAAATTATTCTTGATAGAAACTTGTAGAGCTGGATTTGGACCTTCCTTTAGCTTCTGGCAGTTGAAGGACTTTCAGTGCTAGAGCAAATATGATCCACGAGGGCTGGCTTTGGCCTCTAAATCTGCCTTCTAAGGTAGCAGCAGTGATTGTTAAAGCAAGTGAAGCAATGAGTTTGACTCATCCGCTGCCTTTACTCTTTCTCTTTGTTCGCTAGTCCAGTTTACAGTGAAACTCTGCAACATCCCATCTCCATGCAGCTCTCTTAAAGGAAGAAGAGACTTACTACTTTCAGTTCACCAAAACAAAAGTCACTCTAGAAACATGACAACTCATCAAATAGTTTCCTGGAATTACTGCTAATATAATATATGGCAGTTTATAAGAAGAACTTACAAACAGTAGTCAGGGCAGAATTTACAAGGCTACTGTGTTTTGGTAGAAGCAGGACCCTAACTTCCACCTGGGTCCCTTCTCATTCCCCCTTCAGTAATACACCGTATTGAAAGTGCAACATGACTGATAAGGGTATGTGGGAAAATACTGATTGGCAACATCTAACGATGCCCACCCACTTGCGTGTTGGGACATCCCCAATCTGTTCTCCCCTGATGCCCAAGAAATCTGCTCTAGAGTCTCCTAACTCAGAGCAAATTCCTAAGCATGTTTACTCAGAAGTAAGGCCCAGTGACTTTGAAGTGATTTATTCTCAGTAAGTTCAAGTAACTGCCCATTTACGCCCATTCAATATGCACGTGGCTACACAAACTGAAGGGATGCGGGTGGTGCTATGGGTTAAACCACAGAGCCTAGGACTTGCCGATCAGAAGGTCGCCGGTTCGAATCCTCGCGACGAGGTGAGCTCCCGTTGCTCGGTCCCTGCTCCTGCCAACCTAGCAGTTTGAAAGCACATCAAAGTGCAAGTAGATAAATAGGTACCGCTCCGGATAGGAAGGTAAACGGCGTTTCCATGCGCTGCTCTGGTTTGCCAGAAGTGGCTCAGTCATACTGGCCACATGACCTGGAAGCTGTACGCCAGCTCCCTCGGCCAATAAAGCGAGACGAGCGCCGCAACCCCAGAGTCGGTCACGACTGGACCTAATGGTCAGGGGTCCCTTCACCTTTACACACGCTGAACCGTGAAGTGACCTAAAATGTCACAAAGGGGTTGGAACAGGACGGGGGATGGAAGGACGGACAGAGTGTTTGCAGGCTTTTCCAATGGTGTTTCAAATATACACGATTTCACTGACACACACTGTTCCTCTGAACATAACCCCCATGTAAACAGGTTGCCTGTATGTTTAGAATTGCAGACTTGTTGTCATAGAATAATAGAATTTCCATCCCCTCCTGCCCGACTCACCTACTGCAGCCTTCTGTATAATATCCAGTTCTGTTCTGGAGTGCCCCAACCCCTCAAGAGCAACTAGCTTTTCAATTGGTACGAGGAGCTGGATGGGATGCCCTTCCTGGTATGAGCAGTAGTGCTTTATCACTAGCGCAAAGCCTCCACCGGATACAACCGGGTGACTTTATCACAAACTTGAGTAGCATTAGGTTGTTTTATAATGCAAATTGGACTGCTAGTGTGGTATGAATAATTAAGGCACATTGATATTTATAGACAGTCTTTTCCCCCACCCTCGAAGGTCTCTAGATAGCCTATTGCATGCTTTTAATAATAACAAAATATCATATATATGGGAGTGAAGATTCCCTCTTGACTGTTTAACTATGATTTTAAATTTGCCCTTCCACCCACCAGAACTTTGAAGGTGGCTCAGTTAAAAGTTGAGTGTCCAGATTTTAAGTGCTTTAGTAGCACTGCTTGTTTTCTTAGTTCTAATATCCTTTGGTTGTATTTTTTAATAGGCTCGGAATGTTAACACAAGTGAACTGGCAGCGATTAAAGTAATAAAATTAGAACCAGGTAAGCTTTTCATTTTTTTTCTACCTTGTAGTTCTATTTCCATTTATTCTTTTTGTGTGTCCCCCATCTTCTTCTTTTGGTGTGTGTCTTGTTTTTAAAAAAGGTGTCTGACTGACCCATGGCACCTGAATAACTATTGCTAGCAATTAATTTCCCCAAAGAATAACTGTAATCTTATCAGAGCGCTTTTTAACAGTCTTTGGTTAAGATAATATCCAATTGGGGCAACCCACTTGTACAAGGGACTTCCACTTGCACAGTCAGGATTTGCCTTTACTCCCTTCTCCTGTGTGCCCCCCAAACCTGCTCTGGATGGTTGGGGAGTCTGCAGTCGCACCAAAATGTGTTAGGTTGGTGCCACAGTTCTAAGGCCCTGCTGTGCACACTCTTTGTTCTCAATGAGTAAAGAGTTGAAAGGCTGGCAGAAAAAAATTAACGAATTCCCGCCCCCCACAAATATAAGTGAATAAAATATGTTACTGTTTATCAGTTCCTGACCTTTCCTATCTTAACCTAAGATAGTATAGAATTCTTTATTCCAAGTATAGGGGGGAGAAATACTGGAAAAACCAAAGTAATATAACAGCTTTCTGCTGTCTGCTGGCAAAAATGGCAAAAAAGAGCAACATTCACTAGCATTTTTCTGCCTTGTATGCTGGTAAGGCTTACTGTACAGTCACACCACCCTGAAATTCTGTGTTCTTATTTAAAGAAGATGATCTAAGCAGGGAAGTGGCTATAGGTAACACTTTGGCCGTATTTCAAGGACCTTTGTAAGTTACAGAACACCTAGAAACCAACACAGCCGGGTGCAAAGGAAAGAGTAAAGGGATAAACTTCCCTCTACAGAGAAGTCTGTGCCAAGTCAAACATACAAGGAGGTTGCAGACTTTGCGAACATAACTAGCAGTGAGTATTCCTGTGTGTATCTGCGCCTCCTGGAATCAAAGCGGTGCATATTCTTGTAGAAAATCGCTTTTTGATTTAAAAACCCAGATATTCCGAGTGCTTAATGGCTTGGAGAAAAGCTTGAGAAACGTGTGAATGGTGCCTGGTTAAAACATGACAACTGTGAGTGGATTTTTGCAAGGCTTCTAACGATCACAAATGTGACACTTTGGTGATCAGAACAGCTGCCATTCACTGGGCTCTGTTCTTTTGTCATTCCCAATATGCCCACACACATATATTCCGCATTTATCCTTGCCAGAAACTCCATACCCTTTGAAAAGCTGACGCTTGAAAGCAAAATGAGCTGTGCCCTGTAGCTGTGCACATGCAAATTAGCCTGACTTGCTAATAAGTCACTTGCCCTAGTCATGCTTGGTGGTGTCCATGCAATTTTTCCTGCATATAAATAATACCCATGCAGGAAAGTGTTGGCATGTATAGCAGGACTGAAGAAGGAACTAGACCTGGTATTCAGCATAGATCTATTGCCGAAACAGAAACCCCATGTGCATATACGTAAACTGTAGGCAGATTATCTCTGGTGTTTCTCCAGCAGCAGCATCTACTGCTCTGGGGCAGAGAGACCTTCCTGTGCTGTGATGTCAGCATGTCATGCAAATCTGCCTTAAATATTAAGGGCAGTAAGAAGGGAATTCAGCCTAGGGCAGGGCATTTAAGCAAACCCTTTGGATTGCAGCAACACTGCAAATTAGGTTAGGCCATGAGAAAGTGACTGACCAAAGGTCATCCTGTGAGCTTCATGGTTGCTGGGATTTGAACCCTGGTTTCCCACGTCGTAGTCTGACACTCTTAACTACTCCAACACAAGAACTCTTGAAAGCAATTGCTTAGGATTGTTTCAGGGTTTTTTCAGAAAATCTGAATAAGTGGGTTATTGATAACAGGGAGGGGGGAGAATAATTCTCTTTATATAGTGTATTTTAAGAATGGAAGGTTATTACACATGCATTGTCTAGGTAAGCCTTACCACAGCCTTTTAAGGTAAGCCAGTATTTATTGTTATCATCCCTTACTGAGTTACTAAAAAACGTGCTCTCTTTTGTAGGCGAAGATTTTGCTGTTGTGCAGCAGGAAATCATTATGATGAAAGACTGTAAGCATGCAAACATTGTTGCTTATTTTGGCAGCTATCTCAGGTATATTTTTATGGTGTATTTTATTCTTCTAAGAATTCTTCGCTGCTTGCAAAAATAAAAGACCTATTATGACCCTGAATTTGGATGGTGGGGGTGGGGGGCATCGGGGGGGGGGATTTGCCAGTACCAAGTTTTAATTATCTGTGGCATGCTGCACTCCCTAGGGAGTTTGTTTTGTCTGTTTTCTCATATCCATAGCAAATCACTTCAAACTCCTTGGTGGTTCCTGCCCTAGAGTATACAGAGGGCACGATAATCCTTTTTCTGGAAAACGATTATGTAGGCTCTCTTCTCCCCATCACAAGTTCTTGCCTCATTGCTCTACGCCATTTCCCTGGGCTTCATGGGTACTTCTCCTCCAGCACGAAGAAGGATGAAGATGGAACCTAGTCAGAGTGGAGGAGCCAGATGGAGTCTTTTGCTTTGAGAGTACAGTTGATCCTTTTAATCTGTAATCAAAGAATTAATCAGTCACGGCTGGCTAATCAATTAATGCTATCATCCCTCAGTTGAACAAATCCTTATTATACTTCTGCAGAGTACTTTTCCTGTATTGGCGAGCACTTTCTCTGTATTGCGTTAAAGACCAAGACATTCCTCTCCAGCTGTTTCTCTTGTTAATCAGGTTGTCAGCTTTTCCTTAGGCATGGCTTCTTGGCCAGAAAAGCAGAAATGTATCAAGTGAAGCTCTTCTTGGTATTCAGTTATCATTGTTGTGATGGCCTGGTGTGTGTGGGAACCCCTCTTGCCAAATTTCCAAATGTCTCTAGCTGCAGGTACAAGAGACTTGTCAGGGGTGGGGCAGAGTTGATCATCCTAATTAACTGTCACAGTTATGCCTGTTTTATTACAGTTTAGAAATGTCTTGTTACTTAATTATGAATCACTTCATTGTTGAGATTCTTTATTGTGACCATTGGCCTATAGATATGCAGTTGACAGTGTTGCTTTGATGTATTAAGGCTGAGGTTCAGATAAAGGGTTGTATTAAATGGTGTGCCTCTGTGAACAGGTGGAGTCATCCTATTCATGGAAGAGTCTTTGTATTTTTATTAGATTTCTTATCCACCTTCACCATATAAGATCCCCAGACGAGTTACAACAATTTAAAAATACAATATTAAAATCTGTTAAAGCAAATTACAGCCTTGTTAATTGGGTAGCTCCTAATGATATATATTTCAAAGGCCAGATTACCCATTCAAAGTCCAGCCACATGTGTTGGGCCAACAATGTATTGAGACAGCTCCACAATATTCCAGATGTGGCCAGACCAAGGCAGAATAGAGTGGTGCTGTTACTTCCATCGAATTGGATACTATACTTCTGTCAATGTATTGTAGAAGAGCATTCACTTTTTTTTGCTGCTGCATCATACTGTTGACTCTTGTTAAGCTGATGGTCTACTAAGACCCCTAGATCATTTTCACATGTACTACTGGCAATCCAGGTGTCCCCCATCTTAAATTTGTGCAGCTGGTTCTTTCTGCCTAAGTGTAGAACCCTACATTTGTCCCTGTTGAAATCCGTTCTGTTAGCTTTGGCCCAGTTCTCCAATCTGTTAAGGTCATATTGAATCCTGATTCTGTCTTCTGCTGCAATAGCTACCCCTGCCAGTTTGGTGTCATCTGCAGATTGGCTAAGCATCTTCTCAATTCCTTCATCCAAGATGTTTATAAAGATGTTCCCTGAGTAGTTCCTTCTAAACTCTCATTGGAACTACTCAGAGTACATCAAGCCTAAATATGCTGCTTTGAATGTTTCCGGGACCGTTTATGATTGAATTTAACCACATTTTTGACATGGCTGTTGAACCTTAGCTGAAGATATTTTTGCCTTCAGCAGTTTAATTAAAGCTGTTTCATACTTGTTTTCTTAAGACTCATTGAGTTTAATCAGGCTAGCTTTTTAGTGAAGGCTCATTGAGGCATGAATTCCGTTGAATTCCGACATCCTAAATTCCTTATTCATGAAAACCATGCAATTTATAGACTCATATAATTGTACAGTTGGGAAGGGACCACGAGGATCATCTATCCACCCCCCTGCAATGCAGAAATATTTTGCTCAAGGTGGGGTTCAAACCCACAACCCCGAGATTGTGTCTCATGTTCTACCAAGTGAGCTATCTCTTTATCTCTTTTCTCTTTGTGTAATGCTAGGCATCAAATTCCATGTTTCACTTAAAACCTACTAATATGAACTTCCCTGCTTAACAGTGAGGTAGAAAAGGCCCAGAGACTTCCCTTGTTAAGACTCTACATGATCTGGAAGGAACTGCAGTTTCCTAAAATAGCAAGGCAATTCTTGTGTGACTAGTTTGCAGTTTTATCAGAATGAAAGAATGTGTGCTGTTACATTTGTGGCAAATATAGTAAATTAGCCAGGAAGCTGAGATGCAGCATAATTATTTAGATGTGTCCTGCATCTTTTTTTACATTGTGCGGCGTATTTAATTGTTACTGTGTCTCAACTTCTGCATTTGGACAGCATTTTGAATCATGTCGGCGTGTTATGTGCTGCCTTATGTGGTTTTGTATTTATTTTAGATTTTTTTCCTGCTTACTCTGAAGGCCGTAGATTGGTTACATCATTTTAAAACCAGAAGTGTAAGCATTGAAAGTAGAAAACTGAGAAAAATCCTAATAGAATGAAATACCAACCAGTCCTCCAAAGACTGGCCATTGAAATGCCACTCCCAAATGGTATTGCATAATTTACTTCAGCACCTCTTCCAAGAAGAAAATCCCATAGTTATGTATCAGTGACAGAGAACACTTCTGAATATGGATGTGGTGCCCAATTCAAAGAGGAGAGCACTCTTGGTCAGTTTTGGAGTTCGCTGCAGGAGATAGAGAAGGGAGAGTTGTGCAGGGCAAAAGGTGCAGCCTTTAGTGCTTATCCAAAAAGTAGGGCAAAGTTGCCATTGCTAACCATTTATTTATTGTTTATAAATATGCAAAACTAATAAAATTTGATTTTTAGACGTGATAAACTGTGGATTTGCATGGAGTTCTGTGGAGGCGGTTCATTGCAGGACATTTACCATGGTAAGTTAAAGAGAGGTGTAATTCTTCTTGGGAACTGCAGCTAGAAGGTGGAAAATTAAGAGGGCTCTGTTGACTCCTTTAATAATTCCAGATTGGACCTAGAAAAGTTTATTTTAAAGCCAAGAAAATCTATACAATGTATGAACTATATAGCCTACAGGCACCACAAAATAACAGGCCAAGCCTCTTGACTTGATACAGTGGTATCTTGGTTTGCAACCGCTTTGGATTACAACCGTTTTGGATTACAACCACATCAAACACGGAAGTGCATGTGCCTTTTTTTTGGATTACAACCCTTTTTTTTTTTAGGATTACAACCAATTTGGGGGGGGGGAGCCCCACTGGCGAAAGAGCGCGTTGGGTTACAACCTGTTTTGGTTTACAACCGGACCTCCAGAACGGATTATGGTTGTAAACCAAGGTACCACTGTAATATGAATATTCATTGACTAATAACTGCTCAGTATAAGAGCCCTTCTGCCTCAATTCTTTTTCTGAATATTACCTTGTTTTGCTTTCAGCACTGGCAGTTATGAAAGCTTGTAGTTGGTTACAGTTGTAAGAAGGTAGTTATGTACAACACTCAGGCTAAAGGAGATTAGAGGATGGATAAGCCACTTCTAAACTTCCATTTTACCTTAATATATTCAACAGTCATCTATGTTTTAATAATAGTAGAATCTCTTTGCACGCCACCATCCCTTAAATAAAAACTGTGAAACAAGTAAATTGACCTGAAATTCTGCACATCTTGTAACAATCCTTGTTGGTTTCTGGATATGTGATAGTGAAATATTTGCAACCTTATCCTAGGCACAATTAAGTCCTATTGCTCTCAGTGGAATTTAATATGTTTGTTTTTACATTTCGTTTCCTGCCTTTCTGTTATAATATCAAACTCAAAGCAGCTTACAGATGGCTCCCTCTAATAACAAAACTCAGTTGGCAAGTGCCAACAGAAGTGGAGCCGTAATGGGGCCTCTGAGAAACAATAGGGGAGAACTGTTATACAGTGGTACATCGGTTTAAGAACAGTCCTGTTTATGATCGATTCGGTTTATGAACTCTGCAAAACCAGAAATATTGTCTTGGTTTGAGAACTTTGCCTCGGTCTAAGAATGGAATCCGAACGGTGGAAGGGCACTGGCGGTGGGAGGCCTCATTAGGGAAAGCACGCCTCGGTTTAAGAACTGTTTCAGTTTAAGAATGGGCTTCCGGAATGGATTAAGTTCGTAAACCGAAGTACCACTGTCCTTAGGGAACATCTCAGTGAGGACTGATCATGTTTACTAACCACCTAGTTCCAAGTGTCTGTTGGAAAAGAGAAAGTGGAATGCCCTGCTTGAATGGAATAGATGTCTGTAACCCCAAACAGAAAGGAGGATATGATGCAACATTTTGTTTCAGGTTCCTCTTGTAAATAGATAAATTGCAACAAAATTTGAAAACAGTTCTAACAGGGGAACAAGTCAATTAGTGGTAGAAACAGCAACATGAAAGTATGCTTAGAATCCCAACATTGTTATTTATTGCTCAGCAAAGTTTATCAGAGACATTTAATCTTGTTAGATTGAATGTTGAATAGTTGAATGTTCTGATTTTCTCTGCTAGTCAAGTATACAGCAGGGTTTGGAAAATGCCAACCACATCTCCTTATTGAGTATAATATGCCACGTGTGTGGACTTACTAATATAACATGTACCCTGGTAACAAGCTTGTTTGGCCCGTCTAGTGTGGTAAAGTTTTCAGTATGCTGAAGGCAGAGTTGCAAGCCCAGCGTCACAGAGTGCGGCCCCACTCAAAAGTGTTATTTGCACAGCATGGAAGGGATTTAACCCAGTGATGATGCTTGGTCATATTTCAGCAGAATCCTGGACACACCGCAGCATATTGTTATTGGCTGGGGTTCTGCTGGGCTGCAAAGCAGTTTCCTTGCTATTCTTGCTAATCTCCTCCCCTTATTTCTCCACTTGCAATAGCTGAACAAAATTCACAGGGAGGGAAAGTGGAGGGTTTCCCCTCCCGTTGAATGATAGTGTGACCTTTCTGTTACTCAAGCTGTGTCACTCTTTTATGCTTGACAAAGAAGAGAGTTCTTCTCTGCTACAGGCATATTGTGTTATTTCGTTAGGCCTCGTCATTCCTGTGTTTCTCTGTTACACAGTGATTGATGGTGTCCTTGTGATGGTGCCACCTGTGTGTTAGGAAATGAGCTTATTTTACGTGTGTGGCTGAACAGATGTCGGGAGCTAATGCTTTCCTGTTACTACTGATTTTGGCTGCAAACCTGCTTTTTAAAAGAGTGAAATATTCTGCTTCTTAATTAATTTCCAAGCTGTTTCTCTCACCCAGGCCAGTGTCAACCGTTAGATATGCAAGTCGTAAAATCCAAAAGATTTTAAGCACAATCTTCTATGTATTTCCATGAGATTCTTAGACAGAATAGTTCTTACAACTTGTTCCATGTTGGCTACATCTAGAGTTCAGTTTGGATCATCTGATTATAATCTTCCACAACTCCCCCCTCCAAGAAACCGAGCTCATGGTACTCTGATCATAGTTTCTAAAGTATGTAGAACCTGAGAGTTTGGACTGTTTAGATACACCCACCCACCCACCCACCACCAGATCACTCTTGGGGGCCTGAGAAAGAATAGACAAGGATTTACAGAAATAATAAAATATCCTAAAATACCAAGCAAGTTCTTTAAAAGGGAGAAACGTCGCAAAAGAAAGATATGGAAAGGAAAACAAAGGCAACTCTTGAAAGCCAAGTATAGAACAAAAAGGGGGTTGTTTGCAGCTGCACTGTAAGGGTGAGTAGGGAGAAACAAAGGCCAATATATGGAGGTAGGGAGTTTCACGCTTTGGGACCCAGTACGTGAAAAACGTTGTTATGTTTTTCTAATCTGGGCAAAAGGGGTAAGACATCCTCCAAACAGAATTGTGCCTTGGTCCTTTGGAGCATCACTACGAATTCCAGCCAAAATCCTTATATGTGAGCCTGTCTTGGCTTTCTGGCAAAATGTGAAGTGGTGGTATTTCTTCTGCTTCCGGGCTAGGAATATTAACTGTGTGTGTGCATGCACACGCATGTGAGAAACGATAAGGGAACGAAATTGCAGTGAGGTGTTAAAGAGTAACAGTGAAATTGTGGTGAACATTCTAATTTTTTGTTGGGGGGGCTCTTTTCTTCTAGTAACTGGACCTCTTTCAGAGCAGCAAATTGCATATGTTAGCAGAGAAACACTACAGGTGAATATTCTTCTTATATTGTTAGCCTTTGGCATAGAAATAATCTGGAGGAAAAAAGATAAGTCTCCATGCTTTTGCTGAATACCGACAGATGCGGAATTGTTCATTAATTCTAGGTATTGCTCTGCTGATATTTATTTATTTATTTATTTTTTATACCCCACCCATCTGGCTGGGTTTCCCAGCCAAATTTGCTACATATTTTTCTTGTCCAGTTCTTAGTTGCCTCCCCCACAAAGGAGTCAGTGCTGAAGCTTATGCGTTTGCCTATGTATTACATATGTGTGTGTTGGCTTAGGGTGCTGCAGGGAGACATACCTATCTTATGGCTTAGAACCTTAGGCATCAGATGTACTGCTCTGTAGCTCACAAAAGATTCCTGCGTACTTCTGATTATTTGTATTTGCTGTTGAACCGCCAGTACAAGCAGCACCCAAATTCCAAACACATTTGCTCAGAAGGAAGGAACATAAGTGCACTACCTACGATTGCAGGCTTCAGTATAGCTATGGGCTTCTGTCATGGTTTTTGCCGTTGCCTAAATTTGAGTCATCTGAGATGCTTTTTTGAAGATGTTCACTGCCGACTTTTTGCCTTGAAAGGAGAGAGTGAACCTGTCTTGTTTCCGCTTCCTTCCTTATTCCTTCTGTCAGCCTTTCAAATGTAGGTTGGTCCTGCAGCGATGTGAATGAAAATACAATCAAGACACATAGCAGAGACACCATTTAGCTTTTTTTCATCTAGTTGGTTTTCCCCCTGTATAGAATAAAACATGAATTTACACAGGCAACTTTTTCCAATGGCTTTTTTTTTTTTAACTATAGGGATTATATTACCTTCACAGTAGAGGAAAAATGCACAGAGACATAAAGGTAGGTGATTCTTTGAATTGTTTCATGTTAAAATGTTAATCATGAAATATGATTTTAAGTCCCATCAGTTTTAAAAATTGGGATCATATAAATGTATTGTATGGAGGAGGCAGAAATGTCCTTTTAAAAGGTCTAGTGAAGTGCTTTGGCAGAGGTTTTGTTTCAGTTATGTTATAATGGCTATTCTGTTCCTGTGGGATTATATCTGTGTTGCATGTGGATGATGCAAAATACAGTTTAAATTGATGAAGACATAAAGTGGAATCTAGAGTTCCCCTTGCATAAGCAGAAGACACTTTCCTATTTAAGGGGTGTGTGTTGCAGTCCTGTGATATTCCAGAAGGCCCTCCTACCTTAGGAATAACTCTGGGGAGTGCAGAAAGGAAAGAGATCAAGAAAGTTCCATTGTGCCCAAGCTTTTCTGGATCTATACCAAGGTTTGACAGTTTGAAGAAAGTACTATCCTTCATCTCCCTGGGTTTGGAACACTGGGAGTTGAAGGTCTCTGTGAACTGATGCTGGAGGTTGCAGGGGGAGGAGGAATCACTGATTTACATTAGCGACTGAAATCACCTTGGGTGAAATCAACCTGCCATTCTTACAGGGTCTGTCAAACCTCAGGGGTGACCTGTGAAGGGGGTTTACGAACTGAAGTTGGCTTGGGCTAATGAGGATTCAAGCTGATGATTTTAGGGAAGCACCATATGTTATTTCTGTTTGAACAACATCTTGTAAAGGATATCTGTGGTTTGTTGTACCCAAAATGCTATTTTACTGGCAAAGAAGAGCCAAAGTGTATACTTTGCAGGAGTATACTTAGTTCCAGTTTAACTTAATAAAATAAAGCAATGTTGCTGTGCCATATTTCTTGATGACATATATTCCAATTAGGATATCCTATTTATGGCATTGGTTCCAATTTGTCTTGATATGAGGGTGGACAGCTCTGTAATCATCACCCTGAGGGTGGGTATTGCTTGCCACCCCTCTCTTTACGTTTGCAAATATGGTTCTATAGTTGCTATCCTTTTTTAAAAAATATATGCAAGAATGGCACTATAGTTTTGTTCCATTCCTAGCATTTATATTGTGAATGTTAAGTAGCATGTTCGTTGTGTCAAAACAGTTAAAAGAACATGAAATCTAAAAAGCTGTCTGTTGCCATTTCCCCCCTCCAGGGAGCAAATATTCTTTTAACTGATAACGGCTATGTGAAATTAGGTAGGTACGTTCACTTCTATATACACTTTGCTATATGTTGTAGTACGATCATCCAGATGGTTGAGCAGCGAAGTATCGTATCATTATTTGTAGCTTTGCTTAGGAAAGCAGAAAGCGTACAGTCACAATCCAAAGAAGTTGTATGTGTGCCTGGCAAGTTTTTGCTTTGAGGTTTTTACCAGAATGATTGCAGAGATAAGCTGCTGTTCATCTTTTTCTTTTTCAAAGAAGGCTTTCCTCTTCAGCTGTCAGAACTTGCGGGGCTGGAAACTAGAAAGCTTTGTTTGTATGTGAATTTTTCACCTGCATACACTTAGAGGCTCTTTTGGATGGTGACCAGTATTTATTGTACAGTTTAAATGAAGACAATAGAAGGAAGAAATAGAAGGGTGCAGGAGCAGGCTGCAAGGTAGCCCATTCAAAATGAAAAGACTAATTGTCTTAGAAATGGGAAGGAATTGCTTAATGTGGCCTTTCTTGCACTTTGAGGATAATTGCATAGTTAGAGGGAAATATGAAACAAAGATTAAAAAGGCTTTCAAAAGTTGTTCCAACCAGTTTGTAAATATCTGGACTGCATAAAACTCTGACTGTTCTGTTTGTTACAATAAGCATGTTAATTATTACATCACATTGCCTGCAAATCTTTTACAGCTGATTTTGGAGTAGCAGCACAAATAACAGCTACAATTGCTAAAAGGAAATCTTTCATTGGAACACCATATTGGTAATTGTCCTTTCTTTAGTAATACTTATTGCATGGATAAAAATATAACTTGAGCTGCATTTTATCTTGAAGTGGATGGGGAAACCTTTATGAATTGTGTAACATTTGAGATGACAGAATCAGGATTTGTGGGTTGTCGCTCGATCAGCATTTGGGCAGTAGGGGATTCAGCATGGATTGTGGATTCATTTTTGAAGGACTTGCAGTAGGCATGTCTTTCTCAATCTTCACACAGTACTTGGGCAAAGTTATGGTTGCCAATTACCCAAAAGAAAGAGTCCTCAAAAGCAGTTGAGGGTGTAGGTGTGGGTGTGTATTTATAGATCTTGTAGCATGGAGATAAATGTTGTAAAATGTTAATGATACAATTAGAATAGCCGGTTGAAATGTTGGCAGGCAAAGTGGAAAAACAGCAACCTTGACCTGGCATTGGGACGCGTGAAGGTAGGAGGGCATTTGCTGTGTGTGGCTTAATTAAAAGTGTAATGAACAACAGGGAGATTAACACTGAAATTTATTGAAAATTGCTTGGGCTGCATTGTGTTTCCAAAATTTAAGGATTAGAACTTGCTGCATATTCCAATCTAGTGTTCTCTGGTTTTTAGGATGGCCCCTGAAGTTGCTGCAGTTGAAAGGAAGGGTGGCTATAATCAGCTCTGTGACCTATGGGCTGTTGGAATAACTGCTATAGAACTAGCAGAACTTCAGCCCCCTATGTTTGACTTGCATCCAATGAGGTTGGTAAATGTATGTAAAGCTGGAAAATAGGAAAATAACTACGAGACGATACATGTGATTTTCAGGTTTTCTTAAAAGGAACGTACTAACCACAGAATACAGAACCTGCCTGCATGTTTGCATTTTTCTGTCCATTGACAGATGGCCTGCACAGTCAGCTTTGGCAACTGTTTGATAGAGGAAGGAAAAAGAAGGAAAGGTGTGATTCTTTCCTTTTATTTCTTCCTTATGTCTCTAGGAAAGCGCTCTGGAACAGTTTCAAATATGAAAAATGTGGACGGGGATAGTTCTCTTACTTTAAGGCTGTATGATACAGAGTTTATGTGGTTGCCATTTCTAAAGTCTCTTTCCAAAATAGATATTCGGTTATCATAAAAGCCTGCTTAGCTAGAGACAATAGAGGGATAGAAAAATGAACCTTCAGACATGGGCAGCAGTGGTGACTTCCGGTCTCTCAGGAGCTTTTGGTTTACATTCCTTTCCCCTGCACCACACACGCTGTCTTCTGAGTGTGCTTCAACCCACTTCAGCCATTCAGTAGTAGATGTCCTGCAAATTACTAGTAGCATCCTTTTGACAATTCTTCCTAAGCTATCACATAATAGATGTAGCCCAGGCATAGGCAAACTCGGCCCTCCATATGTTTTTGGGACTACAACTCCCATCATCCCTAACAGGACCAGTGGTCAGGGATGATGGGAATTGTAGTCCCAAAACATCTGGAGGGCCGAGTTTGCCTATGCCTGATGTAGCCTGTATGCTAGAGGCCTGAAGAAGAGCCATCAAGAGTGCTGCTTGTAACAACTAAAGAGCTTTGGCTATTGCACAGCTCTCAGAAGATCACATGCCAAGGCAGCTGATGTGGGAAATGAGAGTCGCATTTGCAAGAGCCCTACAGAAGCTGTGTTCCAGGTGCACAGGGTCTTTACAGAACCAAACAGTAAGGCCTCAAATAACTATAGGTACCCCTGTCATCAAAGACACTCAACATTTTTTTAAAAAACCCAAGATAGATTGCTGTTGCATTTAATTTATGATGTAAATCAGATAGATGCTATTCTTGCCTTGTTCATTCTACCTGAATGTTATTGGCCCATTGATAGAGTGGGGTGTTTTTTGTTTTTGTTTCCTTTTTAAACAAAAAAAAATTCCCCTACTGAAGGCATCTCAGAGTTTTTGTTCCTGGATGTAAAATAATATCGATCTTGTAGTTCTTAAATAGCAAGTAACAACTGTTCTTGCTTTTCAGAGCACTCTTTCTAATGACAAAAAGCAACTTTCAGTCTCCCAAGCTAAAGGACAAAATGAAATGGTAAATACCTTTGTTATATAGCCACACTGTATTGATTATTGTATTCACCAAATAACCTTCTAAAGCTTGCAATTACATTTTAAAGGTCAAATAGCTTCCACCATTTTGTGAAAATGGCACTTACAAAGAATCCCAAGAAAAGACCCACAGCTGAAAAACTATTACAGGTATAACTTATGTTTTATTGTTTTCCACTGTGTTAAAATGCTGTCTGTAGTATTGTCCTTATGTGAAGAAACCTTCCATAAGGAGGTGCCAAGGCAGATCATTCCTGGTGGGGGGAACCAGTAGGTTGGGGTGGCGTATTATGTTATACAGTATCCGGTTGGTTCAACGATTGGTGTGCCGAGGCCCTATGGAGCACCTATTTTTGTTTATCTGATTTCCTCCCCTATACATAGAATCATATGAGCTGCTCCTTCTTTCTTTAGTCTGTGTGTTCCTATATGGGAGTGGGCAGGAAAAGTGAGCACTTGACTGAACTTTGCCTTGATAACCTTGGGGAGACTTAAACATTGTTTTTACTGTTGGTTTTAGGGAGCTCGCCCAACTTCTGTCTATGTTAAAATTTTCAAATTCTAGTGTAAATTCCATTTGCTTTCTCTCCTGCTTCATTATGTCTCTTTAGCATCCTTTTGTTACCCAGCCCTTAACCCGGACGCTTGCTATTGAACTGTTGGATAAAATGAATAATCCTGATCATTCCACCTATCATGATTTTGATGATGATGATCCTGAGGTGAGAATACTTCTTTCTTATAGAAGTCAGTGCATTTGCAGTTTTGTAATACAGTGGTTACTCGGGTTAAGTACTTAATTCGTTCCGGAGGTCCATTCTTAACCTGAAACTGTTCTTAACCTGAAGCACCACTTTAGCTAATGGGGCCCCCTGTTTCTGCCGCGCCGCCGGAGCATGATTTCTGTTCTCATCCTGAAGCAAAGTTCTTAACCCGAGGTACTATTTCTGGGTTAGCGGAGTCTGTAACCTGAAGTGTATGTAACCCGAGGTACCACTGTAAAACATCTGAGCTATATCTGAGACACCTTCCCCATGTCAGGTAATGTGAGGCTAAGGAAGGTGGTTGTGAATATATGTATTTCTAGAACTTGTCTCATGAATGAGTGAAACTGGTGAGAAAGGAATCTTGGATTGAGAGAGAGTGACTTACCCAAAGAGACCGGACTCGTGCTCTTTAGCTGCTATGCTGCACTGATTCTGCTTACTAGCTGAACTCAACAATAAATGCCAGACAATGGGCACAATTTCTCTTGCCCTCATCCTCAGGTCCCCAAACTTAGCTGGTCTCTGAGACACCACAGAGCCCAGAGACCATTCAACAGACACTAGCACTGCTCAGAATAGTGTGCTACAGGCTTTTCTATAGCTCCAAGCAGTTCGTTACCATTGTATCTCCCATCATTGCATGGGGTGTGTGCTGTGGGTTATCTCCCATGTTAAGGTTTGCATAAGTATATATTGACAATGCACATTTTAGTTGTCTAAAAAAATATTGAAAGAGTTAGAGATTCTGTGAACCTTGTCCACTCTTTAGACTCAAAGTAGCCAAAACTTTTACTGTACTGTAGGAAAACAATCTTCCAGCCCCCTCATTTGCCATGAATTCACTGAGCTGGAGCTCTTTGCAGCCTAAGCATTTCTGAAGATGCTCACACTTAAATTATTACTTGCTACTACATCATTCCTTACGGAGCTTAGGACACTTCCTCATCTGTTTCCACAAACTAGTTATCTGAAACAATAAGGCAGTTTCCAGGCCTTGTATTGAACTGGTGGCTTGTTTTTGATTGCCTGATAAGGATGCCACTTAGCAGCATTAGAGGAAAATCTTTAGTGGCTAATTACAATGTGAAGCTGGGATACATTCTTAGCTAGCTTAGGCTGCTTTACCCTTCAGGATGCATCCTGAAGCTGACTTGGATTTAATCCCTATAACACTGAGATGAATGCATTAGGTTGCTAGAGGGGGCTGTAGTTCAGTGTCTCGTCTAAACGCCTATATAGCAAAATCTTTATTTCAGGTTTTATAACTTCAGTTTTGCTGACAGCCTAACTTCTGGAATGGTTTCTACTTGTAATTCTCCACTAGCACCCCAACAAATTTACAATGCACCCATATTGGGGGAGCTAAGTAGAGAAACTGGCGGTAAAGCAGAGCTGGCACCTGGGCAAGGTGCCTCCAGAGCAGGCCCCTCCCCCCAAATCAGTTTACTAAATTGAAGGTAAGGGTCCCTTTTTCAGCCGGTGGCTGTAATCTTCACTGTTGCTATGTAATAAAAAATTTAAGGTCATAAAAAATAAAATAAAGGTTCATAAAGGTACCAACCAAGCACGTACACGGATATGGGGACCACATGTCTGGAGCAGCACAGGAAGACCGCCCTGAAACCATTTTGACTCCCAAACTGACCCAATGTTTTCTCTGCAAGGAGGGAGGGGCTGAGGGAACCTTCCCATTGTCTCAGGAATTGGGTAATCACCATTTCAAACGAATGGCCAGACTACCAGGAAAGGCAATCAGAAAAGGCATTATCAGATAACCTGGCAGACAGGAAAAACAACAACATTCAAATTTCTGTTGTAGATCACCTTTTCTGTGATGTAGGTATGATGTTTGTGAGGGGTGGTCTTGGGTTACACCCCTTCTGTGATGTATGTATGGAGGGGTGGTCTTGAGCTCCAGGGCAAAGAATTTAAAATGTCTATATAAGGGCAGGCACACCTTTGTTCTGGGTCCTCCTCCGTCCTCCGTGTGAGGGAAGCACCCTGCTGCAACAGCTTTAATAAAAGATCAGGCTTACGAGCTGCTTTGCTTCTCAATATTCTCTGGTTGGCCTCTGTTATTTTCTCCTACCGATGGAGAATCTACAAAGGACTCTATAAGGGCTCTTGTGTCCCCCATAAGGGAATAAGGGCAGATTTTGTTTACAACAGCTACAATTCATAGCATGCTTGCTGCCCTGATGCACAGGTAACAAGGAGAGAGGGAGAGGATATTAGCGACCACCATTGGCCTCGGTGTTCCCTCCTGAGACCCATTTGCCAAGCCATCCTGGTTGCTGATGAACACGCACTTACAAAACTAAATAGAATGTCACTATTACCTTGTCTGTCTGCATCTATTCATGCAGTTCACTTAAAACCTACCTTGCCGTAAGAGTTTCCACCAAACAATACGTTTGCAGTAGCAATACCTTACTAGTAAAGGTGACTTTGATGACAAAGGAGGATTATTTCAAAAACGAAAGAAAACAGCCCTCAGTTGAAAAAAGACTTGCCCAAGGCTTTCTTCAAAATTAATAGTATACCATTAGTAGCTGTGACGGGTCTAGACTCATAAATAGAGACAATGGAGTAGACATCAGTCTGCCAAGAATTTATGTCCCTGTGGATGACGGACTTTATATAAAGTGATAGAAACTTGGTTTCTGTCTGAATGTAGTTTTCCACTGGGAGCTAATGCTATTTTTGGAATGTGGAATCTTAATCTGAAACTCACAAGGTTCTCCTTCTCCGTTGAATTTTAAGTTATGCCTTAAAATTGCTTAAACTCACAGGACGCTTTTACACTGCTGCTTCTAAAGGAGGATATTCTGTTGAACTTCAACCTCATTTCATACTAGAGGTTTCAGTCATTATAAATATCTGTGAATATGTAGTGATTTTCAATATACAGAATTTTGTGTAAAGGTGTTTTTAAAGAATATTCACAAGAGGCATATGGAACACCTGTCTTTTCATTTGTTAAACTATGTATATATTTTCCCTAGCCTCTTCTTGTGCCTCATAGAATTCATTCGACAAGTAGAAATGTGAGAGAAGAAAAAACACGCTCTGAAATAAACTGTGAGTACATACACAAGTTTTCAAATGTAATTGTGAATTTGTCTTCCATATCCACACATGTGGTGATGATTTGTATTAGCTCATTACCACCCAGTCTATGTTAGATGATCATAGATTTAAAATTTCAGTCTTGCTAGAAGTATATAGTTTCTTTACTTCCATAGCTATTGGTTGCCTTAACTGTACTGCCCATAGCTGAGCTAGATTCTTCCATGTGGCTCTGTTTCCTCAGTGCTTCATTGTATTCCCAAGGATATGAAGCATTTGAAAAACTAATTGGAAACCAAGTGCCAAGAGCTGCAAAACACAGAGACATGTTAGAAAGATACAATACTGTATGTGATGCTTCCTTTCTGACTAGTTTTCCAAGGGCTTTTACCATCATTTTATGTATCTACATGCTTTGACCTCACTTCTGAATATTTCATTTATTCTCTTTGACAGTTGGCCAAGTAAAATTTGATCCACCTTTAAGAAAGGAGACAGAGCCTCATCATGAGTTTGTGAGTAACACAGTTGTATGTGTTTTGCTGCATGAAATCATGCCATATAAAAAAATGTGATTAGGAGCATAAGACTTGTAGACTCCTGTGGATATGTATGGTGTATATATCTGTGCAAGACCTCAAAATTATGATTTGCATAATATTCTTTTCTGAATATTTGGGATCCTTCAAAACATAATCGGATCTGTCTTCTGATTCTTAAGCAAATATCCCACAAGTAGATATAGCTGTCTTCCTTCCTGTTTTAAGGCTATTTTGAGTGCCGCTGTTTAAATATATTTCTCTAAAGCTGTTGAGCAGCTTCCTCATAAGGTGGGACCACTGAATTTGGCAATTAGGTAGAAATCTCAACCACTTTGCTTACTGCAGCAAAGGGGGACTTGTGAGTCACCATGACCCTGTAACTACGAAACACAGCAGCCCAAAACTTACGCAAGTACAACTTATGTGTCTTTGGCTCAGAGTCTGATAGCTCACAAGTTTTATGTGGGGCAGGCTGTTATGCAGCCTCAGCTTCCTGATACATCAGACGAATGAATCAATTTTGGCTTGTTGCATGTAACTTGTGTTCCTCCTTATGTCTTCCTTGTGGGTCCCCACCACCCCGCATGCTGTGCATCACTTTGCTCTTGCACCGTATCGCCTTGCCTTACAGCAGTGGTGATGAGTCCATGGGTCAGACCCAGCCTGCCAAGCCAGTTTTAATGGCCCACTAACCCATGGCAAATTTTACCCATTTTATTGGGGTGACTTGCATGGTGACACTGAGAGCTGGTCAAAGTGCTTCAGGAACAAGAAGGGGCACTCATCTGTTTCCTGAATGCTGACCAAACATTGGGGCTGGTTTATTTTTTAAAAAATAATAGTGGAGCTGGTTTCCTTCATGTTTCCAGAGCCCTGGCCAGCGCTCAATAGCGGTCAGCTGCTCATTGCTGCTGCCCAAAACTGCTGCAGTCACAATGGTGACAGCTTGCTCTGCCCCTCTGCAGAAGCTGTCGCTGAATCAGCCACAAGCGCCCGGTGCCACTGAGAGTGAAAGTCTGTGAGGTGGCCACACTCACTACTGGCATACCTTCCTCGAACCACAGAAAGTTAGCCACCCTTGTTCTGCATTTGCTTACTTAAAAAAACATGGCTATTATATGCTTGATCACTATGTGTACATCTAAGGTCAGATATCTCATTAGTATGGAAAGATGGATGTTAGCAGAGGACAGATGTTTGAAAGCAGTTTTGAGTGCAGAGAACTCAATGGGGGAAACACAAAAGAGCCTTATGCAATGAGATGGCATTAGACAGAACCTTAATTGTAGTCAAAAAAATAGAAGGCTGCACACCAGATTGCCATATGACAGAAACCCTGCGGTGTGGATACATTCCAGTGGCCAGGAGGCTAGTATATACTGCAAGGCAAAGATTAAAGTACTGAGAAAGCAGGGAATTGCATTCAGGTAGGTCCCATGCAAACTTGGTCTTGGGCATCTGATGTCTATGCTGTCTACCCTTGAGTCTTGTGGTTGTCCCAGTTCATTCCATCCAATTGTGCCCAGATATTTGCCTGCTCATTGTTGATTTAATTGCCATTTTTGTGTTATAGCAGAGAGTCCAACTATAGGTAGTAAATGTGGCAAGTCGTCTTAGCTCTGAACTCCCAACAAACAAGCGTTTAGCACAGGAAGCAGTGGAGGCACAAATCTACTTCCTGCTGCCCTTTGCAAATGTTGCTTCCTAATGTCTTCAGTGGGTAGCACCCAACAAGAGTTGCTAGGGCACAACAATTCTGCCTGTTGCTTTCTAAACATTGGGGTAGCCGAGAGGAATTGACTCTTTCGCTCTCCTTTCCTGTTCTTCCCTTCTTTCCCTGCCTGGTGTGGGTTGAAGCTGAAGCTTTGTTTTGTACAGCAGGCAAGGAGGTAGTGTGGTCTTTTAGAAGAATGGTACTTGATGCGTGGCAGCTGCATCCTCTTCCACTGCCTCCTAACTTTTAAAGGTACCAGCAGGCATCATGTTTTGAGCTGGCAACTCTACAAATCTCTCACTCAGGATATGAGCAACAAGGCAGTGTTGGATTAGCTGCTGCATTCTCTTAAATCATGAACTCATTCTGAGGAGCGTTGATGGTCCTTAGGCCTTGTGTTTAATTATCTCTCAGGACAGAAACACGTGAAGACTTTTATGCAGCAAAATGATAAAGACATTTCTTATTTTACTTCATCTCCATGTAGTTTCACTTTTCCTTGGAGAAAATATAACTTTGGTATAATCTTTAAAGCAGCCATGCTGATACATATTGGAAGATATCTTGATTGCTAAAATTTCCTTCAGGAAATTCATCTGTTCCTTCAGCTTTCTCAGTTTCAACATCTTAGGCCACTGTTCTACCATTTCCCCCCAAAACCACCTCTATTTGGATGCCGACCAGGTTTTTCATGGTAGATTTGCACGTCTCTAATTATGTATCTTTCTGAGCAAGGGCTGGAAATTTGCCCTCAAACACAGTTTATTTCTTGCTTCATGATTATAGCCAATAGACCATTAGTAGGCAGGTTATATAGTTGTATTTTTTAAAGATTTGTACTTCTAGAAAACAATTTACTCAATTTAGTATTGTTTTTCTTTTCACATTGGCTTCTAATTCACATTCCTTGCACCTATTTTAAGGACTGACTCTCAATGTGTGGACTTGTTGTTTTTTTGCATCCCATTCCCTCTTTCTCAAGTGCTTGTTCCTATCTTGTATGTTGTTTGCAAGGCCTCCTGTGTATTTTTCTTAGCCTCTTTGATAGTTCTACTCAACTACATGTGGTCCATGTATTCCACATTGTGACTTCCATATTGCATGCTCTCTTATTCAAGATAGGAGCATACAAAACTGATGTATTTCAAATGAGCCAGACTATTCCCCCATCTAGTTCCTTATGGTCTATACTGACCTGCAGTTGATGTTGAGGGTTTATTTCTCAACCCTACCTGGAAGTCCCTGGGATTTATCCTAGGACCTTCTGCAAACAAAACATGTGCTCTATTCCTGAGCTGTGGACAGATTAGAGAGACCAAAAATAGGTGGGAAAATTACTTGTGTGTGACAATTTACCTATCAGTAATTGTATGCAGTTATAAAATCTGAACCCAGAACACTGGCATGGAGGAAAAGTTTGTGTTTGGAAAACAGATTATTTGTCTTGAGACCATGAGGGACAAAACTCAGATAAAATACAATTAAAGTGGCTCCTGTTTTTGCCCCACTCACTCACAAGTTTAAGTGCCGATACTGGTTGACTTTGTAAGCAGAAAGTTAAGCATGAGGAACACCCATTTCATCTGCATGTTCTCTTCTGCATTGTTCTTTACCAACATTAGTCTTGCTTTCCAATCAGTTAATTGGTTTTTAAATCCATCCTTGGAAAAGTATCTTTTAAACGCTTTGTTCTGTTGGAGATATACTTCTTCATATCTCATCTTGTTGTACCAGTGGAAGATGGAGACAGATTACTGATTAAAACTCCAATGCACACCTTTTTTTTTTAAAAGGAAGCTCCAAGGTCTATAATGTTTGTTGGTTGGATGCAAGTGAGTCTGCTGGGATCTAAAGAGCTACCTGGGCTCAAAGAAGGGGCATGGACTAGTGGAAACTATTTTCCTTTCTGCTGCAGACTCAAAAGTAATATGAGGCATGAGGGTCCGCTGTTTAAGGAAGAGTGAGTCAACCCCCTAGTTAGGCTCACAAAACTAGTTTTGGAGTCCTTTGAATCTAGGCCACAGTGTCCTATAAAGTCACAGTTTGGGGTTAAGCATTTTTATAACACACAGTTGTCAGCAACATGGGAGAACTCAATCATAGAGTTGTAGAGTTGGAAGGGGCTCCCGAGGGTCATCTAGTCCAACCCCATGCAGTACACATTGATATGCCCCAGTGTGAAACACACTTGGAACCAACTTGCATTGAAGTAAATACGCTTACAACTATGAAGTTGGTCTGGTTCCATATTTTGAACCATAAACCACCTGGCACATGGAACTGCCTGTGGGTATGCAGCTGACCGGACAGAAGACTTTGTTAATCTTTGTAAGAAATAATAGTACAGGAATGATGGGAAATCTGTGGCTTGCAGCTTTCAGGGAAGAACAACAAAATATGTGTGTGTGTTTTTTAAAAAAATTGGCGTATAGGATAAGAAGTATAAACAAATGTACACCTATTACCAGTCCTTGCATTTCTTAAGTCACCGTTGAACATCTAAAGGCTATACTAATCCACCTGCTAAATTGTGTAAAGCTTTAGACACTTTAATAAACGGTAATGGCAGAGTCAGCTATCGTGCAACAATGTCCCTTTGTACTTAGATGTTTTTGAGTCTAAAAGTAATTAACCTGAGTTTCTGGTCTTTGTCTGATGAACAGCCCGTCAGTAACGATTTTTCGGACAGTTCAGAAGAAATATACTACACTGCAAGATCTAATCTGGTATTTTCATCTATTGCTTTTTCTTTGTCAGTGTTTGTTCGTCTTTTTTGTTTTTCAAAGTTAAATGTTTTGTTCAGTTGTCATGCTGCTTTTGCCATCTGTAGAATAGTCAAAAGGTCTACTAATCAAATACTTGCGTAATAATAAAGCTACTGATTTTAATTACCCATGTCAGTGTTGCATTCTTATATACTAACATTTCTCACACTGATTTTTGTAATTTCACTAAAACTATATTAAAACAAATTGCTAAGACAATTGCTAAGCTGCTGACTAGGTTAGTTTTTTTCATAATGAGAGAAACTTGAGCACATAAATAACAAAAGGTAACAAATTTCATTGGGAAGGAAAGGATTGAAATCAGCTTGAAGAATATGGAGTGCAGGTATTGCTTCTATATCTTATTTTCCACCTCTTCCAACATGCATTTGTTTATTTAATACTTAAAACATGAGTACAACAGTAAGCACTGAGATTTAATAATATTTGCGGATAATTGTTTTGTGTAAAGCAACTTAGTTTTCGAAACATTTTAGCCAAGAATTATTTTGTTCAGAAATCTCTTCTCCTTTGATCTTTAGCAGTAGAAACAAATCTTAGTCGTTAATATCCTTTGCCTAATACTTAAAATGTTAATGCTTTTGACATTAACGAGGTAACATAGCAAAACTTCAGTTGTTTACTATGGACACCAGCTTCCATTTAGATGGATGTTATCTGTTTCTTCTGCCTTGGTACACAAACCTGCCTTCAAGAATTTGTATTTGTAGCTCCAGTAATTCTTTCCCTATTTTAATGGTGGCTTCCAGCTGGCTCTGTGAGAATAACTCTAGGCTATTGTTCTATAGCATCTCCTGAGACACTCCTGCAACATTGAACTTTAACATAATTTCTTTTAAAATATATTTATTTTTGTCCTGTCCCTGCCTGTAATTTTTTGGCAAAACTTGTACTAATTGTGATCTCTCTTCAAGGGGAAACAATTTCCTTTTAATAGCAGTAAACCACATAGCATGTTGGTACATACTTTACGGTCATCTGCACTAAACATAACATGTGCTGTGCGTCATCTGTTTTCACAAACGCTATCTTATTAGGAAGTTCATTCTTGATTTTCCGCCAAAGATATTTCGGAACTGTGTGTACAGTTAAAAGAGAGATGTCAGAAGTGTGAGAACAAGCTTGTCTTTTAGATAGATAGTTGGCATATTTTGTGCCTCTGCAGATTTTAGGAAGCTTGTAGTGATTTCTACATTGGGAAGGATGGTGTCAGTGGCCTTAGTCAAGCACTGTTTTACTCCCAGGATTCTACCTACTCTGAGTTTGTGAGCAGACTTGGGGCATGTGTGCTCCTTCCTGCTTCCATGAATGTGTGCAGAAGGTAACAAATGAACTTGGGAAATGCCATGTTTGTCTGAACATAGATTACCCCTGACTCTTGTGAGAATGCACCTTCTAGAAATTGGGTTCTATTTCTCACAGTTGGAGAGGTCTCATGTTTGGGCACAAATTACTCATCGCCTTCTTTACACTGTGATGAACGTGCAAGTGGTAGTATATGAGCCTAATCCTCATTCCCACTTGTATCCAAAGGGCAAAATAGTGGCCTGGTTTGCAAGGCATGTGAATTCAAACCCTGTCTTGGCTTGCGCCTCCGTTGGTCTTTTTGCTGCCGTGTTGCAAGGAGGTAAGCAAAGGTTTGGCTTAGGTTGTCATTCAAACCAGGACTCAGGGTCACCCTCCCCTAGGTAACTGCAAGCTGTAACCAAAACATGTACTGAAAGCGATTGTGATTCCATCATTTATTTTTATGCTGTGACCTGCCCTGAGATCTACAGATGAAAGGCAGTATACAAATTTAATTTTATTATTACTATTATTATTATTATTATTATATTTTATTTTATTTGCTGCATGTCTGCCTGAAAGTAGTCTTTACGGAATGGAGTGTGATTTTTGTCATGTCATCCAATGTCTGTGGTCTTCCTGAGGTAACTTTAAGACAGGGAGTGATTAACCGAGACCCCTGGGAAGAGCAATCTGAACCCCCCCCTTCCGGGGGGGTGTGTGGAGAAAGTGGGAGAGAAAAAAGGGGTTGCCCACTACTGCCTTGTGGCTTCTTGCAAATTGTTCTTGGAGGAATGTGGCCCTTGACAGAAAAAGAAGATCATTCTTTAAAGAATGATCATTCAGTACAATTGATACGTCTTTATCACCTGAAAATTGAAACCATGTTATCCAAAATGTATAGTGTCACTTCAGAGATAATTTCTAAAACATCATGCTTGATGCTAACAAATGCATCTCATTTTACTCTTTTCTATCCAAGCAACATTCTTGGTTCTGAAGCAAAAGCATGTCTTGTCAAACGTGCCTACCACTTATGCCTAGTCTTTCGTTGGAAGGTTACGTGGGACTACGCGGTTAGAATTAATTTGTTTCACGGCTCAGTCCTGCAAGCTGTAGATTTGACAGAATCGTCTGACCACCTCATTCAGTATTCTCATATTACTTACGTGAAATCCAAACGGCTAACAAGCTGCTTGATTATATTAATATATGGGAAGCACACTGAACTCCCTAATGCATCACATGTGCATATACTAGGTATAATAGTAGTATGATTTTGAATTCCTTAACAATAATTACCTAGTTGACACACTTCCTGAAAACTAGTATTTCATTTTCTGTGTTTACAACTTTTGCCAATTGTAAAACTAGCATGCACAATATATACAATGTATTATCTATCTAGCTTTCTATATCTAAAAAAAATAAAAGACAAGTGTGTCTCCTTTATCCACAAATAGTGGTCATTTAGACCTTAGACACCCACTGCACAAAGATTCACCCTCAAGCGCTAAAGTTCCATTCTGTTGAGTGGCTCAACCAGTGCAAAGACATTAAAATTTGAATACGAACAATCACTTTAAGGACAAAATTGTCTGGTATAGCAATTTGCAATATTTAGCCACTTCTGATTACCTTGGCTTGTCCAAAGTTTTGTTGCCAATACTGTAATGAACAGCACTACTATCCAAAGAGTATCAGTGGAATTATCAGAATCGAGTGCGATTTGATTCACTGTTCACTTGGATATGGTTAAATATCCCACGGTTTTGTTTAGAGTTGAACTTAGTTTTTCTGTTTATGTTGGATGGCTGCTTCTGTTTGATGGACCTTCTTGCACAGTATCTACATGAAAACTGCTAAATTTCCATGTGTGTGCACATGTGTCTTTCGTCTCCAGAGATATATGGCTTGAGCATTCAAAATCTTGTGTTAGGAACACTCTGTGCAAACTAAGATGGTGGTGTTTTATTTTTGTCTCTATCACCTTCATTTTGCAAGCTTTATTTTCCCACAGAAATACGCTAGGACAGTACACAAATGAATTTCTTTCTCAGTGTTTTGCTGTAACTGTATCCAGGATGAAATGCAGGTTATTTTTAAAAGCATCTAGTAATAGTAGATTAGAAAGAGACATGATCATATTTTAGCCTATTGATGCTAACGGACAGTAGAGTAGTAACCTGGCTATAAACAAAGGTTTAGACCATTAAATAATACAAACATAAACCACACTGACAGGTGTCACTTTTCATAAAAATGTTCCTGTGAGATTTCTAACGTACGGTGGCAGATGAAGGATCTTTTTACTTTTTTGTAGCAGTTTGCTTATTTTCTCTTATTAATTTGTCTGTCACTGCAGTAGAATACATATTGTCGTGGATTTGTGCTTTGCAAATTGAGAGTGGCATCTTGCCTCTGCCCAGCCATAAGAGCTCTAGTTTCTATGTTTATGCAACTGCTACAGCTTCTCTCTTTCCCATAAAAAAACAACCAAATCCTATATAAGGGCCCTCAAGTATTTCACTAGTGTTTTTCTGATTTGTGGCTACCATATGCCATTTCAAGGAAGCATCTAAAGCATGGTTTCTTCGTTGGGAACCCCTGGTGACACAAACTCAAGCATTTACTCCTGCTAAAGTTCTAGTCACGTAAAAATTTATGGATGCTTAGATTAATGCTATTTAAGTGGTTGTATAGAAACTGCTGAGACTGCATAGATTATTTTGCTTGGGGGTGGGGTCATCCTGGAGGTAATCAAAATTTATTTGTTGATTTAGAGTATTTATGGATCATCCTGCCTTCAAGGAGCTCAAGGAGATACACAAGAACCACAGCAACAAAATACGTCAATAAAAGCATATACAAGCTAAATATTTAAGTAACATAGGAGACAGATGTAGCTCTAGGGGAGTTGGGGCCCTACCACAGAGAAGGCCCTTCATGAATCCTGTTGGGCATGATGAGCAGAACCCCCTCCCCAGCTGATATTAAGGATCAAATGGGCTGGTATGAGAGGTGCCGTTTCTGCATATATTTGGGCCATTTGGTTTTGCAAACCATCACTTAACACACTGAAACTAGCCCAGTAGAACACAGGCAGCCAGTGCAGAGATTTTGGGACAGGAGCTTTGTGAGCCCATCTCATTGCTCTAGTTCATAACCTGACAGCCACATTCTGCACAAGTTGCAGCTTCCATACCATTTTCAAGGACAACCCTAAAGCCCGTTGCAGTCATCAAAACATGAGGTCACTAGAGCATAAATTACTGATAGCAGGCTGGCTTGGTCCATGAATGTCCGTAGCTTGTAAGCCAGTTGTAAATGGCAGTAGGCTCTCCTAGCCACTAATACCACCTGAGCTTCTAAGGACAATAATGGATCAGAAAGGACCACCAAGCTACATAGCTGTTCCACAGTGCAACTGCTGCCCTTATCCTAGGCCAATTCCTAGATCAGAGACTTGACTAGCCACAGTACTTTTCAGGATTCTATTGTATTTTATTGGCCAACATCTGGTCTGTCACTGCCTCTAAGCATCTATCCATCTTATCTACCACCTCTCCCAGTCCTGATGGAATGGAAAGATAGAACTGGGTGTTATCATACTGGTGACAATTTTCTGCAAATCCCTGGATGATTCCTCCCAAAAGTTTTATTAAAGATAATAAATAACATGGGAGATAGAAGGGAATCCTTCAGCACTATTGCCAAGAGGCCACACAGACATCTCCCAACATGACCCTGAAGGTAGGAGTTGAACCATTGTAGCACAGTAGTACCTCCAACCCATAAAACCAGTTCAGGAAGATACTGTGATCTATAGTATTAAAAGCTGCCAAGATGTTGAGAAAAATCAATAGGATAGTGCTCCCCCTTTCCATAATCAGTTGGTAGCAAAGACAGAATTGTTGAAAAACCAGATTAAAATAGATCCAGAACTCAGCCATGTCCAGATTCACCTGCACTCATCCCCTTCTTGAGCACCTTTCTCAAAAAAGGGATATTTGCAACCATGCAACAGTTGGTCCAGAGTGGTCTCCTTCAGGAGGAGGCAATCTTTTGCTTCTCCTAAAGTGGCTCTCACAGTGAAGTATTTAGCACTCTGTAGTCCACCCAGTCAATCCCTCTCAGATACACAAGGGGGTAGAAAGGGCCTTTGTCCTCTGAACTCCTGCAAAGTGTCCTGTCCACATCCTCAGACCACGCTCACTCATACTGATCCCACCACATGCACCCAGACAGTACTCTGGAAATCTCATTAGGATTCACCTCAACTGTGGCTTCAAGTTCAGAGTGAATGTGAGCGATTTCTGCCCTCAAATATTTTTGATTCAATTTTCCCTTCTTACCCACATGCCCCAGATCCAAAAACATTTCTGAAATTGCCAAGTTCTGCATCACTCTAGAAGAAGTCCTTTTGGAGTCACTCTCATTTCCTCCATAGTTTAACCCAGCATCCTCATTAACATTCTTGTCCTTTATCCATCTCACCCCTTGCCTCCAAGTAAACAGTCATTTATCACCAAGCTTTGTTTTCCAAACATGATCTTAATTTTCTCTTTGCTTATAAAAAGAAAGCAAATCATATTTATAAATGGTCCTTGATAAAATGCTTTACTGGCCACTAAAAATGATGGCGCACGTTGCTTTGGCATGATGCATGGCTATGCTGGCTAGTAGTGGTAGTCCAAGACATCTGGAAGACACAAGGTTTTCTATAGTTGGTAATACATGGGTGGGTGAGTGGATTTGAAACTATACTATATAAGAAGTAGGTGGTGGGATTCATAAAGGTAAGGGAATTACGGTAATCGAAAGGATCGGGATCACATTAATCTAACATTGGCTGAGGTTACTCAGATAGTTGTTTATTTTCTTGACATCTGATGGGATAGTGTTCCACAGGGCGGGTGCAACTACCAAGAAGGCCCTCTGCCTGGTTCCCTGCAACTTCACTTCTTGCACTGAGGGAACCAGCAGAAGGCCCTCAGGGCTGGATCTCAGTGGGTTGAATGATGGGGTAGCGATGCTCCTTCAGGTACACAGGGCCAAAGCTCCTTAGGCTGAATGTGTCCAAGTTAAATGTGCTTAAAGTTGTGGGCTTACTGTATACTACAAAAAAAGCAATGTTGGACTAAAGCAGATATCATAGCTCCAATAACAATCCAGTTTTTCTCTAATCCCATGCCTCCTGGTTTGAATCATCCAGAAAGAATTCTAGCTGACTCAAAAAAGCTTTCTTGTTGTTTTATGACCATTTTCAAAGGAGTGTTGGAATTTTCCAAAAATAGAAGTGGCAGGCTACTGTAGCCTGCCTCTTTCTTTGTGTAGTTTATATGGTGGGTTTCTTTTTGAGAAAAGTTAATTTATTTGACATGTAGAGGTTTGGCAGGTAGAGCCTCCAGCAGATGATGACATTGTCCCTGCTGTGAAATAAGTGGTTGCACATTGACCTTGGTCTACTAAACCACTTATTAAAATCATTAGGACTCCTAAGCTTTTTTCCCACATGAAAGTTGTGGCTTCCAGGATTCTGAAGATATGTTTCTGTACTGCAAAGCTAGGATCCCTAGTTCATATTCATTTGCATCCATGGAGATTTCAGAGCCCTTGCACTGTATCTATTTTGAATTATGGTTGTTGGATAGTCGTACAAGGTGATCTCTTTACATTAAAATATATTGGGTTGTGTACAATAATAGCCTTTCAGAGACTTTAAGGTTATGTGATCAAGCCACTATTGCTCGTGGCATGTATGTTCATCTCTCCCTGCACAGATTTTGTGCATTTTGGGAGTAGCAATTCGAAGTAGGAGGAGATGAACTGTGGACCCTGATGACTCTCATAAATCTAAAGAGCTGTTTGATTGGATCCTAATTTCATTGAGCAGAGTTTGTCTCATAGAACTGGGCTTTCATGCCTCCCTACACCCCCTTAAAAATCTGTTTCTGGGGGGTTCTGTACTACTAGGAACAGTCTCCTGGGAATCTCAAGTGAGATATCTGTGCAGTGGAAGTTGCTTCCAGTACCAGTCACCACACAGAAGTTGCCTAAGGTCCAAATAGTTTACTGTTGCAGAAGATAAGGCTCAGTAAAACAGTTCTGGATTTGGATATATACAGCTTGTAGGCTTTTGCAGATACAGATATCTGCAAGCTGATACAGGTGCTTTTCTGCTTCCCAGGAAACCTATGGATATTGTCTGTATGCAACTGTGCAACAGAGCATCTCAAGCAGAAAATTTACAAATCTTGTATCTTTTCCTCTCCTTAAATGCACAGAAGTGTCATATTAGAAGTATAGTATTCTGTTAGTGAAATCTGAGGGAATCTGCTGTACAGCATGCATTATTTGTATATGCTGTGAAGCTATTTGTGGGACTCAAGTTTGTGTAAGAACAGCCGGAGCTAGTTAGATAATAATTATTTTTTTAAAGGGGGAATGCAATAAGATGAGACAGAGCTTGATGCTTTCTTTTCTCTCAATAGGATTTGCAACTAGAATATGGTCAAGGACCCCAAGGCAGTTACTTCTTGGGTGGAAATAAGTGAGTATTTTTAGTAACACCATTATTTTTCTCCCACTACCCTCACCCCCAAATAAGCTGGCAGTGGTTTTTAATGTAGTTATCAATTTGATCAGGAATTTGATGTTTATGCAGTGAAACCAGTTGTACATTTACAGTAAAAATTGACTATTTAATCCGTATTTTGAGATACTCGAGTTGGATCAAGACTAAGATCTTGCAGAGGCTCCCTTTGGAAGAAGTGGGCAGGTGGTTTTTCAATTTCTCCTGAAGTTCCAGAGCCACCTCCTATATTCTGGAGTCTAAAGCAGGAATTGGACCTCCCCTTCCTCTCCAATGGAGCATCCTGTAGACAAGGTTCTCTAGTCCTGTAGTCTGGATTCAACCCAATGTAGCCTCATATATGGGTTTTTTGGTGTTGGCAGGTGTATAGCAAGGCAGCTTTATTGTCTGCATCTGTATCCACAAATGTGCCTATATGTGTGTATATGTAATAAATACTTTTTTTTTATTGCATGTATATAGGCCACCCAATAACATATATTCTCTGAGTGGCCTCCAAGAAACAAAATACAGGAAGAAAAAAAAAGCAGCATGAGAACCCTTAAGCCTGCAGTTGTCACACAGCCAGGTTTTAATATCACAGATTATCTGAAGGCCCTGGGAAATAAAAAGGTCTTCATCTGGCATGCAAAAGGCCATAAAGATGGCAGCCAAATGAGCCTCTCTGTGGAAGCTGTTCCACAGCTAGGATGTCACCAGTGAGTAGGTCCTAGAATCCACGCTTTATGGAGGCACTTAGTTGGAGGTACTTGGAGCAGGTCTGCTAAAGAGGACCTTAAGGTTCAGATAGGACTAGTCTTACTGCCATGGGCTTCATAAAATACCTGTAAGTGAGGGAACACTTCAAAGAGAGTTCAATGATCCATGTTAAATTATTTTGTAAAAATAGACTTTAATGGTGCAACCCAACAAGTTAAGTCAATAGTTGAGAATTAGTGTAAACATGATAAAAGGAGGAGATAAATACTTCTTTCTTATTCTAGGTTTTGCCAATATTTTCTTGTGGCATTGCATTATTTTAGTGTATGTTCTTCTCCCCTCCACACCCCCACACATTTTTTTACAGCAGTAACTATAATTAAGATGAGCTGTGTCCATCCAGGTGCATTACTTAGCAGGCTGGTGTACAGCTGAACACACTTTAATACACTTTAGGCTGAATAATTATTTACTTCAGACTGAAAATTCAAACAATTGATGTAATTTATTACACAGCTTACATTTGTCAGATCATATAAAAAGTGTGTCTGATTTTGTGTGCTTTTTGCTAAATGTGTCCAGTCGTTGAATTTTACTTCTATTTTTAAAGGAGCCTTCTAAAATCAGTTGAAGAAGAACTGCATCAGCGGTAATTCTTGACTTTCTTTCTCTCTTGATTGCGAAGTCCCTTTCCTTGTGCGCAGAACTGTATGTTTCTTGTATCTCTCACGGTCTAATGGTGCTTGTTTGGCTTACAGAGGACCCCTTGCTTGTCTGTCTTGCAACTGTGATTTGCTAAAAGAGAAGCTTTTTAGGATTGCAGATAACAAATCTTTTGATGGCTGAAGACAAGTTGACAATTGACATTTAGAGTGATATCCTGTTTAATTCCTCAGGGGACATGTCGCACATCTGGAAGATGAGGAAGAAGGGGACAGTGATGACGCTAAACAGTAAGTTCTGCTAATCTTCAAAGTAGATCTGGTTCATAGACAATTGAGAAATCTTGTTCAGTCTGTGTGTGGTTTATGATTACCCCACCAACACTTCTTGCTCCACAGTTTGGTCATCTTCAGACGTAACCCCGAACCATTGTTTAGTGTGACAGGAAGTAGCCACAGTGAGCCTTGGGCTCATGCATTCTTCTTCTCCATCTTCCTTTTGGCATGGCTGTAAGGAGAAGTTTGGAAGCTTTTGCTTCAAGTTTAGATTAACTGCAGTTTGCTGTGTTGCCTGCACTGACCACATGTGTTTGATCATATCTATGGGTTGCTTGAAACAAGCCCAACTTCATGCCATGGGCTATGAAGCAGGCTTGTTTAAACAAACCATAGTTAACTCATGGAATTGATTTGCTTAAATTGCCCCAATGAGAGAGAGAGTGATGACTAGATAGGACTCATGAAGCTAAAATTTTGTTTGGAACATTTATTTTAAATATATCACTAGAAGGCCAGTGAATAGGGAAGGGAGAAATAAAGAACAATATATGTAAATAATGATTATTTTGGGGGGGGCAGGAAGAATTTGAAGCTGTAACTTAACCTGTAAACTTAACTCTACTAAGAATAACAATATGCAATATTAAAATTAACTGCAATGTAACCATTGCTGTTAATTTTACATTACCCCATCTGAACTCCACCAGCCCTCTATTTAAAACTTACTACTGAAACTTACATTAATCCCATTGCGATTTCACAGCGACCAACACCAGAGGCTCCTCTCCTGCTGCCTTAGATGAAAACACTGTATAACAGGAGCTGGTGTTACCAGCACCATACAGTGCTACCACACAGAAATAGCATCCTGATACTTTCATTTGTGCTTATAGCCTACATCTGAATGTATCAGGATGCTATTTCCATGTGGTAGTACTGTATCTGAAGGGACATGTTTGGGAGCCTGATCCTGCTTGGACTTGCATGATGAGTTTCAAAGACCTTGCAGATTATATATATATATATAGTAGCTGATAACATTTTTAGGATTGAAACAGCTCATCTGAAAGACCCGTCCACTAGAAGAGTTCTGCCATTAGTTGAGGCAATATGTGATACTGATTTTTACAATATAATCCTATATATATATCCTATTCAAGAGTAACGACTTTTACAGTATAACCTTATACGTAACCTATTCCATGGTAAATGCCATGGAGTTCAGTGGGGTTTGCTTCCATTAAGTGGCAGTAGAATTTCTGTGCTAATTCTGTCGTCTGGTTGCTTTGAGCATTTATAGTTTAATGCAAGAAAATCAAGCCTGTATTTTCAAAACCTGTCTATAGTAGCAATTTTATAAATGCAAAATATCATAAACGTGCTGTTATTTAACAGGACAATACTGGAGTTTGGAAAAAGAAAATCAAGGAGAAAAAATGTGATTCCCCAGCAATATGTAGGGAGTCCAATCAATACCATAAACCCAAACTCTGGGTAAATAAAATACTTCATCAAGAATTTCCATTTCTGCTGGTATCTCATTTTTCTAAAGCTGGACTTTTGAGCAGGCTTTTCTTTGGTACATAAGCCCATTTGGGGATAAATGGAGAGATATAGGGAGCTGGGGCAAGAATGAGGCAGAATGCCTTCCTACATATTTTAATAAGTTAACCTTGGCTGTGGCCAAACGGAAATACAAAATATATATATATATTTTTATCAGAGGCGGAAATAATTGCATCTCGTAGAGAATATGTGCAAAGTTCTTCATAGCACATCATTTTTAAAAGCCTGTCTCTTGTTCAGCATTCTGTTATACACATTTAAGTCTCACTGTTTTTAGTCGGAATTATAAATGGTATTGAATGTGGGATTGCCACCTTTAGAATTTCTCTGGCTAAACACAATCTATATAGCCTAATCTACCTTGGATCTCAGTTTTTCATTCTGCCATAATCTACCTCTTTGAAATCAACCCCTCATACCATCACCCCTCCCCCCAATGATTGGTATTTAATTGTGATCCAATGGGTTTTCTCAATAAGTGCTGTATTTCTAATTTCACTGTTTTAAGGGTTGATAGAAAAATGTTTACTGAAAATTCCAATGTTATGAATTTAAATCTGGTATGGGCAACTGGTTCACTACTGAGGGCTGCATTTGAAATATACCATAATCTGACATGGTACAGAAAATTTGCATATTTTAGTTACATGTAATGTAATTCATGCATCATCTTCATTAATAAAGTAGATTCCAAACTGCAGTAGAGGAAGCATATTGCCTTCAAATGTGCAAAATGTGGCCTTGGTAAATTCAATCCATTGTTCTCAAGATTAGTTCCATTGGCACAAAAAGACTTCAATTTCCTCTCCTCCCACCCACCCCACCATGTGGCGCCAAAACTTGCTCCAGAGGGTCCCCCAACCCCCTGAAGCTGATTTTTGAGAGTGTGCGGGAGACCGGCAGCGAGAGGGAAAGGAAGTTCCATAGCACAAACAGACGTTCATTGCTCCAGCAGATGAGGAGTGGGGGGGAGCGTACCTGCCTCCCCGCCCACGCTGGGCACCACCCCAGGACATATGCCATGCCCCTGCAGTTGGCGCCCCCCACCTCTGGGATGCGTGCCAGCCCCGCCCCCACCTGCTCTCCGCCCCCCGGTGCAGGAGCATGAAGCTCCGCCGCTAATGCTGCCCCTTGATGCATGGATTTAATAATCACGTGAAAAACAATGAATTTGACTTGCTGTAATTGGCTCACCTTGTTTCCGAACCCTGATTGCTTTTGCCATTCTTTTCACATTTTCCTGCAAACATGATGGTGAAAATTACATCCACACACACATTTTTTAAAAAATTAAACTGGAGTTCTGAGAACTCTGTCAAGAACCCATGGGCCACCTAAAAATACAAATTTTTTATATTGCCCACCCCAGTTTAGATCATTTCAGTGGTACCCTCTCTCTATATCTTTATATATGTAATGAATATCTAACTTTTAAAATGATCAATGAATCTTTGTAGTTCATCCTTGTTTTCCCTCTTGTAGCTCAACTATGAAGGCTAAAGTGCCACCACCTTTACCGCCAAAGGTAAGAGGGGCTGTCACTACTTGCAGGAAATATGCTTACTGGCCTAGTTCATATGTAACACCTCTGATCTCATAAACTTCAGTTCAAGAAAATATATGCCTGCACATTCTCTCCTTGCTCCTGCCCTTTCAACCCCCCTGCCCATGCCTGGCTTTGGCAACAATTTCTGGTTTCTTAAATCATTTTTCCGTTCTTTCCAAACTAAGACTTTCCAAACTGGCTTGGGCAACTAAGATAGCTTCACTTGAAAGCAGGAGAGAGAGAGATAACTATAATAAACGATGGTTTGTTAACATCTGTCTACCGCTGAACCATAAACTTATGTCAGATGACTACAAACCGTGGTCAGTTTTTAAAATGGAAATGGAAGTCAATGGGTGGAATTCCGCTGATACAGATATTTCATCTGTGCTAGTATATTAGCTTGCCAGTTGGAATGATCCCTCCTTACCACATAATGCTGTTCTGGGGGTTCTCCCAACCTCCCCAGAGCTTATCACAGGGGAGGTGCAGGGCAAGGGGGAGGGAAGCCCTTGTGCAAGGCGTCTGCTGACAGGGTTCATTAGGTGAATCCCGCCTGGTCCTTCAGATCTCTGCACCAGAAGCCAGAGTGGACGTGCTTGAGCCCACTTGTGGGTAGCCATCTGAGTTTATTTTGATTTTAATCTGATTTTAATCTGTATTTCAGTTGATTGCTGAATTTATGTTTTAATGTATTATATATTTTGATATTAGCCACCCTGAGCCTGGTTCTGGCCGGGAAGGGCAGGAAATAAATAATAATAATAATTATTATTATTATTATTAGACATATCACTGTATTGTTTTTATTTCATAAAATTTATGTGCTGCTTGACTGTTAAAACACACAAACCTGAATGCAGTTTACAAAAAGAGGAAAACAGTAACGTTATCAGTAAAAACATCTGAATACAGTGATAGTTTCAGTTGCATTCTCTTTTAGCAGTCTTTTAGCAGTCTGCTTTGCCAAACTGTTTCCCCCAGTAGTATACATGCTGTTTTTTAGCCTACTGAAGGGCAGTCATCATGGGTTGCATCCAGTTCTGTCCCCTCTCTATTCATGGAAGGCATCTGTCAGGATCACGAGGGGAGCTGTTTTCAGCTGCTACTCCACTCTGCAGCCCCTGAAATCTGCTCCAGAGGTTTCCCCAGCTCTTCATAGCAGATCTAGAGAAGCAGGGAGAAAATCACCAAAAATTACTTTCTTCTCCGTCTGTTGACAGATAGCTTATGTCAGTGGAGGGAACATAATACATTATTAAGTCCCTCTTTTAAGTTAATTATATTTGGCTAATATGCAGGTGATATATGTGATTTTAGAAAACCATAATCTGATTTGCACCTTGTCCAAAAACAGACTGAAGGCTGTTTTACTGATGTTTTCAATTATGCTTTGCAGATTTTTTTGTTAGATTGTATTGTATTTAATATGTTATGAGCCACATTATATTTTATGAAACAGCAAGTTATAAATTTTCAAACAAACAAACAAAATAAGGATGTTTTCTGTAGACTTTTAGAAAGCCTTTCATTTCTAGCCATGAAATTTCAGCTGAAGAATTCCTTATACGTGGCTCCTGTTACTTCTTCATTTCTACTGTATTCCCTGAACACATTTTAATGACTTGGTATGAAAGTTTTAACATGAAAGTGATGTGATATGAATTCAAAAACATGGACTAATAAATTTTATAATTTCAGCCTAAATCCATCTACGTACCACAGGAGATGCATTCTTCTGAGGATGATAATCAGGGAACCATCAAAAGATGTCCTGTTTCAGAAAGTCCTGCAAAATCAAACACCCAAGTACCACCCAGACCACCACCACCTCGGTTACCGCCACAGAAATCTCATGCTTTAGGTAATGTTGATGAATTACAGATAATTCACAAATTCTTTTAATAACAGCAGTTTAATTTTGCCTTCTTCAATACATATCCCAGAATTATTCTTAAATAAGCATGTTTTGCTCTGGGCAAGCGGCAGAAAATGCACACTTAAAAAAACACACCCCTGTTTAGATTTTAGTGGTGTCCCCCCTCCAACCTTCTTTAAGCCACTGAACATGGAAATAAATTATAAAATAAATTCTAAAATCGTGTTTATCAAAACTATGTACATGTCTGTGATACATTGTACTGATGTGTGTCCAAACTACAATCATTGAGGACTATGGAATTCTGCCACTGAACACTTTCACAAGGCTTAGGACAAAAAACAGCACTTCCACCAGAATAGAATAAACTTTATTCCCTTCACTGGTATCCCCTCATGCTTTCCAAACTTGTCCTTCAGCCCCAAAGTTCAGCATGAACAGATAGGCCTTGTAGTACTTCTGAACATGTTCCAGTAAAATGGAGTCCCAGTTGCTCTTCATGCATTTAGTTCCTGAAGCTGAGGCATAGATGATTTCATTAAGCACATTAAGACCCATAGGCCTATTTAGGCCTGGTCATTTCCCCCAAACCGTGTCCACTTGCCGTCATATGTGACACCAGTCTTAGTTGAATCAGCTGTCTTAGGGAGTTCCCAACTAAGAACTTCACAGTATAGCCAGTGGGTCTGCTCTCAGTACCGATCAGCTTATAGGCTCTGTGATTGACAGATGAGCAGCCCCACCTACCTATGAAGGTTGGCCCAAGGGATGGGGGAGGTAAGGGTTTGGCCACCCTGGATTAAGCAAATACCCTTCAGGAATCTTGCTAATTGTAATGGTGGTTTATGCTCTGTAATGGTCTCTGAATTTTTCTTGTGAAGGTAATGGATTGAATTCTGTCCAGACAAATGGCGACAGAGAGGGATCTCCCCATCAAGAGCCAAATGAGAATAGACACACAAATCTCTCTAGAAGAGAAAAGAAGGAAGTTCTGGTAGGTAATGCTCCATTTGACTGTTTCTGTAAAGCACACGGGAAAGCCTCAAAATGAGCATGTCGCTTCCTGGTTTACGTGTGCTATATGTTGGGCATCTTCATTTGCAGTATTTTGTAGTATGTGCATTGGAGCACCTGGGTATGCTAGAAGCTTTTGGATGGAAGTGTATGTGTAAAAATTAAGCAGTGTACAGTCATACCTCAGGATGAATACGCTTCAGGTTAGGCAAATTCAGGTTGCGCTCCGTGGCGACCCAGAAGTAACGGAGCGCATTACTTCCGGGTTTTGCCACGCGTGCATGCGCAGACCGTCAAAATGGCGTCATGCGCAGAAGCGCTGAAACGTGACATGCGCAGACACGTGGACACGGGTTATGTTCGCTTCAGGGTGCGAACGGGGCTCCGGAACGGATCCCCTTCGCATCCCGAGGTACCACTGTATTGCCACATAGACCCAAGCCATGAATCTATATGTGTCTGAAACCTACTTTTTCATCTTCAGGGACTAAGCCCTTCGTGAACAAAATGTCAGAAGGGAATTACCTGTTCCTTCTGTGACTCTGGCTGCTGTTAGTCTGAAGGAGGTGGCCCAGAAACTAGCGTGTTTTACCACATACACAGGAGCCCAGTATTAGCACCTCACTGCCTGTGCAAAAAACAACAACATATCTTAAGATATTCAGAAAGGAATAACAGACAAGGCTAGAACTTTTCCAAAAACATGAAGTTTGCAGAGCAAAAGAATGAAGCCAGTCCCAGAAAATGAAGGTCGGGGGGAGATAGGGAGTGAGAGAGTTGAGGTGGCAGTGAGCCCAAGGCAGCTGCATGGAAATGCTTCAGTGCCTGGGGAGGAAAGGAGGGGGACACTGGAAGCTGGAGAGCTGCGGAAAAAATTGAAAGCGAGGAAGTGGGAGTGTATACTGTTACTGTGAAGCACGTCTCCAGATTTGGATCTGGAACAGGGAGATCATTCCTGAGGTTGCACTGAGCTTCGGAAGTCCTGTAGAAGTGCACCAATAATCTCCAACCACCTTTCCATATCCAGACTTGGAGCAGAGAGGACCAGCGGTGCATTGCTTTTGGCACTGGATTGCATAAGCTCCAAGCTTGCTCCCCAGGTTACGGCAGGAAGCAGGGGTGATCTTCCCTGTGGTTAATGCTGTGGAGACAATCTGCAGTCCCTCCACAGATCCAGCCTGGAGAGCAGGGCTGGGATTCCTCTCATCACATTCACCATGGCAAGTGAAACTGGGGGCTCGCGAATGCATGTGTACGAACCCTGCTCCTTCAGTGTTTGTGTCGCAAATATAGCTCTTCTTTAAAAGTCACAATTCAAATGTGCATTTTTGTTTTCCAGAAACCAATTAGTAACGGTCTTCCTCCTACACCAAAAGTGCATGTAAGTATTAAGTTTGGCATAGGATGATTTATTCAAAGTATCTTAAATTCTGTCTCAGGGCATTGTTGACTACCATTTATGTTAAAGATTTAACCCTCATAGTGTTATATATGTTGAACTGCTAGAATGTAGCTGAACTAGTTTTGGAGTGACAGCTTCCCCATATGTGTATGATACACCTCTTAATAATAATAATAATAATAATACACTTACTAGGCCTTCTTCCAAGTCCAATTCAGGCTATTCTGTTCAAATAGAATTTATAACTTCTTGTATTTATTCATTGTCTTGTAGATCAGGTAGCAGTAATTTAGTTGTCTGTAGATGGGGTAGATTGTATGAGGCAATATTTTTTACAAAAATGAGTTGAATTTATATTTCAGCTATATATTCTTAAGTAAATACAGTTACTGAATCTTGAAATGCAGTGTTGCACTTTTATCACAGAATTGGACTTCAAGGGAAGAACGATGGAATCCCATTAGATGACTTCAAAATTAAATACCTCTTACTAAGTCTGTTTGAGCCATAGTATATCCTTTTATGCTAAAATTCCTTCTTAGAAGAAAATTGGGCCTCCAGTTTGAAGAGTCCACCTAATTTAGCATATTTTGATTACTAGAAATGTCGGAGAGTAGGCTAGAGAACTCAACACGCTGTCAAATGCAGTTTCGGTTTTCATTCCTTTAGGGACAACTTGCCCTACTTTCTTCTGCATAGCTTATAATACTAGGCTGAATGTTTTGAGACTGCAGGAGTGGATTTTTGTCCCTGGCAAAATGTAATTGTTCTTACAACTTTCAGTTTCCTTCTTTATGCCTTCTAAGTTTGTGGAGGTATTAACACAAGCAAATTCTAGTTCTTACACTTAAAATAAAATAAAATTCAGGTCAAAGGCTAGCTTTTCCTCAGTATTGTACTAGAAGAAAAACTGAGAGCTCTTCAAGCTTTTTGTCCTTCCATAGCTATGCACAACATGCTCTTCACTGCAAAGTAAAGTGAATGGCTGGATCAGGAGAATTGAGGATCCTCCTGGATTCTTTGAGGCCAGGTCCCCATTAAAAATAATACCTTAAGTGGGTTTTGGGTTTTTTCCTTTCGGCTGTTCCTTTTTCTATTCCAGAGGAGCAGTGGGAACTGAAAACTTGTGCTTAATGGTTTTTCCAGAACTCATGTTACGTACAAATAAAATACATATCTAAGATGCTTTCTTTAAAAACAGGATATTTGATTTTAATTTGCTCCTTGGAATTGTCCACAGAATAAGTCTATTAAACAGTGTGACAGATTAGAAATCAGAGGGGACGCTGAGACTGAGTATCCCATTCATTTTTTAACACAAGTAGTATTCCTGAGTATTTCAGGAGCAGGCTAGTTGGCAACTAAGTGGAGTTTCCCTGTATTTAATTAGTTATGTACTTCAGTCCTTTCTCTTGACAACTTTGCTGAAGAAAAGGGGAGCTTCTTCTCAGGTGGTATGGCATCTTCCACTTCAGCATTTAGAATAGGGCACTTAAGGTTACAACTGAGCCAAAACATTGTCTTGTGCTCATGTATCAAAAAGTGCCTCCCATTTTCAATATCATTGCAAATATATTTGCATTGTTTCAGTGTTGTTCTTGCCACCATCTGCCTTCTCCATCTTTACCCTTGCTTTTTCTTGTTTCCCCATTTTATCTGATTAGCTGTGGCAACAAACATAATTCTGTGCCAATGTTTTAATGCTAAATCTCACATTATGATGAAATGTGCCCATTAACCAAATAATGTTGGTTGCCGCAATTGGCACTGTGGGCAAATAATGTAAAGGACAATCAGTGAAGGAAGAGAAAGAAAATGGCACCAAGAAGCAACAGCAGAAAAACTTCACCTCACAGAATTGAAATACCATAGATTTTGGTGGCATTTCTTCAGTAATATGAGTGCACTGATTGTGCTAATTTTGTCATTGAAGTTAAGCAGTATTCAGTGAAGACACACGTGAGATGAATTCTCTGTTGTAAAAATTGTGTCCTTTTATTTTTCACAGATGGGTGCTTGCTTTTCAAAGGTTTTCAACGGATGCCCCTTGAAAATTCATTGTGCAACTTCATGGATAAATCCTGATACAAGAGGTAATATTCAGTTTCAGCCAGGATGAGAAAGAAACACTTAAGAACAATTTTGTAAGGATTTGAGAGTTCTGTCCTTCCCTGGGAATTCACAAACTTTCTCTCTCCCATGCAGTATTCTCTGCCCTCATAACACGATAGATTCTTTCCAGGTTATGTCTTTGGAATCCATTTGCAAGATACATTTCAAAGCTTTTACCCTGTCAGAAGCCCAAATTGCTTTTCTAGTTGTACTGGGCAAGTCAACACCGCTCCATTTGGGCAGATTTATTAAGCCAGTATGGCATCCTAGGACAACTACAATTCATGTATAATTGCCAGACTTACCCAGATTCTCTTGTACAGTTTGCACTTAGGCTTCATATTTCACTTTCCATTTACGATAGATCCTTTTGAGCTTCTTTGTACTGTTCGGGGTTCTACTACCTTGAGTTTGAAGATGTATTTTAATATCTGTTTAATTTTCCATGAACCTGCTGCATCACTATTCAGCCCTGACTCCAGATAATTTAATGAATAAGACTTGGTCCCAGGGACAGGAAACCAGGATCTATTGGGGGGGAGGAATATGCAGGGGTTTCTGACTCTTAATGGTTTCACAGCAAGTAAAGACATTCGCTGCCATGACTAATCTTGTACTAATCACTTTTGCCTTAGCCTCCGAGTTCCTCATTTATAAGATATGCTCCCTGTTCGTATCTGTAAGACATGGGTCTCAAATGGTTGCCTTTGGTCAGAATTCTGTATAGCTCTGCTGACCAGTTGGAGACTGGTTCTTTGTGTTAGAACCAGCATAACCTGCTAAGCCACAGTTACACCATGGGATTCTAACACAACCAGAAACCCATGCAGATTTATGAAACTGAAATTTTCCCACTCTTGACCTGGTCTACACACCCAATAGAACAAAATGGCAGTATCTTAAAAGTATGAGAGTGAACTATACCACAAATGAGAAATCACAACTTGTTCTCGTCATGTAAAACCTCATAGCTCTGTCTCCTGTCCAGTTTTCAGCTTGCAGCTAGCTTCATATTTTACGTAGGAAAGCATTCAGAAATGTGATACTCCCATCTGCTGGTCTGAAAGTAGTGCAGTCAGTTCTACCACATAACCGTCTCATTCTTCTTTATAAGTAGACCCAGTGAAAGTTAAATAGCACCAGTTCCAGAACAGGATAAACGTTACACTATTGATAAGAAGTTCATTCATTGTTGAAGTCTCACACTATTTCAAAGGGGACAATAGTAAATGTTTCTTCCTTTAGAACAAACCAAAGTTCAGTGTTACATATGAACTTGGGGAATTGTAATTCATTTTCACCCGTTAGTTAAAACAAACCAGAATTAACCTGTAGTTTCAGATCAAGAACAAGACACAGTTCCCCAAATGAATGCATAACAAAGAACTGTGGCTTGCTTTGAAGTGAAAATGGAAAATGTCACACTCTTCTCTCATGTGCTGTCTGCTGTCTACTAGGCCAAGTGTTTTGTTTTGTTTTGTTTTGTTTTTAATGTGAACCACCCTGAGACCTCTGGGTATAGAGCGGTATATAAATTCAATAAATAATAATTATTATTATTATTACCATGACTGATACTCCTGCTCTGTATTATGTATTGTTATGCACTTTTTTGCTTTTAAAATCTGTTAGTTGCTTTAAGGGGCTTTTGCCTGGTAAAGTGGGGGCATTTATAGTAAATACGTTTGTATCTTTGTAGACCAGTACTTGATATTTGGTGCTGAGGAAGGGATTTACACCTTAAACCTTAATGAGCTCCATGAAACATCAATGGAACAGGTTTGTTTTCAGATTTTGCTTTTCCTATGTAGTGGTGTGATATTTTAAAATTTAGTATTTCCCAGCGTAGCCCAACATAATGAGTGGAATTCAGTGTAGCACTAGGGAGATTGCTCCATTAGCACAAGCATTCCCACTTGCTTGCTTATTTATTTATTCCATTTTTATACTGCCCTTCATCTGAAGTTAATCTAAATGCAAGTATGTGTAAATGTAGAGCCACAAGATTAAGGTATTTACAGAGCTCAGCTTGAATAAGGCCTCTGAGAGTTTGCTTTCCCTAAGAATGACAGCTCTCACCAGAGAACTCCTCAACTCTCATCCTGGCTGCATACCAATGCTCAGCCTCTCCTATAAGAGAGAGTACTGATAATACCATCATTATTCTTGGAAACAAGGAGTTGTGCTCTCTCTCGTTCCTTGCTGAAGCAATTTTTAAAAAGCAGCAAGTCCCTTTGGTTTTGCCACTTCAGCAGCAGCCCTGGAAATAATGTCCACTCTGCCTCACAGAAGCTCAAGAAAATATACTGCTCTCACAATATATAGCAATTTTTATAGCAGTTTCTTACCCATCATGATGTCTCTTTCAAAATTACTTTATTCTTTTATTATTATTTACATTATGTTCCCTACACCAGCTGTTTCCCCGACGGTGCACGTGGCTGTACGTGATGAACAATTGTTTGCTATCGATATCTGGTAAGACCTCTTTTTGAATAATTTGGAACGTAAATGCCTGGGCTCTGTTGCTCGGTTCAACTTTTTGTACTACATTGGCTGTTTTATTTGCAGGTAAAGCTTCTCAGCTTTATTCCCATAATTTGCCGGGTTTATTTGATTACGCAAGGCAAATGCAAAAGTTACCTGTGGCTATCCCGGCGCACAAACTTCCTGACAGAATACTCCCCAGGTAAGTAAGTTTGTGCTACATTTGTTTCTTTTTTGAGTGGGGTTCCAAATGTGTAATGTTCAGGTTGGGGGGGTCGTGCTGCAGCATCTTGGAGGGCAGATTAAACCCACACTCAGCAGCAGTGGTCTGTCCCACACCCTCCCACACTGATGGATTTGGAGCAGAAACAGCAACAGCACTGCCCTCACAGCGATAGCATTGGGTGAGGTGGCAGCAAGGTCAGGGGAGCTTTGGGTTGGCTGTAGTGTCCTGCAATTGCACATGCATCTGCAGAGCCACAAGCAACAACCTGGAGGTCCCTGAGACCTTGCTACTGCCTTGCTCTGCCCTGCCCCAATGAGCATAGCTCCTGCGGCACCAGGAGGGAGCTACCACTGCTCTGCCCCCTTACATATACAGTTATACCACGGGTTGAAGTAGCTTCAGGTTGAGCGTTTTTGGGTTGCGCTCCATGGCAACCCGGAAGTAACAGAATGCGTTACCTCCGGGTTTCGCTGCATGCGCAGACGCTCAAAATAACATCATGCGCATGCACGGAAGTGGCGAATCGTGACCTGCTCAGACGCGGGTTGCGTTCGCTTCAGGATGCGAACGGGGCTCCAGAAAGGATCCTGTTCGCATCCAGAGGTACCACTGTAGTGCTGCAGAAGAGAAAGTATGATTGGTGCTCAGCGGCATAGCTAGCCGCTTGGGTGCCTGGTGTGTGGGCATGTCCTGCAGCCAGGGGCGGGGTGATCCGCCTGTGAGGGCGGGGCGAGCCTCTCCGATGCTTGGAGCGTCTTCGCTGCCTCCCCCTCGGCTGTAGGGCGACTAAGGGAGAGGCAGTAGGCAGACGCAAGTCCCACGCTGCTGTTTCAGGCAGCACAAAACCTGCAGGCACCTAAGCCACCACATCACTCCTAAAAACTTTTGTGAGCCCAGTTGTTGTTGTTGTTGTTTTTTTAAAAAAATCACACACAAACCCCAATGATGACACCCAGGGCGGACCGCACCCCCCCTTCCTCCGCCACTGTTGGTGCTTACCTGAAGCATAGATTTGCGAGGGTGTCATGCAGGCGCTGGGTTGTCACAAGGCATGTTCATGGAATTTCTGGGCCTGTTCATGGAACTTCAGCTGGATCATCATGATGAAAAGGAAAACTAGGACGTTAACTTGTATTTTTAAATATATATGTATTCCAGGAAGTTTGCAGTGTCAACCAAAATTCCAGACACAAAGATGTGTCAGAAGTGTTGTGTGGGTAAGTAGAGATATTATCTAATATCAATGCATACGTACAAATTAGACATCTAATGTAATTTGTACTTGGATTACTTTGGCAATAAAATGGTTTGCTTGGAATTTAACATTGGATACCTTTTGGATCTCTCAAAACGCCTCTGTAGTATCTGGGTGTTTCATCATTCTGTGAAATGTCAGATAACAGTGGGGAATCGGCTTAGGGAGAGAAACACAGGAAGGTAGAAAAGAAAGGGGAAGGCAGTAGTCAAGGGGGGTGGGGAGTCCTCTCTGCAGTTTCCTCTGTATTCCTCAAGTGTTAATGTGTGTAGGTGGCAACCGCAGGTCACAAAGGGAAGGGTGGAAAGAACAGCAAAATGTGGGGAAATTAGGCTCTTTACTACAGTTCAACAGAGGTTGTTCATGTGACAGGTTGTGACTATTGTATAATTCTTGCATTTAGTGAAAAACCTGGAAAAATACAGTCTTTAAGTAAATGGCAGTATGTCTTCTGTATTTGCTAGCAGGATCCCATGTGAGCACTTTCAACTTTCAAGAGCTTACTCTGGACTTGAGCCACTGGTTCTCATAGTCTGAAGCTTGAAATCCCTCACATGAAGAGAGAAAATGAGTCTCAAGCAGTCAAGCCCTACCAGATGCCTCATCTTAGCCAGGAGCTTTTTCAGTAGTAGGATTATATGTGCCAGAAATGGGGAAATATTTGTGATAGTTCCATAGCTATCTGTATCTCACTGCCAGGCTTACTAAGGCTTGAGATTCTCCCCAGCTGGGGTACCAGGAAAGAAATCCATCAGAGCAGCATTGGTCTTTTGCAGATCACATCTCACACAGGACTCATCTACACTTTGCTTTACTGTGAAGGGTTTCTAAAAAATCATTTTTCTTTCTTAGTGAGGAATCCTTACTCGGGACACAAATACCTTTGTGGGGCCCTGCAGTCTAGTATCATTCTATTAGAGTGGGTTGAGCCAATGCAGAAATTCATGTTGATCAAGGTAGGTTGCATTTGAAAAGTTATCCTGCTGTAAATATTACTCTCACAGCAGAAAATATTTTGTTGTATTCTATTGGCTTCCAGCCTGAAGAGTGAAAATGATTCCTTGTTGTTGTTGTTGATTTGTCCACTTCTGTTCCAACTCTCTCAAAAACAACACAAAAACCAGGGGAGCCAATTAAGACCATAAACGCCACCTTAAAAACAAAACACAACGATGAGATAAAATTAAAGCAGCTGTCTTTCTTAAAAGCAATCAGGAGATTCTTTGGAGCATCTTTTTGGATAACTCATGCCAGACCCCAGGGCTGCAGCAGAAAAGAACCTGCAACTAACCACCATTGAGATAATTTTAAGATCTGGCACACAGATTTAAAGAGGTGGAGGGACTCTTGAACATTACGTTTGGGAGGGGAACTTAATGCATTTCCTGGTATAAGATCAGGTGGCTTGTAGCTATTGTAATGTTTAAAGGCTTCTCAGTATCCTTTGACTAGGATCAAAAAAGGCTTTGCTCTTAGTCAAAGGATATTGGCACAGTGCTTCAGATAACTACAAGAAACACTTTTAGTAAGAATGGCAAAATCTGCATAAACCTTGTTTTAGTGATGCCTGTTTCACCTTTCTTAAAAGAGGCTTGAAGTCACCATACATTGATAAGCACATTATTTTATCCTGTTATGATGTTGAAATAATAGTAGTGCTAAGTGTGACATTCCATCAGCACAATAATTTTTCCCTGGGCAACAGAACATCTCCCTTCATATCCCCCCCCCAATCTGTTATGGGGGTTTCCCCAGTCCTCGGGAGCATATTGGGGGGTGGGGGTGGGGAGAAAGGAGGGCATCCACTTGTTTGTTACACTTGTGCGTAGTTGAAGACCACCCAGTACTTTAATGGTATTATACAAATACCTCCATATCTATTTTGTGGCTAACCAGTTTACTTCTTAATGTAGCACATAGACTTCCCTGTACCTTGTCCACTGAGATTGTTTGAGATGCTGGTGGTACCTGAGCAGGAATTCCCTCTGGTTTGTGTCGGTGTGAGTAAAGGGAAAGACTTCAACCAGGTGGTGAAGTTTGAAACAGTCAACCCAAATTCTACCTCTTCATGGTTTACAGAAACAGGTTTGTGTATCTTTCGATTAGCTTTTCAAATAGTTAGCTGTCTAACAGAACCATTGCCATTAGCAGAACCATTACCAATTGCTACAGAGATTTTCTGTGAGGCCATGATGCAAAAGGTTAGCCATCGCTGCTATAGGGAGGTGATTCTGACTGAGTCACTGGGGGAGAAATTATTTAACCATTTTGTTTTAAACAGATTATATATAGTTCTAATTCCATCAATGGTTGCTTTTTAATTATTGTTTTTTTCTTCTTTTATCTGCAAGCCATCTTGAGTTTCGTCAGGCAGGGTATAAATAAATAGATAGATAGATAAATTTCATTCATTCATTCATTCATTCCCCCAATTGAGTCCCTGCTCCAGCGCCACCTTTTGTTGTCTAGGGAAGATTTATGAGGAGCCTTAAAGGCTCATTCACATAGTACCAAACCAACCAGGATCATGGATTCCAAAAAGAAAAGAAAAATGCCCTGTACGGTGGCTTTTTTATACAAATAGAACAATTGAACTGGAGAGTGTTTGCCTTGAATTAATATTTACACATGAATGTCAACTAATCTTGTTTTGGTATTTTGGCAGATACTACACAGACAAACGTTGCGCATGTAACACAATTGGAGAGAGATACCATTTTAGTCTGTTTGGATTGTAAGTTACGTCTTTGACCTAGACATACATATTCTAGTAACATTCATGATGTAAGGAAAGCTGCTGAATTATGGTGTCTGTTTTTCAGGCTGTATAAAAATTGTAAATTTGCAAGGCAGATTAAAATCTAGTCGGAAACTGTCCTCGGAACTCACATTCGATTTCCAGATCGAAACAATAGGTATGTAAAGTTTAGTCTTAAAACTTTATTAGCTAGTTAACTCCTTGAGTATTTCACAACGTGATGAAAACCTCATCATCATCATTATTAGGTTTGGAGGAGGCACAGTACCACAGACTATTCATTTTATGTATTTCTGAACAGTTGGGACAAATAATAAATTATCATTTAAAAAAGTTTTTTAAACTATTATTTTAAAACAATGGAAGATCAAGAGCAAAGGCAAATATGTGACTGCAGCACTGTTTGCAAAAATAGCTATTGGATAAAATCTCAATGTTTTTCAGAATTCTAACATTTAAATATCTCTAGAAACAAGTAAATGTTTTACAGTAGTATCGTGTACAGTAAATGATATCTGGAGTTTGCATTGATTTCCATTGTTAATTGCTGTGGGTTCTGATACCATCCTTAGGCAATTTCCCTTACTAACACTTGGAGTTAGTAATATTAAAAAAACCAAAAACCATTAGCTGAATGCCTTAATTTCTGTGTTAACATTAAATAGCTATTGGGGTGTTAAATGTGAGGTTTTTACTGTGTTATGGCCCCTTAGATTCCCCCAGTCCCTTGGTTATTGTGGGTCTCTCCCCCCCCAACCCCATGGTGTAGTGGTTAAGAGCAGTGGACTCGTAATCTGGTGAACCAGGTTCGATTCCCCGCTCCTCCACTTGCAGCTGCTGGGGGACCTTGGGCTAGACATACTTCTCTGAAGTCTCTCAGCCTCACTCACCTCACAGAGTGTTTGTTGTGGGGGAGGAAGGGAAAGGAGATTTGTCAGCCGCTTTGAGACTCCTTAGGGTAGTGATAAAGTGGGATATCAAATCCAAACTCCTCCTCCTTTATTTTAAGAGGAATCTATTTTGTCACTTTGTGAGAGGACACCCAAGTCCTATTGAGATCAGTGAAATGTAAGCATGCAGGCACGTTCTTAAACCCAGTTCAGATCATGATCTAACCTTTCTAAGCCATGATTTAGATGAGAGGTGGAAGCTGGATCCAGCTGGTTGGCCAGATCCTTGGTTCCATCATTCCTAGTGTACCGTTTTGACAGGTAGGTGGGCCTCAGCAGTCCTACTGACTTCCCCATGGTGATGTCCTAGGGATGTTGACTGTGACTAATAGGTGGAACCTGTGCCAGTCCTAATTAACTCCATGGGCCGAGGTTCCTTGTTGTTGGCTTGGGTGACCACAACTAAATAATAATAATAATAATAATAAATTTATACCCCACCCATCTGGTTGGGTTTCCCAGCTCCCAACAGATTAAAAACAGAATAAAACATCAAACATTAGAAACTTCCCTAAACAGGGCTGCCTTCAGATGTCTTCTAAAAGTCAGATAGTTGTTTCTTTCCTTGACATCTGATGGGTGGGCATCTCACAGGGCGGGCGCCACCACCGAGAAGGCCCTCTGTCTGGTTCCCTGTAACCTCAGTTCTCGCAGTGAGGAAACTGCCAGAAGGCCCTCGGAGCTGGACCTCAGTTCCTGAGCCATGGAGAGATTCAGGCCCACATGCAAAAGGAGAGTGAAACCTTTTTGCTTTCAGCTAAAAACAACATTGTCCTGATACATATGAACTTGGGGAGTTGTCTGAACCAGGCCTTCAATTTTAGTTGGGCTTAGGCATGCTGAACTCTTTTTGGACTGCACCTATTCAGATACAGTGGTACCTCAGGTTAAGTACTTAATTCATTTCGGAGGTCCGTACTTAACCTGAAACTGTTCTTAACCTGAAGCACCACTTTAGCTAATGGGGCCTCCTGCTGCTGCTGTGCCACCAGAGCATAATTTCTGTTCTTATCCTGAAGCAAAGTTCTTAACCTGAAGCACTATTTCTGGGTTAGCGGAGTCTGTAACCTGAAGCGTATGTAACCTGAAGCATATGTAACCTGAGGTACCACTGTATGCATAGATTCAATGAGTTTAGGTGTAAATAAGCATGTGCACTTGGCTGCAGTCTATAAAAAAAGCTAATTCAAATTGTCTTTTTCTTCCAGTTTGCCTACAAGATAGTGTTCTGGCTTTCTGGAAACATGGAATGCAAGGCAGAAGTTTTCGATCAAATGAGGTAAATATTGCAGGGTGGAATAAAAAAAAACGTTCTGTTCCTTTAAATTGCCTTGAAAGGCAAGATTGCTGTTTGTTTCCATAATTAATATTTCATTTTTTCCACATAATTTCATAAAATTCAATGGTTTGTCTGTAAGTACTTGGGTTGCCCTGAAAGAAATGGCTAATGTATGGCACAGTAATCAGAAGAATAGCTGGAAGTTCTGGTACCTTGCTCAGCTTATCTGTAAACTCCTTGCCTAAGGCAAGCCAGTGTGGTGTAGTGGTTAAGAGCGGTAGTCTCGTAATCTGGGGAACCGGGTTCGCGTCTCCACTCCTCCACATGCAGCTGCTGGGTAACCTTGGGCCAGTCACACTTCTCTGAAGTCTCTCAGCCCCACTCACCTCACAGAGTGTTTGTTGTGGGGGAGGAAGGGAAAGGAGAATGTTAGCCGCTTTGAGACTCCTTTGGGTAGTGATAAAGCGGGATATCAAATCCAAATTCTTCTTCCTCTTCTTCTTCTTCCCTCATATCCCCTCTGCCATCTGAATAATAGAGAGGTATAATAAAGGGCATATTGTAAGAATTGCTTCAAGCTGTGTAAAACACTTGGAGCATGTAGATTTCTACATAGCACTTGTCCTTTAGTAGTTCTACTAAAGAGGGGCACTCCTTAGCCGACTGATTTTTAAATTTGTCAGTGTCTTCAAACACTAGTTTCTAGTTAGAGTAAATTTATGTAAAGCTGCCCAAAGGAAGGATTGCAAATATATTCAAAACTCAATAAAATAAGACAGTGAAACCATCATAACTACAGGAGGGCAAAGGTGTATATCAGTCTTCTCCCTTTGTTCTCAAATGTGCCATTCTACTACCAAATCTCCTAACTGTTGAATCAGCTGTTGGTCCCACACAGGCCAGGAATTCCCTGATTGGTGGCTGCTTCTATGTCTCTCACAGCCCCAGCCCTGGTGGCAGATGCAGGGGCAGGGCAGGGAGCAAAGATGTTAACATGCTATCCTCTCAGTTTTGTCTTAAGCATTGATTATATCAGACACTTAAAACTCCACTAAGTATTTGTTTGGCTTTTCAAACAGATCACACAGGAAATTTCCGACAGTACAAGAATATTCAGACTCCTTGGCTCTGACAGGTAAGATAACATATTGAACCAAGAGTGGAAACTGTTCAAGTGGGGAGGGAGTAGGGCCTGGTTTTGTTTTAAATTTCTTGTTTGTTTTTAACTTTCTGTGATTTTATTCTTTGGTTTTATGTTTTCATATTGTTAACTGCTGTGATTTATGTTTTATGATACAGCAGTGTGTATGTGCGTGTGTGTGTATTCATGGGACGTGGGTAGCGCTGTGGTCTAAACCACTGAGCTTCTTGGTCAGCAGTTCAAAAGCCCATGACGGAGTGAGCTCCCACTGCTCTGTCCTAGCTCCTGCCAACCTAGCAGTTTGAAAGCACACCAGTGCAGGTAGATAAATAGATATCACTGCAGCGGGAAGGTAGACGGCATTTCCGTGCGCTCTGGTTTCCGTCACGGTGTTCCATTGCGCCAGAAGTGATTTAGTCATTCTGGCTACATGACCCGGAAAACTGTCTGTGGACAAACGCCGGCTCCCCCGGCCTGAAAGCTTGATGAGTACCACAACTCCATAGTCGCCTTTGACTGAACTTAACCGTGCAGGGGTCCTTTACATTTACCTTTATATATATTCATAAATAAATACATTGACCATGCAGCCCAGGGCCAGCACCAGGGGTTAGTCTATTAGGACAACTGTTGAGTGGGCACTGCCCTAGAAAAGTAGTAAGAGCCACCAGCTACTCACTTGCTTGCCCTTTCCCTCTGGGCTATGAAAATTGGACCTGAGGTAACCAGTTCCCACCATCACCCAGAGGAAGAGGGTAGGGAGCGGCTGTGACGGCAGAGCTTTGCTGCCATTGCCATTTACACACTTGTAAATGGCAATTTACAATTTACACACTTGTGGGTGGCGCTGTGGATTAAACCACAGAGCCTAGGACTTGCTGATCAGAAGGTCGGCAGTTCGAATCCCCTCGATGGGGTGAGCTCCCATTGCTTGTCCCTGCTCCTGCCAACCTAGCAGTTTGAAAGCACGTCAAAGTGCAAGTAGATACCGTATTTTTTGCTGTATAAGACTCACTTTTTCCCTCCTAAAAAGTAAGGGGAAATGTGTGTGCATCTTATGGAGCGAATGCAGGCGGCGCAGCTATCACAGAAGCCAGAACAGCAAGAGGGATTGCTGCTTTCACTGCACAGCGATCCCTCTTGCTGTTCTGGCTTCTGAGATTCAGAATATTTTTTTTCTTGTTTTCCTCCTCCAAAAACTAGGTGCGTCTTGTGGTCTGGTGCGTCTTATAGAGCGAAAAATACGGTAAATAGGTACCGCTCCGGCGGGAAGTAAACGGCGTTTCCGTGCGCTGCTCTGGTTCGCCAGAAGCGGCTTAGTCATGCTGGCCACATGACCCGGAAGCTGTATGCTGGCTCCCTCGGCCAATAAAGTGAGATGAGCGCCGCAACCCCAAAGTTGGTCACGACTGGACCTAACGGTCAGGGGTCCCTTTACCTTTACCTTTTTAAATGGCATTTACACACTTGTAAATGGCAAACCTCCAATCCACAGCCAATCATCGTTGTGGATTGGAGTTGGTGGAGCAGCTGCTGAGGAGAAGCCCTCCATCACAGGGTTTCTTGACGATGTGCTCTGCTCACCTCCCTCCTGCCAGGAGCCTAGCCCCAATTTGATTTATAAGTAGTAGATTAACGTATTACTTTTCTTCTTCTTCTTCTTCTTCTTCTTCTTCTTCTACTCCACCCACCCTCCCCACCCTTCAGAGTTGTGGTACTGGAAAGCAGGCCAACAGACAACCCGACAGCCAACAGCAATCTATACATCTTAGCAGGCCATGAAAATAGTTACTGAGAAGCAATATGCATGGAGATTGAATCATGAACAGAGAAACACTACTGCTTCAACACTTTTGGATGGCTGAAATTGCACAAAAGCTGCAGTATCCCCACTTCAGTTGCTTTGTAATTTATTGTGATGTATGGGAGAGTGAGTGAGAGCAAGAACTCTTGCCTGAATGATACGGACACGCTTAGCACATTAATACCACAAAAGTGCTTGATTCACCATTATGTAATCTTTGTACATATGCAGAATTTTTTTTCCAGTGAAATGTATTGCCGAAAGCCTCTCTTGAGTTTATGTAGATAGTGGTCAAATGTCTTATCTGTATAAATGTAAAAAGGTTGCTGAGGACATAAAATTGCATTTGGGGTACTATTTTAAGGACTCTTCAAGAATTGGATGCTAGCGATAAACACAGCACATTTAATAACACTATTGTATTTTATTATGTAATTTACTAATACAAATAAACCTTACCTTTTTAGACATTGTAACCAAGACTGCAATCCTATTACGATCTTGTTTTTAATTATATGCAAGTACACTGGTGTTTTTGGTTGCACAAAGTATTAATATGTGATGTATTTAGTCACAAACGTAAGCTGTGACATTGTGAATATGATTTGGGCGTTATAATTTTAGGAGTTTGGGGTAGTTTTCTTTGTGAAACCAGCCAGTTGAACACCTGTATTTTTATATTTAAGGAAAATTCTTTAATTATTTTCTGTGCTTGGGGGCAGGGGAGTACATAATTTGGAATGGGAATAAATCCTGAATAGTGGTACCTTGCCGTAATTCTAAATGTCTGCAATGGTAAAATTAGCATTATTATGAGTCTTTGTTAACCAGTGCTGCTCATATCATGCAAAAGAAACAGCAACAAATTACAGCATTCTACATCATGGAAGTGGTTGAAATACTTTGGGATGGATCCAAATCGCCACCTGCAAAAGTATCCTGTTCAGTACTTGCAAAATATTCCTTAGCACTTGCATTAAGATGAAGGTGTGCATTTTCCTCATTAAGATGTTGATAACTGACTTGGAAGGACAGAACGCGTTAACATCCACACCGAATTGCCAATGTACCCATTTGGAGCTGCGGAGCTGTTCTGCGGTTCTTATAGGATAACTTTGTACCATAGGATCCCATACCGGTTCCTAATTTCCTTACATGGTGGGATCTTGTAGGTTTTTCAAGCTCTGTTCCAGGGAACCCCAGAATCCCTTGGATGCTTCGCAGGGGGCTTCTCCCTGAGATGATCGGTAATAGTGGAAAGCATTCCTGAAGGACAGCATGCTTACCCCTACTGATTTTCCCCCTTGCCATGAGCAGTTGCAGAGTGTAAGATGGGCAGCACTAAGGCCCAGTCTGTGTGCCTAGCTAGCAGCCGTGTGTTCACTGAGTGTGCAACACATACAGTGCCCAAGAGTCCTTTGCAAACATGCAGAGCTTCATCAGCGGACAAGCTGATTTCTCTCAAGGCAGGAAGCTTGAAATCTGCCATAAGAGGTTGCACATACAGAGTAGCTGTTCTGAATAGAAAAAAGTTGTTGAATGGAATAATTGTCTTAATTTGGCCTGTTTGGGGCTTTTTTGCTTTTATTTTTTTTAATGGCCTTATTTTCACTTTTTTTTAATGTCTTAACACCCGGCCAAATGATTTAGTTACTACCTCACGCAAATGATTTAAATGGTTTTTATTACACATCACAGGAATTTTAGTTTTGAGGAAACCTATTTTAGATTTCCCCCCCCAGTGCAGTATGTAAATGCCAAGTTTGAGAAAAATGCACATACTGGCGCTTTTTTTTTTTTTAATAAGTTCTTTATACTGTGATATAGACTAAGAACAAAACTACATTAAGAAGTGATTTATGGTCTGTATTGATGTTGTTAATGCTTTTGAATATTTCATAATGTATATAATGTAAAATAAACTTTTTTTAACATGTTTGTTGTACAAGTGGATTATCATCTGCACTAATTTTCTGATTGGGGAAAAGTTTTCTTAACTGAGATCAGTTTTGATTCCAATAAAAATGTAGAAAGAATAAAAATTAAGATGACTTTAGTTACTTTGACTTTTATATTACACTATATATAAAATAAATGTTAAGAACGCATTAATAAACACATTTGGGGAAGATTTAAGTTATAATTAACCAATTGCTTCTTAGTAAATCTTGAATTTACTTCCTTCTTTGAATACCTTCTTTTGATTCAAACAAAACTGGTTGTTTTTAATTTTATTTATTTATTTGATTTCAATATCACCCTTCATCTTGAAGATAACAGGATGGTTTAAAATATAAAAACACAAAAATAATAATTATTATTTCTGAGAACCTCCATTATCCCCTGTGGGTTGAATCCGGAATGTCCCTTTTGTGAACAGAAGTTCTCCTTTTTGTAGAAGAGGCCCAAATTCGGTGGAGGTTCCCACAGGGGAGGGTCCAGCAACCTTCTGAAGCAGCTTTCTAAAGGGCTTCCAGGGGAGGAGGAATTGGTGAAAACTGCGCACACAAACACATTTCCTCCAGCCTATGTGGGTATAGAGGTTTTTGAACAAAACTATTAAAGAATCCCTTGAGAAATGAATACCAGTTCATGATAACCAATCTTGCAATAATAATCAATTTGAGCAAATGTCCGCTATTAACTAGTACAGGCGGTGCGTTAACAATACTTGGATATTTCTGTGGCACCTACGCAATGCACAAATGTAATTTCCCCCTGTACTTATCACATTTTTTTAGCGTCTCATCCCCAAAATTTTAAACCAGGATCTTGGAGGTGGTTCCAGTCAGATTTTCAGTATGCTTTGATTGCTCTTTCCAAACGGAACATAAAAGCAGAGTTTGTATAAGATGCACAAGTAGTTTTGACTTACGGTATATCCAGAAGCGCACCTATTTCACGGCGCTAACGAAAGTTGCTTCACAATCAAAATGAAGCATAAACAGGCACTATGAAACCAAGCCACAGCAATTGCTGGTATTGCAGGTAACATATGCTAAACTCAAAGCTAAGGATTGGATATTCTTCTGCGCAGGGTCCACTGGAATAAACAGAACTTGCTCCCAAGACTTCAAAGGCCTCAAACTAGAAATGACAGCGCCACAAACTCTGCTGTATTTCTGTAAAGCAGAAAGGGAAAGCCAGTCCTGTTTCCAATGCCTTTCTCCTTGAAATTGCTTCTCCCTAGGAGAAACACACCGGGTTTCCAGTTACCCTGCTAGCCAGTATGTACACACTTCCCGAGTCTGAGCAGATCCCAGATGAAGATAGTGGAAAGACGTGACTGGCTTGCACCCCAGCCTACAAACTAGATCTTTGGCGATCACTCGTAGCTGAGTAAGACTGTCTTCCATAAACACGGTTTTAACAATGAGTCCATAAGTGACTGTGGAGACCAATTCTGGATTCACACATACTTCCACAGTGGGGACATTGATTTCCGAGCGGGAATTGATCACGGTGTGGATTTGCCAAGTGTTCCTTCCTCTTAGCACGTTTCTCCCTTGCGTCCTGAGTTCGAGTGTCTTCAAAGCCCATGACACCTTTGGTAAAGGCTGTTCTCCAACTGGAGCGCTCGCAGGCCAGTGTTTCCCAGTTGTCAGTGTTTATACTACATTTTTTAGATTTGCCTTGAGACAGTCTTTAAACCTCTTGTTGACCACCAGCATTATGCTTTCCATTTTTAAGTTCGGAATAGAGTAGTTGCTTTGGAAGACGATCATCAGGCATTCACACAACATGACCAGTCCAGCGAAGTTTATGTTGAAGAATCATTGCTTCAACACTGGTGATCTTTGCTTCTTCCAGTACACTGATATTAGTTCGCCTGTCTTCCCAAGTGATGTGTAAAATTTTTGAGAGACACCGTTGATGGAATCTTTTGAGGAGTTGGAGATGGCGTTTATAAGTGGTCCATGTTTCACAAGCATATAGTAAGGTTGGCAGTACAATAGCTTTGTAAACAAGCATTTTGGTTTCCCTGCGAATGTTCCAGTCCTCAAACACTCTGCACTTCAATTGGGAGAAAGCCGCACTCGCAGAGCTCAGGCGATGCTGGATTTTGGCATCAACGTTGACCCTTGTGAAAAGATAACTGTGTAGGTAGAAGTGATTGACATTTTCCAATGTTACACCATTGAGTTGGATTTGTGGCGCTGCAGAGGGGTTATTTTATACTTGTTGGTGCAGCACTTGGGTTTTTGGGATGTTGAGTGGTAAGAGGGTCCCTGCAATGCACTGGGGTGACACCAAATGGGAGCCCCTCAGGGTCACTATGAGGGCAAGGGTACTCTCCCGCCTTCGCACCTCCTGCAGGCCTTCGCACCTCCATTGGACACAGTGTCAGGAGGGTTAGATTGGCTCTGACATGGTGCCCCTTCCCACTGCCTTGCCCCAGGGCATTTGGAAGGCAAGAGGGTATCACAGCCTCACTGACTGCTACTGACTGTGTGTGCTGCCGCACAGAGTGAGAGTAATATTTGCGTTCATTGTAAAAGTTGCCAAATACTTCTCTGAGTAGGTGGATAAGCTAAAACCAGCTATAAATGCGGCGGAACCTATCCAAACAGATACTGTACTGCTAAACATTCCTGCAGCATAGTGACAGCACGAGGCCTCAAACTTTGACAGCTGCACCCTGACATCAACGGAGGTGGAGGAAATAGTTTTCAGAGCACAAAACATAATCGGACAGACACATACGCAGCGTTTCCCCACAGGCTTCCTGCCCCTCTTGGTGCTTATGACAAGAACATACAGTCAGACAAGGGCACCACCATGAGGCTGCTCTTGACAAGACCGCAGAGATTGTGATAGGAGATGTGAAATACATCTGCAAAACACAGTGAAATCTCCAAGCTAAAACCTAAATGTAATTTGTGCCATTTTGCTAGATGCCTTCCTCAACTGATGAAAGAGGAGACAAAGCAAATTAGGTGAAAGGCAAAAAGGTGGATAAAAGTTCTCGACACAAGTAAAAAATGTGTGTCAACTGCCTATCCCCTTTCTTTGCCCTCAGCAAACACTATACAGCAGTGTGGCACTACAGGTACAGCACTGTATTAAAATACTATTGATATTTAGAAAGTTTCTATTAATACATTATTAATTAGTATTAATTAATTAGTATTAATAATTAAGTATTAATTAGTATTACTATTAGTATTAGTATTAGGAGTTTGTGACAACACCCCAAGCCACTTTCTACTGAGATGTAATGTAGTTTAAGCATTTGATGGATTATGATTATGCTGTCTATTGAAGGCATGTTTTTGTTGCTGAAGTTTTTGCTTGTTTCATTGGGTTCATTTTATGTTACTATATGGATTGTTCATTTTTGGTACTGGTATACCCTAGAGTTCAGGGGTTCTCATTTGTGGAACGCTCTCCAAGGGAGGCTTGCCTTGTGCCTTCATTGCATATCTTTAGGCAATGGGCAAGCCTTTGGCTTATTAAATATATGGCCTTTTAAACTGGGTGTGTGGGTTACTGTTTTGTTTGTTCTTGTTATGATGTTTTGTTAAACACACACACACTATAAACAGCCATATGATCCTAAGATGAGGGGTGGAATATAAATTTCATAAATAATAATTTCGTAATGTATTTCCTCACCCAATGTTACATTTTTAAATTTTTCCAAGTTGCTGGAAGGCCACGTGTCAAGCGACTAATAAACTGAAATAACAACACCCCAAACAACAATGTAACATCCTCTCAGCGACATAGGAGAGAGAAGAAGAAACAGCCCCCAGCTTTCTCAATGTCTCACAGACTCCGTAAAGTTCGCTCTCTCAGTAGCGAGTCCAGTTCTGGCTCGGCTCTGTGGGTTTTTTTAAAGTAACTTTTTACTGAATTTTATAAACAAGGATCATAGGAATAATAAAGTGTATAAATAAAAAGACCAAGTCTTCTAATGTCATTTGTACATCGCAAAAATAGCATAATAAATTTGCAATAATATCTACAACATATGATTCGTTATTAGTGTCAGTGTACAAACCTTTGGTTTAAATAAGTGGAGTGGGTTAAATAAAAACAGCAAGTGGAAACAGGATAATAATTTAAGAATATTTATTCAAATTTTAAGATTACAAAAAAAGAAAAAATAAAGCAAGAAAAACCAATCACATACATCTTACAAAAGAAACACACCATACAAGAAAAGAAAAAAAAATACACAAGACAAAAAGTCACAATAAAAAATAACAAAAGAAAAATTCAAATTAAACAAACCGTTTTCCCATTTACTTATTTCCGTGACTTCCTCTCACTTCTCTGCTTTGTATTCTAATTCAAATTGTATCTCCAGCAAATCCTTCTAGCCTTCTTTTCATTTACTTATTTTAACATTTTAACATTCAAAAATATTTAATTCTCCTCTATCTTTTAATTTACACTTCATATTTACTTAATTCCATTATACTCTGTCTGCCAATACGGTCTAATATTTCTTCTCCAACCTTTCCTAACATTCTTTTATGTTACAGTGATTCTGAAGATATGTTTTAAACTTTTTCCAGTCTTCTTCCATCAACCCTTCTTCTTGATCTCGGATTCTTCCGGTCATCTCAGCCAGTTCCATATAGTCTATCACTTTTCTCTGCCATTCTTCTCGGGTAGGCAATTCTTGTGTCTTCCAATATTTCCCAATGAGTATTCTTGCTGCTGCTGTCGCATACATGAAAAAGTTCTATCTTCCCTTCGCACCAATTGGCCGACCATGCCCAAGAGGAAGGCCTCTGGTTTCTTTAAGAAAGTATATTTCAATACCTTTTTTAATTCATTGTATATCATTTCCCAGAATGCCTTGATCTTTGGGCACGTCCACCAAAGGTGAAAGAAAGTACCTTCGTTTTCTTTACATTTCCAACATTTATTATCAGGCAAGTGATAAATTTTTGCTAGCTTGACTGGGGTTAAGTACCACCTGTAAATCATTTTCATTATGTTTTCTCTTAAAGCATTACAAGCCGTAAATTTCATACCTGTGGTCCATAACCGTTCCCAGTCAGCAAACATAATGTTATGCCCAACATCTTGCGCCCATTTAATCATAACAGATTTAACCATTTCATCCTGTGTATTCCATTTCAACAGCAGATTATACATTCTTGACAGATTTTTAGTTTTAGGTTCTAACAATTCCGTTTCCAGTTTAGATTTTTCCTCCTGGAAACCAATCTTTTTATCTAAGTTAAAAACCTCCCTTATTTGATAATAATGCAACCAATCTCGAACTTTGGTTTTTAATTTGTCAAAACTCTGCAATTTTAATTTATCTCCGACTTGTTCTAAAATTTCACAGTATTTTGGCCAGTTTGTCTCCATATTTGTTTTTTTCAATGCCTTTGCCTCCATTGGTGACAGCCACCTTGGTGTTTTACTTTCCAACAAATCCTTGTATCTCACCCAAACATTAAACAATGCTTTCCTGACAATATGGTTCTTAAAGGCCTTATGCGCTTTAACTTTATCATACCATAAATATGCATGCCATCCAAAAACGTTATCAAAACCTTCTAAATCCAAAATGTCCACGTTTTCAAGAAGTAGCCAATCTTTCAGCCAGCAAAAAGCGGCTGATTCATAGTAAAGTTTAAGATCTGGCAGGGCAAGTCGGCCTCTTTCCTTTGCATCTGTTAATATCTTAAATTTTATTCTAGGTTTTTTGCCCTGCCAGATAAATTTGGAAATATCTCTTTGCCACCTCTTGAAACAGTCCATTTTGTCCACAATTTGTAGTGTTTGAAACAAAAACAACATTCTAGGCAGTACATTCATCTTTATCGCAGCAATTCGGCCAAGCAATGATAACTTCAATTTTGACCATATTTCTAGATCCTTCTTCACCTCTGACCAACATTTTTCATAATTATCTTTAAACAAATTCACATTTTTAGCAGTCATGTTCACCCCTAAATATTTCACTTTGTTAACAATTGTTAATCCTGTCTCTTTCTGGAACCTCTCCTTCTCTATCTCTGTAAGATTTTTCTCTAATACCTTGGTTTTCATCTTGTTTAATTTAAAACCAGCTACTTGACCAAATTCTTGTATTAATTGTAACACCCTTTTGTGCTAGCTTCTGGCTCCTGTACTGTCAAAACTAAATCATCAGCAAAAGCTTTCAATTTATACTGTTTAGCTCCAAGTTGTATACCTTTAACCAATTGGTCTTTTCTAATCATATTGAGCAGAACCTCAAGGACCGATATAAAAAGCAATGGGGAGATTGGGCAAGTGTGCAAGTGGAAACAGGATAGAACAGTTCACCGGTCCTCCTCTCCGCAGGGGGCGCTGTGGAAATGATCCGTCTTTTTCTCTCTCTCTCTCTCTCTCTCTCTCTCTTTCTCTCTCTCTCTCTCTCCCCCCCACAATTGAAAACACCTCCTCCCCAAGCGGATTGAGAAAGACTTGTTGCGCTGCGTCGCGCAAGGCGTTCCGACTTTCACTTCCGCCCTGAAGAGGAAGGGGCGGGGGGAGTGGGGAAAGGCAGAGCCGAGCCGGATCGACTTCCAGAGAAAAAGGTTGCGGGAAGCGAAGAAAAGGGGAGGAGAGCTTGGAGGCGACCCGATCTGCGCACGCCCCGTCGGCCTTTGCGCCGACTGCGCACGCGCGGGCGGTTGTAACCGTCAGGGCAAGGGAAGAACAGCCCCCACCCCGCTCGCGCCGCCCGAGAATTCAAAGCCGCGCTCGGGACCCTGCCCCTCCCTCCCCTCAGCAACCGTCACTTTCCTGCCGTTGCCGGGCAGGGCTTCCCCTCGTCGCCCTTTCGGCCGCCCTCTGCCCCGCTCGCCGCGTCCTGTCAGGGCGAGGGAAAGGATGCCCGGCGGTGCCTTGTCCCAGGCCAGCCCCGGCGCTGAGTGAGGGAAGGCCGGGCCGGGCGGCGAGCGAGCGGGCAAGGGATGTCGCCGCCGCCCCCCGGCGCTGGGTCCCTCCGTCGCCGCCGCTGCAACAGCAGCCACCACCCCTGGCGGCTCCCGCTGCTGCCTCTGCCCTCCTCCGGTTCCGGGTGTCGCCCGCCGCCGCTCCGGGCCCCGGAGCAACGCCGAGCGGCTCGGCCCCAGCAGTGACTGCCGCCGCTTCCCCTCACAGGGCGCGGGACGGCGCGGGCAGGATGCAGGCGCCGCCGCTGCAGTACGAGTTCTTCAGCGAGGAGAACGCGCCCAAGTGGCGGGGGCTGCTCGTGCCAGCCCTGAAGAAGGTGAGGAAGGGGCGCGGGGGGGGGGAGATCCAGAAGGGGTGGAAAGGCTGCGAGTTTTATAGGAGGTAAATTCGCAAATGCCCAAGGTTTGCTGCATGTTGACATCCACGTGTCATTGGTGACAGCCCCAGGTGAGGACAGATACGTGTGTATGTGTGTGTGTCCCGAATTTGGACGTAAGGCAAGGGAATGCCGACAGGCATGTGTGATAACTGGCAGTGTTCCAGTACTCCGACTTTCACATAATCGGTTTGGGGATAGTCAATGTTTTCATGCGCCTGTGTTGACATCCTGCAAACCTGTCTGCTGTGCTCATGGGTGTCTGTATACTCATTATTCTTCATTAGATTTATATACCGCCCTTCATCATAAGATCTCAGGGCAGTTTGCAGAATAAAATACAAGGTAATGTATGAAGCTTGCAGGGTGACCTTGGGCCTGTCGCTGTCTCTCAGCCTAACCTACCTCACAGGGTTGTTGTGAAGATAAATTGGAGAGGGAGGAGAGCTATATATGCCACTGTGTGTTGGAAGGAAGATGAGATATAAATATAAATGTAATCAATAAACGCCTGCCAGTAGAACACTTGGGGTAGATGTAGCTGGTTTTACACTTCCCAACATGGTCCTATAGGATAGCTACTAAATGATCTGAACTTTAAGTACCAGATGCATGTGCACATGACTTTAAGCAACAACAAAAATATAGCAGTGATATTCTTTAGGAGAGCTGTAGGTGTGATTATCACTTTGCTCCCAAATGGAAGATGGGCAGCATTTTAAATAGTTCAGATGATACTGAATATTACACAAATATATTAATGTGGCATGACAGGTTTTTGAGTTGGTCTTTAATTTAGACTAGAATGTTATGAGTCCTTCAGATATACCTGCCTCACTGAAGAAAATTATGTCATTTGCTGTTGTATTATATTCCAGTATAGTTGCTACCAATATGTGTTTCTTGACAATTAGAGTTAAGTGAAGAAAGTCCTGCTCCATCAGAATCTGTATTGAGCTTGATTAGTTTTTAAACATTATTGACTTATGGCTAGTGCATAGAATTTAATAGGATAAAGGTGGTATTTGTTTTTACTAGATCTGTGTTGCAATTTGTTGTTTAATTTGTTCCCTGGGTGCTTGTGCAGATAACCACTTTTTAAAACACAAGCTAGGTTTACTCTCTTACCTGAACATTGTTCATTTTATCTTGTGAGGTTGGTAACATTTTAACCCATACATAATATCTAGGTGCACTGAACAATTATTACTCACAACTTTGAGAAGCTTGGTTTCTTTATCCTAGGGCAATATTCTAATGATTGGTCTACCAGCCCTAAAATACATGGGCTGTGCTTTATACACATCATGCACCAGTATTTTGAAGCTGAAATAATGCATAAGTGTGTTTGTGTAACTTGAAAACTTGCTTTCCTGATTTTCTCAAAAAGATTCATTAGCCTCATTTATTTTTAAAGCAGGGGCATATTGAAGTTATTCTGAAGCTGTTGTCAAACAAATGTTGTTGTTGTTGTTTAGTTGTTTAGTCGTGTCCGACTCTTCATGACCCCATGGACCAGAGCACGCCAGGCACTCCTGTCCTCCACTGCCTCCCGCAGTTTGCTCAAACTCATGCTAGTAGCTTCGAGAACACTGTCCAACCATCTCGTCCTCTGTCGTCCCCTTCTCTTTGTGCCCTCCATCTTTCCCAATATCAGGGTCTTTTCCAGGGAGTCTTCTCTTCTCATGAGGGGGCCAAAGTATTGGAGCCTCAGTTTCAGGATCTGTCCTTCCAGTGAGCACTCAGGGCTGATTTCAAAAATGAGGATGTCAGGAACTTGGTGGGGAAAAGAGGACTGAGGAAACTTGGTTCAGAGTGTAAAGCAGGGTTGCTGTGTTTCAAAAAAGTAAGTTGTTGAGCTTACTTAGACAAACCCCAATGTTGTTGAGATTTTTTTTTTTACCAAAACGCCCCAAAAAAGTGATTTCTTGGTTTACATGCAGAAGATCTAGGACAAAACAGTGCCTTCCGGAAATTCCCCCCAGACGTCACTTCCACCTTTGAAATCCCAGTAATGTCCTGGACATATGGCAGCCCTAGATGAAGTGACTAGAGATTCTTGCAGTGCAATTCTTTACATGCCTTTACTTATTTGCTGGTAATTTGGTGCATGGGACAGTATTAATTAGCTGCAGCTGATGCTGCATTGAAGCAGGCAAGCTGGACTCTGTGTATACTAAAGCTGTGATTCAGGGTGGGGAGAGAGAGCCAGGCATGCTGCAGGCAGAGGTCTTTCCAGTGATGGGCCAATGCTAGTAGGAGTCACCTCAGAGAATTATGGTACCCCTTTGGTGTCTTCCCTTTGAAAAACCATTGAGGGCTAAGGACCTCACCCACATGAAAGTGACAGATAGATGATGGAAGGACCCTGAGGGAAAAGCAAGTGAGATTATGGGTCAGTAAATGAAAGCTCCCAGGTGAGAGGTGGTAGCAGCGTTCAAAATTCACTGGGCACATTTTGCACCTGGCTATCGGCCAGTTGTGACCAAGTGAAGATACCCAGGCGCCACCAGGATTGTGCCTGATGTTTCCACTATCTGGAGGTGCATGCCTGGGGATCCTTGGATCTTGACTGTTTTCACACACTAGCAACATATCCAGTAGAATTCTATCTGTTATATTTTATCTGCGCTATCAGAATGAATTTAAGGAACCAAAACATTGCATTGAAAAATACAACTTTCAAGCCGTCTGGCCCCTAAAAGACAACTAGACATTCGGTTTTGGCAAATAAGATTTCTACCTCCCATTGATTTTTTTGAATCCACCTATATTAAAGTATAAAGCCAGATGTAACTTTTCAAATTTTCTAATCATGTTCTCTTCTAACTACCCTTACTGAACATTAATTCCTCCTTCTTGTCTTTTCAGAACAGCACAATGGTTAATTCTACCCATAATTAACTTTAACTAATACTTGCAAACTCTCTTTTAACCTTGGTTTTATTTAAACTCTGTTTGCTTTAAACTAAAGTTAGTGTTAACATCAGTTAGAGATAACTGGGTAATTAGGTGTTGAAGAGATTTCACTAGCCTGTTCCATACTCCCAATCCCCTAGCCATGGATAGGAGATCAGGGGTGTTACATTTGGAGTGGCTTTAGTGAGAACTTTATAGAACTACTTTAAGGTAAAAAGAAGTTTATTTTTAAAATGTTCACACATATTGACCATACTTGCTTTAAATTTTCTATTACCGCAGTCACAGTTAAAAATTAATGTGGTTACAGTTTTGATAACAATAAATACTCGTAAGTTTTAAGGCCTTAATAGACGTTTGATTACATTACATTTTGTTTGAGACAAAAAGATTACAGATTTATGCTGTGTTGTGTTTTGTGTGCCTGAAAGATTCATTTTTTTATTGTATTTATCACACTTTCTTCATTGAAGTATGGACCTGGGTTAAGCACTTAAGAACCAGTGATTTCAGTGTGATTTAAACAGGGTTTGGGTAATATCAATGTATTTTTAGTGCTTAACCCTGGGTCAGTAACCCAGGGAGTATAAAATACAGTTTTCAAGTGCCCAGTGCATTTTACTTGTTAAGTCGTATTCTAGTCTAAAATGTCCGCTAACTTCATTTTACTTGAGACATACATACTTCAGATTTCAGTGGACCTCTAGCTTTGTTATGCAGTGGGACCGATTACCTATTAGTTGTCTGGGGAAAATAGTTTTACAATATCCTTATATGTGGTGGCATTTAGAACAAAGGTGACTTAAAGTTCAGACCAACATTTTTTGTTAGTCCTATTATTTGCGTACACAGTAATGTGTTTTATCCTGTAAAAAGAATGGACAGTATATCCAATATTAGTTATACTTAGAATATATTAATTGAAATAATTGGACTTAAGTTCTGAAATTCATTGACTTTGATGGGTCTACTATGAGTATGGCATCATTGGATACCACCCAATATAAGTAAGGTTTAATTTCACTATTTTAGAGGTAGAATGACAGCTGTTAAACATATGCCCTCAAAATCCTTTAATAAAAGCTGAAATATGGAGTGCTAGACAGCATTTTTCTATCGACAAAATTTTAAAAAAGAAAACAGTGCCATGTTTCAGGTGGCTTAAAATGATAAAATACCCTTCTCCAACTTGGCACACTCTGAATGTTTTGGACTGCAACCCCCATCGTCTCCAGTGGACATCTGGAAGACACCAAGTTGAGGGGTGCTATAAGACTTGCACGAGCACAGCTTAGACTTCATGTTTAAATGTCACCTGTTGCATTTTATTAGTTTGACTGTATGCCTAGCAAATGTGTAATTCTAATTTTATCTGTAATACAGTGGTCTTGATGACTAACATGTAGTGTTGCATTTAACTTTGCTGTTGAAATTGTTTTATAGAGTAACCTTGGTTCTCTTGGCTAGAAATTGTGAATTAAAAATGGCCCCCTCTACATTTAGAAATCTAAAATAAACTTGTTGGAGAGGCTAATACTTTCAGAAAGCAGCCTATGCTGATATCTGTATTCACATCTGTATCTATTTCATATATGTATTTAGGCTACTACCTGCTCTTCTGGCATGATTGCTTTTAACTGGCTACCATATTGCCATCACAAACATATCCACGCAGTTGTCTCCTTTTATTACCAGAATGGTGCCATTCTGGCTAGAAACAGCAACAACAGTGTGATCCTGCTCGTATTTACTCAAGCATAAAATCTCACAGAGATCAAACTTACTGCCTAGAAATATGTTTAGCATTACAGCCTAATTCAGTGGGACTGAATTATAGATATTTTAAAAAGCAGAAAAATCAGGTCTTCATGTTTGGGCAAAGGGCCCAAATAAAGAAAAAACTCAGGAAGGGAGCAAGAAGTGAAACCTAAAACTGGTGTGAGCCTGTTTTAACTGTAAGTGGATTCCTATTGGAATAATCTTAGTGTAGATCTCTTAGTAGTGCACTACTTTGATTTCTTATTTGGCAGGCACTAAATGTTGCTTGCCTTGCCAGGTATATAGGGCTAAATCTGTAAACATAGACTAAAATAAGATCTTAATGGAGGTGAGAGGAGATTTTAGCTTGCAGTGAAGTTTTCAGAGACAGGTCCTTGAAACATATATTCACACAAAACATACAAATTCCTTACCAACAGTTGGATACCATTTTTGTATTAACTTTTGTTCTGCTGAAATTAATACTTCTTTGCCATGGGGTGCATTCATGCATGCCTTTTTCTTTGTACTATTTATGTTTGTAAAACAGCATCAAGTCAATTTCAACTCCATGTGAGAATTACAGCAGTATTACAAATGGATGTTTTCTGTAACAATGAGTAAATTATTGAATTATTGAACGTACATAAACGTACGTGCTCCTGGGAAGGTTTATTGGGCCAGGTGTCACCAGATATGTATGCACATGTATTATTACTTCCACACTTTAAACATTTGCTGTAGGCAGCACTTTTGTAAGACTAGTGTTTTCTGTAGTGGTTGTAATGTATAGCACTGCTTTTAAATAACAGGATTTCTATTACCTGGAAAGGAAATACTGTGCTTCAGTTTAGGAAATATTTGCTTCTTAAGCTAAAGCTAATTTCACCATTTCTAGAGGTCATAATAGCACCTGTGACAAAGTACATCATGGACATTGTCCTCCTGGTTCTCTTGTTTGGGTAACATTACATGTTGGATAATAAAGGATAACCAATTATCAGTGCAAAACAGTCTACTTCAATGCGGTGAGATTGCATTAAAGACCAAGTACTGTTCTGTAGTTTCTTCAAGCCTAAAACCATCAGGAACAAACAGTGTCTTTTAATATGTAGCAGTGACAATGTATCTTATTTTTCCTTAATTCCAGACATTTGGGGGGAGTTTGTATTGAAAACACAAAGTACACAATGTGCTTTTTTCTTGCACATGGCAATCAGTACAGAGATTCCCCCTCCTCTTATGTGAGTTTCACCCTTAGGAAAAAGGTCTTCTTTAGTGTTTGGAATTAGAGGCTCTTTTCCTTAGGCTTCTAGCCATTCAGAGAGGCAACCTCTGGTTTGATTGCAGTGGAGAAGAAAGACACCTCTTCACCTTGTGCATTGTCTTCCTTGTAATAATGGGTTTAAACGCTGCCATTAGTAATTGGGAAAAGAGCAACATGTTGATGGAGTTTAGGGGTCTAGACATTTTGGCTGGGCTTGATAGCCAGTCATTCCCTTGGATCCCAATTACAGTGGTGCCCCGCAAGACGAATGCCTCACAAGACGAAAAACTCGCTAGACGAAAGGGTTTTTTGTTTTTTGAGCTGCTTCGCAAGACTATTTTCCCTATGGGCTTGCTTCACAAGACGGAAACGTCTTGCAAGTTTGTTTCCTTTTTCTTAACACCGTTAATACAGTTGCGACTTGACTTCGAGGAGCAACTCATAGAACGCGGTGTGGTAGCCTTTTTTGAGGTTTTCAAAGACTTTGGTGATTTTTGAAGCTTTTCCAAAACTTTCCCGACACCGTGCTTCGCAAGATGAAAAAAATCGCAAGACGACAAAACTCGTGGAACGGACTTCCGGGGTGGCGCCATCGGCAATGGCGGACTCCCTCTGAACTGGAGGGACCAGCTCCGCGCGAAACGGGTCTTTTCCGCTGCGGTGAAGCGGAGACCCTTCTATAAATCACAGGCGGATAAAGCCTGTGACCGTGGGTCTCGGCGGGCACCCTTAGCGCCCCCCCCAACCCGCAAAGGAACCCACTAATGGGCTCCGAAGCGAAGAGGGGAAAGTGGCGCGGTGCTGTGAGTCAATTGCTTTTTCCGTGGAGCGAAGCCGCATAGCCGTTGCCGGAGAGCACTGCCTTTTTCTTGGGACAATTTGGCATCTAAAATAATCACCCGTGAGTACTTAAACATTGAACAATTGGACTTTAAATAAGAACTGACGAGCAGAAAGGAATTGGACTTAAAAATTCACTTCAATTTGGTACTGAAACGGGAAGGTCTAAACAGGAAGTCAGCCTTCCGTTTCTTTGTAGTCAGAGTAAAGCAAAGACAACGTAAACTAGAGCTTAGAAAATTATTTTCAAAGGATTGGCTTTCATCATTTAAAATTGTTGAACCCCCCTTCGGTAGCAGGAGAAGAAGGGGGATCTTTTTTGGACTGTTTAAACCTGCAGAAGTGAGTCTAAAGCAAAGTAACTTTCCACCGTCCTGATCCTGGAGCGGGGTGTCAGAATTGACGTTTGAAGCTCATTGACCAGAGACAAATGTTTTTGACAGATAGCTAAAAGAAGAGTAACATTGTGATTTCATTGTTTCCTTTCGCATTTTAAAGGAACAAATATTGACAAAATATCTTAAAAAGAAACTTTGTTGCTATTGTCCTTAAAAGAAAGAACAACCAGAACCTTTCCCACTAGAGGGGGACTGTGAAATTGTAACTAATTCTAGGGAGCTTGCAGCTGCCACAGATTACAACCGTGGGAAAGGACTTGTGACCTTGTAGGACAATGCTTTCAGAAGCTCTGTTGTGCGCTCTCTGTAAAATAAATGCCCTATTGGATCTGTTAAGTCAGAAGACGGATTTGATGACTAATGCGGTCAGAACTTTTGAACAGGTAGTGGGAAACTATATGGAGCCCACCCAGGAACTAAAACAGGAGTGTGCCATGACAGAACAGATGAGAGAAGAGGATGCTGCTGAATCTTGGGCGCCAGAAAGGGAGGGATTTTCGGCCCTGCAGGAATATGAGTCTTTGGATTTGACAAATGAACTTGGAAAAAACCAGATTTGGAAAGATAAAGTTTGGTTTGGTTTGGAAATGGGGGGTTGGACTGACCCCCCCATGCAGGGATGTTTGGACTTTCCGAGTCTGGCAATGGGCCGTCAGATGTTTGGAGCTGTGGGGGCTCTCAATTTTGGAGGGAATCTGAAACATGTCTTCAAATACCACATGGAGTTTAGTCTGGACTATGGAAAAGGGGCTGATTTGTTGAAAAGGGTCAAAAACATTATCAAGCTGGAGTTCCCACGAGTGAAAGGAAAATATGAAGAAGAGCTGCGGAAGGGACATGGAAGAGACTTGACGGCCTCGGATATAAGATCACCAGGTTAATGTGCTAGATCAATGGGATAAAAAGGACTGACAAAACCCGGGACCAGGAGGAAGGGATGCTGGATGAAGATTGGATTGTTCTTATTTCTTTTTTTACCATCAGGATTGTTTTATAAAATTGATGAATGTTAGAAAAATGTTGAAATGAAATTACTTGGCTCTTGTAAAAATGTTTAAAGAATTAGGTAAGAATGTTATGCTTATGAGAAGTTGGTAAAAATAAGATTTAAGTTTTAAGCTTTAAGGTTTTCTATAAGATAAGATGAAAATAGATTAAGGTAATGTAATGACAGAATACTATGAATTATGGAAAGGATTTGCTGCGAAAATTATTAATTAGGATACAAGAAAAGGGAGGAGGAGGAGGTCAAAGAAAGAAGGTAATGAAAGTGGAGAATTTGAGAATGATGGTTTTTTTTATTTTTTTATTTTTTTGTCTTTTTCTTGTAATTTTTTAAAAAAATTCAATAAATATCATTTAAAAAAAAACAAAAAAAACTCACGGAACGAATTAATTTCGTCTTGCGAGGCACCACTGTAAGTTAGTTGCACTTAGTTAAGTCGTGACTAATGTGCCCTGCTGGTTTTAGTTAATTGAGTTTGGATCCAGCCCATTGTTTGTAGTACCTAGTGATTTTTCACTCCCTCACTCCTAAGAGCAAAAGTCAAAGCAGTGTTTTTATACCAACTGTCCAGACAGTTGGTTTTGCAGACCACTTATTGTAGGTGTTGTTTATAGCAAGCAGCCCCTCTCTTACAGGCCATGACACTGTTTGATCCTAACACAATATGCAGTGTTGCTTCACTCAACACTTACTTAACTTACAGAATTAGCCAGCATTCAAAATTAAACCAGCATGAGTCTTTTTTGTGACTCAAGGGCGCCATCTAGTGACCATGTTCAGCCCAGCACATGGAGGGAGGAATGAGCCACATCGGCCCCAGCGGAGGCCGCTTGTTCCTCCCACCAGGCGCTGGCGGCAGAGGGAGTCCCACCACCACCAGCACCCAGCTCACTGAGGGAGTCAGGAGCAGGCAAGTTCCACCCACGATACACCACCAGGTGAAGGCGCTATTGCGCTCTGGCTCTCAATCCGTTCCTGGGCAATGTATCAATACATTGCCCGGGCCTAGGTGTCATCTGCAAATTTGATGAGCATCCCCTCAATTCTTTCATCTAAGTCATTTATAAAGACATTGAACAACAAAAGGCCCACTTGGACAGAATCCTGCGGCACCAACACTTGTCACTTTCCCCCCAGGATGACAAGGAACCATTAAGTACTCTTTGGGTTCAGTCAGTCAACCAGCTACAAATCCACCTAACAGTTACCTTGTTCAACCCACATTTTACCAGCTTCCTCACAAGAATATCATTCCACAGGGAGGGTGCCACTACCGAGAAGGCCTTCTGCCTTTTTCACTGTAACTTAATTTCTCACAGTGAGGGAACCATCAGAAGGCCTTCGGAGCTGGACTTCCATGTCTGGGCTGAATGATGGGGATGGAGACGCTCCTTCAGGTATACAGGGCCAAATCTGTTTAGAGCGTTCCGCTCAGTTAAGAGAAAACAGGAGTGAATGGTTACAAACAGCAAACAGAAGCATCTCATCTCTTTCCCTTTGCATGTCTAGAGGGGGGTGGGAATGCACAAGCTCAGATTGCACCTGCTCATTCAATAAGATGGTTTGTCATTAGGTCTAAATCAGGCCATTCTGTGACTCCTCTTCTCGCTTGTCTCCCTCTTCTGCATAAAGTGAATGCACACAAAGTAAAAGATCAGCTAACATGTAGAAAGAGCTTAGGCTTGTTTCAGTTTGCACAGACCTTCAGTTTTGACATCCATGAGACTCAAAATGAAACTTGATAATTGAAGCTAAGTATCTTTTAGACAATGGCCTTGTTAGCATGTAATGATAAGTCAGACTTCTGGAGTATATTGGTTTATTGTGTAAACAAACAGCATGCTGGTGTACAGTACTCCTCCCTGGTGCAAGTAGAGTAAACAAAACAAGAAGCTGGTGCTTCCTGTTATGTTTGAATCAGAGTTTGTGGTTTATTTTTTCCAAACAAGTACAGTGACTAGCCAACCTTGCTGATCATGGCTTCTCCAGATGATGATCCTTCATTCAAACATAGTTTGAAGCCAAGGCTTCCTGGTTTGTTTATCTGGTTTGCACCTGGAGAGGAGCCATCGGGCTGTATGCAGCAGCACAGTGGCTTCCCAGTTTCACACCCCACACCCACACTCATTAACCACTTGAAAATTGCTGAGTGACAACATGGACCACTTAATGATTTGTAGCAATTGTACTGTGCCAGATGCTATATGATTTGCATAGAATTCAAATTGTAATGCAATAAAAGGAGATACAGGAGAACTTTTGTTGCTGCTACTGGCACAGTTGGATCTCACCCAGTTTCATATTTTAAAAGCAAAGTATATAATTTTTGTGTGTGTTCAGAGTCTTGTAAGATGCTCTTGAGAACTTTTGTATGATAAGCGCATTTGTTTATTTTATGTTGAATGTAGGTTCAGATGCAAGTCCACCCTAAGCTGTCATCTACTGAAGATGCCTTGCAGTATGTTGAGGAGTTAATACTGCAGTTGCTGAACATGTTATGCCAAGCTCAGCCAAGAAGCTTCCTGGATGTAGAGGTACAAGAAGAGTTTGTAGCTATTTATGCACTACTGTTATTTGCTGCTGCTGATATATTATTAATTCAGTCATTCATCATTGGATTATTAACACTTTGTTTTGTTTACAATATTGTATTAAATTATTTGGTTCTTCTATATCTTTTATTATTACCTTATTCTGATACCTTGTGAGCTGTTTTGGGTACAAATATATTATGGGAAAGCAGCATATAAATTAATTAATAATGAGGATTCTGATTTTGACCTTTTATTGGGGGGTGATAAGTTTGGAAAATTATTAGCAAATATATAGATTTGTTATTAATGTCTCTGTTCTTACACAAATTAATAATGTTTCCATAACCAAACTAGATATCTTTCAGTGACTTAAGATATTGTAAAAAAAAATGTTATGTGCTGATTATATATTTAGCTGCAATTCCTATTTTTTAAAAGGATCGTGTACAAAAAAGCTTTCCCCATCCTATTGATAAGTGGGCAATAGCTGATGCACAGTCTGCAATTGAAAAGAGGAAGCGAAGAAATCCATTATTTCTCCCAGTAGAAAAAATTCACCCATTGTTAAAAGTAAGTATTCTAAATTTAGTGTATAAAATGTTGCAAAATTAACAGAAGTTACCCATTTGTTCTTCAAAGCTGAATTACTTCCTATAAAGACAAATTTTTAAAAACCACTGTACCTAGATTTCACTCAAATCTATAAATCTTATTAAAGTAATCTCTGATCCTAGCTAGTAAGAGATCTAACTAGAATTCAATAAATCTTAGCTGGTGTAATTTGACTGCCACAATCTTACACTTCCCTTGACTTGGAAGCAATACCTGCTTGATTAGGCCATGGGCATCCAGTCCAGCACTTTGTTCTTATAGTGACCAACCAGCTGTCTGTAGGAAGCCTGCAAGCAGAACCTGAGCCCAACAGCATTCTCACTACTTGCAGATCCCAGCAACTGGTATTCAGAGGCATAAGCGTTAATATTGGTCTCATATTTTAAAGCCATCCAGTTGGTGGGGATCACTACTACTTGTTGGAGTGAATTCCATAGTTTATAGACTTTCTTTTGTCTCCCCTGAATCTTCCGGCATTCAGCTTGATTGGGTATCCCCAACTTCTAGCATTTTGAGAAGCAAAAGATAGAGAAAATTGTTTCTTTATCTCCACTCCACGGACAATTTTGTACACCTCTATCCTGTCCCCTCTTACTCATCTTTTAACTGAAAGCCCCAAATCTTGTAATCTTTCCTCATAGCAAATTTGCTCCACCTCCTTGACCATTTTTGTTGCCTTTTCTGAACCTTTTCCAGCTCTACAATATCATTTTTTACGTGAGGCAACCTTTTTGACATGAGGCAACACAGTATTCCAAGTTATACAAATATAGATTTGTATAACAGTATTATATGTTTTATGTTCATTAGCTTTCCTAATGATCCCCAGCATTATATTTTCACGTTTTACAACTGCAGAACACAGGGCTGGATACAAGTCTATAATAATTGCTGTGCCATTTGACTAATAAGAAATATATTTAAGTTACCGTATTTTTCGCCCCATAGGGCGCACCGCCCCATAGGACGCACCTAGTTTTTTGGGGGGGGGGAATAAAGAAAAAAAAATTATTTTCCCCCCTGGCCCGAGCTTCCCCCAATCCCAGCCCCGAGAACAGCCTGCTATCCGCAAGCCTAGGGAGGCCAGCGGTAAGTCGCGCCGGTCTCCCCAGGCTTCGGAATGCAGGCAGCTCTGCGCAGCCATCGGGAGGCGGGCGCGACTTACCCCTCTCGCTCTCCAGGCTTCAGCGAAAGCCTGCATTCGCCCCATAGAACGCACACACATTTCCCCTTCATTTTTGGAGGGGAAAAAGTGCGTCCTATTGGGCGAAAAATATGGTACTTTGTTTGGTGTTAACAATTACGATGCTCCTGTCACCAGTAACTCAACATTTCAGCAAAAGCATTATTGTTAGAACTAAATTGTTGTTAGCTGTCTAAAAATGACCATGCTTATATGACACAGGAGCAAATTGGTGTAGATGTTTAAAAGCATGAATTTATTAGGTGCATTTGTGTAACCCAACATACTAGAATAAGTTATTTCTCTTTCAGGAAGTTCTGGGCTATAAAGTTGACCACCAAGTATCTGTTTACATAGTGGCAGTATTAGAATACATTTCTGCAGATATCTTAAAGTTGGTTGGGAACTATGTACGGAATATTAGACATGATGAAATTACAAAACAAGACATCAAGGTGGCAATGTGTGCTGATAAGGTAGGTAGAATTTATATTTGTAATTACTAAAGGTTTTAGATCCAGAAGAGTCCTTCCACAAACAACATGGGTCCATAAACAGAAGGGGCTTTGATCTTGCATGAGTGGAAGGGGGGAAATGATATACAGCCATAGCTTGGATCTCGAACGACTTGCAAGACGAACGTTTTGGGTCCCGAATGCCTCAAATCTGGAAGTGATTGTTCCGGTTTGCAAACTTTCTTTGGAACCCGAACATCCGTAGCGACTTCCATGGCTTCTGATTGGCTGCAGGAACCTTGGTTTCCAAACCATTTTGGAAGTCGAATGGACTTCCAGAATGGATTCCATTCGACTTCCAAGGTACCACTGTAAAGGTAACTCGCATCTTACTTTTATTTTACTTAAGCCATTGCATAAGTGAGGCAGAATATATAGAGAAAGGAGGAAACCCATTCCCCATTTATTTATCTCCCCGCCCCCAAGCTGTAATTGCTTTGGGAAAGCAGCAGGAGGGCTTTGGGACACTGCCAGAGCCTTTGCACATCTTCCCCAAATCCATGTAAGCAGCTCTCCACCTAGTGGGGTGGGGCGGTTCCCAGAGTCCCTGGCTTTATGTGTTTATGCATGTAACCCTGGAACCTAACCTTTGTGTAAGATGCAAGTTACCTGTACTCTGTGATCTGCCATCTCTCATGCTGTTCTGCAGAATCCTCCAGCTGTTTAGAGCAGATTTTCAAGAGGTTGCAAGAGCACGGGTAATTAGGCAGAAGTTGCCTCCTTTGCCCCTTTATTGTTTCAGTGATTAATGGTATTTGCATACTGATTAATTGTTATGAATGGAGCTCAATAATAGATACAATAATAGATATTAAACCAGCCCATATCTGGGCAAGAAGAGAATCTGTTCTATTTTCTATATTAAATTTCTCCAGTTTCTCAGGTCACAAGTGAGATTTATTGACATCAAATTTTAACCCTCCAGTGGAAGGCACTTTCACTTGTGTAGTGGAGCTTTCACTGCCTCTGTGCCTCCTCCCGCCCCAACTCTCTGCAGCCCCAAACCCACAAGAGCAGAGTTGAGCAATGCTGGGGGGAAAGGGGAAGTCCTGTTGCACATAAAAAGTTCACGTGTGATGTTGGATTTTACCCTTTTTAAAAAAAAAATTCTAATGGAGTCTGGTGAATTTCTTTTGCTTCAGTCAATATTGAACTTCTGTATCCTAATTATTCACACTCTAACAGTTTAATATTCATAGTGAACCCCTCAGCTAAATTATATCTGGATTTCCATTTATTAATTTTAAATATATACTTTTCACTATATGCCTCAAAGCAGCTTACAGAAAGAATAAGCATACAATATACAAAAGCCTAAACATATAATAATAAGCTAAATCATCAGAAAGTAAAAAAACACAAAGCAGCATTCATAGTGCAAAACCCCTCTGTAGTAAAACTGTGTTAACCTGGCATCTGGAACTTAGCAGGGGTGGTGCCTGCTCAGCCGCTTGTTGTGCCGCAGGTGGTTTTCTTGTTCATACGGGATTATGAATAATTCTGCCTCCGAAGATCTCAATGATCCTGGGCCCAAGTTGTTCAGGGCTTTGTACACCGATAGCGAAAACCTTGAATTAAGCTCAGTAGCAAGTGTATCTTAGAAGACTAAGTCTGGGGAATATAGAATTTAGATTTTTCTCTTCCCTTTATGGTCATGACACTAGGTACTTTGAACGACTTTAGGTGAAGCAACCTAAACTTAGATGTATGACTGCCAGTCTCCTAGAGACTGGGATCATACACAGCACAGCTTGCCTTCTTCTATATTTGATTTCAGCTTGGTTAGTAACAGTTTTATTCCCCAGGGCTCGCTTTAACTTCGATTACATCTTTTCTCAAAAGTTATTACTTGCCCCCATCTTTATTTAAATAGGTGTTGATGGATATGTTCCATCAGGATGTAGAGGATATTAGTACGCTGACTTTATCTGATGAAGAACCCTCTACTTCTGGAGAACAAACCTACTATGATCTTGTAAAGTCATTCATGGCAGAGGTTCGACAATATATAAGAGAACTAAATCTTGTAATAAAAGTTTTTAGAGAACCTTTTATTACCAACCCTAAGCTGTTTTCAGGTCATGTAAGTACTGCTATTTAATTTTATTTTGATATGATTGTTTTGGAAAAGCCTATTCAGTCTGAGTCGTGTACAGCCTTAGCACAAAAACTTAATGAGCATAAGCATTTGAAAACCAAAAAATACTGTAGCCCTGTTTACAAGCTTAAATTCATGTATCCTCTACTGTGTGGGTGGGTGGGTGGTTGGATGTGTGGAAGCAGGAATGTGGTCATTGCTGCCCTGGACAGAAGGTTAGCATATACATTTAATAAATGAATTAGCAAATCCACTCCATCATATTCTCAACAGCCTGTCTCTGCACTCACCCACAAGTTAGTGCTGAACGTCTGTAGCTTGCCATCCATGTGTAAGGGTCATTATATGATTTGGAATCCTGCAGAATCAAGGTTGTGAAAAATGCAGAGAGCATGGACAAATAAAGCAGGCTCCTCGATGCAGACATTCACTTTGCCTGTATGACAGGATGTAAAGCTAGTGAGTGCATCCTTCCTCACATTCAAATTTAAACCCTGAAAACATTTGTATAAATGCTATTTGAGGTGCTAGTATAGTCAATCCGGTTACAGGTGCCATCACACAGATACATACATACATATATTCACTTAAAACCTTTATCAGACAATCAAGTGACTAGCAGGACAAATTCCTGAAGACTGATTTACATCTTAATTCATGGTTATATGTAAACCAGCTTGCTTCTGCCTCTTTGGAGACCTGAAACAGGATATTACCCCCTCAAACCTGCCCTCATTACAGGTATCATAGATTTTCTAATGTCCCATTATCAATCCAATTAAGGGTTGGGATCTAAAGAGTCCTGGTTCCAAGTGAAAGACACATCTGCGCATAACTTGGGGAGAGGGCAGGAGAGATTTTTCTTTAGTCAAAAAGTGAATGCTTGTTAGGAAAGCCAATACTTGTACATTTTTTTCTTATGTCTTAAATAGTCGCCATGAAATCTGTATTATTCAGGTTCTGCAGTATTTATTCTTGCTTTGGTTGACTAACTCCCACCTCCAATTACTATTTATCAATCCATTCATTTTTGCAGGATGTAGAAAATATATTCAGTCGAATATCAGATATTCATGAACTTAGTGTGAAGTTGTTGGGCCATATTGAAGACACAGTCGAAATGACAGATGAAGGTAGTCCCCATCCCTTGGTTGGAAGCTGTTTTGAAGATTTAGCTGAGGTAGGTAATAGTATTTATAGATTTGTTGCTTATATGCTGTTGTTGTTTAGTCGTGTCCGACTCTTCGTGATCCCATGGACCAGAGCACGCCAGGCACCCCTGTCTTCTGCTTATATGCTACATATTGCTAATAAATTCTAGACGTATCCTATAAACTGCAATAAAATATATCCGTAATGCCGTACTCTTAAGCAGTTTATGTTGGCTAAAAATTTCAACTGCATGACTTAGAGGGATAGATTACTTGTTAGAAACCAGTTACCATGTACACAGATAGCTGTACATGTTCTTCTACTTCTAGTGTGTTTCGGTATATAATCTTTAAGGGGGAAAAAATCTCTTCTCGCCTCCAAATATTTATTGATTAGACAATACTACTTATTAGTTCATAAATGAATTATATCCAGTTACTTTAAACCAGGCTTCCTCAACCTCGGCCCTCCAGATGTTTTGAGACTACAATTCCCACAATCCCTGACCACTGTTCCTGCTAGCTAGGGATCATGGGAGTTGTACGCAAAAAACATATGGGGGAGCCGAGGTTGAGGAAGCCTGCTTTAAACTCTGTCATACGTAGGTTGCTTTATTTTCAAACATTTTGTCTTATCTCGTATTAATTTCTTTCTATATAACTTCTATATCATTTATAATCTATTTATTATTATCTATATATAATATAATTTAATTATACTCTTAAGCATTGTATATTAATAAACTGAGTGATTAATTTCAGTTGCAATCAGGAGCCTGTGTGTTGTTTTGTTTTGTTTTGTTTTGTTTTGTGTTTTGCTTTGTTTTGTTCTACCATATAAGCTTTACTCCCTATTCCACTGAGTTGCTAATGACCGAAACAAATTGGAATCCAATGAATGTTGGTGCATTGGCCAGTTTCTGGTATGGTATGCACTAATATTGATTGGGTTCCCAAATTAAGATAAGGCAGTAAACATATTCCTATCTATCTGTCTATCTATCTACCTACCTATCTGTATATTGCATGATAGCATTGAAACAGTGTTTGAGTAAACTGAAATATTCTAAAATCCTTTATTTAGGAGCTAGCATTTGATCCTTATGAATCGTACACTCAAGATATTTTGCGGACTGGTTTTCATGACCATTTTCTTAGCCTACTGTCAAAGCCTGGTGCAGCATTCTATTTACAGGTATGTTAAGTAGTAAAGTTTACAATGCAGATGATGCAATAATTGGACTTGTTTGTGAAACTGAAATATCTTTTCATTTCTAGTCAATAGGAGATGGTTTTAAAGAAGCTGTTCAGTATGTTTTACCCAGACTGCTTCTAGTTCCTGTTTACCATTGCCTTCACTATTTTGAACTTTTAAAGGTAAGAGAGTGGTAGACATGATTGCATCTAATATTTCAAAGATTTTATGTTTGATTTTAAATAGCATTTGCAGCCCACTTATATTGTCATGTGATCTTGCTTTTGGCACTGGGGTTTTTCTGAAGAACAGTGCACAATTAGCAAGTAGAGTGCTGATGTAGGTAAATATGAATTTACAGTGTTCATATGCCACACTTCATAAAATCTTGTCCCAAGGTGGTTGATATAATTAAAAGATACAAGATACAAAAAAAAAAATCAAAATCAAATAAAACAGTTAAACTTCAAAGTGATTTTTTCCCCTACAAAACCAGTGTTTAAAATAGGAGACCTTAAAGGGATTAAAACATTTTGATCTGACACCTACATGGTAGTAAAAGGCACAAGGCAAATGCATCTGGGATTTTAAAAAGTTAAATTACAGTCAAGAGAATAGGGTGAGTTGTATATCTTGGGTGTTAAAGGGGTATGAATGTGCTTCTTAAGCCTACAAAGAATAAAACATAATGAAGATGCCTGAAACACCTCTGGGGGAAGGGGATTTCACAACTTAGACACTGGGATGTAGAATTACACACTTAAGTTATAGACTGGAAACAGTCTGTTATTGAAAACTGAGCACCTAGATTTTAATTAAAGCTAGATGTTGGACTCCTCAGTTTGGCATCTTTACTTGCAACCATTTATCTTTCTTAGTCTCCTTTCTCCAAGTTAACACTCTTAACTTAAACTGATAGCAGTTGGCAGCCTCTATCTCAGTGTCTCAGTACTATGATTCCTTCCATGGAATGTGAACACTTGAGCAGGCTTCATGAGCCCTTCTCATAGATTGCTACCATATTATTTGATCTCTTAAGGGACTGTGACAAATTTTTTGCTGCTGAAGGATGAAATCTGATTTGTAAACTTATGTAGAAGTATTAACTATTATTTTTACTTTCGTAGCAATTAGAAGAGAAAAGCAAAGATCAAGAGGACAAAGAGTGTTTGAAGCAAGCAATTACAGCCCTACTTAATCTTCAGAGTAGTATGGAAAGGATATGCTCAAAAAGTCTTGCAAAGAGAAGACTTAGGTAAATGCATTTCCACCCCCCACCGCACCCCTCGCTTTTAGCCTGGTTTGTTGTTCTATAAAGCCAGGCTTTCCAGTTTCCTCTTTCAGTAAACAATGAACAAAGCAGTTTGTGGCAAGCCTACTTTTTCAAAGGAAGTGACATCAAAGTCCAGATAGCTATTGTTTTCAGAGTCTCTGATATGTGTGTGTCCTTGTACACTTCTAGTGAATGCATCTTGAGAATCTTCTGGTAAGCAGCAAGAAAAAAGGTTTTTCATTAGCTGTTAAGAAATAAAAATACCATGCAGAACCATTTGAAATGCCTAACAATTTTTCTGTTAACTCTTGATGCAGTTATTGTAGCGTGCACTGTATTTAAAGTAAACAACAGTGTGGTGTCAGATTTTCTTTCAGATGCTTACAATCTTAATCAGGAAATATTACTTGCCACTTTACTGTTTAATCAGAATTGATTGGTTAACTGGAATTCTGTATTAGGCATATAATTTAAACATTAACAGTGACCATAGCACTTTCAGGTCTGGAACGTTTGAAGCTGGCTCATGGAACATACTTTGAATACTTCTTCAGGCTAATTGTTTTCAAAGTTAAGCCTGCATTAGTTATTTTTTTGCTAGTATGTGCAGCTGCTGTTTGAATTAATGTCATTTTGTTTCTCTTTCAAAGTGAATCTGCATGCCGGTTCTATAGTCAACAAATGAAGGGAAAGCAGCTAGCGATCAAGAAAATGAACGAGATCCAGAAGAACATTGATGGTTGGGAGGGTAAAGATATAGGACAGTGCTGCAATGAATTTATAATGGAGGGGACTCTCACACGTGTGGGTGCCAAGCACGAAAGACATATATTTCTCTTTGATGGTTTAATGATTTGTTGTAAATCAAATCATGGCCAGCCAAGATTGCCTGGTGCTAGCAATGCAGAATATCGTCTGAAAGAAAAGTTTCTCATGAGGAAGGTACAGATCAATGATAAAGATGACACTAATGAGTACAAACATGCCTTTGAAATAATTTTGAAAGATGAGAACAGTGTTATATTTGCTGCAAAATCGGCAGAAGAGAAAAACAACTGGATGGCAGCCTTGATCTCCTTACAGTATAGAAGCACCCTGGAGCGAATGTTAGATGTAACAATGCTACAAGAAGAGAAGGAGGAACAGATGAGATTCCCAAGTCCTGAGCTTTATAGGTTTGCAGAACCTGATTCTGAAGAGAATATTGTTTTTGAAGAAAACATGCAGCCCAAATCTGGAATTCCTATTATCAAGGCAGGCACTGTTGTCAAACTCATTGAGAGACTTACATACCATATGTATGCTGGTAAGGAATTTTTCCAGGTCTTTAAAATATCTGAATTTATGTTTGTGTGAATTTTCGTTTATTAGTATCTTCTATCTTTCATACACCCAGAGAATCAAGGTGGTATAGGTTTCTGATAAAAGTGGCAGTTTGTAAAAAAACTTTTAGCAGTATCCTTGAGTTGAGTGACTATGCCTCTAGTTACACCTGTCCAGTAGCTCAGATGCTGGATCATTTTATCTCTGAGATAAAGAACAAAAAGCATACATCCAGTTGATGAGCATTAATATCCTGTTAACATTAACAAACCTACAGAGAACTAGAGCCGTTCTTTAGGAAACAGACTCAATTGAAATGTCATGTCAGCTGTGCTAGTATACATGCAGAAGCATAAACAGATAGTACAGACTAATTTATTACATCTATAAACTTCAGCAGCTGCCTACCAGAAGAGAGGGTATTTATGTGTAACAATGTGGTTTTGTAACATTGTTTTGTAATAGTGCTAATATTAATAAATTTATTTTTTTAAATAGAGGAATATGCTTATCTTAAATCACTTGAATCAGGTAGTCTCAAATAAATTGAAAACATTACCTATAATTTGTTCAAGTTGTGATATAGCAGTTAAGTATTGAATCAAATACCTTGGAATGCAAACGTCTAGACTTATTTAAGGTACCCTCATATGCAATTGGTTCACCTATTTTATGTGCTTTGGTTACAGTATATTAATGGGGGAAATCTTAATTATTTAAACTTGTCCACATATCCTAAAGGCCATTCCACTTTACAAAATAGTTGAGAAACACCTTTGACCCTAAATGTTGTGCTAAAGCATGATGCATTTGATAGTGGTGGGGGTATGCTCATCTGACTTAGGATGTTTTTTCCCATGCTAGCTTTTAATATTTCATTTCAGAGAGGAAGGTTAAATCCATGGAAATTGTATTCAGGAGGACTTTTATGTAGAATTCTATCCTCTCCTTTTTCTGGCTAATGGGTGCAGAATATAGTCACAAGAATAGCACTTGCTATGCAGTACAGTGGTGCCCTGCAAGACGAATGCCTCGCAAGACGAAAAACCCGCTAGACGAAGAGACTCGCGGAACGGATTATTTTCGTCTTGCGAGGCACCACTGTATTCGTAATATGCCACAGTTGTATACAGGGCTGTGTGTATTTCATACTAAAAGGAATTTGGAACCCCAATCCAAATTCTGCTTTAATTAAAAGAATGGTTTTAAGTCATGTATAAATTGTGCAAAATCTGTATTTTAGCATAGATATGCATATTTTTGTGATTTCTTGGGCACCTACTGAAAAACATATTCATCCACTACTCTGGCTTCTGAAGCTTTTGCAAGGTTTACCAAGTACTAAAAGGGCCAGATATTAGCTTTTAAAAAATGAAAAAGCAGGATGCTGAATTCTGCATCCACTGCTACAGAAATGCAGCATGCACACCGCCCCATTGAGTTCCTAGAAAAATGTACATACCTTTTCCAGTTCTTTTTCATGAGAACAGTAAACAAAAACTACTGTGCATGAATATGCGGATATATTTGGATAGCTTCCCTTGCTTGTTTTTTGAGTTGCAGAGTTCTAAATCTTGAATCAATACCTCTTTTCACCTCTTCTAACTAAACAAACACATTCTCTTCAAATTGCTTAAATTGGTCATTAAAAGATCTAAATTCCATCACTAATGATTCCTTAAAATCATCAGTAGTGTATGTGCTTCTATATCAACTGTTTCTTTTCTCTAGCTGTTTCTATTGGCTATTCTAACAGCAAAGCTTTTGGGAAAAATAATATCGTTATACATAGGTCAGTGGACCTCAGCATTAAACGCTGAAATTCATTCTTACCAAATCAGCACGATAAATAGAATAAACTCATTATCATTTCAACAGACCATAGTAAAGCTTTTCAGTGGTGTCCTCCCATTTGTAGAATGCTCTCACCAGTAGAATCAGCTGGTGCTGACATTGATATCTTTTCAGCACCAGGCAAAGGCATTCCTCTTCTAAGCATTTGAATGCTAATTCCTTGCTCTGTTTGTACTTTAACTAGGTAAGTCTTTGATCGAGCTTTTGTTGAGGAGAGGAGCTATTTTATGATTTTATGTTTTAACCACTTTTAGTGGTGTTCTGGTTTTAAAATAAACATGTATTTTGTATTATTGGAATTCTATTTTTGTTAATCACTTTGAGATTCCTTGTAGAAAGCAACTAATAGATTGAACAAAAAATAAACAGTTGCATCCAATGCTGTCCATGGACAAGCAGAATGGAGTTCAGCTCCTTCAACAAGACTTTCTCTGTTCCCCATTTCAGCCTCTGTGTATCCTCAAAACCTGCTCTGGTGGGTTGGAGGACACCCCCCCCCCTTATATCACAGATTTTGGAGACACACAGGGAACTGCAGGTTGGAGAAGTCCTGTTCTGTCAGCTTAAGTCCTTTTGCACAAGATTGGGTTGTGCAAAATCATAATGGGGGAAGGTGGGTGGGTTTGCCTTGGCTCACCTGGTATGGAAGCTCTGGCCCTCTCCATTCTACCCCATATACTGGGATGCTTTTTGTTGGTGACTAGTTTGTGTAAATGAATGGGAAGTTGGAATCGGGACCATTAGCTCCTTGTGGTGCAAAAGTGGCCAGGTTGAGCAAATGGCATTTAAATTCAGTATGGGTTATTTGACAGAACTTTTACTTCTTCCCAAAGCCTTTGGTTTTTTTGGCCTCTGTTCACAGTTCTGTGTGTGGTAAAAGTTCATTTCCATTTCCTGATTTGGCCCTTCCAGTTTTGAAAGAGCTTGCAACTTTTTTTCTCTTGGAGGGTTGTGCTGTTCTATTTATAGAGCTTTGATACGTTGAATGCTTGTGCGTCAGCATAGTGTCCATTTCCTTTCTTAACGCATTCAGGAATGGTTATTTATGATTTTTTTAGATGTTGTTGTTCTTTTAGCTTTTTAAAATGCCTGTTTGAGGAGAGATTTATCACATAGACAGACATCCTGACTTAACTGTGTGTGTGTATTTTTAACCAACGACTTGGCTCTATGAAGTCATTGCAGGAAAAGAATTTAGTAGGAAAATTGAACTTGCCGTAAAGTAACATCAAACAAAGTGATAGAAAGGTATGAGTTTTATAACTAAATGTGCATACTGAATAGTGTATGTAAATGCATTGTTCTAATGTTGGGACAGAAGTTACAGTAGCTGTCCCTTAGCCCTGATCAAGAAAGGGCCTTGGGTTGATGCCCTCCTTCCATTAAAGTCTACTTCTGTGCTCCAGAACATCCCAGGTCAAATTAACCCCAAGTGATTCTGGTGCATGCACAGTGAACCCCATGATTAAGGGTGAGAGGAATTCATGTCTGAGAGGTTGAGGGCTATATGAAAGGAGTGCATGAGGCTTATTCTCTCCTTGTAGGTAGTAGGAAATTCAGTATGGGGAAGGTCCCATCTCTGGGATTGGGTAGGCAGGACCTCTCCCCAAATCCATTCTTGGTCAGGGAAGGCTTTTACAAAGCTCACCCAAAGAGCTGAAGGTCATGTGAAGACACACTAATTAGGGTAACTGCATTCAAGTTGTTTCCTGTGCTGTGCAGTAGGGCCTTGACTTCCTCTTGCTGCAGTCTGAAGGAACCATGATGGTTAAATTCAACCCTTCAAGAGTCTCGAACCACCATAGATGTGGTAGCAGTGGACACTTTAAAATATTCAACATTGATCCTTGTCTTCTAATTTGGAAACAACAGAACTAAAAACAGTGTAAGCTTGCCAGGGAAGAGGATAAAATTTCTGGTTCAGGAGAGTTGTCTCTTGTTAAAATTGTAAAGAAGCAGAAGCCTTTTTTCTAGTTATTAGTACTGTATTTTTGTTGTTGTAAAAGGTACTCGATATTTCAGTGGGTTGTGCAATGGGTTTAAATCATACTTTTAGTTATACTGCTATATGATTACATTTGGCCTTTGGCAAAACAATAAAGATTTGTGTTTGTCCCTAGCTAAATCTTCAGTCAGAGTAGCTTTAACCAAATAGTTTTGCTCAGAGCCTTTTAGGTCCTGTACAGCAGATGTGCTTTCCTGGGATTTACTGCTGCTTGACATCCTTAAGTTAAACACCCTCCTGTGTACAAGAAAGAAGGGGGAAACTCTTTCTTGATAGGCTTCTGTTCTTCTGGTAGATAGTGCATTCTGACCACCCATCAGATGATGTGTTTTCATGTTTGAGTATGGTTTGCATTGTTATTTGATTCTCTCACATGTGTAGTTTCCTACCTTGGAGCTTCCTTCACGATCTAGGGACACATTTCACCCCCCCCAAGCAGTAGCAGCTAGCAGGGCTGCCCAGCCTGGTGGGTGCTATTCACCTAGCTTCCCAATGCTACACTCACTGCTGACTACCGAAAGGGGGAGGGACAAGGCAGCAGGGAGCTTGGTGTGGTGTGGTGTGGGCACAGTGGCAAAGCCGGTCCAATGCCCCCATCAAGCTCCTTACTGTCTTGTCCCTCTCTCAGTAACCGGCAATGACATGCAGTGTTATTAGGCGAGATGTGCAACACGACCCTGCTTCCCCACTGGCTACTACTCCCTTCAGCAAAATACAGTTGGCTCCGCAGTCCCAGAAGCAAGATGTTGCTTTACCTAAGTACCTTTTCGCCTACAAAGAGAGCAGAAATCCATCTAGAATGAATGCCCTTTCCCCATTCCCTCAGCCATGATTAGGTGACATCTCTTACAACTGCATCAGACTCCAGGGTTTGAGGCTTCTGAAGTTAACACCTAGAGTTCTTCACTAGCTGTCTAAACAATTTAAAACAATATAGTGAAATATTTATTTTGTCTCTCCTAGATCCCAACTTTGTTCGAACATTTCTTACAACATACAGATCTTTTTGCAAGCCTCAGGAATTACTGAGTCTCCTGATAGAACGGTAAGAGGACTTTTCTGAAATACTGTGTTGTAATTTTGGTTCCCTTCTTCTGAGATGAGTTTTTAAATAACACTTTTATCCTATGGAAAGGGGTGTGTGTGTGTGTGTGCGTGCTTATGCCTATTCCCTCTTCCCCCTAAGCACATCCTGACTATTGTCCACTACCTCCAGAATAGAAGTTAAGGGAGACTAAAAATCTCCCTTCCTCTAATAGAGCAGTCCCATCAGTGGAAATCTGTCCGTGGGAAACCTGAAGCCAACCCATTTTTCTTTACAGATTTGCATTTAAGAAAAACCCAAATGCAAATTTCATGGGAAACAATTTCTTCCCAATTTAGTGTGAATCTTCAATTCCACATTCTGTGTTTTACATGCATACCTAAATAAATGAAGTTACAGCACATGACAGCTCTAATGTGTATGAAATTAAACACATATTTAATTTGAGGTACAGTGGTATCTCAAGTTAAGAACTTAATTTGTTCTGGAAGCCCGTTCTTAACCTGAGGTACCACTTTAGCTAATGGGGCCTCCCGAGGCCACCGTGCGATTTCTGTTCTCATTCTGAAGCAAAGTTCTTAACCCGAGGTACTATTTCTGGGTTAGCAGAGTCTGTAACCTGAAGCGTATGTAACCTGAGGTACCACTGTACAGGCAATTTTCCATTCACATGTGCTCTATTTGCATGTAACTATGTGCACATGGGGTGCCAGGAACCCAAAAGTGGATCCAGAAATGGGCATCACCCTGGAGAGTCCTCCTAGCTCATGGGGAGACTTTCCCCAGAGCCTCCCCACCTAACATCACATCAGCTGAGCAAACCCTGCAGCCCCCTAACTCAAGTGAGCCGGTCTGACTGCCTCAGCTGATGTGCAAGGAAGAAGCTTCCCTCCGCGTCAGCTGTGCAAACCCCGCTGCCCTCTCTGGCTTATGCCTGATCAACAGTGGGGCTTGCTGAGTGACTCACTCCTCCAGGGTACTCCTGATATACACAGTTTTGGTTATATGCAGGGATGTCCGGACTGTAACCCCCACATAAATTGAGGGTTGTCTGCATTTAATATGTAAAATACAAGTGCTATTCAGTTATGTCATACTAAGTAGTCAGATGCCTGTGTTGGCATCCATCTGTCTCAAGAGACAATGGAGTGCACCTCCAGGTGTGAAGTCAAACCACAGATGCCTGCATCTTTGCAAATTATTTCCATTTTACTCCAAACGATATTGAATTTATTTAATCTCAGATTGGTACCACTGTAGTATATTCCCTATTCAATCACACTTAAGGGTATTATACCTGTGTCAGTTGGAAAGCTTGAAATTTTATAGGGGTTGTGGCCTTTCCCTTTCCTGCCTGAATGGAACTTTCCTAAATAAAATGTAAGAATGTTAGTCCTATTCCTTATTGTTTATTGCAAATGTTAAATACCTGTTTAGTAACCTACTTTTTACATTACCATCCCACATTAGATTTGAAATTCCAGAACCTGAACCAACAGAAGCAGACCGCATAGCTATGGAGAATGGAGATCAACCACTTAGCGCAGAGCTAAAAAGATTTAGGAAGGAATATATCCAACCTGTACAGCTGCGGTAAGTAATCTTAAGTGTGTAAACTGCATCTTATTTAGATTTAGATCCCAGTTTTTAAAATCAGTGGGTGGGATCCAAAGGACTGTACAATGTTCTGTGCATATACCAGAGCTTTTCAACCTTCCCACCATTGTACTTTCAAAAAGCCACTTCTGATCCAGAGTTCCACATGACTGATCTTTATTTGAAATATATGCTTCAAAGTTTGTGTAATTTCCTAATGAACTGTGCTACATTTATTAATGTAGTTATAATATGCCTTATCTGAAAATATTTCAGAAATGGCACTTCATCTACCTTGTGTTTCACTTGATAGTATTGTTGCTTATATATTTTCTTCATTACAGATCTTAATTCAGTGATACCATGCCTTTTCCAGAACATTATATCACCTAACTAATATTGTCTCATATTCTGTATTGTTTATTCACCATTTTAATTCCACTAGATGATGCACAAGCCATTACAATCTAGAGGGAGATAGAATTCATCCTTGAGAGACATACTTTTTAACATTTTTAAGTGCACAGTAAATGTTAATTGGTAGCAGAACTTGAGGATGACCATAGACATAAACTGCGAATCAGCTTGACCTTTTGCTCTGGCTAGGTTTCCTACCACTGCACACATTCACTTATTACCCAGCTACCAGAGCTTGGACTGGAGATTGGGGAACTCAGTGTTCTAGTCCTCCTTTTCGAGGCCCAGTAAGTCAGACAGGAGTTTTGGCATGGATCCTGACAGCTGTATGGCACTTCTTCAGGGAGTCAGGACAGTATATATGCTGTAAAATGAAACCAGCCCTACAGCTCTAGTAGACTTTGTCAAAAATAAATCATATAAACCTTGTCCTCAAATATTGTATAATCTCTGTTAATGTTGTAGAGTTCTAAATGTATGCCGGCACTGGGTGGAGCATCACTTCTATGATTTTGAGAGAGATGTAGATCTACTGCAACGGTTGGAAGAATTCATTGGCACTGTCAGAGGTATTTGATTTGACTATTGCAAAGATCTAGCATGATCTGCTTCTTTTTCTTTTGTACCTGCTTTATTAAAGTGTGATGTTTCAGTTTGCCAGTTGGGCTTTACAAGGCAAAGGTCACTAATGAGATACACAGATGGGCACCCTGAGCCAGGAGATCCAAGAGTCATTCAGGCTGAGCATGTGCCAGCAAGACTGATCTCAAAGTCACACTGATTTTAGGACAAAAAATAATAATTTTCCTCCAGTTTTTGTTCATGACTATGGTAGCAACTGGAAGGAAAATTTCCAGGTGCAGAAAAGGGTAGGATGGTTGTCTGGGCTATTCTGGACAGTTAGATGCTTGGCTGTAGGTGGGTGTCTTTTGGTATTGATTGGAAGTTAACAGCTCAGGGATCTCTCTAAGCTACTGACAAATACTGTTGTAATTGAAATAGGATATGAAGGATATTTGGCTTTAGAAATTCCAAAAGTTTCCAGGCCACTGTTTTCTGATGTTTACTAAGAATCTCCTTTCTTGTAACTGTGAGCCATTAGTTTGTGTCCTACCCTCCAGAGCAGGAGAAAACACGCTTGCTCCATCTTCCTTCTAACCGCCCTTCAGATATTTGAAGATAGCTATCTTGTCTTCTCTCAGTCTCTTCTGGTTAGAGCCAAGGTGATAGTGTGTGGTTGGGTGTGGGGATTGGGGACAAGCTGGTACTCTCTGGTAGCGACATAGAACACTTAGGAAATACATTACCACAAGACATGATGATCGCTAGTTTAGCTAGGTTTAAGCAAAAGGATTAGGCATTTTAAAATGTAGGTCTGTGTCTGGGGCCTCATGTTCAGAAACAGTATATTATAGGCCTTATCACTAAATGCTGGGAACAAAGGGGATGACTGTCTCCATCGTGCCTTATTTGTGAGTTTCCTGGTTGCATCTGGCTGTTAGTGCTAGACCAGATGGCTCTGGCTTCGTTTTCTGAATTTCTCACATTGTCTTCCACTGTTCTCCCACTTTCATTATTGGAACGTTTCTAGCTACTAGGTAACTGTTATTATTCAAATCCTAGAATGTATTTTTCTTTTACTTCTCAGGTAAAGCTATGAAGAAATGGGTTGAGTCAATTACAAAGATAATCCATAGGAAAAAGCAAGCACAAGCAATTGGGCCAAGTCACAATATTACTTTTGAAAGCTCACCACCTCCAATTGAGTGGCATATTAGCAAGCCAGGACACATTGAAACATTTGACCTGCTTACGTTGCATCCAATAGAAATTGCTCGACAGCTCACGTTACTTGAATCTGAACTTTACAGGTAGCTCTGAAAACAATATTATTCTCTTCTACATCATAATATGCAAGCAATGTAGTGTTCAGTCCTGGTCATTTCTGCATTCAGTTCTTACTAGCAAAGCTATTCATATTGCATTTAGGGAACAATGTTCCAAATTGTGACTCTAGTATATATTAATGTGAATTTGATATAGCTAGTAAAGTGATAATTTATTTTCATATGTTGGCATTTTGGAGCTCACTGTTAAAAAACGTATTATGAAAGCAAGATTTGTAAGCTGTAAGCTATAAGCTTCCAGAACCTCATCCACAGATACAGCATTTAACTAGAGATTTTTTTTGTTTGCTTTGTAGAATGCCATTGTTCTACCATCTAGTTCTAACAACCAATTCTCTCCAATTGGTTGTTAACAGTAGATGGTAGAACAATGGCATTCTACAAAGCAAACAAAAAAAGTGCAGTCAATGTTTTTTTCTGATTTGAGAATTATTGGTTATTTGTAATAATCTAGATGGAAGTAGTAGCTCAATTGACCATAAAATGATAGCCTTTTCTCTATAATTTATATTTATTGTCAATTTGTAGAGCTGTGCAACCATCAGAGCTGGTTGGAAGTGTATGGACAAAAGAAGATAAGGAAATCAATTCTCCTAACCTGCTCAAGATGATACGACATACCACAAATCTTACTTTGTGGTTTGAAAAGTAAGTTGCTTGAGTGCTTTGACTAAGATCTTCTAAATATTGATATTAACATCCAGGTCCATACAGAGCTAGTCTGAGACCCGAGATAGGATTCTTGTTAGAATGAAAAAAAGCAAAACCCCAGCCAAAGGCATTAGGTAAGCCTTTGTTTGGACTGAGGGGTGGTTGTAGCCTCCGCCTGCCCCTCCTTATTACGGGTATCTTGTTAAAGGGAACTGGGGGTGTGGATTCTGTCCGATGCCCAGATGTGGGCATGGACCATGCCACAACCCCAACGGGGATCCCTCAGGGTGCCCCTATTTGATATAAGTCATTGGGCTCATCATATTGGTGGTTTACCCTTAGTTTGGCTGTCTGCAGATGGGCGGGAGTCGAGATACACCCAGTGCCTAAGCCAAACTGCACATTTGTAAACAATAAAGTTGTGGCCTATTTGAACCCATAAACCAAATCCACTTGTCCATGTGTTTATTATCCACTAGGGAACTGTGGATCATGGGGCCTTGGCATGCAACATCATTCCTGAGCTGCAGCTTGGCAAAATATTGGAGCTTCATAGAAGGAAATTAGTGTAGCAAGAACAATAATTCCTAAACTTCTCCATTGTTTGAAGTCCAAGAATTGAAAAACAGTATATTCTTTGAATTATGCACTGGTTTTAGACTGAGTTAGTAATCCTCAAATTGTGCTTTGAGAAATTAAATAATTAAAGGCTTGTCTGAGTTTAGTGGAGCTGCTGTTGGAGGAACCTGTCTTTTGCATGTCTCATGATTCACTTCTCTAATCTTGCTGCTCAGGGCCATTAATTTGGCTGCATCTCCACCAGCCATGATAAGATCATTCAGTCATTCCTGTTTATCATGTAGTAGAATTCCCTCCATAGGAGCGGATAGCCCATTGCATTGAGTTTTACTTCTCCAAACTGTTTCCTTCTTATCAAGAGGTGTGTTTCCTGATCGTGCAGAAACAAGAGGTGGGCTCTTCTGAAGGCAGACTTTTACTTTCCTACTGGTGTTCAAGTTTAACAGCTAATGTTCTCCCATTTGGATTCAGAAAAGAAGTTGGCTTCAGTAATTATATCAGCTGTTTGGAAACCCCTGTATTAAGTCACACTTGTCAAAATAAAATTATATTAAATTGGTGCTTTTTAACATTCTTGTACTGATACGTACATCTTTTTGTACATTTAGATGCATCATAGAAACAGAAAACCTAGAGGAAAGAGTAATTGTAGTATGCCGGATAATTGAGATCTTGCAAGTTTTCCAAGAACTAAACAATTTTAATGGTGTCCTTGAAGTTGTCAGTGCTATGAACTCTGCACCTATTTACAGACTGGATCATACCTTTGAGGTAAGTCACATGTAGATCTAGAAACTGTAATTGTTTTAACTGTTGCTGAATAAAGTATCATTGAAAAAAACAAAAACATTTAAGCCAAAACCACTTTTTTCTTTTTCTTCAGTCTTCAGCATGAGCACTGGGTAGGCTGTTGGACACATTTTTCTTTACATAGAGATAATCTCAGGGTTACATTAAACACTTACAAAATGCAGTGCAAATGTTTGTTTTGTCCCATGTACAAGGGTAAGAAGCCACTGTGACATCTTGTTTATTTTGCCAAAAGTTCCTTTGTGCATCATGTCCCCATTTGCAGACTGCGTATATTCCCTAGACTGAGATTATCTCCATGGTGGAAAAGCATCGTGTTAAGTAGTGTCTGTTCTCTCCACAAGAAAGTGGGGCTGAAGCTGAGCAATTGAAAACTAGAGCAAAAAATCAAGGGCACTTCTCAGTGCCACACATAATATAACCCATTTTTTGATATGAAAAGCACTTCAATATGTAAGGGGTGAGTGAACCCTGCAAGTGAATCTGAGTATTTTGACTGGCCCTTAATTTGAGATCACTGATAACATGTGGTTTGTAGTTGTCCATGTCTCAGCTTTCTTTATGCATCTTCAGCAAATCCCAAGCCGCCAGAAGAAGATTTTTGAAGAAGCTCATGAACTGAGTGAAGACCATCATAAGAAATACTTGGCAAAACTCAGGTCTATTAATCCTCCATGTGTGCCTTTCTTTGGTAAGTAAGATTTATTCTTGAAGAATATAAAATCACAAATGTTGATAAGCCACAGAACTATTAAGAAACCATTTCTTAAATATATTAGTGGAGCTTGCTATATTGTTAGGAATAGCCAGGCATTTCAAAGAATCAGTATTTCAACTTCAAAAGCTTTCCCCCCTGTTCAGTATCAAATCCACAATTTCACTACATTTTAGTTGGAACCCTTGACCTGATTTTTCAGCTATCTTCATGTGTTAGGTACTAATACAAATTAGTATTTAACTCATTTAGAAACACTAAGCATTTGTGAAGTGTACTTTGTGGTTCTAGCTTAACCAGGGAAATATCAAGGGATGGAGATCAGATAAAGTGCTCCAATTTACTCTGTGCTTTTTTTTTTAGCGCTGTGCTATACTCTACGTGATAAAGATACTTTCTGACTGTGCTTTGACAGTAGACTGATTCAGATGCAATGATCTCTGTCTAATAAACCATGGTGTTTTAAACAGAACAAACATTGTGCCTGTGTGCCTTCTCCTTTCCTTTTCCCTTCTCCATTAGTGGTGAGGAATGCTAAATATAGAACACCTGAATATAGAATACTAGATCTGCTATATAAATAAGCCAGGGAGGCTCGCCTGATGCATTTGTTACATATTTTTAGGTGCCAGACAAGCCTTATTCCAAGTCTTTGGCTAATTAAACAATCCATGGCCTTTTAAATGGGCAGGGGGTATAATTGTTTTGGTCTGTTATTATGGTATGTGTTTTTTGTTTTGTAAACTACCCCTATGATCTTTGGGTGAAGGCCAGTATAGACATTTTAATATTAATAATAATTATAAAGTTTCTCACTCACAATTTTTTACCAACCTATCTTGTGAGCATTCCTATTTATAAGATTAAAAGGATCAGGTTTTAGAAAATAGCTGCCCAGTTGCATGGAGGTAATTTATATGCTCTGCAGGCAGCCAGGAAAGTGGTTGTTTACAAACCTGTACTGTATTATTTATTTACATAATGACATTAGTACACATTATGCTTTGTATTGCAAGAACACATAGCCCTGCCCCAAGGAGCTTATAATCTGAAATTTGACACACCAAAGGGGTGCTATGGAAGGTAGTAAAAAGGAATGTATTACTGTTTCAGTTGCATACATGTAGCCTTGGTGATAGGGCATGGGGATTATGGGGTGGTACTAAAGGCTTCATGGAAACTGTGGGTTTTAAAGAAGAAGGAAAATAGGTAACATCACAGATGGTCTAGAAGTCAGTGAAGGGTGATGGAGCTGGAGGAGTGAAAGTCATGGATAGATACAAAAAAAGATATAAGAATGGCGAGAGAAGGAACTTGGAGGCCTTTGAAGGTAAGGGGAAAGAAGGGAAGTAGGGTCACTCCATTGGCTCTACTGTGAGACCTCCAGTCTTTCAGCCTTTCTCTCCTTCAGCACTTATTAGCAACAGCCATTTTATCGGGCTGCAGAGCAGAGAGAGAGAAGGGAAGCAGGGCCATTTCATCCTCCTTTCCCTGAACAGTTGAAACCCCAGCTGGTTGTTATAAGAACACTGTAACCTGTCCTGGTACCTGCTTCACCCGCTCCATCCCCTCCTCCTTTTTCATTCTGTGTTAGGTCGGTTGCATTGTAAGCCTTGGGGTGTGTGGATAGATTGTCTTTTAAAAATTATTATTGAGTGAGAGCCTTTGAGGTGAAGAGCTGGTAGAATGGCAGGCAAAAAAAAAATGAGGATGAGATTCAAAGAGGGTGGTTGAGTGCATGCCATGAGTCTGGAAGCTAGTAACAAAAAGCTGAGGAAAGGGTTAGGAGGCACTGTGGAGTTTTGAAGGAGGATGTAGAGGTGGGTAGAGAGGCAGGTGACAAAAGGTGTAGCTTGCCATTAGAATGGCTTGGTCACAAACGGGCATTAAGTGGGCAGTGCCCTTTGGCCACCATCCTAGGTTAGTTAACCATGTGTTGAGATGAAGCCCAAACTTTGTTTCACCCCATGTAAGTAGCAGCAGCAAGGCCAGCTGGCACATCTGCTTGGAGGGGAGGAGATCAGGAATCCCTTTGTTGGATCTTCAGAAAAAATTTAAGTGCATAATTCAACCTTCCCAAAGCCTTTGTAGCTCTAACCTTAATTCTAGTTTTCCATTGAAAGACCATAACCATTTTATAGCTGCAATTTTTTTGGACGTTAATTGTAGGAATTTATTTAACAAACATCTTGAAAACGGAAGAAGGCAATCCTGAATTTCTCAAACGACATGGGAAAGAACTTATCAATTTCAGTAAGCGGAGGAAGGTGGCTGAGATAACAGGGGAGATCCAACAGTACCAAAACCAGCCATACTGCCTAAGAGGAGAAGCTGATATCAGAGTAAGTAGGATTTTTTGCTCTTCCAGGTTCAGCTTCCTTTTAGTGGCCATGAGGAAATGCTTATACTGTAGGTTGAAGCTCCTTTGCTGACCCAGGGTATTGGGCTGATTTTATTACACCTGAATTTATTTTCAGCCCTTAGACTGGCTCCCTACTCTACAGTCCTTTTATTTCTCAATTATCAACTTCTAGAGCATGTCCTCGTCAAATAAGAGTTGATTTTAATCTGGTTTTGCCGATCAACAGATCTGTCGATTCTGTGTTAATCTTTCTGAATATTTTGGGTTTCAGAAATTTTTTGAAAATCTGAATCCAATGGGAAATAGCATGGAAAAAGAGTTTGCAGATTATCTGTTCAACAAGTCTCTAGAAATAGAGCCACGTAACGTCAAGCCACCCCCAAGATTTGTGAGTATTTAGATTTTATTCTCAGTTAATGTATGCCATAAAATACAGTTGGAGCTGCACAAACTTTTTAAAAGGGAAAAAAGTAAGTAATTTTACAGTAAAAACTATCAGTGTTCGTATAAACAGTGTTTTTTGTTTTCTGTGCAGCCCAAAAAGTACACCTATTCTCTCAAATCTCCGGGTGTTCGTCCATCAAACCCAAGACCAGGCACCATGAGACACCCTACACCTCTGCAACAGGAGCCAAGAAAAATCAGTTACAGTCGTGTCCCTGAGAGTGAAACAGAAAGTGCTGCTTCTGCACCAAACTCTCCAAGAACACCTCTCACCCCACCTCCACCATCGTCCACTTCCAGCACCACAGATGTTTGCAGTGTCTTTGACTCTGATCCCTCCACCCCTTTTCATTCAAGTAGGTGCTCTAGCAAGGATTGAGCTATTCTTCTCCTTTTTAAGTAGTTTGGCCTGTGTCGCATGTGGGCATGTTTTCTGATACTGCTGTTATGTGCCAAACCACAGGAAATAGTTTAGTTGATACTTGTATTTTGAAAACGGTTTTCTTAAATTTGATTGAATTCAAACCATGATTGAAAAGGGAAGACTGAGGTGTACTGTTTTAAGTGAATGCCTTGTTTGCTGTTTGTACAGGGCGAGTCCTTTAAAAGAGGTCCCGTGGATACAGAGTACACATGTTCCACAGGGCCTCTTTTAAAAGACCCTGTACATGGCAGGATGCTAGTAACAGTGACAATTATTTTATTTTCTTAATTCATTTTGTTTCTTTCTTGGCCTTTATCAATCCATGGTCCAAGGGCATGTTAAAACATAAGATACAACACTAAGAATACCACAGCCATTGGCAGCTCTTTGGCTTAAGCTGCTTTGTTTTGTTTGTGAAAAGAAATCCTGATTCCTCAGGAACTTAGCAGAAGGCGGCTTATAGATAAGAGGCATACATTTTATATGCTGTATTGTACTTTGTGTGTTTAGAATTTACTGTTAAAGTACTAGAAAAGTAGAAAAATTCAAATGAGATGGATAATAGAATTTTTCATACACTTTCAGGGTCAGCTTCTGTGTCTTCCATAAGTTTTCCAAAAAGCTCAGAAGAAATTACCGTTCCCCCTCCTATTCCTCCCCGGAGACGTCCAGAATCTGCTCCTGCTGAATCTTCTCCTTCAAAGGTAGTTTCACCACATTTCTCTCTGCAGGAACAGTAAGATGAAAATACAGTGGAGAGGGAGATCCTGTTGTCACTGCCATCCCCACAACCTTTAAAGACAAAAGACCACTAGTGTGTGGCTCCCCACGGAGGAAACAGTTTATTCCACCCTTTAAAATAAATGGAGCTTCAGATTTACAACCTAGTTTCATTTAATTCTTATACAAGGTGACAGCAAAAGTTAACATTCACTGGGGGGGAAACATTCTGGGTTTTTTATGCTCCACCTATAATCTATAATGATAAATGAGTTTGGCTTATTTTAATTTTAATGTAAAGGCACAGCATGAATGGGCTATTTAAAGCTGCTTCAGTGTTTCCATACCCAGTCCCACCTCCTGGAGCTCCTGGAGCTCTGGTTCCTGCAGTTTCAGTTTTAAGTGGCTGTTTGAAAAAGGTAGGGATCCTGCTGCCATACTCACAACTAGCAGCTTTAAGAAAGTTAAAAAAAGAAGACCCAATAAGGTATGCGCCTGCAAAAACAATGGGAGAACTAGTTTGGGTCCCATCCAAATGGATAACCTTTTTTTTTAAGAGGAAGGGAGAACAATAACGACTTTAGTAAAAAATAAAATTTCTGGTTGCCACTGGTGACCCTATTTGTTCCTCTGCTTATACATTTTTGCACCTGGGAACACCTTTAGTGCAACTCTTTGTCTTTATCCATTAAAGGGCTCCCATCTCCTGTGCTGGATCTCCTACCTATCCAGCCCGATTCCGTTTCCTCTTCCCATCTCTTGCTTCTGGAAGAGAAGTGGGCAATAGAGAAGAGTCTGGCAACCCTCTCCTATTTCCCCCTCCCCCCTCACACATACACCTTCTCCTTTATATGGGTATCCGGCCTTTGTCCTCTGTTGGAATCTTGTTGTAGGAGCACTCCTAGAAGTAAGATGAAATGAAAGCCTTTAGACCAGAGGTAGCTAAACCCTTCTGGCCAGAAGGCCACATTCATCCTCTAGGGGCCACGTGCCAGCAGTGCAGCTGGCCATCCCACACACTCTTGTGCATACTCTCACAGGCAGGTAGGCAGGCACCTAGCCCCTCCTCTTCCATGCCGATCAGCTGAGGACTAGGTGTCATTGCCCCCGTTGCTCAAATGATCATTCCAGAGACAAATTTGAAGGGCTGGGCTCCATCACAGCACTGCGCTTTGCACACCCAACTTTTTCTTTTTGCTGCTGCTACCAAAATTGGTAGGTTCTTTTGGATAGTAGATAATGTCCACAACCCAAGGATTGGCCATTCCTGCTTTGGGCTTTCTCTAATCCTTTGAAGATAATTCATATTAGACGTGCTGTGTGGGTTCTTTCTACTCTAAAAGAGAACAACCTGTATTGGGTAAACTCTCTCAACTCACCTCTGTAGGTGGAATTAGTCCAAAGTGTCTTCGCCTTCTTTTGCGAGGTACCATCTTGGCATACATTGAGGTCTTTGAATTATGTACTAACAAATCTTTATATTTCAGATTTCTTCTGCACATCTGGACAGCCCACCAGCAATCCCTCCTCGGCAGCCGACATCAAAAATCTATTCACCGAGATACTCAGTGCCAGACAGGACCTCCATCTCTGACCCCCCAGAAAGCCCACCTGTATTGCCACCTCGAGAACCTGTACGAACTCCTGATGTTTTCTCTAGTTCACCTCTCCATCTTCAGCCACCACCCTTAGGCAGAAAAAGTGAACTGGGCAACACTTTCTTTCCCAACAGTCCGTCTCCATTTACTCCGCCTCCCCCCCAGACACCTTCTCCTCATGTTGTCCGGAGGCATTTGCCATCACCTCCTTTGATACCCCAAGATACGGACCTCCATTCTGTTGCTGGGCCACCTGTTCCTCCTCGGCAAAGCACTTCTCAACATATCCCAAAGCTTCCTCCAAAAACTTACAAAAGGGAGCCCACGCATCCATTGATGCATCGTGATGGACCCCCTTTGCTGGAGAACGCCCACTCCACCTGAATTCTCCCTTGTGCTCGAGAGAGAATGCTTTCTCTGGTGCCATGTCTGTTGCTGGCAATAGATGCACTGTACCTTGTGGGCACCAAGGAGTTGAGCTGTGTTGCTCCTAACACTAAAGACTCTACGTTTGATATTTGGTGTACAAAAAGAAGAAGAAAGAATCTTAATAACAGGCCCCTTATCGTGAATAAACTGTTGCTGTTTGTTAGTATAGTATGCAGGGCCCTGTTCTAAAGTCAGTGCACACCTGAATGTACCAGAAATCAGAATTGCAGATCTCTTTGGGCCAATAAGCAGACATTGTGCTTTGTGTAACGTCCTGTGAGGGATAAAATGCATAGTCCTGTATTCATCTGTCCACCATGATGTAAGTTCTTGGAGTAAAAATATTATGCACTTTTTTAAAAAAGAATCTCAAACAGGGAACTTGATAGTCTTCTTAATTTTCTTTTGTTTTATTCCCTGCTTTCAAATCATGAACTGGACTGTGAGGAAGATCTGTGGTACTGAACTGAACCAACATAGAGCTAAGACATAGCACCGTACTGCAGTCCTGTTTACAAACTGTTACTAGTAATACATGGGTACCTAGGCTTCACCAAAGAGGTACTTTCCTCCTCCTTTATGAATATTATGGTGCCAGTTCAAAAAGAATTTTTTGCCAGTAAACAGAATGCCTAACTTTTAACCGCCTTTAAACAAATGAGATTTAAGTCTTATATGAATGACACCAATGATGCAAACTGCAAAACAATGCTATTGTCAGAGTTGAATCTGTTTCTCTACTTAGAAGACTGTTAAATCTAGACTAGGTTAGGTCTTCATTTTAAGGTTTACTGATAACCCACTTAATGGCTGGGAGTGCAACATCTTTGAGACTATGCCATGAAAATGCAAAAGATGATCCGCTGGCCATATTCCCTAGTTATCACCATGTTTTAACTAGCAGTAGGTAGATGAATAATCAGCACCCATAGAATTGCCTTGTAGTTGCATAAATAAATCATATGTATATAGTGAATGTTGCATAAATATACTTGCAAATTGTTTTTAATTTAATTGAAATAAAGATACAGATATTTTGTCTGGCTGACATATATTAAATTATTGCATTTCTAAATGTACATTTCAGTTTAAAGCACTGAGGAGGAGACACATGCTGTGGTACACACCTCTCTTTCTTGCTCATTGTTTTAGTCTGTAAAGAAAAAAATTAGAAGAAATCCAAGGTTTGGCATGTGAAATAAATGTGTGTTAGGGGTGATTCGGAAGTGAACATCTGTGTGCTTAACATGGATCTCAAGCATATAATACAGTTCAGAATTCCAAACTCTGTTTAACTTCTTAAACCTTGAAACTGATCTTGACCGTGTCAGAAATGTTTGAAAGAAAATAATCTACATGAATATTTTGCCTTGGATTATCCATAGACCTGTGAATTGCGCTTCTGATTCTTGTACTGTGATAGTAATGCATGCCACTTATTGAAGATATTTTAATCCTTTCTACTACACTAGGACTTGTGAATGGTGCAGTATTGTATCCTTAGTTGCTAAGACTCTTATAGGATGTTTTCTCCTTGGCAAAACCAAAATACATTTCGGTAATCTAGAAAGCCATGTCACTGGAACAGTGATGGTAGAGGACCGTATCACCATGAAAGCCTACTGTTCTAAGACACTTCTACAGCATTATGTAGTGTGGTCTTTGCATTTCAGGAAAACGTTCATTTAACCTGCATTAAATGGATCCTTCTTAACATGTACGATATGCAGAAACAAAAGGGCATTCTGAGATAAAAAATTGTATAATGCTAGCCTATGACAAGTGTTAAGTTGAGCCCAGCTGAGGGTTAGAGATACTTTAAAATGACTGAACTTGCTAAGGGAAAGTTGAGAAACTGCTCCATACTTAAATACATTTTTTTTTCTTGTAACACTAAAGGTAGTGGTAATGCTCCTGTCCATAAGAACTTTAAAATACTGCAGATGATATTACGCCCACCTGAGTCAACTAGGAAAAACACTCTAATGTCGCTTCTCCAGGCTCTGCCTACAGAGTAAAAGTTCCCTAATCAATCCACTCCAGAAAAAAGTGGGGGCGGGATTATAGTTTGATAAATCCATTTAGCATTTGCAAGCAGCAATGTTTTGTACAGATCTGTCCTATTCTTGTTTTGAGTGGGAAAATGATGTTCACTTAATATTTCCAGCAGCCCCGTAGTTGCTAAGATTATCATGCTTGATACAACCCAGATAACTTTGATAATTAAGCAGTATACAAACAGTTTAAATAAATAAAATACTTAATCCAGGATGACAAAAGAATTGGTTTAAGCAACTGAGAAACGAAGTCATTTGTTTCATTGAGGCTGTCTATCAGCTTCATGGTCTCTTATGGTAGCTGAAGTAAAATATTTAGGCCAGCAGAACTTATAAAAAGTACAGATTTTAAATCTGAGTGTGCAAAATTTCCCCAAATCCCCCGCAGCAGATGTTGTACATGTGCAAAGTGTGTGTAGTTCTTCAGGCCTCTTGTTTAACATAATCAACTTTCATTGTGTTAAATGTGCTGTGTTTTTAAGCACTGAAAATGTTTGTTTTGATTAGAATTACTTTGTGCTCACCCAAAACATCCATTATGCAGTTCATAGAAGCATAGAATTTTAGAGTTGGAAGGGACCCTGAGGGTCATCTGGACCAACGTCCTGCAATGCCCAATGTGGGGCTCAAACTCACAAACCCTGACATTAAGAGTCTGACGCTTTTACCAACTGAGCTATCCACAAGAAGTGGCGAGCTTTTTCAGAAGTAAACTTCACTGCATATTTCAAAATCCATCCCAATGAGTTGCTAGAATATTCCCCTTAAAAAACTACTTTGTAGAATTTTAGTACCTCAATCAAGACTTTGGAAAGTCACAAAGTAGGAAAGGAAATAAACTTTTTGGGGTCAAATATTTGTGTATGCAGACTTCTGACTTACATAGAACTCTTCACCAGACGATCTAAAACATTATTTTTCAATATCTGTTTGTATAGGAGTATAAACCCCATAGAAATGATGTTACATAACTGAACATCAGGAAGAATGGAGAGGTATCCAAGTACTGGTTATATAGAACTAAGTGGTTGACATACATTTCACCCAGACTTGGAAATAAAAATTTGTTCCTCTAGCAAATTGGCTATTAGAGGTTGATAGTAAACTGCCTTTTCACTCTCTGGTAGTAATGTGCCAACTGCAGTATAATAAATGAAGTGGGAGGGAAATCTTGAGAGCCTGTAAGCAGGAAGTTGATGCCCATGTTTTGACCTTGCCATGCTACAGAGTGGGATTTTTTTCATTTTGCCATGTCTTGCTGCTGCTTGCTGTCATACACACGCGCGCCTGTAAGTTGCTCAAATTTAACTCATGGGTTGGTTGGTTTTTTCCATTTTAAACTCTACCTTAGAATTTGAGTAGGTTTGCAAATTAGTCGTGTCTGCTACATTTAAAATTGACAAGAGATCCAAATCGGCATGCACATACCTGGGCTTTTTTAACCATCACCCCTCATACCACTGTAGGCACTCCCTCCATTCCCTGAAAAGCCACTCTGTAGGGTGAGATGCAGAATTAGCACCTGTGCAGGGGTGCCTGGAGAATTTTTGGGTGTCTGTTTTTTTAAAAGAATAAGAAGAAGAGGGAAGTAGTCTCCTAAGAAATTCAAAAAAGCATTATTTTGTTCCACCATGACTCCAAATAAAAATTGGCCTCACTGCTATGACAATGGTAGGTGGCACTTAGAGACTAACAACATCTATTGAAGGTTAGTAGTGTTCAGTGTAGATGGAGCTGTTTGGGGTGGTTTTCATTGGAGCTGGATAAGTTCCTGAATGGTTTTTGTTGGAACGTGTCAGCTTGTCTGAATGTTTTCTCGTCACTGTGTCTTGCCTGCTTGCTGTTCAGTGTACAAAAAAAATGCACAAATTAAATCCTTGCTATTCCCTACATTTTTGGTGGTTGAAAGGGAGGAGCTTGCTGTAATAGAAAACTGGTTTTTAATTAACAGTGGGGGAGGGGAGAAATAAACAAGGCAACCTCTTTGGATGTTTTCTCTCTGGTGCAAGAGGTAACTCACATACAGCTGCTGTAAATTGTGCTCTTAAACTGATCAGTGATCACTTCCATACTTATCGAAGAGCTAAATAATTTTTCTCTGCTAATGAAAAGTAAATGCAGGCCTATTGCTGATGAAAGGTATTAAGCCAAAAGCACTTGGGTTTTTTGGGATGAATTTTCATGCCTTATTTGCCATTAATTTTGTTACTTTAAAACGAAAAACCTTAAAGTGCATATTTTTTTCTGTCAACTGTGAGCAAATTCCCCTTTTGCCTTTAACAGCAAAACAGTGCATTAAGCAGTCAGTTGCTGCAGAATTGCACATCGAGACCTTTGTAAAACAGTAACGTACCCAGGCGAAAGGGGGGGAAACTTGTGCCAGATGTGTATGCAACTTTCAGTAGCTGCCAAATGTGCCTTTTAAAAAAAAATGGGTTCTTTTTTTCTGAAACACGGTAGATTCTCTTGTTGGTCGCATTTCTTATTTGGCCGATTTAGAAACCAAACTTTCTGTTTCTCTATGTACAGGTTTGTGTTTTTGATGAATTCTAATAATTTGTATATTTAAAACGTATTGCCTTTTGTTTAATGGCATGGATACTTTGCTAAAATGGTTGAGAAGCTATGGCAGTCCAATCCAGCTGCGTTAAGGTTGAAGTGGTGATATCCTAAACCGGCAAATCTTATGGGCCTATGTGTGTACCTAATCATGTCTGTAGGTCAGCTTTGTATGCTATGTCTGCAATGGTATTCAGATTGCATTTAAAGTGAAAATTAATAGTGGCTGTTACTTTTTGGCATTCAAGAGATCTGTTCATAAAAAATAAATAAAAATGCCTTACATATCCTATAAGTGTTTATCCTTGTATATGTAAAAACTTAGGTCTGTGAGCCTGCTGCATTATTTTAATTTTGTTCCGTGTAGTGTTGTCCTATAAAGATCACCCACAGTTAAGAGTATCTGGGTACCACGCAAAGGTGCAGATGCACTCCTAACACAGAAAGCAAATAAATTTACCACTGCAGAATAATTAAGTGCGTAGGATGAGCTAAAGTTATACCATGCTATGCAAGTCTTGACAGTGTGGTTGCATTCTTCAGTAGTCTCGCTCCATCTGACCTCCAACTTTTTGCTAAACTGAGTATTTTGCTACGTTGCTGTTGCAGTAACTTTTTATACTTAAACAATTGAGATTAGATAGGTCTGCAAGAAGAATGGATTTTCTTGGACATTTAAGCAATTTCTGCCCGGATACTGTTTTGAACTGCCAAATCCCGGCAATGTCCGGGAAATTCCGGATGTGTGGCAATTCTGGTACCGGTATTTATCTGAAATACTTGAATACTTAACAGTGTCTACATATGGAGATTCCTCCCACCACCACCCCAGTTATGATTTAGTCTCTTGTAGGCAACACAGCAGAAAAAAATTACTTGCAGTTGGGTTTAATAATAGTGGAAGGATAATCCTTTGTACATCCAGTCTCCTGAAATGGCCTGTTTGGTGTTGGACGTGTAAGAAAATACACCTTAGGAATAGCCATTTTCAAATATCTAAAGGGTTGTCACATGGAGGATGGAGCAAGCTTGTTTAGATGACCCTTGAGTCCCTTCCAACTCTACAATTCAATGAGAAAGCATAATTACCAGTTTATTGATTAATCTGGTACTTGTTACTGCTTTCCTTGGTCAGTTGCACACACTTATCTTCCTAAACATCTGCATGAGATATGAAGCCTTTGGACTGTTTCCAGTAGATACTTGTATACCTGTAACATAGGAAATTGACAGAAGCTTTTCTTCTTCCCAACTGCTCTTAGACCTGGCTGTAAATCAGGAGTATAACCAAGAATATATAAATTGTAGCACGAGAAGCAACTTTTAGGCTCGCGTTGGGATGCTCAGCAGCGCTTGTTCAAGGTACAGTATTTGTATTCTCAAGCAATACCCTTGGTCTGAATAATACAGCAAAGTTTATTTGAAACAAAATAAATACATGCCTAGACTATTAAGAAACCAGTCAACTTCTCCTGGAGTTCCTCTCCCTCTTCTGAATATTCCCCACCACTTTTAAAATAAAATTGATTCTTCTGTGACGTCTGTTTAGAAATTCAGATTCCACTGTAGCACCACTTTATATTTTTGGAGAAAGAACAGTGGAAGATCTGTTCTTTCAGCATCAATCCAACTGTATTTTAAAACAACAACAATGTTGCATCATTAAAACAGACTAAGTTGTAAATCAGTTATTGCATGAACTATACACACACTTACTTCCTGGCTACTCTTAAATCTGAGCCGTCCTAGAGATGGCAGCCAGATCCATCTAGGACCATGCAAAGATGTTTCCACATTTTGCTAGCTAATTAAAATGGTTGGGGTGGGTGGGTGGGTTGTAAAATGATGTAGGAGTTCTTTATAGGTCCCTGTGTCCCACTTCTGGACTAGATGGTTCGTGCTCACCTCCATGATGTCTACTAGGGATGGTCACCTGACATCCCAAAACACATCAGTATACAGCGGTACCTTGGTTCTCAAATGCCTTGGTTCTCAAATGCCAAAAACCTGGAAGTAAGTGTTCCAGTTTTCGAACATTTTTTGGAAGTCAAACATCCAATGCAGTTGTTGGCTATTGTTTCAGGGGCACCTGCACCAATCAGAAGCTGTGCCTTGGTTTTGAACATTTTGGAAGTCAAACGGACTTCTGGAATGGATTAAGTTTGGCGCTTTTGTTTTTGCTATTTCTTTTGCGTTTTTGTTTTTGAGGCTTGTTCGGTTAATTTGTTTTTGTCACTGTGTGGAACCCAGTTCAGCTACTGACTGACTGATTGATTGATTGATTGATTGATTGTGTGACTGCAGAAATGGATAAAAGCAATACAAACAATGACTATCCTCAATGCAGTTAAGAAAAAAATTAATTTTAATTTTTATCCTCTACAATACTGTTTTATTTATTTTAGTACAGTACATATTGCTTTCATTTTCTAGATCAATGGTCTTGTTAGATAGTAAAATTCATGTTAAATTGCTGTTTTAGGGTTTGTTTTTAAAAGTCTGGTATGGATTGATCCATTTTTCATTACTTTCTATAGGAAAGCGTGCCTTGGTTTTGGAACGGACTTCCGGAACGGATTAAGTTTGAGAACCAAGGTACCACTGTACAGCCCTTATATCCTGCCTAATTATAATAAACATGTAGCAAAAGTGAAATAGCACACGTCTGGACTTTGTACGTAGAATGTCCTGATAAGAGATTCAGAAATATTGTGACATATACATCAATGACATCATACTACAATCTTCCATAACTGCGAGGCCCTTATTGCTTGATGGCAGCAATAAGTTAACAGTTGCGTGAGTGGCAAAATACCGTATTTTCCAGTGTATAAGACTAGGTTTTCCCCCTAATAAATTATGTCAAAAATTAGGGGGCATCTTATACACGGATAGTGCTGGGGCCATTTTCTTAAGTCTGAGTCCCCCAAAATAGGGGATGTCTTATACATGGGGGCGTCTTATAGACGGAAAAATACGGTAAGCTTGTGACCCCCCCAAGTCAGGATAAAATACTAGTTCCTAAAAAATTCAGGAGTTGGTTGTTTCTTCTTTTCAAGTGCCAAAAGGCTGGTGTCTTAATTTTAAAATAAGCTAATTTTAAAATCAGATGTCTGTTTCATTTCTTTTTGAACAGCTTGCGGAAGGAACTGCGCAATCTCCCTTTCTGTTCTTGCCTTGGAGTGTGGCTGCTGAAAGAGGTTTGCTCATTGTCATCCCTATGAGAAAATCTGGTGTTGTCTTCTAAATGCATCTCCTGAAATGAAAAAAACAAGAATTTCACAAAGTTGTCCTGCAAAAATTATAAATGGCATTAAACAAATACAGATATAACAAACCCTTGTTTACAAGCCCCTGTGCCTAAAAGTAGAATGACAAAGGCATCCTTGCCTTTGCACACTTGTCCCTATTTTCAGGTCTGTTTTGCATGGAGTGCTTCAAAAAAGTTTCATGTATTTCTTACAACCGCTCCCTTTCTTTTCCCCATGCGAATTGGTACTTCCATTCGCCTCGACAACTACAGGGATGCAGGCACTAACTGTTTCATGAAAACTGGATGCTGAGAGACTGCTTCACTCCAGAGCTATTTATATAGTACCTAAAAGTCAGTGTCTGCATTCAGTATGTCACAACTCAAACATGGCCCCAAAGGCACGGCTATGTAACCAGAGACAGTTTTGCACCACAATGGCTCCAATTGGACTGGGGATTCAAAGCATAGCTGTCAACTTTCAGATCTGAAAAGAAGGGATCAGCAGCCTCACCTGTCCCGGGAGGATATTTAACAATCCAGGATAGCAGCGGGAAACTGCGCTGGAATAAGGGAATTTCCCGCAAAAAAAAAGGGAAGGTTGACAGCTATGATTCAAAGTAGGCTACACTATGGGGTAATGTATGCTGTGGGGCAGCCTGCTCTATGTTCACATTTTGTTCACAGTAAGAAAGTGGGCTGCTGAGATTTGTATTTTTTTCAGCTTTTCAACCCTGACTTCAAATGTAACAGTTTAAATAAAACATACACCGAGAAATCCACCTGCATCAAATATCTCTAATACTTTGGTGGACTCTCCTGCATTGGAGTTTTCGAAGCAGAGCTATGCGACCCCAGTGCCAACCTTTGGAAGACATCTGAAAGCAGCTCTGTACAGTATCGCGAAGTTTTTGAATGTTTATTTTTTTATATATGTTGGAAGCTGCCCAGAGTAGCTAGGGCATCCCAGTCTGTTGGACAGCGTATAAATAATAAAATTATCATCATCATTATTATTATTATTAAATAGGATAACCCTATTTTCATTGGAGAACTGTTGGAGGGTATGTTAAGCTGCCTTTCAGGGAAAAAGGTGGGGCATTAATTAATGATAATTGTTATGTACTGAAGTTCCCACCCTGGGCCAGCAGGGGGATACTGTAGATAGTTTTCACTCAGGTCCACATATGCAAATAAGGGATTGAAAGTGACGTTCAGGGATTGGATAGTTACAGAAAGTGTTACAGTTGCGTTGTATAAGCAGGCTGACTGAACCCTTTGGTTCAGTTCTGTTCTGGCCTCTGAATAAACAAGAGCTGTTTGAAGAATTGCTGTGTCGTCTGATATGTTCACCCACAACTTAACAATAATGATAATGATAGGGGACCTTCAGGTCACAGGTCTAACCCATAGCTGTCAACTTTTCCCTTTTCTTGCGAGGAATCCTATTTGGAATACGGGAATTTCCCTTTAAAAAAGGGAACTATTGACAGCTATGGTCTAACCCCCGCACTCAAGTGTGCCAGCTTGGCCCCACAACGGTGGGAGCCCGGGGCCATGGGTGCCATACAGCGTGCCTGGCCCTGGCATCGAAATTTGAATTTTCATGAATTTTGTGGGAACTCGGGGGACACCCAGGGCCCGCCCTCGCTCCTCCTCCTCCTCCCCCGTCGCTTAGACCCTGGCTAGGAAGCGCCTTTGCCCTTGCCTTTTGCTCTCCTTACTTCCAGAAAGCTGGGCTGGTCGCCCGCTCCTCTCGGCGGCGGGAAGTGGTGCCGCTGGGAGCTCCGGGAGGCGGCGGAGGGGGCGCCGTGGGCCGGGAAGCCCCTCTCCGTCGGGGCCGGCAGGCGGCTGCCGCTGCTGCTGCGGGTGCTGTACAGCCTGGTGCTGGCGATGCCTTCGGAGCCGCCGCCTCCGCCGCCGCTGCTGCGCGGGAACTCCTTGAGCGAGCGGCTCAGCTGCTTGCCTTTGCTGCGGAAAACCTCGCGCTTGTAGGTGCCGCTGGCCGCCGCCGGCGCCGCGCTCTTGGGCAGCGGCTGCAGCGTGCGCTCCGTCCTGCCGGGCTCGCTGGTGAAGTGGACGGGCCTCAGGAAGCAGATGTCGATGCTGGACTCGGACGAGGCCGGCGAGCACGCCTCGAAGGCGGGCAGGTTCCGCAGCGGCTCCACCTCCTCGTAAGGGTCGCCTCGGTACTCGAAGCCCTCGTAGTCCGGCGCGAAGCCGGAGCTGTCCTGCAGGAGGTCCGCCGCCGAGGCCCGCCGACGGGGCCGCTCGCGGTTGCCGTCGGGGCCGGTCGAGGGAGGGGCGCTGCTGCCGCCGTACTCCAGGTCCGGGAGGGCGTGCAGGGAGGCGGCCAGAGCTTTCAGGTCGTGCTCGCTGAGCTGAGAGGGCGCCAGGCCGTGCTCGGGCCGCCGCCCGTCCGTTTCCCACTCGCAAGGGGAAGCGCCTTGCAGGCCCTCCAAGCCTTGTTGGGGGCTCGCTTTCATGTGGGACCTCGAGTGCCTTGGAAGGGAGACCAAACCAGTGTCGGATTTAGGTATAAGCTAAACAAGCTGTAGCTTAGGGCCCCATACTCTTGGGGGTGCCCCAAAAAATGAAAGGAAAAAACAACAACAATTTCCAAAATATAAGATAAAATACAGTGGTACATCTGGATGTGAACGGGATCTGTTCCGGAGCCCCGTTTGCATCCTGAAGCGAACACAACACACATCACGTGCGCAGGTCGCGATTCACCGCTTCCGCGCATGCACGGGACGGCATTTTGAGCGTCTGCGCATGCGCGAGCGGCGAAACCTGGAAGTAACGCGCTCCATTAGTTCCAGGTTGCCGCGGAGCGCAACCCAAAAAGGCTTAACCTGAAGCGACTTAAACCCGAGGTATGACTGTAAAACCTACATACAGCAACAGTGTTTTGTATTGTGTAGACTCCTATGATGTAAGTAATGGGCCCCGCCTGCTAGCCAGCTCCCTAAAATATCACTGGTTTGCTCATTTCTATATATAGGGTGCCTACACTCCTCATGGACTGGTTGCATGGCAACACGTGCAAATGGCTTTAGATATCTATTAGGTCCATAAATTACCATATAGCATATATTCAACACAAAAAACAGCAACAATTTGTTGTTGGCAAAGGACAGCTGGACATATAAAGGGCCCCATTACCTTCAGTAGCTTAGGGCCTCATCAAATCTAAATCCAGCCCTAGACCAAACATGAGCTGTTGAGGAAAGTTTGGACTGGAAACACACCAGGTAGCCCCAGTTTTGGGGTCGAGAGCTTGCCCTATTTTATATACTTCGCTGCATCATGAAAGACATGTCGCAGCAGTTTGCAAGCAACATAGAACAATATGGGAGCACCCTAGTCGTCAAGTGGTTTACAGATAACTAAGCAAGAACCTCAACATTCTGGTCTTCAATGTTATGGGTGAGTGCCAATGTTAGTCATCCTCAGAGCAGACCCTTTGATTTCAGTGCATCTACTCTCAAGTCCATCCTTAATCTGGCTCTATTCAAAGCGCGTCTCAGCACTGCCAGACTAAACCTCCCTTGCACTCTGCCAGCCTTCGGCACCTCACATCAGGGGAACAAACCTCCCCCCCAAAAAAAACCCTTTTATGAATAGTTTTGGATAGGTGCCTACCTCAGTCTGAGCTATTACAGCTACGAAGAGAAGTGGATGCAGTAATCATTAAATACATACAATTCTGCTGAAATTATGTGAAGTAAAACAATAAAGGAGTCCTAAAAGTGACCAACAGCCAATTGAGGGAACCGGATAAGTGCCCTTCCACAGCTGCGGAGGAAGGGAACTTACGCTGTCACGGTTACCCTACTTCACTCACTGAAAGACCCACAGCCACAGGCAATGGTTGTCTGGCCAGCAGTTGTTAAGGGCAGTGGAGAATCTTTAGGATCCAAAGCCCTCTGGTTCTTCCTCCCTTGCAAAATGCACCCTCAATTATTCCAGCCCTGGTGTACTGACTGCAATGGGAAAGGGAATGGAAGGAAAGAAGCAAAAGGCCTGGAGCAAAAAGCTGCCCCACACACAGCCAGCACAGTGAGCCGGCTGGGCTTAGGAAGCGCCAGTACAGTAATTCTGCCATGGAACCTTCTCATCCTGCAGTAGGGTCACTCAGATGCTGCTGTAATGCTCTGTGAGCCAGTGTGGTGTAGCGACCAACAGTGTTGGGCTAGGACTGTGGGAAACCTGGGTTCAAATCCCTTCTTGGGCCATTTGCAGAATCTCAGCCAAATCTAAGGATAATATATGGGGAGGGGGAACCATGCACCACCACCACCACGAGCTCCTTGAAGGAAAGGTGGGATATAAGTGTAATAATTCAAAGAGCATTGCACTCACATGGCCGTTGTTCCAGAAGTCGGGGCTGATGGGAACAGTTGCATGGCCTCTTCAGAGTGGATTCCACTGTCGCGGATGGAAGTAGCGCTAAGCGTTGGAGACGCATCTTGGCCAGCGCTGGCGCATAGAGAAGCTAGACCTTTGTATAACTTTCCGAAGGAAGATCTAGTGGAATCAAGATATAATACCACCATCAGTCAAACCATGAGGACCAGCTTTTACAAATGGCAGCCTGTTATTCCCACGTTCATTGCAGCACTGGATCATTACATTCATACTAGTGCTGTATTGTTTCTACAGCTTTGTGATGTAATACCACAAATTTGGTTTGGGGCACACATTCAGCTTGTGAGAACTTAATTTTTCATTGACTGATTAGAAACATGTTCCTAGGCCTCATGGCTATGGAGTTACATTTTTAAAAAGCCAAAAATCTGAAGCACTAGGGCTGACAATTCACTTTAGGAAATAAATTGTTTGCATTTTATGCACATCTTTACTTACAATACAGAAAGACTTTAAAACTTTCACAGAACTTCAGTGTATACGTGGCTTTAAAGGATTGAACAGCTGACAGGTAGTTAATTAGCTGCTCCCTCAGTCCATTTCAAAGGGTCATAATCGTGAGCCAAATTCCATACAACACTTCAGCAGTGTATTATACCTCCTATATGAGTATATGTTTCAAGCTGAAGAAATATACTGCTTTCTGAGGGTGGCCAAAACAACAACAAACAAACAAACCTCCACCTGTTGCATAGAAGTTAATGAAAAGCTAGATTTGTGCTTAAAACAGCTTTTAAGGCACTGAGAAAGGCGCAAGAAGCAACTTCAAGGAACAGACTCATTCTGGTGTTGAAAGTTTGTTCTGAAAGTCATAGGCCATGTGTTCCTCAAGGAATAAACAGGGACAGAAAGTGTCACTGGCTGATGAACTTCTCTGTTCCCAAGCCTGTGATTCGCACATCGTGATCATGCAAGGAGGAGCAGTTGCAAGGGAGAATGAGCGGAAACAAGGTCCAACCATTCTCTTCACGTGGTCCCACCCATCCAGGCCATTTCTGACATCTCTCAATCTCTCTCTCTCACATACACCCCTGGACTCCACACCAGAAGTGATCCATAGCTGAGGGATAAATGATCAGGGAAGGAGGGTGGACACATACTCCAACTTTTCTTACAGCAGAACTTGGCTCTTCTTTGCCTGTACCTAATCAAAATAGAAGGAAGCAGCCCCTTTTCACTCACTTTCTCAGCTTCTTCCGCTTCTGTATCAGCAGGTCTTCGTTGCACTGGAAAAGAAGGCTGTGGTGCGAGATGAACACTCGCAGGCGCTGTACACTAACCAGAAGGAGGTAGTAATCGGGGTGCTCCTGCTCCGTGTACTTCAGGATATTCTGGCGCAAAAGGAGGAGAGCCACACTGAATCACATCCTCCTCTCTGCCCATTTAGTAAAACAGCATGAAACATCCTGAATGCTCTACACCAGGGCCTATGCATGACCGTACAAAGGAAGGTTCTAATCATTGACTCATCCTTGTCACTAGGGAGTGCCTTCTACCAGCTTCAGCTGGTGCACCAGATGTGGCCATTTGTGAACAGAGATAATGTGGCCACAATCGTCCATGCCCTGGTAACCTCAATATTTTAGCACTGAAATGCACTCTACGTGGGGTTGCCTTTGAAGTTATTCCCAAAGTTTGGTTAGTAAAAAAACAACTGCTCTAAGACTGCTGTGCAGCGCTCACTGTCATCATCGTTTATACTCGAAACAAAATTTAAAAAGTTCCAGTAGCACCTTAGAGACCAACTAAGTTTGTTATTGGTATGAGCTTTTGTGTGCATGCACACAAGTTCATATCAGATAACAAACTTAGTTGGTCTCTAAGGTGCTACCAGAAGGAATTTTTTAAATTTTTTTTGACTATGGCAGACCAACACGGCTACCTACCTGTAACTAGAATCGTTTATAGTGTTAGGCATGTTGGAGAACTTGAATGAAAACTGAAATATGTTGCTGGTGTTTGCACCCATGTCCAGAATGGAAATACAGCAAATACAATCAGCATGCACTATTGTTGTTGTGTTCAGTCTCCAAACAATATATAATTGAATATTTTCTTTTTAAAAATCATTGCACTTCCTTTGCATTATATAACGATAGCAGAATAAATTAAGTACGTAATTATGTAAAATTTGCCAAAGTGGAAATTAGATTAATAACATAGTTAACATAGCTTTTTTGTCAGAAGCCAAGCTGTAGCAGAACAGAAACAGCACTGCAATGCAATGGTTCTGGAGCAGAATAAGAAACTGATGTCGTCTTATATTCCTAACACTGATCCTCATTAGATCTTACCTGTAAATGAAGGAGGTATTCAGGAACACGCTGGACAATATGAAAGAAGAATATGTAAATATCAGACTTAATTTCTTCCTCAATCTGTCGGGAAGAGAAGATAAAGAAGAAAAGATCATTTGTACTGAAATTTTTATATACCACCATTTATAAGAACATCTCAAGGCAGTTTACAATAAAACCCATTTAAAATGCAATAAACAAACATTAAAATAGATTTGGCAGCATAAATATAGTCCAGAGTGAAACACAAGGGGTAAGAGCGCTTAAGTCAGTTAATCTCACAGCTTGGTATCCAACTAATGTGTCCTGTCAGCGCAAAGAAGTGAAGAGGGAAGACCCTCTTTACAGAATCTCTGTATGGGTCTGGATCAACATCAACATGACTAAAAATCTGCTCAAAGCACACAGATGTGTCAGTGGTTCAAGATGCACCCAAACTCACCTCCTTCACAATCACCACATGGATCAGCGAAATGCACTCAGGCAAGTCTCTCAAGCAAGCAACATAATAATCCAAAAAACCGTTCTGAAAAGCAAATAAGAAACATCTCTTGAGAATCCTTATGTGTGTGACAGACACACGAGCCCCCTGATTCCACCTGACTCTGTTTGATAAACACGGACCAAGGCAGCGATTCAGCACCGAAATGCCCCGAGGCAAAATCATGGACCTTTTCCACAAAAGGTGGAAATGCTTCAATATTAACCTGTCTCCCCCTCCACACACAAAAAAAGCATCTAAAAACAATTGCAAGAGATAATATAGAATCCACATTTCTCTGACCTGTTGGACACCTCAATATTAGGCTCTGAAGTTATAAGCTTGTTTGAGGGAAAAGTAGATTAGATTAGATATGATATGATAATGTAATGTGCTTAGTTCTTGAGGGAGGGGCGACATACATGTACAATTCATTCTGCTGGTCCAAAATGGCCCAATTACTGTACTTCAACAATGCATCCCTCTCCTGCTCCCCATATTTTTTCCTCACACATGTACCTCATCGTTGGTTAGCTTGAGAAAAATGTCTCCCAGGATTCCTTGCCGCGGCCAGCTCAAGACTCTCTCCTGCAGAGCATGAAGTAAGTCCACATGCTGCTGGACCAAGTATCGAAGAGAATTGGGGACAAAACTGCAGCCAGGAAACAGCGGGAACGGCATTTTGAAGAGCCATTAACAAACAGAAGAAATGCACTTAAAAACACTACCCAGCCTGCTAAATATACACATGGCCGAAGCCGTGAGAAGGTATTTGAGAGACAATTCAAGGTGCTGATTTTGACTTAACAATGAAGTAGACTTGATGTTGGGTTGGGGGGGGGGATCTGATTGGACCTCCCAACTTTTGTTTTCTCTCAACGTTGTAGACCCCTCCAGCTATTTTAAATTGAAGCAGTGGCACTGGTATTTAATCCTCTTCCCACCCCCACATCACTTTCCTGAGCTATACCCTCTTGATTTTGACCTTTAAAGCCCTATGCGGCCTAGGACCCACGTACCTGCGGGGCCGCCTTTCCTGGTATGCCCCGTGGAGGACCTTAAGGTCCACAAATGACAACATTTTGAAGGTCCCAGGTCGCAAGGTGGTTAGGCTGGCCTCAACCCAGAGGCAGGGCTTTTTTGGCTGTGGCCCTGAACTGGTGGAACGCTCTGCCACAAGAGACTAGGGCCCTGCGGGACTTGACATCTTTCCACAGGGCCTGCAAGACACAGCTGTTCCACCTGGCCTTTGGTTTGGACTCAGTCTGACCCTTATGTTTCCCTCCCCTTATGGTCTTGATTTATCGGCTACTTTAAAATGAGGCTGCATTTAGATCGCATTTTAACCTGTATTTTAAATTGGTGTCCCCCCCTTTCCCCCCATTATGTTTTTACTGTGATTTTATTGGTGTTAGCTGCCCTGAGCCTGGCTCTGGCCGGGGAGGGCTGGGTATAAATAAATTATTATTAATTATTATTATTATTATTAGACCTTCAGCAGAAAAACAACAACTATTCCAGATTAGATCTGACTAGGGATGGATAAATTTGTCCATTTCAGTCCTTTTAAGGTTCTGATTTTCTCCACGTTTCTGCAGTGGAATGACTTCCCCTCAGGTATGTGTGTCATAACTCATGGTGGCTGTTTCACCCTCAACTGTGGGTCTAATAGTGGTCACAATGGACCTGAGCAGGACAAGTTTGGTAGTGGCTGTTGAGCAGCTCCTAGGGCAAGATGGGAGTGTTTTCAGCCACCTGAAGCCACTGGAGACAATGCCTGCTAAGCAGCTGGAGATGATCTCTGTCTGGAGAGGACAAAGGGCGCTCCATTATCAAAAAGAGAACATGACCAGGTAAAGCAGCAAATGGATGCCTGGCTTAGGAAGGCAAGAACAAAGTTGAATGGAGAGGGAAGGATGGAAAGAGGAAAGGGCAGCAGGGATCCAAAACAGCAGCCAGCACGTTTAAAGAAAAGCATTGTTGCCCGACAGTAAGTACAATTAGTAAATACCTTCTATCCTTGGAGTTCCTTTTCACGTCCTGCCCATACAACGTGGCTTTAATTTTGAGGACCTGGGTGAGGTTCACAACATACTTCCTTTCTGACTCAAGTAAGTCCAAAGCGATATTCTGCCTTTTAGCTTTGGAGAAACAAGGTGAAAATGATTTGGTGTTTCAAACGGGTTATTAATTATTGTGATTATGCACTCGTATCTAGAAAAGGTGTCATTCCAAGAAGAAAAAATCGAGCAAGCAGAAAACGAAGACCTAATTCCTTTATCAGTGACTCAGGGGCCAAATGTAGGCTTCCAGGCTGACTATGCCCACACCAGGCCCCTCCTCAGCCCTGCTCTTCACCCTCCTTGACTGCTTTTGCCTGGCTGGAATTTGCCTTTGCGATAATGCTCAGAAAGAGGGAAATAATTCCAAAGGAATGTGACTGCAGAGTAACGTTTTCACTGCTTCTTGCACTGAAGTACCACCAGCTTGGTAGCACCGTAAGAAGTCAGGAGCCATTAGGCTAGATTTCAAATGAACCCTGAGTTCAGAAGCTACTGCAAGGATTAGCCATTTCAAATCCTGCTCTATAGATTACAGCAATGATTTATTCAAATTCCTCAATAGTATCTAGACTAGGGGTAGCTCACCAGTGCTCCAACAGATATTGTTGGGCTGGTAGGAGTTTTGTAGTCTAGCAATGAAGGGGGGCCACAGGTTCCTTGTCCCTCCTCTATAGCCTTTTTGCTTTCTAGCCACTACCTTTATTCTCACCTGCAATAGACGGTTCCCGCAGCGCATTCTCCATTGAGCTATAGCTACTGGGACCTAGTTCCTTCTGCCTGTCACTCTGGTCCTTTGAAATATGTTCGCCAGCCCAGTCTTTACTGTCCTTGGGCTGCTTCCACACTGTGGATGATGACTGGCCCTTTGGCTGAGCATCAGCAGACGAGGAAGTTCTGAGGTTCTCTTCCGTCTCCAGATTTGTACCGGTTAACCCTAGGAATTAGAACAGGTGGTCAGCAGGACCAACAGGCGCGTCCTTAATGGCCACTTGGCCCATCAGGCTGGTCAAAAACCCATAGCGAAGGACGCTGGACTGCTGTGTGATGGCTCTGAAACCAGTGGGCTCAATCGGAGCAAAATGGTGACTAGTCATGCTCTCCCCTCCATTGTTGGAGGCCGAATGACTCTGGTATACCAGCTGGGGGGAATCAAAAGTGGGGAGGGCGCTGTTGCACTCTTGTCCTGCTTACGGGCTTTCCAATGGACATCTGGTTGTCCGACATAAGAGACAGGATGCTGGACCTTTGGTCTAATCCAGCAAAGCTCTTCTTGTGTTCTTATGTGTACCAGAAGAGCTTAAAAGAGAAAGGAGCAATCTGGACGTAGCTTAGGAACGAGAGCAGGAGGACATATGAAATTGAAATTGAAATACTTTATTGTCACTTGTACAACTTGTATACAGTGAGATTACACAGGCACCCCCCCCCCACTCAGCTCTCTTAGTCTTAATTCCCCTCGTTAATGACGCACACCCACCAAACCCGAAAGTCAGTTGCCCTGTTGTTATCTTTTCATTCAGCAGCCTAACAGCCCATGAATAGAAGCTGTTCTTTACCCTGTTGGTGCGACTAATCATGCTTCTATATCTTCTGCCTGAGGACAGGAGATCAAGTGCCAGCCAAGGTGTGAGTCATCCCTGAGAATTTTCCTCACGCTCCTGAGGCAACGTTCTTCCGCTATTTCATCCAGCAGATTCACGGGACAGCCCATAATATCTTGTGCTGTATTCACCACCCTCTGTAGGCACTTCCTATCAGCTGATGTCAAACCAGCGTACCACACCATGATGCAGTATGAAAGGAATATGGTGAATATGGTGAATGGTTCTAGAGCTCCACTGCCACATCTTGTGGTAGTGAGTTCCACAAGTCAATAAAGGACCCTTTGAAATCACCTTGTCATTACATGTCTCTTAATAATCGGTAACAACGGAGCAGCAGGGTGGCCTTCTGGCAGCTGCATTGCATTCACCAGGACAGGGAGAGGGCAGGGCAGGGCGATGGCAAGGTCAGGGGAGCTCTGGATGGGCAGAGTTGCTCCCCTGCAGGTGTTGTGTATGCACCTGCAGCATACTGGTGATGCCAACCCAGCACTCCCCCAACCTCACCACTGCCCTGTGCCCCCATTCTGGAGAATGCTGTGCTCCCTCCTCAAGTACCACTTGCTGGTTAGGAATATCTGCCAAACAGGGAATATTTGGGAGCAGAAATTGATTAACAACAAAAACCACCCCTCCAATTGCACCAACCTTTCATGCTGCCTTCTCCTAGTCCCATGGGCCTGCAGTCAGAGACTAAGCGAGAACAGGAGAAATTTTAGTTATTTGTAAAGGAAGATGAGTAAAGCAAGCTTCACCTAGAGATTTAAAGTTAAACATGGAGGAAAGTGCTTTGAGGGTGTCTAGTTTTTTAAAAATTTAAGGTACTGTGGGGGGAGGGGGGGAGGGTGTTGTTTTTTTTAATGTAGTCTATCCATCTGACTGATAGCTCAGTCAGTAGAGCATGAGACTCTTAATCTTAGGGTCGTGGGTTCAAACCCCACATTGGGCAAAGAGATTTCTGCATTGCAGGGGGTTGGACTTAATGACCCTTGTGGTCCCTTCCAACTCTATTTTTCTATGAGCCTATGATCTGTGGTTGCTTCCAAATAAGCCATTTTTCCTCAGGATTTTTTTCTTTTTACATAATGTGTTTGCTCAAATTTTACAGAGGTTTCCGTGCTGCTTCCAGGAGGGTCATTCCTGCCGCTTCTGAATCATTGTCTTTCCCTTATAAACAACAATATATTGTCCCTTTTCTGTGTACAACCTGGTATTTTCTGTCCAATCAGTGGGAATGATGCAGCCGCATTTGCAGCTCAGTAGCCATTCACTGTAACCCATCCCATGAGATGGGTGTCCCTTTATAACCCCATTTTTAGTTTTTCCTTAATTACCCCTAACACAATGGACTCCTTAATTATCCCTAACATTTCTGTCTCTGTTTCTCATTTTAATGAAAGGGAGTTATAGCACAATAGCCGGAGCTGCTAAACCTTTGGCCCCACAGAAACATTTGTAAATGGGAAAAACCATTCTGGGCCCTGCACCATCTGAGGAAGACGCCTTTACCTGCTGAATGGCAAGGTAGGATCTCATGAAAGTGAAAATCTCAGGTGGGGAGAGGGAGGAGGAGGTGTTAAAATATTGTAAACTGCCTTGAGCATACAGGATAGGGTAGGGTAGGGTCGATCAAACAAAATAACTACCTTTCTCGTACGTTGCGTTATGCAACAGCTTTACAAAATCTTCATTAATCAAAACTGGCTCCGGAAGGTTTAGTGATCGAAAGGGACTTCCTTGTAGAGGTGTAGGGACTGTTTGTGACCCATGCTCCTCCTTCTGTATTCTTCTGAGGCAAAAATAAAAGCAAGACTACCAGAGCATACACTTGGGAGACACACATTTGTTTTAAGGTATAAGAATTTACAAAAGTTAAATGTAAAAACAAATAAGATATCTCTTGTTTCAAACACACTGTCACAATCTTATGTAGTATATTGAAACTAGAATTCTATGAGTAGGTCATGAAGAGGGGAAAGCATAACAAGAGCAGAGCACAGCTTGTTTCTGACACATTAGCATAAGGGAGGTAAGAAAATAAGGAAAATAATCAAGAAGAGCCTTGGTACTTCTTTTCTTTTCTTGGCTGGGGCTACTACTTCATGCTACCAGTTTTAGTTATAATACCTCTTTGCAAGACTGTTTGCATTTCTAATTAAAAGCTGAATGTTGTGTTTCTGCTGGTTGAAGATCTTTTGCTAAAGCCCAATGCATTTTACAACTTGAATTTATTATAGAAACATCTATTCTATTACTGTCAGTTGACCTGAATAAACTGGACTTTCTGAGGGGTATGACTTGGGGGACTGCCAGGAGGAGCTGATGCACTCCAAAAAATCTACCCTGCAGCACGGAGGGGAGGGGAGAGAACCAGTGCTATGAAGTTACACAGGGATTTGAAGAAGGTTTCGTCTACAATCACTTACTTTGCTTTGAGCTTGCGAGATTCTTTCCGCTTCTCCTGCTGCAGCTGTTCAATCTTCTGCTGCATTTCCTCCTGTTTGGCACTGATTTCCTCAATCATGGACTTGGCATCACTGAGCTCATCCTGATTAAAAAGACAAATGATAGCAACATATGTTAAGAACAGTAGATCTCTTCCTGAAGCATCTTGAGCATACAAGTGCATGTGCAGAATTGGGGTGCAACATCCTAACCTTATGAAATGCAAACAACTATGGATGGATGGATTGATTGATTGATTGATTGATTGATTTACCAGAAGGTACAGTATTGTTGTTGTTGTTTTTTGAAAAAGTGCTGTTATTCTCACTGAGGCTAATGAATGGCCAAACAGAACAGTGTGCCTGTGGTACTTAAGTACAAAAAGAGTTGTTTGCATGTATCTGGAGTCCTTTCACCTCATAAAGAGTGAGGGCAAGTTTAAAATTACAGAGGGCAGCTAGCTTGCAGCTTGTTTCTTCTATTGCCCTGCATGAGACTTCCGCTTTGCCCAGTCTCACGAAGGACAAGGATTTAGGAGTCAAGGTTTATAACAGTGAGGTATAGCACCTTGGTAATACTAATCTGGAATAACACAAGGGAACAAAATCAGACTAGATTGCTGCTCTCATGTGCTGATTACCCCCAAATAGAGGCAGATGGGGCTCATCAACCTGGGAAGGTAGCCCATCAAGGAGAAGAAAAACTCTGACCCTCCACTGCCTTGTGGGATATCTTCAGGAGAAGAAAAGGCTAAGGAGTAACCAGGAGTCAGCAAACCTTTTCAGCAGGGGGCCGGTCCACTGTCCCTCAGACCTTGTGGGGGGCTGGACTATATTTTGGAGGGGGAAAATGAATGAATTCCTATGCCCCACAAATAACCCAGAGATGCATTTTAAATAAAAGGACACATTCTACTCATGTAAAAACACACTGATTCCCGGACCAGACCAGATTTAGAAGGCGATTGGGCCGGATCCGGCCCCCAGACCTTAGTTTGCCTACCCATGGAGGAAACCCTACACAAATCCAGAGTGGAGTCCCTAAAATAGTTGGATGGCGTCTTGTACACCTCTTTCTGGAAACTTCTGCAGCTAAGCTGGTGCCAAGCATATTACTCTGCTTTCCTCTGGACCACATCAGTGAGGCTGGAGGTGGGGGGGGGTCATCATCTGGGCAGTCCAGGATCTCCATAAACACCACCCAGGCTTGCACCCCCAGACTTGCACTGAAGGTCATTTTGGTGATGTTGACACTGTGGTTTGACTTCACCCCCCGCCCAGAAGGAACACTCCATTGTCTCTCGAGACGGATGGATGCCAACAAGAACTTAATATGTTCAGAATACATTGGGGAATATGCCTGGCAGTAATTACCATATTTTTCGCTCTATAAGAGGCACCAGACCATAAGACGCACCTAGTTTTTGGAGGAGGAAAACAAGAAAAAAAATATTCTGAATCTCAGAAGCCAGAACAATAAGAGGAATCGCTGCGCAGCGAAAGCAGTGATCCCTCTTGCTGTTCTGGCTTCTGGGATAGCTGCGCAGCCTGCATTCGCTCCATAAGACACACACACATTTCCCCTTACTTTTTAGGAGGGAAAAAGTGAGTCTTATAGAGCAAAAAATATGGTAATTTACTGCAGCCAGTATTTCTGCATTCTACATGTGCTAGACATCTAGATGTGCTAGACGTCTTTCTCTGCTTCAAGCAGGCCTAATCCCCTCCCTTGAAAAAGGGGCTGGTTGTCAATGGACACGGCCTACCTTGAAACAATTAAGAGAGTTCTTCATCTCTGCCACTTTCTCCTCCATGGCACAGCGGCAGCTTTGGACCTTCTCCTCAAGAGCATACTCTCCATGCTGGATCCTTGATAGTTCCTGCATTGCTTCGGTGAAACCGGTTTTCAGTTCAGAAGCCAGAGCCTGCAACTAAATGAACCAGAATTTATGATCATCGCTAATGCTGCAGAGATGGATTACATAAGAACAAATAAAACTGCTTTATAGAATATTTGCCCATCTAACTCCATACTGTCTATATTGACTGGCAGCAACTCTCCAGGGTTTCAGGACTGAACCAGAGACCTTTTGCAAGCAAAGCAGATGCCTTATTACCACTGAGCTTATAGTCTCCACCCCCAACCCTTTTTTCTTTTATTATAAATGCCAATCTTCCACTTTAACCTCAGATTTAACCTCTCTGCTCCCTACCTGTGTCTCTTTCTCCTGACACTTGAATACCCTTCCACCCTGATTTTACTCACTGTTTTTTATTTATTCTTTATTACATTTCTCCCACAGGGGACCCAGGTGACAAACACACAAAAGAAATCATTACATGTTTTAAAACCGTGAAAGCATCTTAAAAACAGCTCCAAAACAGATGTAGTCTGGAAAAGACCTCTACTTAAAAGGCTTGTTGGATGAGGAAGTCGTCTCTTTCAGCAGGCACTGAGAAGTCAGTGGAAAGAGAACAGGGGCATTACGTTCAAGCCACACTGGTTCATCCTGCCTCTTCCCAAATTAGCCTCTTTCCCTTATTCCTTTCCTGTCCTCCACAATGTGCCTTGTCTCTACCTTTAGATGCAATTCTGCATGCAGGACCTGCTTCAGTCTTTAATTTTTGTACGCTGCCTATATGTTTAAATAAACAGCAGTATTATGAAATAAGCTCTTACTGACAAGCAATATTATTACGTTTCCCCTTATTGCTTTTATTTTGTTCTTTTATTGGACGGAATCCTGTTTGCTTTTTAAACATACAGGCAGACTATATCTGTTCCTAGACCAATAAATAAAGCATTGACAATGTCCCCTATTGAGGAAGCCCTGATCCTTGAACATTCATAGCACGTTCCTTCCAAATGAATACCTTAAAGAACCTGGCTCCATGTTTCCAAGTTTATGAGGACCAGAAAGAGAACCATTCCCACCACCACCCCTGTAATCTGCAAATGCTAATAGAGATCTCCTTAGATCTTGATCAGGCCTGCACCTCTTGTGACCTACCAAGCCAAACACAGCAGACACCTGCTCTTGCATCGGGGGTAGAGAACTTCTTTAGCCCAGGGGGTGGGGTCAGATTATTATCTAACCCACCCCATGTGGGCCATGTTTGCTGGGTGGGTGGAGCTGCCCACCTGTCAATCAAATGACATCACAGTGATGCCCAATGACCATTTTTTACCACAGGGGTCTTTGGAAGCTAGGGTTGCCACCTTTGGTCGGGCAAAATATGGAACAGGTTGGGGAGAGGGGGATATTCTCTGTATTTTTGAGCCCCAGAGGCATTTCCTAAACAGGGAGTTTATCTTTTGGAAGTATGATCCGGATATAAAATCTGGAAGTCCTCTCAGAATATAGATAAATCGGGGAATAATATTAATTTTGAGAGCATTCAGCTTTCCCCAAAGGGTAAGGATTAATGACTCCCACTTATCTATGTCTAACTCTCTGCACTCTTAACAAACTACAGTTGCCAGGATTCCTTGCAGGGAAGGCATGACTGTTTGAAGTGATATGATACTGCTTTAAATGTAAAATGAAAATGTGGCCTAAGACTTCATGAAAACAAAACCAGAATGTAATATTTATTCCGGGTTATTTAACCCCAAATTGAAGAAGGGTTAAGTATCAGAGCATCTGTTGAAGTGCCTTTTCAATGTCAGATATTTTGGGGAGCTATTAATAGCATTAAGGTTTTAAACCAAGTCTCTGTTTGGCTAGTCTGATGTGTTATGATTTTTTACATAGAGTTATCAAAAGCCTCGCTAATTCCTTAAATGTTTGGGATTATTCAGAGCAAGTTGCTCATTTTTACCTGGGCAAGCTGTGTTGCAGGGTTAATCACTGGCACAGTTTCAGTTTCTCCTGTGGGAATAAAGAGCTTCAGTCAATTAACGGGACTTATTAGGCTTGCTATATATAAAATGGGGGCATAGTGATTTGCAGTCCACCTTTAGGTGGAAACCTGTCTCTTTTCTGGAACACAGAGTCCTGCTTTGAAGCTGCCACATTATAATAATTTTGCACAAGCTACCACAATTACAAGCAGAGGAATTTCAGCACCGAATTGTACCAATGGTTCAGTTTCACGTTATAGCTATGGAAAGCTATACATGTGCTATATATGATTAGTTAGGGGTTTAAAATGTGAAAAGCTATGGAATAACTGATTTTGTAATGTGTTAAGTGTTAAGTTGTGGGTGAACATATCAGACGACACAGCGATTCTTCAAACAGCTCTTGTTTATTCACAGGCCAGAACAGAACTGAACTGAAGGGTTCAGCCAACCTGCTTATATAGAGCTCCACCAGAATGCAACAGTAACCATTTTCTGTAACTATCCAATCACTGAACGTCACTTTCGATCCCTTATTTGCATATGTGGACCTGAACTATCTACAGTATCCCCCTGCTGGCCCAGGGTGAGAACTTCAGTACATAACATTAAGAACATAGGAAGAGCCTACTGGACCAGGTGAATGGCCCATTTAGTCTAGCATCCTGTTCTCACAGCAGCCAACCAGATACCTGTGGGAAACTGGCAAGAGGACCTGAGCACAGGAGCCCTCTCCTCGTCTGCGGCTTCCAGAAACAGGTATTCAGAATCAGTGCTAGCATAGTTAGTAGCCATTATGAGCTGTATCCTCCATAAATTTGTCGAGTCCTCTTTTAAAGCCATCCATATTGGTGACCATCTACATAACGATGTGCTGCATATCTATTCAGTAAATATATTAATGGTAGTGTTGGCCCAAGACACTGTTGAATGCCTTTCCCCCTTTACTGTGATCCACGCGACGGTCACCTCCAGGCTTGATTATTGTAACTCACTCTACGTGGGGCTGCCCTTGAGACTGACCCAGAAACTCCAGCGGGTGCAGAATGCCGCAGCGAGACTCCTTATGGGGTCCTCGCCGCAGGATCACATTCACCCAGTGCTATACCAGCTGCACTGGCTCCCGGTGAAGTACAGGATCAGGTTTAAGGTGCTGGTTTTAACCTTTAAAGCCCTATACGGCCTAGGACCCTCGTACCTACGGGACCGCCTCTCCTGGTATGCCCCACGAAGGACCTTACTTTCTTCTAACAAAAACATCTTGGATGTCCCAGGCCACAGGGAGGTTAGACTGGCCTCAACCAGAGCCAGGGCTTTTTCGGCTGTGGCCCCGATCTGGTGGAACGCTCTGTCACAAGAGACTAGGGCCCTGCGGGACTTGACATCTCTCCGCAGGGCCTGCAAGACAGAGCTGTTCCACCAGGTCTTTGGCCAAGGCACAGTCTGACCCCCTCCTTTGGTAATCCTCATAGAACTCTAGCCCAATGGTTGCCATTAATTTGATTTTGAATTGATTTTAGAATGAACTGATTTTAGAATGCTGTGTTACTTTTATTGTTGTTAGCTGCTCTGAGCCCGGCTTTGGCTGGGGAGGGCAGGATATAAATAAAATATTATTATTATTATTATTATTATTATTAGGCCTAACACTCTTTTTTTTACAAAAAAAACAAAACCCCTGCATGATTGATAGAAGAAAGGCATCATATAAATGTAAGGGGGGAAAGGGGCGGGGAATCATTTCCTGCCTTCAACTATAATTAACATTATTATAAGTGAGAGATTTCTTTTTGGGATAATTCAGGATCTGTTTTAGCTAGAAGTGGTGCTGGACTTCTAACTGTCCAATGTGAATCCCACCACATCAGCCCAGAGAGTACGTGTGGGCATGTGACTCTTCAGTAGTGCCATTGTTAATGATGGCACCTCCAAAATGGTGGCTCACATGCAGTGACACCATCCCGGATGAGCTTCCCTCCTGCCAACACGGCTGATAGGTTCCTCCGTCACAAATTTAGGCTGCAATCCCAAATGCTCTCACACTTTTGAGTCAACATGCATAGGGCTGCAGTGTTATAAAGTTTACTATCCAAAATTTGAACCATTGGCATGATCCAGCAGAGCTGGTCTTCTATTTAAAGGGATCCCATCCCTTTTTAAAGAAAAGATTGCTTCTATTGGTTGGCTTTCTTGAATCCAATTTATTATTTTATTTTTGCTCACCTGTGAACACAACTCAATGCTTCGAGAACCTTAACAAACCTCACTTTACTGAATCCTGGAAATTGTAGTTCTCTTGGGAGGGGGGAGTTCTAAGAGAAGCCCAACTATCCTCACTAACTTACAGTTCCCAAAATTATCGCAGAGAAGCCATGACAATAAAATACACGTAAAATGAAATCTAGATCTGGCTGTGTGTAATTATCCACCTTCGGGAAAGGCGTGTAGGTATATTGGTGGGGTTATTACTGAATTTGCCTTAACTGTGCATGAAATCTGGTTGCCTTTTACTTAGGACACTGAGACCCTGAGGTGATACAGCCTTCCTTTCATTATCTTAAACCTCAGAGGGCCTGGGTTTCCTTAGGAAAGCAGGACACCTCTGTAACTCTTTGCTTACATGCTGATGCCGTCTTTCAGTCAGAGATGAAGTAATTTCTGAGTGAGAGGCAAAAGTAGGAGACAGAAAACAACAGTTTATCTTTCTACTCCTCTTCCACAGCTGCTATTTAATAAATAAAGGGGGGGGGGACAAGCATGCCATATCACATTTAGTTTGACCTTGACTAAATGAGAAGTAAGACACACAAGCCACTGCTCTACCATAATAGCACAAGAAAGGCAGCATGAAGCAAACACCTGAAAAATTAAATCCTTCACTGTTGATCATTTTTAAACACCTGCCCACACCAAGGGAACACACAACACGGATGACAGGGCTGGGTACCAGTTTTGTCTAACTCTTCCTGTGACACCAAATGAGCACTTTTACTCCTTGGAGGGCATCAGTTAATTCAAAGCATCCTGAAATTAATTTCCACTTCAGCTAGTACTAGGGAATGGGGCTTGCAGGATGCACAGTTATAATCTTATATAACCGCTAAAAAAATAAGCACCTCCTGTTTGTGCCTCCCAACCGTTTCCTGTGAAGCAGTGCCATTTAATTCTAGAAATAATGCTCCTTTTTCTCAAATAGAAATTAGACCCTGCCATGCTCAGAGCTATACCATGTGGTTAGCGTTCCATTTGAAAAGTCCAGTGAGGTAAGACCAACAGCTGTGACTGTTCATTCGGTCTATTTTGACATTTCCATGCATAGTACTACAAAGAGCACACAGGCCTGTTTGTAGCACATGTGAATATTGTCATATAAAATGTACATATCTAGCCAACAGAAGCATGACAATGCAAATGATTTTCCTGCCTATCTGTTTTGGGAATCGCCACAAATTTAACTTTGGAGGGGAGACTCTCGGTGTCAAGCGTAGTTGTTTTCTTCAAAACTAGGCCATTAGTGCTCAGAGTCAAATTAGGTGCACCCATTTGTGCAATGAAAAGTTACAGCCCCTCCAGATGTCCTTTTGTTGTCTGGGCTCACAGACAGCTATATCTGACCATACAGTCAATATAATTGGCATCAGCAGAAGTTTTGAGGTAAGTCATAGAATCATAGAATTATAGAGTTGGAAGAGACCACAAGGGCCATCGAGTCCAATCCCCTGCCAAGCAGGAAACACCATCAGAGCACTCCTGACATATGGTTGTCAAGCCTCTGCTAAGTATACTGCTTTGCCTGCAATAGGTGTATGTCCCAGAGCTTCCTGCTGAAATCCCATAACTTTTCATACCACAAAAGTTCTGGGCTTTCATTTTGCTTTTTGTCCCACTTTTGTTACACTTTAGGGAAAGAACGACCTTCCAGACAGGAGGAATCCAGTAACATTGGGGAAGCAATGCAGAACAACTAATAAAGCTGAATGAAGTGTGGATGGTCCAGTTTAAATCCACTGCTAATGCGCCATTATTGCATCAAAGGCATTGTTGCAGAATACACCCACCAAAACAAAGCACTTGGAAGAGGGGCTTGTAGGAATTCAGACAGGAACTATGAATCACAGTGATTGGAAACAAAGCAGTATGTCTGCCCAGAACTTTTGCAGGCAAAAATTGAAAGCAGAATTGCATATAAGCACCCTAATACCATCATGAGAACAAACCATAATGAATGCACAATAAATCAACACCTGGAGGGGCCCTTTATGAACTGCACTGTTGAAATCAGTTCAGTGTCTACGTGGGGCTCCCACGTATGAGCTATCCGCACATCAGGGTGATGTGTTTCTATAGGCTACACAAAGGGATTATTGCTGCTCCTCCGCCAGTATATAACCCTTAGGTACTACTGCTTTTGAATCCAAGTTTTGTATTCTAGCATGTATATATTTTTTGTTTGTGAGTGAGAACATTATAAATGGAATCCAGCCTATGCCTTTGTGTTCATGGAAGCTTTTGATTCAGTAAAGGCATCTGCTATTGGAAGAGGAGAAGTGGTTTTGCCAGCTCCCCCTTTCATCTGCATCTCCGCAAGCCACCTCAAACTTCCTCTTGTGAAATCAGTCTGCAGCTGATTTGCGGAGATCAGGGAGGTCTGCAGGACATAAGGGGAGGGGGGAATCTCCTCTTCTGTTAGTGGATGCCTTCATGGGACCAAGAACACTTCCAGGAATGCAGCTGAGTAGAGTGCCAATGAGATTGCATCCTATGACAATATTTTAATCTCTTGTTTCAGTAGATACTTTACCTTCTTTTCTGTTTGAATCCATTCTCCTTAAACACATTGGGTATTTTTTTTCAAGTCCAGTCAAAGCATCTTGAAAGAGCTTTTGGCGTTTCCAAAAAACCCGAAACAAAACTATCCCATGGTCTTGAATAATTTAGCATGTGAGCTCTCCAGTGAGTCAGATGATCCAGTTCCTATTTCCAATGGAAGAAAGAAGTACAATTGCATTATTGTTCCACTTTGGGCCAGTATTGCTACGCCCTGGGGGGAAATGGCTTTTAAGTGACTTCAATAACTTGCACTTCATGGAATATATTGGTTTAATGGTCACATCTATAGAACAGTTGTCCTACTGTATTCTGAAGGGCTTCTTCAGAAACAGACTTCCTGAACTGGGAGAAGGCAGATCAACTTTCCCCAGTCCATTTGCTGAGGGACTTAGCTATCCCTACTAACATGACTGTCGGTAAAGGAGAGGCCTATACAATGGCAGAAGAGAAAGCAAAGTCCCTTCTTGTATTCTGAGCCTGTCAGGCTCCCATCCTAACCACAGATCAGGTTTGTTGGCTGCCAGCTGGCCACCCATAAGCTACAACGTGGTGTCCTCCAAATATTGTTGAACTGCAATCCCCAACCATCCTGGACCTTTGGCCATGATGGCAGGGACTGATGAGCAGCGGAGCCCAACAACATCTAGAGGGCATCAGGGTGTAGGGATTTATTGATTTATTAGCACATTAGCAAGTGTTAGGAGCCTGCAAAATGTTATAGGAGGAAAGGAATCGTCAGCTTGGCATCAATACTCTTTTCTTTATTTTTTAAGGCGCCAATGGCTACTCGTGTCCCTCTAGTAAACAGAACAACAAAGCAATGTGATGCTGTCGACTGTTGTCAAAAGCCAGTGCTGTTTTCTGTTGCATTTGGGGAAAGCATTGGAAACCAAATTGGGAAATAAGTCTGCATAACGCACTGGAGGTACTGATTTTGAATTACTGTAATTCGTTTGGAGCACCAATAATTCAAGGCAGATGATAAGCCATAAAGGATTTGGAGGTAGGAAATAGTCACAGCGGGATGACAGGGCACATCAGACTTCGGCTTATACTGCTTCAAACACAGAGTTAAGCAGTTTGAAGGATTCAGAGACTTACAAGGATCTAATTTTTCCTGCCACCCTCCTGTTCCTTCCCATGCCTGGCCTTTTTTGTTTGTAAGCCTGATGGAAGGGCCTCTCTATCCCTCCTCTCTCTCTGATATGAGCCACTTTCGAAAACAACAGTTCTTTAAAAAGGGAGGTGAAAAATATAGCAAAGAAATTAAACAGCAAAAAAATCCTGAGTTCATAGGAGGCAAATCATTTGAGAAAAACCTAAAGGAAATTGGGATAACGTACTGCATTTAGCACAGTGGCACAGTGGCAGGGAGCAGGGAGACATTGCCAGTTGCAGCCTGGCAGGTGTCTACTGCCTCTTCACTATTCAGGGTGACTCATTGCCATTTAAAATCACCATGTCATAAAAGACAATCAGAAATACATTAAAGTACAGCATCAAAAATGGCTTTAAAAAAACAACAAAAGGTAGACACTACAGATAAAACATAAGCTTTTTATCACATTTGGCGAACCCATGGCGCTCTCTCCAGATGTTGAACGCCAACTCCTACCAGCCCAAGCCATCAGCAAGAATGAAGGTAATTAACAAACTGAAGCAGCCTTTACTTTGAGGTAAATTGTGTTGATTTCTATGGCCCTTACTTATATCACTACAGTCATGAGTCTATTAGACCAGGCTTCCTTAACCTCGGCCCTCCAGATGTTTTGAGACTACAATTCCCATCATCTCTGACCAGTGGTCCTGCTAGCTAGGGATCATGGGAGTTGTAGGCCAAAAACATCTGGAGGGCCGAGGTTGAGGAAGCCTGTATTAGACTCTTGGGTTGAGGAATTATTTAGGGTTTTTTGTTGGGGGGTTGTTGCTGTCTTTGATATTAATTTTGGGTATCTTTCTTTTAGCTCTTATGATTTGTGTGGAAATGGTTTGATTTGGTTGCATCCTTTTCGATGTACTATTTATTGCTTACGACTACTTTTGTTACGTTTGGAGTTATGTGATTTCCCCCCCCCCCCCTCCATGCTGTAAGCCACTCTGAGCATGGCTTTAATTATGGAAAAGTGGCATACAAGTAAAATGGATGCATGCATGTACGTATTATGTATGTTTTTATATTATCTTAGGGCATAATCCAGCCAAAGCAAATAATTGCAAGTCTTGATTATTTTCGGGCCCCCTGCATATGCTGCAACATAGGGAATAGTGGTAGCTCAGTAACATAGCAGATTGATTTCTATCATCTCCAGGAAAGTGGGGGGGAAGACTCCTAACTGTAACCCTGGAGAGCCACTGCCAGTCAGTGCAATTTGTGGGCCTTCAGATTCTGTTGGAACACAACTGCGAACATCATCATCATCCCTCACTTTTGACTGTTTTGGCTAGGGCAGATGGGAACAAACCCTGCACATCTCGAAGACCACAGTTTCTCCCTCCCTGGTGCAGACATTATTGTGCTAGATGAGCCAGTGGTGTGACCCACTCTAAGGAATCGTCTTATGCCTGAGCAAGTGTGTGAACTTGATCAAAATTTGGACGAGAGACCATTTAGAAACAATGCACAAATATTACACATTTCAAAAGACCTATATTTTTCCCCATCCCAATATTAAGCATCTGCTCTCTCTTTTCCATTTAAACCAGTCAGGCTTTAATAATGATTACCTGTGGCTGGTTTCTGGTTTTCACCTTTAATATGCCAACTATGGAATTAATACACGTCTACTCAAAAGGAGACCCCGTTAAGATAAATCTGACTTGCTCTCAGGTTAGTTAGTATAGAACTGCAACCTAAATCTCTCTCTATATAAATATATCTGTACACACTGCTAAATGTTCAAATAATAAAGGGAATTGATTTATTTCAGATGTGCTTAAAAGACCTTATATAAGATTATATCCAACAAACAAATTTACTTTTTTTGTGAAACCTGTGAGAGGCTTGCTATTGGTTTTATGAGGGGAGATGTCAGCTTTTTTGCATCCTTGGATTCTGAATACTGTACTGAAATTCCAGTTAATTCTGACTGAATAAGAAAGTTTTTCAAAAACCATAGGAGTCTTTTTATTCTTCTATTCCTTTCACAGTCAAGGAGTATTTCTTCTCCCCAGTACTTTGATTTATTATACTTTGTAACAAACGAATAAATAAAGCTGGCAATAAAAATCCCAAGGTATAGACAAAATGCAGATGCAGTGCAATCGTATGCATGTCTTCTCAGAAGTAAGCACCGCTGAATTCAATGGGATTTACTTCCAGGTAAGCATGTGTGCGATTGCTGCCTAATGTCTGCCTAAATGCATTGAATTTTATCTCTTGCTCTTAGAGAATATTGTGATGCATGTAAGTTTAGTGCCAATTAATTACCAAAAACATGCTCAGCCTTAACTTTATGTTAACATTAAAACATACTTTTAAACGCTCTATGAAATGGAAGCACAATACGTTTTAAACTTACCCCCCAGCTGTGCTAAAGCTCTTGCAGTTTCAGTACCTTCGCAATCAGGAACAATGACCGTTTTTCTAAAAACGAGCTCCAGAAGGCAGCTAGGGGAGCCTGCCGTTTTCAGAAGTAGGTCTATCACATGCTAATCACTAATTTCAAATCCAATCATAGCTAACCCAAAGCTCTCTAATTATGCAGTCCTCAGGTCACATCCTTGTGTCCCCGTTGGTTAACACAGCTATGATTTTAATATGAAGATGAACTCTTAAAACAAGTGTGATGTTTGTTTAGATTGCAGTTGTCTTTTCTAGTAGCAATGGGAAAAACTTTGAGCTTCACTGTAGCTTGAAGCAATGCTCTTTGGAAAGAAGGAGAACCAGACGCAGAATGAAGAACACATACAGCACCAACATTTTATGGATGTGACCCCAACTATTACCAACCTACTTTTCAGTCAACATAGGGATTAGTTGCATCAGGTAATAAGGCTAGACACTGGCATGTCAAACCCAATTGGTTGGGGGTATGGGCTATAGCCAGTGGGGGCAGCTGTCCCCCCCAATCAAATAAATAAAAATACTTAACTAAAAATTGAAATGCCTGCTGAAGTCACTTGAATAATGTTGTGGCTCATTCTAGCACCGCAACTGCCAACTCAACTGTTCTTGAGAAGTTTCATGCAAAATCTCCTATTATTATTACTATTATTAATCTAACCTCAAGGTTAGATTACTGCAATGCGTTATACGTAGGGCTGCCTCTGAAGACAGTTTGGAAACTTCAGCTGGTGCAGAATTCAGCAGCCAGGTTGTTCACCGGAGCAAGACGGTCTGAGCATATTACACCAATCCTGGTCCGATTGCACTGGCTACCGATTAGTTTCTGGGCCCAATTCAAAGTGCTGGTTTTGACCTATAAAGCCTTAAACGGCTCAGGACTGTAATACCTCAAGGACGGCCTCTTTCCATATGAACCTACCTGAGATCATCTTCTGAGGCCCTCCGTGTGCCTCCTCCTTGAGATGTCCGGAGGGTGGCAACACAAGAACAGGTCTTCTGTGCAGTGGCTCCGTTTGTGGAATGCTCTCCCGAGGGAAGTTCACCTGGCACCTTCATTATACACCTTTAGGTGCCAGGCAATAATGTTCCTTATTAACCAGACCTTTGGTTGACCTGATCAACATCCCTTACCCTTTTGAAAATGTGGCTCTTTTTGGGGGGGTATTATTGGGTTTTTGCTTTTATTTTTATTTTTATATACTGTGATCTTTTTATGTGAACCTCCGGGTATAGAGTGGTATATAAATTCTATTATTATTATTATTAATATTATTACTACTACCACCACCACTACTACTACTGTATTACACATGGCAGATAAGAGGACTTTTAAAATTGGGGGGAAAGAGGCACTTCCAAGACATCCTGCCAAAAAGTAATTTTTAAAGATAGAGACGTATCTAGAAAAGCAGAGGTTGTCATTCCTTAGTTTTATTCAATACTTACAGTCCAACATCTTGTCTGAAATAAAAACATTTTGCAGCAGGTTGACAGGGACTTGACCTCTTCTAAATCACTTCATGGCTTAGGAATCTAAAATCCAAAGGTTTGATTTCCAGTGTGTGTAAGATATATGTAATTATAGATTTTCAGTGCAGGTAAATTGACCTTGGGGAAGAAATCCATAAGGGCCAATGGAGAAGCATTTGGTTTTTCAAGCCTTTTCAATGGATCTGCACTAACAGAGAGCAAGAGTTGAAAGCAGCCAGCAGGTGATGAATGCTGAAAAATCTGCATGTAGGGAGGAATCAATTCTACTTATGGTGAAATGGTAAAGAAATAAAGATTTTTTGAAAGCTTGTTCAGACTATAATCAAGGACGTTTGAAAAGGTTGTCTCTTCAGTTCCATTAGTAATTTTATTGAATTGTTTTGAGAAACTCCCAACTCAAGTGGCGATACCAAGCACTTTATATATTTGTTAATGGCTCCCTGGGAAGATCTTGCTAGTAAATGGCATACTAATGAACCCTTAGTAGAGACTCAATGTGTAATGAAGGTCTGGGATATATTTTATGGAGAGGTGAACGCATCTGACATTGGGAACATTGTGCCGAACAAACAGAGGCATTCTGTTCCTGTTCATTACATACATCTAATACACACAAAGTGTAAACATATATTTTATTGATTCATAGAATAATAGAATTATAGAGCTGGAAGGGACCAATTACATTCTATCTTGGTTTCCATGCTTTCCCTCTCAAAGTTAAAATTCTAATCTTGGTCTCTTCATAATTTCAATATTGGAAAAAGGTGTTAAAAATTCTTCACAACTTTTTATTGATAAATCTTTTATTAGGATGATTGTAACATTTGCAGTTACAGTAAAATGAAGGGGGAAATCAGGCTAAACAACATAACAAAACTCAAACAAAACAAAAATTAAGTCTAATGCTTGCTTTATTTGCTCACCTCTATTTAAGAACAATATTTTCTTATCAATGAACTAATAGATTATTTATTGTGAAACAGCCTGGATAACAACTGTTTACTGCCTTTCTTCCAGTACAAATTATCCTACATTTCCAACTTTAGCTTCAGCCCTGGTGCTGCTGTGTAATGAAATGTGCCGTCCCATTCCAGGCCCTGTGTGTCTTTAAATTCTCCGTTCCCTTGCAGCCTGGAACAGAACAAAAACAGCATTTAAAAATGAAGGCTGCAGTCACAGAAGTATGGCTAATGATGTACAGCAGCACTTTCAGATGTCTAATTCTTAGCGGTGGTAGTGCTGAATTAGGCAGTGAAACAGAAAGTACCTCATAAGAGAGATGCCTGTTAGAAGCTTTGGAGTTGCTAGTTTTGTGTAACAGAAATTGTACTACCATATTGATCCTGCTAAGTAATTTGTACTTTTAATTTCAATTTTTACATTTATATTATTTATTCCTGTTGATGCGTGAGCATCTACTCTTGGGTTTTCATTATTTCTGCAGCAGAATTCTTTTTACAGAAAAGTTTTCCTACTTCTTTACAGCAGCAGCTTTCCAGCTATCTCTTAGTGAAATTCCCATTATAGGAATAAACACCATTTGGTTCTGTTTCTTGGAGTCTTTATTATTTACAAAACTTTACATTGGTCATTAATGAAGAAAAAAACAAATAAAGAAACAATCTTTTTCTCCTTTTAGCCAACATAATACTGTCATAATACTGACTCATTTACATACTCATTAATCACATGCCCTGATGAAGGACACCTGTTGCTGGGGAAATTTTCTGTTGCTTATAAACTTGTTCAAGGCCATTTACAAGTTTCTTCTAGAATATTCCAACAACTCTCTCATAGAACCACAGTGGAATAACCACATTTTGTTAGTTTCAGCAAGTTTGCTGCATCATGTGCCTTTCTAACCGCAGTTTGGATCCAGTCAAAATATGTATTTGGAGAGCGATCACCCTAACCTACATGGGTAGGAAGAAGCAAACTAAGGTTCACTTTAAGTGCAAAGCCTGTATACTGATTAAGGGTGAATATATTCCACAACTTGTGGTTGTGGAACAAACTTGTGGTTATGTCCCTTTCAGCTTACTTGTTTTCACAGAACTGTCCAGTGTACTTGGCTCCATTGGTAAATATGTAGGTTCCTGTTCCATGAAACATGTTGTTATAGAACTCGCCTTCATAAACTGCACCTGAAGGATGTTCCAGCCTTCCGAAACCATTCATCTGATTTAACAGGAGGTGGAATTGACAAATTAATATCCATTCCTAGAAAGGTGACTCCATCTTTTATTTCCCCTCAATTTAGATGTGTCACCTTTGTTAACAGAAATGCTTCATCTTTAAACATTGGCTTTACAAACCTTACAAGCGCAACATTCATAATACTGACAAAATTTAAATACCATTTCCCTAATCATTAAATGCCTCATTTTAAAAGGTTTTGATTTTTTTGCCCTGTTGTCAGGTCGCCACTTTTCAAATCATGGCATCTCCCAAAGAATTTTGGAACTACACTTTTGTCTCATGGTGATGGGAGAGTGCTAACAGACTTGAGTCCTGCTTTCAGGCTTCCTATAGACATCTGGTTGGCCACTATGTGAACCGGATGCTGGACTAGGTGGGCCATTGGCCTGTTCTTAAGACTGGGAAGTCTGCCCCCTTGTTCATCTTTGGCTCCTCAGCGATATGGGTGTGGGTGTGTAAAACTGGAAAACATCACAAGATCCCAGTCTTCCTGATTGGCTCTTTTGCCTTGAAGTAAATCAGATGTACTGCACTGAAACAGGGCACACGATACGCTGAGATTGGAGGTGAGACCACAAAACCTCTAAAAGACACAAAGCCATTCAAGATGGATTACGTAATCAAACAATTTATCCACAAATAGTCCTTTCCAGAGCCCTGCCTTGTTACTAATGTTCCAAGGAGAAGTACAATAAATAAGTACTAACTAACTTAAGCCAGGCACCCCCAAACTCAGCCCTCCAGATGTTTTGGAACTACAACTCCCATCATCCCTAGCTAACAGGACCAGTGGTAAGGGATGATGGGAATTGTAGTCCCAAAACATCTGGAGGGCTGAGTTTGGGGATGCCCGACTTAAGCCAATGGCCTGTTGCATACAGTACCAGACAGTGGTTGTATCTAATGGTGGTTCTGCTGCAGCGGAAAGAGCTTGATTTTACTTAAGTTACCTCCTCAAAGCTGCTCCCGAGGATTGGAGGACATCCCCAGAACAGAATAGGACATGTCACTAAGCGCTGCAGAAAGTAAGGGAGTAGGATTGGCAAAAATCAGATGTCCCAACATATGCAAGTTGAAGTGCTTTCTGCTAAGGCAAAGCCACCATTGAATACAACCCAGGATTTATTTCTTCACTGTCATTTCCAAAACACATAGAACAAGAAAAGAGAGAAAAATAAACTTTACAGGTTGTCAGGTCAAAACCAAACTCCACGCAAAAGCTTACCACTATTGCGACCACAGTAACTCACAGTAGCATTGCATAAGAATTCAAATAACCATTGAAATAGCAATCCTCTACATGCTTACTTAGGAGTAAGTCCCACTGGGCTTTAGTCTTGAGCAGGCATGCACAGAAGTTTATCTAGGAGCAAAGCTCAACAAAGTAAAGTGAATTTATGTTGAGATTGTGCTATTAATGCATTACTCGGAAGAATAAAACAGCTAAGCCCAAGCATGCCCTTAATTAATGTAAGCAATGTATTTTGTCTTTAACATATATTTAATAACTCAATTGGAACAAAAAAGACTCTGACATAATTTTATTGATTCAAGTTTCTTTAGGCAAGGAGCTTAAAATTAATTGTTTTTATATTTGCAGATACCTTATCATTCTTCCAGTTTCCTTGGTAAATAATTCCATCTGGAGTAGTATGAACTCCATATCCACTCCTCTCAAGGACTCCCTCAATTGTTCTTGTACAGTCACCCTCTAAGCAAAATAAAAAATAGGTGGGGAAAATCCAACAAACATTAGACTAGATTTTAATTAAGAACTAGAGTTAAGAACTAGAGTAGTTCAACCTTTTCCAGAATCCTTCAGAATATGCCACTGGAAGTAACTTCCTGACCCCACTGCTTTATCTCATACTGTGAAGTAAAAGTGTTTCCAGCTACCCCCCATCCCAGTACTGGAATCAGGATGGGCTAGAATGCTCTGTGTGAAGTTAAAAATAAAAAAGTAGCACATCCAGGCAGCCATCAGACTTTATGCATGCAACCTGAATGCTTACTAGGAGGGGGAGGGGGGAAATCAGCTGATTTCAATAAGATCTGTCTACCTCTCAATCATATCTTAGTTATGAGGAGACATACTGCTGGAATTTTGGAAGAGGTTTGGAACGAGGGTAAATGGAGGAAGCTTTCCACTTATCATAACTCACCACCTTGCTTTAATAAGCCCTTCATTGCCTTCCATTATTATTATTATTATTATTAACATTCCATTATCGTTGTTCATTTCATTTTGAAAAATATCAAATAAAAAACTAAAACAGTTACAATTATTTTTTTTAAAAAAACAGTACAATATCTGACTTTTTTTTTTTACCATACTTGTCTCCATTGGGAAATACAAACGATATTTTGTAAACTTCAGCATCTGTAGAGAGAAAAACACTCTTTTTACTGATTCTTTGTTAAAACCATTCAAGGGATCCTGTTTTTTTTGGACTACAACTCCTATCACCCCTACCTAGCAGGACCAGTGGACAGGGATGATGGGAATTGTAGTCCAAAAGCAGCTGGGCTGGGGAGGAGTCAAGTTTGGGAAACCCTAGACTAGACGATTCTCGGGGTCCCTTCCAACCTGACCACTCTCGACTCTACGAAAAGGGGCTGCTCGTTTCTGAGCAGAGGCGGTTAGGACTACCGGCTGTGAGCCGGTAAAACGAATAAGGGCGATGCGGCGGGAGGAGATGGGCGAGAGCCGCATCCCCAAGGCATTGTGACTGCGGGTGGCGCAGGAGGCTGAAACCGGCACATTATCTTGCGGCCGCTTCCTCAGAGGGACGGTGGAGAGGCAAAATACCTCGGTCGCCTACGATCGACCTGCGCAGCAACCCCCATTTCGCCATGGCTCGAAAGGAGACGCGCCCGCGGTTGCCATGGTGACCGGGTGCTCGCCCTCGCGCTCTCCCCCGCCGGAAGTGGGAGGAGCCTCGCTCTTTTCACTTCCGGGTGGCCGTTGACTGTTTAGGGAGGCGGTTGGGCTGAGGCGAGAGCGGCGTCTCTGGCAGGTGACTGGAAAGGGAAGAACCGGCAAGAGAGGGAAGAACCGGCGAGAGGGGGAAGCTGGTTTATTATTATTATTATTATTATTATTATTATTGCTATTATTACTGCACTTTATTTATTTAGGGGGGGTGGACTAGATGACCCTCGGGCTCCCTCAAAGGTCTATAAGCCTCTTGTTGTTGGCTTAGTTGGGGCTCGTCGTTCAATTGCGGGGTGTTTCCAGGCGCCGCGTGAAAGGAACCGGGAGGAGCCGCTGAGCTTGAGGCGCCTTTGGAAAGAGGCAGTATCGGTGGGAGGGAGGGCTGGGTGAGGGGGGCGAGGTTGGGTATTAGGAGTGCTTACCTTTGCATTTTTATTTAGGGTCCAAATTGCTCGGTACCCCGGAAAGCGCACGTGCCCCCTTGCACTGTACCAGCTTGCCCGTGTCTTACGATTATTGTATTTTAGTGTTCTGTTGGAAGCCGCCCAGAGTGGCTGGGGAAACCCAGCCAGATGGGTGGGGTATCAATAATAAATATTATTATTAAAGGATCTTTATCGAGGAGGCTTAGCACAAGAAGTGGCTTTCATCAGTTGGAAGTGCATGAGACTCTCAATCTCCGTCGTTGGTTTGAGTCCCCATGTTGGGCAACATTCCTGCACTGTAGCGGGTTGGGCTAGATGACTGTTGGCGTATTTTACCATTCTGCGATTCCATTGGTGCACCTAGCTCAGTATTGTCTACACTGACTGGCAGCAGCTCACCAGGGTTTTGGGAAGAGAGCTGCTCCCAGCCCTCCCTGGAGGTGCCAGTATGGACTAGACCAGACATAAGCAAACTCGGCACTCCAGATGTTTTGGGACTACTACTCCCATCATCCCAAGCTAACAGGATCAGTGGTCAGGGGTGATGGGAATTGTAGTCCCAAAACATCTGGAGGGCCGAGTTTGCCTATGCCTGGGCTAGACCCAAGACCTTTTGTACAAAAAATGGAGGTTATGCCACTGAGTTATATAGGCCTTTCCTGTAGAAATTTTGTTTGTGTCTGGAAATGTACTATGTGGAAACAAAGGACAGAGTCCTCTCTTGTGGAGGTGTCCTGTCTGTGGAACAGTTTATCTTTAGGGGTGTGTCTGGTGTCGAAGTTAGTTATTTTGGTGCCAAGTCAAAGTCTTTGTATTTTTGCCTGGCTGATTTAAAGCCAATTATTGTCTGTGGATTAAGGTTTTCAAATTCTCAACTGTACTGTGTTTTGATTTGATTGCTTTATTCTTTGTGTGCTGCCTTGGTATCTTTAATGATGTAGAGCAATTCAAAAATAATTTCAATAAAAAAATTCTAAATTAATAATAGGTGAGTGGTAGAGTCCATGGCACATTCAATTGATCTTTAAAGTGTAATAGATTTGTGTGTTGTCTTGATTATAACTTATGAAGGTTGAAATACTATGTGAAATTATTAGGGAGTGAGTCCCGTTGAAAATAATGGAACTTACTACCTGTGAGTCCCGTTGAAAATAATGGAACTTACTACCTGTGGGACAGGGATGTTTGATTATTGATGCTGTATGCCAGAGCTGCATAAACAGAAGTAGTAATTGCCATCTTTCCTGCTAGTCTGCATGGTGATCCTGGTTGATATTTTTCACTGTTGATAATGTACTTTCATTTTTCTTTTGCTACAGAAAAGAGAAAATGAGCTCCTCAGGGAAGAGAAGAGGAAAACCAAACAGAGGGGGAGGAAGGGGAGCAAGAAGAGGAAGAGGCAGAGGTGGCGGCAGCAGTAGCTGTGGTAGACCTTCTAACAAATGCCAAGCCAGTGGCAGCAAAAAGGGCTCGGAGAAAATTTGGGACGATGGTGATGATTTCTGTGTTGATGATGATGATGATGGTGATTTCTGTGTTTTCAGTGGACCAAAAGATGTAGCCAGGTCAGCTAAGTGCATTTGATGGAATCTTACATTTTAGAGTTTAGGTTGTTTTTTAAAAACTTCTTTTTGAAGGTTGTTTTAAGAAGGTTTTAAGAAGCAAGATCAGGGAGAGGCTGTAGCTCCTTATCAGAGCACATACTTTGCTTTGCATGTAGAAGGTCCCAGGCTCAATCCCTGCTATCTCCAATTAAATAGGATCAGGTAGCAAGTGATAGGAAGACCACTTTCTGCCTAAGACCCCAGAGAACTACTGCTAATCAGAGCAATTAAGACTGGGCTATGCATTACAAGGCAACTTCCTGTGTTCCTATGGTAAAGTGAAGCGCCTTGACTTAAGTCAGGAGTTGTCAACTTTGGTCCCTACCGCCCACTAATGGCATTTCAGGAATCTAGATGGGCGGTAGGGGGTTCTACAGCACAAGCTGAATCCTCCTTCCATCGTGCACTGGTGGGTGGTAAGGAAATGTTACCAACAAGAAAGATCCATTAGAGGGTGGTAAGTATAAAAAGGTTGACTACCTCTGACTTAAGTGATTAATTCCAAAACACTTGTATTTTTATTAGATATATTTGTATTTTTATTAGAGCTTTGAAACTAACCACGAATTTGAGCCTCATCTACTGTCTCTTGCGTGCCACCTTTTACAGAGGGAGGGTTTTTGACATTGGATACTAGTGAGAATAGCTGGAAATTCAGCTCATTTTTTGAGAAACAGTATATTGGTTGCTAGATATTGGAAACCAAAGGCTACTTCCCCAGCTACCATAGCACCAAGTATCTCAGGGGAAAGGGAACTATTTAGCACAGAGACAGGTGTGTGTGTTTGTTGTGCTAGTACTTTTATTGCTCGTTTTGCATGACACAGAAAGAGGTTGCACCCATTCAGGTCAGATCAGTGAAGTGGGATATTTAAAATAATAGGTACAGCTGGAATTTATTAATCAAGCAAAGAAGCTGATGTATTTTGGGGGAGGGCGGGATCTTTTAAAAGATGACTAAATAACCCTGCAGAAACACACTGTAGCTTTTGCACCACAATTTCTGTGCCCAACTGCTTTAATCCAGCTTGTCTGTTTAAATATACTGTGGTCGTTATGGGGCTTGTCACAGATCCTGCACGTAGCTTTGTCAAACATTCTGGTGACTTTGCTTGCCGCCTTTGAATTTCCTAGCAACAGAATAGGGGTTTTTCCAACATGACCTGCTTAGGAACTTTCTTGGTGCTCTTAGCTAGTTAGGAGACAAAATGACCAATACAACTGTTCTAATGTTCAGCATACATTGTGCATGTATTTTTCCATTACTTGATTAAATTAGAATGTGTTGTGCTTTTTGTTTTTTGTTTTTAATATATCAAGCTCTGGTAGCAGAGGACATGGACAGACCAGACAAGCACCCAAAACAAAGATGCCTCTTCAGACTCTGTACATGACTTCCGATAATCAGATGAGGGTGAAAGAACTTCTTCGTGAGCTGCAAGGACAAGAGCTGGCTGCTGGTTCAGAGTCAGTTTTCTAAGCATAAATAATTTCTTCATTAAACAGATACTATGAAATGTTGAAGGACTGAATATGAACACCCTTTAGTTATTCTCAGATTTTATAGGCATTAGATCATATCATTCAAAGTTCAGAATGGACTGTGACAGATGTGGTTGGGCAGCCTTTCTAGAGAAAGAAACGAAGTCTCAGGGTGGCTCCACAGTTTACATGGCAAACACACTTGTGATGGATACATAGTGTTTCCTGCAGCAAACTTGTAAAGTATGGATGCCATAATAATATGAGACTTGAATTTCTGAATTAGTGCTTGATTCACATGAACCTGCCTTGTTGAGTCTATGAAGACTGCTGTTTGAGGTGGGTGGTTGATGGGGCCATCACTGTGATGACCTCATTGCTTATGGAACTCCCGCCCAAGAGATGCGTGTCAGATGGTTACTTGCTTAGTCTGGAGTAACAGAGTAAACACATCTTTTTAGCATTGCTCTTAATGAACAGTGAAAGCTGCTGCTGAGTTTTACGCTGCTAAGTTTTATTTTTATAAGGTTTTGTAATGATTTATCATTGTGGTACTTATTGTTTTGTTTATATTTTATGATGTGCCTTGTGAGTTTGCTAAATTGAAAAAGCAGGGTAGTATAAATATTGGGTTAGATTCAGACTTACCTTTTTGCCCAGGTTTTCTCTGACCCATAATATTGGACGCTGCTGTACATATTTGAATCCTCTGAATTTCTATTTTATTTGCTTTTATGTATTTTTTGATGTTTTGTTGGTTTTAGGGTGCATTTTTTATTTGATGTTCGTTTTTCACACTATACACCGCTTAAAGATTTTTGAAATGTTAAGTGGTTTATAAGTATTTACAAATAGGGGACCAAGTGCAAAGATCCTGGCTTAGTTCTGAATGTTTTGGATAACTAAACTGAGTTGCTTGAGTAGCTATATTGAGCAGAGAGTTCCAGAAGTTTGCCTTATCCCTAAGACTATTGCTTCTAAAAGAAGCATGCTGCTTTCTTTTTTTTCAGGATGCTTGTATCAGGTGAAGATGACGGTGATGGATTGGATTACTTGGAGGATGAGCACGCCTGGTCAGATGGGCAATCAATTTCTAAAAAAAACACAAATGCTTCTTATCAACCACCTGTGAGCCATGTTCTAGAGACTGAAGTCTCTTCATTTGCTGTGCACAAACTATCCAGGTAATTATTGTCTCACTAACAAAATGGAAAATATTAGTCAGGAGGTGGGGTGCTAAAAACCTGCATAGCTGCAATTACGTGAATGAGTGTGGAATGGGACATTTAACACAGAATCAAAGTGGCACCCTCCACCCACCAATACACTCCCAAGTAGAGCCGAAAAAGAGCAGTTATGTAACATTATGTAAGGTGGAATGGGGATCCTTTTTCCCCTAGGGGCCAGAATCCCACATGGCCACTCTTCTGGGGCCCACGGGCCAGTGTTTACTGAGGCCAGAAGTAAAAGTGTATAGAGCCATGCAAACATTGGAGGTTTCTACACCTCATCTACATGTCCCCATCCAGACAAGCAAGAAGCATTATCATAATTCAAGAACACATTCTAGCCAAGCTAAAGCACTCAAGGTGGGTGCTAAGCATGGCCAGTGAAGGATGAGGCCTGGGAAGAGCACTGGAGGCTGGATGGCCACATTTGGAACCCAGGCCTGAGCTTCTGCATCCCAGTGTAAGGCATACCATTAGAGCAAATTTCTACAACAAGCACAAGTTGTACATTTTATTCCAGTTGCAGAAACTGCACAGTGTAGACACCTGCTTCTTGCTACACTGCAGGATAACAGCAAGCATCCTTTAAACATAGTGGGAATGCTTGCTCTTGTGTAAACGTTCTGGTATGTGCACCTACAATGCATTTCTTTTCTTTCTAGGTACGGCTTTGATAGCGAGCGTTGCCAAGCTGTGCTGAAATCTTGTAATAGTAACATTGGGGCATCCCTGGAGCTCTTACTCCTGCAGTGCTTTTCAGAAAAATTTGGAGAGAGGATGCAGATCACAGAAACTGCCGCTCAGACAAGTATGGAAGATTGTTTGGAACAAAGGCAAGAGGAAGCATTTGCCCTCCGTTCGATATGTGGAGACAAATTTGTGGAAAGAATTAATAACAGGGTCTGGACTGTTGCATTGGACTTGGCATATTTGACAGAGATGCTCAACAAACCAAAAGAAGGGAATAGCAACACCAGTAATGGGCTAAAGCCAGCTTCCCTGGAAATCTGTAAACACTACCTCCAAGGAGATTGCAGGTTTGGATCGAGATGCAAGTTCAGGCATGATTCTCGAAACAAGCAAAAAGGCCTTCCGAGCGTCAAGGAGGATGCTCATCTCAGAGTTAATGCTCCTGTGTATGAACTTGAAATAAGATTTCCTGAGGATAACAAATACCCTTATCAGCCTCCCCTTGTGGCATTCTATACCACTAATGAGAAACTGCCATTGGCTTGCCGGTTGCACATTGCTGAATTCCTTTATGAAAAGGCCATAATATCGTCAGAGTCTAATGAACCTGTTGTTTATGCTTTTATAACAAGCCTAGAGGATGAAGCTGAAGTAACAAAATTGCTTAGTAAGACTTCTCACAGATACAGTGCTCCTCCTTTGCCTCTGGCAACACCCTTGTCAAGTACAGTGACAGATGTTCATAAGCAAGAGATTCCTAGCAGCTCTCATGTTCCTTCCCGGATTTCAGAAGGTATATACTACTTCATATGTCCTTATTGAAACTCGTACACATATTAAAAAACAGGCTGTGTATGCAGTTTTGAGGGTATGGGTTCTGCTCCCAATTGATATTTCTAGAGAACAGCATGTATTTCACACAAGTCGGTGTGTGAAAATGAATAAAAACTATGTTACAAAAAAAGATAATAATTAAAAAGTAATTAACCACAAATAGAATTAAGAAGTTATTAAACATAAGCAGATCTTTTAATAGACTGTTTTAATTCTATTAAAACTACAAATAATAACAAAAATAAAAACATCACAGTACCAGCCCTTTTAAACTTTAAAACTATGTCTCTGAGTTGGTGGAATCATTGCAATAAAGATTTCAATGTCATGTAAATTGAAACCACAAAATACCAGCCACAGTATTTCATTATTCTCCAATTGGGATAGAATACAGTGGTACCTTGGGTTAAGTACTTAATTCATTCCGGAGGTCCGTTCTTAACTTGAAACTGTTCTTAACCTGAAGCACCACTTTAGTTAATGGGGCCTCCTGCTGCTGCTGCGCCGCCAGAGCACGATTTCTGTTCTCATCCTGAAGCAAAGTTCTTAACCCAAGGTAATATTTCTGGGTTAGCAGAGTCTGTAACCTGAAGCATATGTAACCTGAAGCATATGTAACCCGAGGTACCACTGTACTAGGTTAAAATACTTTAAGTTCCACAGGGCGGGTGCCACTACCAAGAAGACCCTCTGCCTGGTTCCCTGTAGCTTTGCTTTTCGCAATGAGGGAACCGCCAGAAGGCCCTCGGCGCTGGACCTCAGCGTCCGGGCAGAACGATGGGGGTGAAGATGCTCCTTCAGGTATACTGGGCCAATAATACTGTACAGGTGGGGACAACCATTGAGAGCTGTGAAAATAGGATTGTTTTCCTTTATAGCAAGTTTAAATAAGAGTCGGCAAATACGGGTCAATTGGTGAATGAAGAAAGCTGCAAGGCCTGGAGTGGGGGGTGAGGATCCTTGGAAATGAATAAATTATATTGTAAGATGAAAAGCCCAATTAAAAATAAAACTCACTCTCTATATATATTTCTATTTACATTAATGAAGGAGACCGCTTCAGATGAGTTGTCCTCTCCAACTTAATGGAAAATTCTTGTCAGTAAGAGATTTGTGTGCCAGTGAGAGAGTGTTTATTTTTAGCTCAGAACATAAATCCATACTGAAGCATAATAATATACCAAAGAAAAATGCTCATAAAAACTATAGATGAAGTAGCACATAAGCAGTGAGTTAAAAAAATAGCAGCTAAAACCAGTAAAAAGATTCTATGCTCCACTTGAAGTCCATGAATAGAAGAAGGATTTTGTGCAGTACCTCAAAAATACCTCTGTTAACTACTGTATAGCACTTGCCTAAATTTGCTTGCATTGTGTCCATTATTGGCTGTTTCCTGTTATACTATATTTGCTCACGACACTGTGCACAAGTGAAGCAAATTTTAAAACAGTTGGCATGATACAAAATGAAAGGGAGTGGGGGAAATGCTGCTGTGGGAAACTTTTACAACAAAAGGAAACAATACTAGGATGTTTTGGAAATGCAGGTGAATTCAGAAGGGAGTGACTTGGACAGCTGCAGTAAACAGTTGTAGAGGGAGAGTGTGAGAAAACAGAATAGCGGTCTCTTACAGTGAAATGTTATTCTTGTCAGGAATTTTTCTCGGTGAAGGCTTGTAGCTCAGTGGCAAAGAACATATTTTGCATGGATTTAATCTCTCGCATCTCCCAATAAGGCTGGAAAAGACTTGTCTGAAACTCTGGAAAGTTACTGCCAGTTATTGTAGACTCTTCTGGGCTTGATGGTCCAAGGCAACTTTGAGAGCCAGTGTGGTGTAGTGGTTAAGAGCAGTGGACTCGTAATCTGGTGAACCGGGTTCGCGTCTCTGCTCCTCCACATGCAGCTGCTGGGTGACCTTGGGCTAGTCACACTTCTCTGAAGTCTCTCAGCCCCACTCACCTCACAGAGTGTTTGTTGTGGGGGAAGAAGGGAAAAGGAGATTGTTAGCCGCTTTGAGACTCCTTAGGATAGTGATAAAGCGGGATATCAAATCCAAACTCCTCCTCCTCTTCTTTCTAGGTTCTAGAGGTCAACTCAATACTAAGCCAGTAAAGACCTCATTCTAGCCTATAGAATTGGCACTCCGGTGGCGAGTGGCCTACCCAGTGATCATATTGTTTAGTTCAAGTCCTCATGTGATTCCTTTATAATGTATTGTCAGTTTCCTTGTCCCCAATCCATGTACAGTGGTACCTCGGGTAACATACGCTTCAGGTTACAGACTCCTCTAACCCAGAAATATTACCTCGGGTTAAGAACTTTGCTTCAGGATTAGAACAGAAATCGCGCGGCGGCGGCGTGGCAGCAGTGGGAGGCCCCATTAGCTAAAATGGTGCTTCAGGTTAAGAACAGTTTCAGGTTAAGAACAGACCTCCAGAACGAATTAAGTACGTAACCAGAGGTACCACTGTAAGTGGTGACCACTTGCAAGGGCAGTGCATCATGGACAGAATTCACGATGGGAGATTTCCCAAAGAATAGTGCTGCAGGTGATGGAGAACTCTGTTGCCAATGCATGCCAGTCCCTGTGATTAGGATAGCACACTGTTTGGGAGCTCTGGTCTTCCAGACTTCAGCTCCCATCATTCCTTGCCAGCATGGCCAATAGTCGGGGATTATGGGAATTGCAGTACAGCAACAACTGGAAGGCCACAGATTTCTTCTCCCTGATCTAGTGAAATGTTATGTTATTAAAAAAACAAACCCACCCCTGAAGACTGGTTAGCTAATGTTTCAGAATGGTGTTTGTTAAGATGCTTTCTGTTTTTAAGCAACCAAGGAGTTGGTGACTGAAGAGGATGATGATGACAACGACGAAGAGGAGCTGCAGACAGTTCACGTAGAGAAAGAGAGTTATGTGAATCTCAGGCGAAAGAAGTACAGGACATTAGCAGAGCCAACTTGCAAAGAAAATTATAAAATTTGCCGTCAGTTCAGGATAAAGAAGGTACATATGTAAACCTTGGAAGATAAGTGGCAGAGTTACATTTATAACGTATTTTCAGCTACATTTAAAAAACAAACAATTTGCTGTGTGTACATATAATAGCTGGTGGGAGGTAGGAATTGATAGCAAAATCCAGGAAAGAATCTTGAAGTTCTGGATATGCAGTAGAACCCTTAATATCTATATTTTGTTTTGTATTTAAGACCATTTTATCTCAGAGCTGCTTCCTATGCTAGAATTTCTTGTATCTTGAAAAAATATCTGTATGCTTATGTTCTTTATATGTGGGATCAATAGCAGTTACATCTGTTTTTCTGTAAAGACTTGTATCTACAGAATTAATGGAAGACAGTCTAGGAACTGTGTGCCTTCTCTGGATGTGTGTGAACTATAGTAAACAAACAAAGAAATTCATGTACCGTATTTTTTGCCCTATAGGACATACTTTTTCCCCTCCAGAAATGAAGGGGAAATGTGTGTGCGTCCTATGGGGCGAATGCAGGCTTTCGCTGAAGCCTGGAGAGCGAGAGGTGTCGGTGCGCACCGACCCCTCTTGCTCTCCAGGCTTCAGGAAGCTATCCACAAGCCTTGCGCACCCAGGGGGAGTTCCTGCGGGCTCGCAAGGCTTGCGGGCGGCAGCCTGCAGCCCGGAGTACGGGGTGCTCTCCGGAGGACGCCCCGTGCTTCGGGCAAGTGTCCGCAAGCCTTGCGCGCCCGGGGGGAGTTCCTGCGGGCTCGCAAGGCTTGCAGATAGCAGCCTGTTCTGGGGGCTGGGAGGGGAAATAAATTTTTTTTATTCATTTCCCGCCTCCAAAAAACCCCGAGGTGTGTCCTATGGGCCAGTGCGCCCTATAGGGCGAAAAATACGGTAAATGTGGATCATAAATTGAGCACTAACAGGCAGCTACTGACCATCCACGTATATTTGTCAGTCTTCTAGGCACTACCAGTCCATATTGCAAGAACGACAGAAACTTCCTGCATGGGAAGAGAGAGAAACCATTCTTAAATTGCTGAACAAATATCAGGTCCTGGTTGTGAGCGGTATGACTGGGTAAGATATAAAACTGTCTGCACCCTTGAACACCATGTTAATACTTACTGTGTGAAAAGCAGTCTGTCTCTGCCTACAAAACTCAAAAGGGACCTTCCCTTCAGGCAAGAAAAATGAGAGGGTTTGAAGTCAATAGTTACAGCAAAGGTATGTATGGTGGAGCTTTTCTTCCTCCTGGTTCTATCTGGCTATCTGTCTCATCTAGGCTAAACTCTCCTCCCCCTCCCAACTGCTAGAGCACATGAGTTGAGATTAGGCAGAGAGAGAGAAAATAGTTGAAGGAGGAAAAAACCCAGGCAGCGTGCCTCCTTTCCTATAAGTGTTGAATTCAAGCTCTCTCGCATTTTATTGCCTGTAGAACAGGAATCTTCAGGGGTCTGAACTGGCAGAACTGGCACGCTCTGTATATGGAAGGAGCATCATTTGCCCAGTTCTTAGGGATGCATTCAAGACAACATGTACACTACAGAACACTGGTTGGAAACAGGGCTCAGCCTAAATAACAAAGTGAAGTATGAGAGGTCTGGGTGGTTGCATTCCTTCCCCTACTACATCCTTGATAAAATATTTATTTTATTTTATTTATTATCATTATTATTTGTATGCCACCTTTAACTTGATGATCCCAGGGCAATTCACAGCAGAAAAACACAAAATGAGAACGCAAAATAAAACAAAAACCAATAACTCCCCCTCCCACAAACACATTTTAAAAGCCATAGAATGTTAATCAGCCAAATGCCATAACAGCAAAAATCTAAACATTTATACTCTAAAGTACCCCCCCCCCCACTGAGATCAGTGGGAATTCCTCTCAGGTAAGTATGTTCTGGACTGCAACCTAAAGCTGATATACACAGTTCACGTGGAGAAAGATGAAGTCATCCAATTTCTATTACAGTTAATGACCATTGTATGCGGGGGTTCCATTCCCGGCCTCCCTGTTATGTCCTGCTCCTTTAAGTTCCACCCTGTAAGTGACTTTTTATGTTTTTATGTTTTTGGACACTTCCAGGTTCAACACTATGCTTGATTGCACGTCTTTTGGATGTGTGCTAATCAGTCATTTCCTGTGTGTTCTGTCAAAATTATAATTGTAAACACACATGAATGTAAAAGTCAAGTGAACAATGTCATTCATTGATTTTGGACCGGATACCTTTAGAGCAGTGACAGGGGAGTCACTTTCTGCCTTGGGCTGGATTCAAAGTTGTCCAACTTTGCAGGGGGCTGCATTGTAATGGTAAACAGTGACAGAAGCAAAAGGGGCTGGGACCAAAGTGGGCAAGGCAAAGAGAATGGCATCTTTTTACATACTTTATTTTATGTTCATTGTACATAAAATACGTAAAATGTATGCAAGCTATGTAAAAGGTCAATCTAACCCTAGGAAAGCTATGGGAGGTGGCAGGAGAAATGGAAATTACTGTATTTTTCTGTGTATAAGACGCCCCGTATTTTTTGAGCGCAAAATTAAGAAATTTATTTATATATTTAATTGCAACATTCCATGTATAAGACGACCCCCAATGTTAAACTTTAAAAAATTGTGAGGAAATATACACAGAAAAATACAGTATTTAAAGCTGATATCACATGATTGGATGGAGTTGGGCAGAAATGTCATTGGCGGCCTTTTGGAGGGGCTGGGCAGGCCAAATTAGGCCTGGAGGTCAGAGAGTATCCACTCCACCACCAAACCCAAGGTCTGATAAGTCCAATGTTTCCTGGTCTCTGCCACGCCTTCAGCAAACCCATCCAAAGAAGATCTGAAAGATCTTGCAGGAAGCATTGTGATTTGCCAATTGGAAGAGACCATATCCTGTGGGAGCACAACAAAACTTGACTCTTGGAATGAAATAAGATTTTGCTCCAATTTGGAGTCAGAAGAGTATTTCTATATGGCTAGCCTACATTTCAGGTTTGGAATAAATAGTGCAGAAAATAATAGCTCCTGGCTTGAGCTGGTTTGTACAATTGCAATCCTTATTAGACAATATTGCACAAAGATTGCTCCTTTTGATTTCTGTTATGTTAACAAGGGTTCTTCATTGGTGTTAGTCAGTGGCAGATTCAATTTTACATTTATTTAAATGGAAGAATATATATAAATGGGAACCAGGAAGGTGAAATATAACTCACCTTTTATTATAGTTTTTTCGTTTTATTGCCATTGTATTCTACTGATTTGTTAGCTTCCTTGAGACCAGGGATTTATTTATGTTTAAGTAGCATAAAGATTAGTTTTCCCTGGACAACAGGTTTGGAGTGTATTGATATATGAGGAGGTCAGGCTGTCTCCTGCAACACCCCTTAACATGTTGCTTGAGGGAGAGGAGAATTTTCTTTTTTATTTCATTCCTCTCCTTCATGCAGATGTGGAAAGACCACTCAGATTCCTCAGTTTATCTTGGATGCCTCCCTAGAAGGTCCTCCCAGTAATTTAGCCAACATCATCTGCACCCAGCCTCGCAGGATCTCTGCCATTTCTGTGGCTGAACGTGTAGCCAAGGAGCGAACGGAGAGAGTTGGGGTCACAGTCGGATACCAAATTCGGCTAGAAAGCGTAATGGTTGGTTTGTTTTTACTTTGTTTTTATTCCAGTGATGTCACGGGTGCAAGCCAATAGACACTCACATATAATTTTCCCCCCATTCCGCCCCCCCCAGCAGTGAATTCTCAAATAGACATTGAACTGTTGTTGTTACTGTTTTATTAGTCCAAAGGGTAGACCTTTTTTTCTAGCTGTGCTGGTGGGGAGAGTTGAAGGATAGTATCAAGGGGCTATGCAAGAGCACTGGAGTGTTGCGCAGCTTCCATTAATGTTTTTTAAAGAAACATGTTTTAAAAGAGAGCAAACAACAGCTGAACATCTCAGAAGGCTGAATTCTGTTCCGGGTACCAAAATCCATGAGTGTGCAGTGTGTTGTAGATCCATATAATACTCTGAATCCTGGTAACACAAAGTGGCACAAGCTGAATTCAAAGCTGGTTTCTGAGAGAGTGACTGCTGCCAGAAATACAGTAGTCTCCACTTTTAAATAACTTTTTTTAAAAAAGAAGAAGCTTGCTATTTCATTGTGATATTTGCTATGGGTCTCTGCCCCCCACCCAACTTTCCTGCTGAGAGGTGAGTGGGTGGCTAACCAGTGACAAGGCCTTCGTTGCTGTGGCACCCAGACTCTGGATTTCCCACCCTGGCACAGAGCTGATCTTTAAGCCCCAGTCAAAAGCTCTTCCATTTACCAAGTTGTTGGTGGCACTCAGTTGGTGACTAATCTTATTTGTTTTGTTTCGAGCTGCTACATCTGTTTGCCGTCATTTTATTTGTTTTAGTGTCATTAGATTGTTTTACTGCTTGTTGTGCACTGCTTTTCTGCACGAGAGGGGAGGAAGATGTGTCTGCTTGTTCCTAGTTCCCTCTACTATATATGAAGGGATTGCAACATTATCTATGCACTGGCCCTTGATGTTTGCTAAACATGCTTTTCCAGCCAGTGACCAAACTATGGCAAGGAGTTTTAATCAGCTAATTTCCCATATTTTTACTTCTGCTATTCATGGGAAGGAACAACACACTTTTCTGGACAAGATCCATGGAAATCTGAATAAGGCACTAGAGTATAATCTAAGCAGTGACAGTGATAGAATTAAATAAGGGGAAGAAACTGATTTAGTTGGCGATCTTATTGTCATTTTCTCTCTTCTTTCAAGTCTTCAGCTACCCGGTTGTTGTACTGTACTACTGGAGTGCTTCTGAGGAGGCTTGAAGGGGACATGAGTTTAAAAGGAGTCACACATATTATCGTTGATGAGGTTCATGAGAGAACAGAAGAAAGGTAACACAGCCTGTTGGTTTCACTTTTGAATTATGGTGCTGGAGGAGACTCCCCGGAGTCCCATGGATTGCAAGAAGATCAAACCTCTCCATTCTTAAGGAAATCAGCCCTGAGTGCTCACTAGAAGGACAGACCCTGAAGCTGAGGCTCCAATACTTTGGCCACCTCGTGAGAAGAGAAGACTCCCTGGAAAAGACCCTGATGTTGGGAAAGATGGAGGGCACAAGGAGAAGGGGAGGACAGAGGACGAGATGGTTGGACAGTGTTCTCGAAGCTACCAGCATGAGTTTGACCAAACTGCGGGAGGCAGTGGAAGACAGGAGTGCCTGGTGTGCTCTGGTCCATGGGGTCACGAAGAGTCGGACACAACTAAACGACTAAACAAAAATTCATGTATTTCGTATTTCCTCTCCTGCTCTTCTTACTCAAGTGTGGAAGGCAAGTGGTTAAGAGTGTCTGAATAGGACCTGGGAGACCCAAGTTCAAATCTTAGCTTGCCATGGAACTTACAGAGTGACTTTGGGCCAGACAGCCTAGCCTACCTCACAAGGGTAGTGGTGAGGATAATGAAGAGGAAGGAAAGCCATGTTTGCCACCTTGAGCTCCTTGGAGAGCAGGTGGGATATATATGTAATATATATTTTATGAAGTAAATACATGATTTACCCCTTTTCATCCTTGCCACAACTCTGTAAGGTGAATTAGGCTGAGGGGTAGCAGTTTGCCAAATGTTTAGTCAGTGAGGATTTGAAGCCAGGTCTCCCCAGTCCTAGTCTGACACACTAATCCATCCTTCCCCAACCTGGTGCCCTCCAGATGTTGGTCTGCAACTGTCATCGGCTCTAGCCAGAACGGCCTGTGTGAACAGTTTTGGTAAATATATTGCCTGAGAAGCAGTATGTTTGTTGGATGGGTAATAGATAAATGTTGATGTTTGGTTGTAACTCATAATAACCCAGAGAGCGTCTGCTTGGAAGAAGGCTACTGCTAATTACAAAACCACACTACCTACCATAATCTTGCTTGTTTTCGAATATATGGTAACATTATTTTAAAAATTCTTATACAGTGGTGCCTTGGTTCTTGAACTTAATCTGTTTCGGGAGTCCGTTCGACTCCCAAAAACCAAGGCACAGATTCCAGTTGGCTGCAGGAGCTTCCTGCACTCAAGCGGAAGCCATGTCGGACGTTCAGCTTCTGAAAAACATTCGCATACTGGAACGCTTGAGTTTGCGGCATTTGGGAGCCAATTTGTTTGACAACCAAGCCGTTTGGGAACCGAGGTACCACTGTAGGTCAGTCGTATCACTTCCAAATTGGCAGCTGAATTGAGGCCATATTTGAACTTTACCTTCTCTGCACTAGCTTCAGTCACCCACAGACAATAATGTATCATTATTATACAATAATGCAGTAGTTATGAAATGATAAACAAGTAGCCAGCTAAAGCTTCACCCCTAGATGTGGATATCCCATTAAAATATCCAAAGCAGAAAATGCAGTAAACACTGTGCCCAGTCCTTCATCCATACACTCCAGGCTGATTTAATTTTCTGGTGGCTGTGATTTTATGCTGCAGATATGTGCTTTGAGAACATACCAGCACGTGCTGCAAAATTAACACACTCCAAAATATATCCGTTCAGCTGCAAAGGACTAGGTTGTTATTTCTCTCCCTCCACCTCCACATATGCAGAGGAGGCTTGTTTGCCTAAGAGACAGAACTGAGTATTGTATTTTTGTCCCTCCCTGTGATTGTTGTTGTTTTTAATGAGGATATGTGTACTTGTTTTTGTTTGTTGTAAGAGAAAGCTTAAAATAAGGGTCTTTGATTGCTCCCAGGATGGTAGTGGAGCTTCAGGGAATTGCAGATGAACACAGAAGAGCTTCAAATGTCTTTTCTTTATTTTCTCCAGTGACTTCTTGCTGCTGATTTTGAAAGATATAATGTCTCAGAGGCCAGACCTGCGCATTATAATGATGAGTGCTACCTTGAATGCAGAGCTCTTTTCTCAGTACTTTAACTCCTGCCCTGTTGTTAGCATACCAGGTGAAAACCAGTCTAATTATTTTCATTATCCATCTCTTCACAGCAGAGGTGGGGAACCTGTGGCCCTCCAGATGTTATTGGACTCAACTCCCATCAGCCCCAGCTGGCATTGGAATCAGCTGGTAACATCTGGAAGGCCCAGTAACATCTAAAAGGCCAAAGGTCCCCCTACTTTGCTTCACAAGTTACTTTTCATTGGTTAGCATTTTCTCTGTTCTAACCGTTCTGAAAAGTTGATAATATTATCTCAGCAATATAGTTACTAAAAATGTCTGAGTTCAGGAAGGTATATTAATTTTAAGAATGTAAATAGAGTCCTCTTGCACCAGGTCAAACTCCATTTAGTGATTGTTTCCCACGGTAGCCAGCTGCTGGGAAGCTCCCAAGCAGAGCACAAAGGCATAATTAATACTTGCTTGTTGTTTGTTTTATTATACATTAGCTACTGGTGCCTACTGGACACATACATTTTTGTATCCTTACATTTAGCTATCTTGATTAGTCAACTGATAGTAACTACCTTCTTGGGAAGGCTGGGAATCTGATCCATTTAATGAGTCGTCTCAGCTAAATCAATCCAAAGATGTTAATGGAGTTAATATAAAAACTAAATAAGGCAGCCTAACATATAAGAATTATTTGATATTATAAATAACAATATTTTGCATCATGTTCTTTCTCACATTCTGTCTCATATGTAACATGCAACCTAAATACTATAAATGTGCTCTGTTTTTAGATTCAGTAGAGTACTGCTGAGGTGAAAATACCCTTCTCGGGACAGGTCAGATCAGATCAGAATAGGGTAATACTGAACTTTTTGTACAGCCCTTTTAGTGGCTCAAAGCACTTCACGTGCATTGTGTAGAGCAACAAATTTGAGATGGTTTTTATTATACGTTTTTGTATTGTTTTTATTTGAATATGATCTGCCCTGAAATGAAGGGCAGACTAGACATCTTATACAGTGGTACCTCAAGTTAAGTATTTAATTCGTTCCGGAGGTCCGTTCTTAACCTGAAACTGTTCTTAACCTGAAGCACCGCTTTAGCTAATGGGGCCTCCTGCTGCCGCCGCGCCACCAGAGCCCGATTTCTGTTCTCATCCTGAAGCAAAGTTCTTAACCCGAGGTACTATTCCTGGGTTAGCGGGGTCTGTAACCTGAAGTGTATGTAACCTGAGGTACCACTGTAAATAACTGTAACTCTTACAAGTTGTTTTATTAATATTCTCCATGTTGAAACATACCTCCACCCATTCCAGGCCTAAATCAAAAGCTTTGGTGGCCAAGCTGGAAAATCAAATTCCTTCTCCCTCTCACACATGCATACAGCTATGTGATTTTTAAAAAGACATATGGGAAAGTTTTAGTGTTTGATGTTGTATTGTGATTTTACTATTTTTTTGTTGAGAGCCGCCCTGAGTAGCTGGGGCAACCCAGTCAGATGGGTGGCATATTAATAATAATAATAATAATACACATGAAATACAATTCTTCTTTAAATTGCTGGGCACTAAGCAGTGGGCTGTGTCCCATGGGTCAGATCTTGCCCTTTCCTCATACTGCTGTCCTTAATGTTGCCCAAACCAGCCACCTGAGGCAGCTGTCTCACTCTTCCTTGTGATGTATGTTGAAATATTGTTAAAATACAACCAACTTTTTTAGCTAATACAAGTTGGAATGGTGTATGGGTAGAAATGGAGGCGGTTCCATTCCTCTTCCTCCAGTTTTGATGAAGTAATTTGCCTCTTCCTATATTACTGTGTTTCTCATCTCTCTTTTAGGTAGGACGTTCCCCGTTGATCAGTTTTTTATAGAAGACGCTATTACAGTGACGCGGTAAGCTAGGAATCTCCAATGTCTATGGACATTTAACATGCCTTGTACATAAATTTGTACGACTGCTGTGTATTCAGACCTTTATAAAAAATTATTTGGGTTCTACCTTATTTAGGGCATAAGTGGCTTATAGAATAATGCTTTTATAGTGTAATCAGCAACAAACCATAGCGGGCTATTGTGTATGAGCTGAGAAAATGACGACTTGTGGAATCTAGGTATGCAAGCCTCAATTTGAACCAATTTGCTTCAAAATCAGAAGCAGGAGAGAAACCAAGCACACGAACAGATGAGAATGTCTCTGAGCAAAAGACTCATCCATGTGTAGCACCAAAGCATGGTTTGGCATTGCTTCTGTTGGAATTCTGTCCTGTCCTAGAGCTTTACCGCATGCCTGAGAGTTGATGGCGCTTTTCAGCTCGTCGAGGGAGGGCCATCAAGCTCTTCCAAGACAGTCAGAGTCTGGATACTGTTGGTTGCTGTGTCAGAGACCATGTTGTGCAGTTCTTGATAGCGCTCTGCCCATTGCTTCATCTGCTTGTTGTGGTCTGCGATGATCTCTTCCCAACAAGGTTTCCAGCGGTGCAGTTTTCCTGACTGTTGGTCCAAAGGCTTTCTTCATACCAAGATTTGTTCCCTGAGCAGTAGAATTGCAAGATGCGTAGAATATATACAGCCTCACTTCAAGTGAAGCTGCCTTATACATCAAGCTCAGCGATATATCTTTATAGGCTTGCAAAAAGTGTCAGCCTGAGTCTTTCCCAGCCCTACCTGCAGACGCCAGGGATTGAACCTGGGATCTTTTTTCATGTTAAGCGTGTGTGCTACCACCGAGCTATAGCCTCTCCCCAAATGCTCTGTGGGTATTAAGTGTGTCAGAAATGACACCACACAGCCCACAAGGTCTAAGCAACTGCTTAGAGCAGTCAGCCACCTAGAAAGCAAGGTTTCCAGATGGCTTTCCCCCATACCCTATTTCTCTCTTTTTTCCCAATTTTTTTTTTATTGATTTTCCAAAATTATATCAAACATAACAACAAACAAGAAAAACATTACAATATCAAAGAACAAACAAACAAACATACATTTACCCTAACTGTTATAGTCCCACTTTTGTTATCATTGTTGGGTGACATCCTCGACATCCCCCTAGCTGAGTTTCCATATAGCTCATTGTAGCAGTTTTCCAACACTATTTTCATATAAGATTTACTTGTTCAATTAACATCTTTCTTTCTTTTCATTGTGATTTCTATCCATAGTATTATACAATTTCACATGTTTAAATCCTAGGCCAATCTGTTACTCACAAGTAATTCTGTTTACGTTATCTTAACACATTTAACTAAATAATCTTTAAATTTCTTTAAAGATTAAGACTCTTCCGGTCAGGTCAGCTACCTCTAAAAAATCCATCATTTTCATCTGCGATTCCTCCATTGTTGGTACTTCTTGTCATTTCCAAATTTTGGCCAGCAAAATTCTAGCTGCAGTTGTGGCATACAAAAACAATCTGTCATCTTTCTTGGGCAATTCCAAACCTATTATTCCAAGTAGAAAGGCTTCTGGTTTCTTAATAAATATATATTTCAACATTTTTTTCAATTCATTATAAATCTTTTCCCAGAAGTCTTTCACCTTGGGACACGTCCACCACATATGGTAAATGGTATTTCTCTGTTTGCATTCAGGTATGTCTTGGAGCATGGCAGCCCATATATGCGTCGAGCAAAGCAAAGTGTGGACAAGAAAGAAAGACACCTGAGGACTGCTGCAGAGGAAGTAGATTACGACCTAAGGCGTTCTGGCCTAGTGCAAAATACAGTGGCTGTGGCTGCCAAAGACTCAGTTCCAGACCAACAACTAACATTCCAGCAGTTACTGATCCGCTACAAAGGTAATATTTTTTTCAATGTGCATTGCTGCCAATAATTTTTAAGAGTTTATTATCGGTAAACATATTGTACATATGACCAGAAAGGCATTTTCAAACCTAGAATGTTTGTGAGTACATGTCACAACCTTAGGCATATAGCTCTAGTGCAAAAGTCTTGAGACCTGTATGTTGAGACGTTTCCTATTCTCTTGTCAGATGGACAGATAGATGCTTGGTGCTCTTGTGAGAATTTCTCATTGCACATGTTATTTTTCTCTTATACTAGAGAATCACTGTTATTTTCACCATTTATTAAATTTCTGTACCACCCTTCATTGGAAGATCACAGGGTGGTTTGCAATATAAAAACTAAAAAATACTGTGGTACCTCTGGTTACTAACTTAATTCGGTCCGGAGGTCCATTTGTAACCCGAAACCGTTCTTAACATGAGGCCTCCTGCTGCTGCCGCGCGACTTCCACTCACGTCCCGGGGAAAAGTTCGCAACTAGGGGCATCTACTTCCGGGTTAGCAGAGCTCGTAACCCAACGCATTTGTAAGGAGGGCAGTACGTAATACGTGGTTCCACTGTAATATAATGATGAATAGAAGCAATGACCACACATGCAGTTTAAAAGGCCGTAGATTGTTAAATTAGCCAAACACCTCAGAGAAAAGGGTTGTTTTTGCCTGGTGCCTAAAGAAATGTAACAAAGGTGCCAGGCGAGCCTCCAGAATGGGAAATTCCTCTAGTGTATGTGATTTTTCCTGTGTGCAGCTGGAGGTACTGAATCATGGCCAAAATGTTTTTCTTTGGAGGGGATGACCATCTCTCTCTCTCTCTCTCTCTCTCTCTCTCTCTCTCTCTCTCTCTGTCTCACACACAACCCCCCCCCCAAAAAAAGTGTTTTTCAGTATCCAAATATGTATAAGGCAACATCAGACTTTGACCTTGAGAAAATATGCTATTTGGGTGAATAGAAAGAAGGTATTAGACCAAATGAAATAAATGAGGGAGGCGATATCACCAGCTGATGGAAACTGCAGGAGGGGAGAGTGCTGCTACTCTTGCAGGCTTCCTATAGGCATCTAGTTTGCGCTGTGAGAACAGGATTCCAGACTAGAGGGTCCAGTGGCCTGATCTAACAGGCTTTTCTTATCTTCTTACCATGAAGCTGCCACAGCTGGACCTCCACTTTCCATCAAGGGTTTGATTCATTTGGAAGTGACTGTAGTTTGAGTTGCTTACAAAATTCATGACCTCAACAGGGCTTTTCCTTTTTCTTATGATGCTCATTTTCTCTTTCAGGGGTTAGCAAATCAGTATTAAAAACAATGGAGAAAATGGATTTAGACAAAGTAAATCTTGAATTAATTGAGGCCTTACTGGAGTGGATCGTCAGTGGCGAACATTCGTATCCACCAGGTAACATGATGAGAAACACATGACCTATTTTACAAGCCTATGCAGCTCAGTTGCACAAAGAAAACTGTTTCCTGTTATCTTTCATTGAAGTTCTACTTTGTTCTCCCTCTTTCTAAAAGAAAACTAGCTTTCGAAGCATAATAGGACTTTTCCCAGTTAGGATCCTCAGGAGGAAAAAATTATTAGTTACGTTGATGTTGAATTTAATCTTACCGTAACATGTAATGTAGTAGAGGAAGAAATAGCAATAAATTGTGGTTGCCTTCAGGAGCAAATATGAAGAGTATATATTGAGTTCTAGAAGACATTTGTATTAATTCTACCATTTTTTATATACTCCTATCTAGGTGCGGTACTGATTTTTTTGCCAGGCATGGAAGAAATTAAAACACTGTATAAGCAGTTGCAAACTAATCCACTCTTCAATAACCGGCGCAGCAATCGGTAAATTAAGAATATGCCTACATATTTTTTAATGAAAAGTAAATTAATTAAAACTGACATTTTAATCAACTTTTACATCACTTTAAGTTGCTTATTTAAGAGTATGTGAACATTTTTCTTTCTTGCAGCATCTTTTATCTCTTCCCCCTCCCCAGTATAATTCTCAACTAGTGCATGGAGGATAATCTGTACTTCCAAGTAGAACTTGAAAAATAATACTCTTTTTAGCTGGGTGCTGCAGAAACATTGGTTTCTACATTGGTTTTAGACTTCTTGAGCTTATTGGATGTAAACCAGTTTATCCCTTAGTTCTTTGGCTTGATACCCTATTGTGTATCAGGTTACTGCCAGTCAAGAAAATGTATTGGGTCAGTTCAGAAGCAGTGCCAAACCATGCTTTGGAGCTACGCATGGATGAGTCTTCTGCTCAGAGACTTTCTCCTCTGTTTGTGTGCTTTAGTTTCTCTCCTTCTGATTTTGCAGCAAATCTGTTTAAACTGAGGCTTGCGTGCCTAGATTCCACAAGTTGTAATTTGCTCATCTCAGACACAACAGCCCACTATGGTTTGTCGCAGAATCAGAAGCAAGAGGGGAAATCTGAGCACAAAAAAAGAACATAGAGGGAAGGACATGAACACAGGACTCCTTCATGGAGTGCCAAACCATGGTTTGGTATTTTGAAGTCTGAATCATCCCATTGGGCAATTTATCAATGTCCTTCATATGGTCTTCTCTGCCTCCCCCACCCTGAAACCATTGGCACAGTTGAATTGCTAAAATACTGATGTCTACCAAATTTGAGGCATGCCACAAGGGTGGGGGAGCTGTAGTGGGGCAGAGAGGAAGGGAAGTCCTGTTGTACCATGATAAGTCCATTCTCCTTGTATACAGACACAAATGATGTGACCCTTGGTTCTCCAGCTCTGGCTACTATGTAGAAGAAGTGATATAAAAATGGAAAACAAAACCTCACTAAAAGCCCTCTAAACGTGTCCTCTGATCTTTTTCTCATAGCTGCGTTGTTTATCCACTTCATTCCTCACTTTCAAGTGAGGAGCAGCAATGTGTGTTCCTTAAGCCTCCTGTAGGGGTCACCAAGATCATCATATCTACAAACATTGCAGAAACCTCCATTACCATCGATGATGTGGTCTATGTGATTGATTCAGGGAAGATGAAAGAGAAAAGGTACCTAGATAATAAGCAAAAGCACCATGTACAATTTTTTTAAAATGGGGCCTATACGTCTGTGCACAATGAGATTTCTACCTGATAGATTTCTTTGTTGAGCTGGAAGACATTACAAAACTGAAGCCCCAAATCTGCTATTTGCTTCCTGCATTAAGCTGCTACAAGCTTCTGTTTCTCACCCTTCCTTTTTTCCTCTTTCAGTTTTCCTGTGACCAGAACTATTTCTGTTACTGTCTGTCTCAGTTATTACTTCTCCCTTTAAGACCTAACCTTTTTGCTCTCATCTTTCTCAACCCATATTTTTCTGCTTTAATTTTTACAGGTGAAAAATGGGAAATATGTAGCAATGTTAGTTCACAATGTTCTAGAGTGGTGGTATCCATCCCCCGCCCCCCAGCATTTGTCAAATTGACTCTGCAAACTTTCAGGCAGTAACTAAGGATAATCAAGATTTTAAAACGGTATTGAGATGGGTCTCTAGGAATCTAGGAGGTACAAGCATTTGTATGCTGGATACTTCTGCATGACTAATATTTGCAACAGGAGTAAAAATACAATAACAGAATCACATAAGCATGTTAAAAACATAATCAGAATACGAAAATCCAATAATTGGTGTTGCCCAAGTGCCAAGAAAAATAAAAATTATTTCGCTGGCAGTGAAATTATGATATAGTTGATGCCAGGCAGGTGTCATTGGAGAGAGCATTTTATAGATGGGGAGCTTCTGTAGAGAAGGCCATCCTCTCATCGCCAAAGAACCTCCATTAGAGGTGGCATGCAGAGAAGAGCCTCAGATAATGATTTCACAGTCCAGGCAGGAACGTATACAGATACATTGTCCTTTTGGCATTTGGTTCCTAAGCTGTTAAAGGCTTAAAGATCAAAACTAGCACTTTGAACTGAGCCCAGAAACAAATTGGCAGCTATCGGAGTCAGGCGAGAACTGGTGTTTATATGTTCACACACATCTTCTTGTCCCCGTTAATCATTTAGTTGCTACATTCTGCACTAACTGGTTTCCAAATAGTCTTCGAATGCAGCCGCAAGTACAATGCCTTGCAGTAGCAGAACCTGCAAGCATCCAGTTTCCTAATTTTTGTAGATTCCCCAAGGCCTATCAGAATATTGCAAACACTGTTCCATATCTTCCTCCTTGCAGGTTTGATCCAAGCAAAGGTATGGAAAGCCTGGAGGATACATTTGTGTCCAAAGCCAATGCCTTGCAAAGGAAAGGACGAGCAGGCCGGGTAGCCTCTGGGGTCTGTTTTCATCTCTTCAGTAGCCACCATTACAATCATCTCCTTTTGAAGCAGCAGTTACCTGAAATACAAAGAGTGCCTTTGGAACAGCTCTGTCTCAGGTAAGACAGTCTTTCACTGGCAGCCAGAGCATCCCTGAAACAACCTTTACAGATCTTGCTGATTGGCACATCTTATACATAGTAATTTGCCCTAGCTCCCATTCTCAAATCCCTCTTCCTCCAACTTCATCCTAATTCTTCCTTAGGGCAAATAATTTTCCATAGTCCTTACTCTACTTCTTGAAAATGTGTGTGTTAGCTTTTATGAATGCCCAGGCTCAGTACTTTGCTGGACTGCTTTAAAGAGAGAAACAGGTGGAGCTTAGGAATTACTATGCAAAGCTGCCTCCTCTTTTTTTATTCTATACTGTGTGCAACTCAAGATTTAACACAGGTAGGTACAACATAATGGCTAGGGTTTGTAAATCAAATAGACTTGTTCCAGTTACTTCACTGACAGAGAGAAGGAACTGGTTTGGCCAGTGTCTGCAGTTTGCAAGCTTGCCCATGGGCCCAAAATGGGTGATGAACCCTACTATATCCTGTTTGATACGGGGCGTGGTGGCGTTGTGGTTCTTTACCTTTACCTTTTTACCTTACCCTGTTTATACTGACTTCTTAGGCTTTTTGGTGTCTGCCATTGCCCATCCAGAAAGCAAGACCTCAACGGAAAGTTCTCAGTGGAGGCCTGCTAACATATGTGTATATTATATATTTATGTAGCTGAAGCTTAACGTATCCAACTCTGACCAAATGATTGTATTTTCCTCTGTCTTCCAGAATTAAGATTTTGGACATGTTTTCCACACAAAGCCTTCATTCAGTTCTCATGCGACTGATTGAGCCACCAACAGCCGAATCTTTACGTTCCTCCAAGCAACGACTGCAGGATGTCGGAGCCTTAACTTCAGACGAGAAGCTCACGCCCTTGGGGTATCATTTGGCTTCCTTGCCTGTTGATGTCAGGATTGGGAAGCTAATGCTGTTTGGCACCATTTTCCGCTGTCTGGATCCAGCACTGACAATTGCAGCAAGCAGGGCCCACAAGTCTCCTTTTGTAAGTGCTGTTGTTTCAAGATACGTCCACGTGTGCAAAGGAATGTTTCCTAAACTCTTAAAACGGAACCTTTTAAACGTATTATATGGTTGATAGTGGTTTGGGAGAGGTTTCACTTCCCATAGCATAAATGCAATTGGGAGGGGGGGATAAAATGGGATAGTTCTGTACGTCTTGTAGAATGCACTGTACAAAATTTCCGTATACCCAGAATACACTGTGTAAATCTGAACTCTGTAGGCTGTATTTTAATTTTACATCTGCCAGTTGTGTAATGGTGTGCTTTCCATAGTTCAGCTATGGAATGCGCTCCCATAGGAAGTTGTGATGGCCGTCAACCTAGATGACTTTAAAATAGGATTGGACAAATACATTGAGGACTATCAACGGCTTCTAGCTATGATGGCTGTGCTCTGCCTCCAAGGAGGCAGCAAGTCTTCTGAACACCAGGTGCTGGAAACCAAAGCTTGGGAGTATGCTTGTGCTCAAATCCTGCTTGTGGGTTTCCCAAAGGCACACAGGGAGGTTAGGCTGGCCTCAACCAGAGCCAGGGCTTTTTTGGCCGTGGCCCCGATCTGGTGGAACACTCTGTCACAAGAGACTAGGACCTTGCGGGACTTGACATCTTTCTGCAGGGCCTGCAAGACAGAGCTGTTCCACCAGGCCTTTGGCCAAGGCACAGTCTGACCCCATCTCTCCTTCTGTAATCCTCATAGAACTCTAGCCCAATAGTTGCCATTAATTTGACTCTGAATTGATTTTAGAATGAATTGATTTTAGAATGTATTTCAGTTGATTGTGATTTTATGTAAACTGTGTTATTTTTACTGTTGTTAGCCGCTCTTAGCCCGGCTTCAGCTGGGCAGGGTGGGATATAAATAAAAATTATTATTATTATTATTATTATTATTGGGATATAAATAAAAATTATTATTATTATCATCATCATCATCTGCTTGGCCATTATTACACATTATTACGTTCCTTGTTTTAAAAGGTTTCTCCGTGGGACAAAAGAGAAGAGGCATTCAAGAAAAAGCTGGAATTTGCAATAGGAAACAGTGATTATCTTGCGCTTCTCCAAGCATATAAGGTGAGGAATAAAAGCACGCCTTGTAATTGATTTCAGGGTTATTGTAGCCATAGAGCCTCCTAATTGTAAGAGATGAGATGGCACGCTATAACAGCTTACATTTTCACTATTTAGGGATGGCGTGCAGCTTCAAAAGAAGGCTATCAAGCAAGTCACACATTTTGTAGACAAAATTTCTTATCAGAAAGCGCTCTTCAGGTAAGTTAGCATTATTGTTCACAATTTTGAGTTTTAAAAGTGTATCTTGAACCTCATGTCAAATTGTTATGTTCTGCTTTCCTGTTGTGCAATCTTATAATGAAAACATTTTTTATAGGTTTCAACTTTGCATTTATCAGAAAACTCAGTACATGCAAGGCATTTTTTGGCCTATTTGCTTATACAGTACATTTAATGTTTTATCCCACTGCATTTCACTATGTTACTTGCAGATTAACTTCAAAATGTGGTACCCAGCGGTGCTGTTCAACAAAATTTTACTCAGACCCATTGAAATGAATGAACCTCACTTAGTCATGTTGATTAATTTCAGTGGGTTTCCTCTGAGTAAAATTTGGTTGACTTCCCCAGGCTTAACAGTGTGATATATCTGTGTTTATCCTTGGCAGGCAGGCAGGCAATGGAAGAGGGGGAAACTGGGCGCAGCATAAGATTGGGTTGATTTTAAAAATATATATATATATATGCTGCCTTTTTAGATAACTTCAGCTTTTCAAAAAAAGTTGAGGATAATCTCTGATGGATGACAGGATTTAGGGAAATGGATCAACTACTATACCATATAATATTTAATTCCTTAGCTTCTGAGACTGAATTATAAATGTTAACACTATGGTTGCCAACCACTGACTGAAATTACCCTAGCTGAAAGGTAAAGAGTGTGGATCAACTGTAAAAAAATTCCTCACTGGACTCCACACACACACACACACACACACACACACACACACAAACGCACACAAGCCTCTCTACACACCCACACACCAAAGAAGATACGTATTTTTATTTATGACGGGGACCATAGCTGAGTGGTACAGCACACGTTTGGGGTCCAAAATTCAACCACCAGCATCTCTCCAGTCTACAAAAATATATAGATAGCACCTGATGGGAAAAAGATCTCTACCTGAGATTCTGGAGAGTCCCAATCCAGTACTGGGCCTGTTAGACAAATAGACTTCCTAAAAAGCAGTTTCCTATGTGCCTAACTCCCGTATTGGCCTGAATATAAGCCGCACCTTTAAAATTGGAGGGGGAAAGAAAAAATACCCCAATATAAGCTGCTCTATTCCTCGCTGCTCCTGGCTGCATACTGGGCAGGGGGAGACTGCTGCGTTGCTGGTGGCCTTTCCCCTTCCTCGCTCTCTTCCTTTCCAGCCTTGAGGGAGAAGACAGAGGCTATGCATGGGGTGCTGCTTTGCCACTCTCCTGGTCCTGGCTGCAGACTATAAGGTCACGAATATAAGCCACACTTTAACTTTTGACAGTCAGAATTTGGGGGAAAAGTGAGGCTTATATACAGGCCAATACGGTATATATATCAGTGGTTTTCAAGCTTCCTACTTCCAGGGGCATCCATTTTGACTGGCCTATGGAGAAACCGCCTCACATCTGCCAGGGAAATCCTTGCACATTGCAGTTCATTCTGGGCTGTGTTCTAGGGCGTATTCTTAGTTCAGTTGGCACATTGGCCAGTTCTCTTGAGCCTTACTGTCATTCCATGGGAAGGGAGACTGTGCCCTGGAAAGGCACCCAACACAGTTGCATGTTGCAGGGAAAAATCTGTAGGTGTGGGCAAGCTTGGTTTCACTTTGAATAACCCCAAATAAGTGTTGGAGGTTCAACAGTGCTGCCTGGAACACAGTTTGAAGATCAGTGTCCCCCAAACTAGCTATGTTACGGAACTACCATACCAGGAGTCCCAACAACCATTCAGTATTTCCTCAGAGTACATTTTCACATATTTTTCCACAGTAGATGCAGTTCACATTTCCCAGCATAGCTTTTCCTCTCTTCCCCATATTTGCAATGGTGGCAGTGGGCAAAATGAAGTCAGCCACAAGCTGGCTGTGATCCATAAGTCTTCTGTGGCTTATCACTGGTGTTTGGAAAGAATGAGAACAGAAGGTGGACATCACTTGACACAGTTCAGAAATCTTAACACTATTCATTATTCAAAGGTGTTCTTTCTCTCTCTTCCATAGCAAATGGCCAGTTTAAAAAGGCAGTTCACAGAACTATTGTCTGACATTGGATTTGTGAAAGAGGGACTCAGAGCCAAGGATATAGAAAGGAGGTGGTCTCAGGGAGGAGACGGCGTTCTGGAAGCAACTGGAGAAGAGGTAACAGGAGTGACAATGGAGTTGCCCTGTCTCATTCATCCATTGCCTTTTGTACAACGTATAAGCTTTTATACGGTGTTCTTCCTCTCATTCTCTGCCACTTTCCTCATCTGTCCAAATAACGGCATTCATTTTTCCCTCCCGCCCCTTCTGACTATTCTACTCTCCTTGACATGATTTAATGGAACCAAAATGACAGCTAGAACCTCGGGCAGTGTTTTTGTTCAGTGATTTGGAGCTTCCTGATTATGTGAAAACCCTTTTCTTCCCAGCTGATTAAAAAAAGTCCAGAGGTGTCCCCCCATTTTAGGGAGGGGCATATAGGGCCCAGAGCTTCTACCACTTAACACTTGAGAGATTTTAAAAATAAAATAAAATAGATGCCTTCATATTTTCTAAAAAATATCTCTGTAACTATAAGGTCTGGAAGCTTACCTTTACATGAAAGCTGGAATTCCCAAGGTGATGTGCTTGCCCAGTTTCATGCAAACTTCTGCACTAACTTGTAGGTACCCTTTTGTTTATATCACAGGCAAATTCTAATGCGGACAACTTCAAGCTGATATCAGCCATATTATGTGCTGCTCTGTATCCCAATGTGGTTCAGGTAAGAGGGCAGTGCTTTTTCATTTCTCTTTTTCTGTCCATATTGCACACATTGCATTTGTTCTATGCTGCATGCTTGAAAGCTGAGCTACTTGCTATTAGCAATTCCTCAAAAGGGAATCTCTCTCTTGTGCTTCTGTTGGGTTTAGAGACTTTTCAGTATTTCCTTCCAGTGCTTTAAAGAAACATCTCCTTCTGCACGACCCTACTTAATGGAAGCTGCTTATGAGTATTTCTATCACTGTTTTTTACTGTTTTAGGTGAAACTGCCAGAAGGGAAGTATCAGAAGACCAGTACAGGAGCTGTTAAAATGAAGCCAAAAGCTGCAGAGCTGAAGTTTGTTACCAAGAAGGAGGGCTCTGTTCACATTCATCCATCCTCTGTAAACTACCAGGTGATTTTCCCACCCCCAGTCAGTCATTCTGTACCTGTTGTCCACACACATACAATTCCTTCTTGGCAGAGGGGCATGCAAACCAACCAACAGTCCATAGTGCAATTCCTTGCATTTACACATCTGTAAGCCTCATTGTAATCTGTTGGACTTGTATCTATGCACAGATGCATAAGATGAGAAGCAGGCTAATCTTAGTTAAACTTAGTTCACATTGGAATCAATGGGACTTAATTTATGACCAACTTGTCCCATTTGATTTTCAGCCAATTTCCTTTCTCCTTCAGCTTACACACCCATGTGAAATTTGTGTAAAGATTTCAGACTTCTCCTGCCCCTGCTGCCTGGCGAATGGTATGCTGGCATTGGACCACCTTTTCCCAGCAAAACCAATGGCCTCTGTCATATATTGTATAACTGAAGTGATAGGTATGGAACCTGTTGTTGTTCTTGTTTTTGTTGAAGTTTCACCAGAGTTTTTTTGGGTTCCTTGTTTCAGACCAGGCACTTTGATAGCCCTTACTTAGTGTATCACGAGATGGTAAAAACCAGCCGAGTGTTTATTCGAGACTGCAGCATGGTGTCTGTGTACCCACTGATCTTGTTTGGAGGCGGCCGTATTAATGTGCATCTTCAGAAGGGAGAGTTTGTTGTTTCCTTGGACGATGGGTGGATTCGTTTTGTTGCAGCCTCACACCAGGTAAGAAAATGAGCAACTCATCACATTGCATCTAATTGCTTATGATGGGGAAATTATTTTCATTGTACCAAGGGGAGAGGAACAGCTCATTCTACTTTGTACTGGCATCCAGGAAATGGGTTATGACCCTTAACCAAATTTCCTCTTGAGACATTAAGTCCACTGGGCCAAAATGGATATAAAACACTAATTCAAATAGGCTTATAGAATAGCATGGGCAGCATCTGGTCCAACAAGTGTGCTTACTTTCCTAAGTTGAAAGGTCAGGTCGTTCTTTATGTCTGCATGACCAGCTATTTAAGAACCAAAGATCTTTCAGAAATTTAGTCAGATGTCTTCATCTCTTGGGTATCAACTCTGCGGTTTATGGTTATAATACCCTGCAGTACAATTTGCATAGGCGCTTTCATGAGCACAACAAACCCCAGGTTGTAGACGGCAGGACAAATTGCATCAGCACCGCCAAAAGCTAAATTTGTCTCTCAGGTTCTTCATCTGCAACAGAGTATTGTGGCACCTTAGACTAACAAAATTCTTCCAGCATTATGACACTGTTGGATTCACAATGCTATATCATTGTGGGGGTATTAACCCTGGATATACAAGAAGAAAAGGCATAAAAAGTTTAAAAGGTCCAACTGTATTGTGCAGAGCATTAATGAACACAAAATCCAGTCAAATGAGAAAAATCCCAAGTGGTGTAGGTATGACCTGTGCAGTTTGAAAAAATGCAGTGCCTTTGATCTTATATTTGTTGAGATTCTTAAGGACATCATTGTCATCATAGCTTTCAGGCAATGCCCGAGTTGAGCCTCTTTTAAAGGTAAAAGGTAAAGGGACCCCTGACCATTAGGTCCAGTCACAGACGACTCTGGGGTTGCGGCGCTCATCTCGCTTTATTGGCCAAGGGAGCCAGTGTACAGCTTCCGGGTCATGTGGCCAGCATGATTAAGCCACTTCTGGCGAACCAGAGCAGCGCACGGAAACGCCGTTTACCTTCCCGATGGAGCGGTACCTATTTATCTACTTGCACTTTGTTGTGCTTTCAAACTGCTAGGTTGGCAGGAGCAGGGACCAAGCAACAGGAGCTCACCCCGCCACAGGGATTCGAACCACCGACCTTCTGATCGGCAAGCCCTAGCCCTAGGTTTAACCCACAGCACTACCCGCATCCTGAGCCTTTTATGCGAGTACAAATGTTAAGCATAAAAAGTACAGCAAGTCTTTCATGCAATATCAGAGGGAGGACCAGGGGCTTCAGAAGTAACTTCTAATGTAGTGTGAGGAACCTCAGGTTTTGCCGGACTCGCAACTCCCAGTCAGCATGGCCTAATAGTCAGAGATGATGGGGGCTTGTGATCTGGCCTGGACTACCCCTAAGCAGCTTAACTCATAAGAATATTTGTGTTTTTCAGGTAGCCGAACTAGTGAAAGAACTTCGCTGTGAGCTTGACCAGCTACTCCAGGATAAAGTAAAAAACCCCAGCATAGATCTTTGTACCTGCCCTCGAGGGTCTCGTATCATTAGCATGATCGTTAAACTTGTGACCACACAATAGCACGGAGTATTTGGTATAAAGACTTATCAGCAGAACAATGGCAATAGAGATGGAAGCAACATGGATGCCTGGAAGCCTAAAGGCAAAGTGGCAATCAAAGAAACCACCATATTTGGAGTAGCCCTAATGGAGTTAATGGGGCTGGAGAAACAAGGTGGTGGGTTTTTTCACCCAAATCATGGAAAAGTTGGCATATTTTAAGGGAAACGCGAGTGTTTCCTTTCCAGGAGCAATCTGTGAAGTACAGAGTGAGAGACTACAGTATTGTTATTTATGCCAATGAAAACTCAAGAGAGATCCAAAAACATTCAATTCTAATGTGTTTTTCTTGCTACTGTTTTTGTCCAATTAAGGATTAACTCTTTTTGCTACAAAATGACGGTCTATTGACTTGCCTCTTCTCCTTAAGGCAGGATTTGATGTTTACTATAGCAACTGTTTGTATTTTCCTAAATTCTAAAGTGGATTCCCCTGTAAGCTTTCCCTAAAACCTGTCCTAATCTGATCAATTAATCAATGTCGGTTGCCAAAAATTTAAATGAAAGATAAATGGTCTTTAGTATAAAAATGAACCAGGTTCTATATGAGCTGGGTGTGTGTGTGTGTGTGTGTGTGTGTGTGTAAAAAAGCACACAGGGCTCAAATTACAGCTTGCCAAAGGCTGTGGAAGTTGTCTTGCTCCTTCTCAAAGGGTTAGTCTAGAGAAGAAAGTTAATGACTCTTTTACATTGCCTGAAGTCAACTTAGCTTCCTTGACAAGACAGCACTTATGAAAGCAGCAAGTTTGAAGTGTGCCAAGGTTTTTGCAAAAGCAAGACATGAAGATAATGCTGTTACATCCTAGTTCTGAGCCCCGCTGGCACCTGAAACCAGATCTTTCACAAGTCAGAAGAAATGGTTGAGGAATGCAAGTACAAAAGAGGCTTATTTCAGTACAGTTCATTATGACTTGTGGACTCCCATCAGCCCAGCAACTTCTTATAAACAAGGAGCACAATCCTGCAGAAATTAATGGGACTTGAACGGAAGCTCCCAAAAAGGTGCATTTAAGGATTTTTTAAAACAGTAAACCAACATTGGGGCAGGAGTGGAGAATGCACAATTGCTATGGCGATAGAAACGAGCGCGCCGGTGGTTAAAAATAAAACTCTGTATAGTAACTTTATGTATGTCACCTGAGGTGCTCATTGGTTGGAGTAATGGTGATCAACAAGCTCTATAAATAAACAGGAACTTGTTCATTGGATTTGTAATCTAGTTTGAGGTTTCTTTTTTGCAAGAAATTATGTACAGGTAACTTCCCACTTGTGCGGGGGTTATGTTCCAGTCCCCCGCATGCATAAGTGAAATTGCGTAGTGGGGAACACCTTCTAAACACTCTTTAAACACCCTCTGTTGCACTCTCTTCAATCTATACCAAAAATACTGTATCCAAAAATATTCACAACTATAATTGAAGCTCTGGGGCTGGCAGGCGGCTGGAGGATGCACAGGAAAGAAGCTCCTGTTGCTGCGATACCCCACACATCAGCTGTTAAGTGGGGAGCCTCAGCAGCTTAAACAAAGCCCTGCTATGCCTTTGGTCTCTTCAGGGCTTTCTCTGTCCTCACTAACATCCTCTGGGCTCTGGGGAGGGTCTCACGAACCATGAGGCCTGCCTAGTTTTGATGTGGATATTAACTCAAGTAAATCTACTTGCATCTGTGTAACAGGATCAGTTGAATTGCCCCATGAGTGTCTTATCAGGAGGAAATTCTGCTACAGAGGTTTGTGTAGTAGATCTTCCCTGACACCCTGTAACATAAGCAATAGCCTTCAGTGTAGAAGATTACTTGCCGGTTCACTGGCTGCATATACTGCAGCGACCTGTCACCATATCACTTCTCATAAAAACTTAAAACACATCACTTTCCAGTGAATACAAAGATTTTCAGATAAGGACAAAAATGAAAGTAGCAATTTTAGGGGTTCTGAATTGGTGAAAGTACAAGCTACATATGATGCGTTTCCGCAGCTATTGTAATTATTCTGCTTTTATATTATGAACTGTAGTTTATAGAGGTATTCCTAGTTTAATATCAGTACTGAATGGTAAGAATGTGATGTTTTCATATATGACTCTTCATGACTAATGGTAATTGAATATAAAGGAGCATTCACAGGATCCCAAAAGGAAGAGATAAAAACTAACGTCAATGCTTATTTTCATATAAATATATATATAGTACAGATTTGTTACATTTGCCATTTCTTCACAAAACAAATCCAGAAAAACCATTCTATTTTGATTGTGACTTTCTGATAGCACTTAGGAACACAAAATGCCTAAATTGAGGAGAAATTCAACAGGTATTTTATAGATCAGCCTCCCGATATAACTAGAAGCCCTCTAAATATTTGGACTACAACTCACATCAATCCCCAGGCAATGTGAGTTTTGTAGTCCATGTAGAAGGCATCAGGTTGGGGAAGCATAGGTTTTGCAAGTAGGTAACTTCATCCCAATTCTTCAACTCTGTCATTGCTGAAGGCCAAGATAACTTTGTATCAATCCTTGAACTCGAGACAAAATTATTTCATTGGAACTATTGCAATCCTCTGGTCCATATGGTGGGTCTATAGTCAACACCCCTGCAACACAGAGTGTTGTTTGTGACTCTCCTTGCTCCCTTACAGGAATATGGTTTTTCTCCAACCAGTTCTTCAAGCTGCTTTTCTTGTCCTCCAGCTCCTCTTGACTGTAGGTTTGGCTTTCTCCAGGCATGAATAGGTGGGCAAGTTTCTCCTTCATAGCATCAGATGCTTCGGACAATATCTTCACCTCTTGCACTGCATGCCCCAAGATGCCTGAAACAGACACTTTTCCATTCTCAAGGGGATTTGCCAGAAGAATGCTGTCAAGAAAAGGAGTTCACATAAAGTTTTGCAACTTGGGTGGAAAGACCTACAGAAATCTCACATGCTAAATGCTATCAAATTTATACTCAACTTTATCTCGTCAAAACACACACGCCCCAATGTCTCAGTCCCACAAGCACCTGCATCATGAAGCATTCAGATCAGGATGCAGCAGCCGTCTGCCCCCACAGTGAAAAATTACAAATGTGTGGAATTGCAATAGCATCCCAGGCTGATCCCATTACATCACACCAACAAAAACTAAGAGTGCAAGTTGTTGTGCCAACATTAGCTATCGTTACCAGCAGTCATTGTCTGAAAATGTTATTACCTACATACATAATCCTTAAAAATATTTCAGCCACTATGTGGCTAGCCAGTGCCTACTGTACAAAAAGCAATGCGTGCCAAGTGTCATTGTTCAAAGGACTTTCCCCCACTGTTGCACATTTTTCAAGCACTAAAATACAAATCTATACAAAGAAATGCGTTCCCTCAAAGTAACACCCTCCCAAACCAGTGGCATTTAGTTCAATAGCATCCATGTATTCAGCCACTGAAAATCGAGAGGTACAACTCAGCCCTTATAGTAAGTATGGGATGCAGAAATACTAAAATCATTTCTTTTTGGAAGAACAGAAGTTTCAGTTGGTGCATCACAGCAATTCCTAGTTGCTAAACTTTTACCCTTCTGTGGTATATACAAAATCTCAAGCTAATGAAGTATCTCATGAAAGTGAAGTGGCAAGTACTGTACATAAAACCAATCTACTGAGGATGCATTTGGTCTTATAAACCAACCCCAAATCTTTTAACCTCACCCATCCCTCACATTTTTTAGACCATGCTCCATTTTAAAATGGCTAATATTAACTAGAACTATTATGAAAGAAAATTGTTTAAAGGCATATAGAGTGAGTTGCTTCCCACATCTTTTCAAAAAAGTTAATGATTTGTTAACAAACATACAAAAAAGTGCAAACATAAGAATGAAAACAAAAATCAAAGCTCCCACATTCTTAGGCAACTGTGGAATACGACTACTAAACCTTAACATTGATGATCAGTGACCTGATCATACTGCCTCAATTTTACCAGTGTAGAAAACTCATCTGATGCTATCTCAAACATTTTCCCCTTCTACTTGTTCAGCTGTCCTATTTATGAGAATATCAGTGAAAAGAATAAATTGCTGGGCAATTTATTTCTAGTTGTTGGTGTGAATAGAAATTCTGAAGTGTGTAACCAGACAACATCAGACATTTGTCATAGCAGCAGCAGCAACAGGCGAATCGCATGCTGAGTAGAAAGTAAAATTTACAGATAGTTTACAGATCTGGTTGTGCTTCCCCCTTCCCCTCCCAATTCTTGTTCTGATTCATGGTTTTGAAAATAAAATAAATGTTGATACATCTCTCTCTGGGTATCACACTTCCATGTGTACTGAACACCTGCTTACTTGGCAGACACAGGATCAACTGTTAAAACCCATCCTTTAAACTTCTGTTTCTCAGCAGCCAGAACTTCAATTTCTTTATTCACATAAGTCAGCCATTCCAAAGGTGTCTTCCTCTGCCACTCAGTCATATTTCCTATTTGCTGAACCTAATGAGAAAACAAAAAACACACAAATGGAACACTCAGGATGAAATGGTGAAATCAGCTATGATTAAATGGGCACAAGATGTTGGACATAACATAATGATGGCTGACTGGGAACAGTTATGGACCACAGGTATGAAATTCACGGCATGTAATGTCCTAAGAGAAAATTTAATGAAACTGATTTATAGGTGGTACATGACACCAGTCAAGCTTGCAAAAATTTATCATTTGCCCGACAATAAATGTTGAAAATGTAATGAGACTGAAGGTACATTCTTTCACCTTTGGTGGACATGCCCAAAGATTAAGACATTCTGGGAGATGATCTATAACGAAATGAAAAAGGTATTTAAATATACCTTTCTGAAGAAACCAGAGGCCTTTCTCCTGGGCATGGCTGGCCAATTGGTGTCAAAGAAGGATAGAACTTTTTTTATGTATGCAACAGCAGCAGCAAGAATACTCATCGCGAAGTATTGGAAGACACAAGATTTACCCACCTGGGAAGAATGGCAGATGAAGTTGATGGACTATATGGAATTGGCGGAAATGACTGGCAGAATCCGAGACCAGGGAGAAGAGTCGGTGGAAGAAGACTGGAAAAGTTTAAAGACTATTTACAGAAATACTGTAAAATTAATGAATGTTAGAAAAATGTTGGAATGAAGTTATATGGCTTTAGTAGAAATGTTATAAGGAATTAAGTATAAATAGATTAATAGAGTATTAAAGGGAAAAATAAGGTTAGAATGTGTTAAGATAATTAAAGGATAGAAAGCAGAGGAAGATGGAAAGGAATTGCTGAAACAATTAACAGAAGTGGAATACAAAAAGGGAGGTGTGAGGAGGTCATTGAAATAAGTGAATGAAAGATAAGATATTGAAACTGTTTGATGTGTTTTAAACTGTTTTTGTTTTGTTTTGTTAGTTTAATGTGTTAGTGTTATGTATTGTTTTTGTATTGTATTGTTTATTTTTTTGTAGTGTTTAAATTGTTGGAAAAGTAATAAATATTTTTTTTAAAAAATAAAAAAATAAAAAAGAGAAAAAAAACACACTGATCAGCAAAAGTTGATAAAGCTGTCTGTTAAAAAAATGTCTAGATATCCCACTCATATCTAGAAGTTAGGAACAACAGAACAATCCTAGATATGTTTATTTTATTTATTTCTCATTTATTTTGTATACTGCTCTTCCTCTAAAGATCATAGGGGCTGTTCGCAACATAAAAAATGAGAACTGAAAATCAATAACCTCCTTCCCACAAAAAAAAAATTATAAAGCCATAGTGTTAATCAGCCAAAAGTAAGAAGCAGATTTTAAAAAATAAGGTTTACAACCTAACGCAAATAAGCTTCGTATTGACGTTAGGGACTCAAGAAACGCAATAAGGGCACTAAGTTTCACAGCTAAACATATCTTCCATCCACTCTTTTTATGCTCGAAATCCGGGCATGTTTCTCCAAAGAATAATCTTACTGTGCAATAATAAAGTGGTTTTTGTTTTTAAAAATTTCAAAGATCTTTATTGAAACTTAACATATATACATAATAATAAAGCATTACTCAACCCGGAGCGAGGGCATGTTTTGTAAACGCTCTGCAGTCCCAGCGCAGAAGTTTATTTGGAATCTAAAGCGCCCGCCTTCATCAACACAGTTCTTGCTTCTTCTCTACCTTTAAGCCCATAAAAGAGGCACGGAGCCGATCAAGAACATTTTTACATCGCACTCACCGCTAAAGATGAAATGCGGGTTTCCTTGTAATCCAGCCTGTAAAGAAGGCGAGGGATTCAGACGAAACGCATGCACCGTTTCGCTCCCGTCGTCATTGCTTGGGCCCAGAATGCATCGGGTTATAGATTCAAGTTCCTCCTCTGCAAAAAAGCAATATCCGGAAACAGCTGCTTACGGGCAAACCCTTCATTCATGGCATATTCACTCCCATCTCACACCCTAAGAATAACCGCGTTCAGCAAGCAGCCCCGCAAAATGAGCTGGCAGAGCTCGGAAGTTTAAGCAGTCCGGCAGCAAATGATATTTACCCTATTTAGCTTACTCCGCCTCTCTTTGCCTAAGGTTAAAAAGAAAATTAAAAGCCGATTCAGAGGGCCAATCCTAATAGATGACTAATCAGAGGCAACTCCAGTAAAATTTACTGGGTAAGTGTTAAGATTAGTTTTCCAGAGTGCGAATGCAAAATAAATTTGTTCGGATTAAGTCGCCCTGAATCCAGCGAGCATGCCTAGAATTGCAGCTTCAAGGGACTTTTTTAAAGGCACGTTTTTAGAGAGCTTTTGTAATAGTCCCAGAATGGGGGTCACAATATTTTAAAGCACGGAGGGTGTTTCATTATGTTACTGTAGAATAGTAGCGTTTTCCTAGCGTGCGTTGTGCTTTCCGTTCCAAAGATAATATTTTTTATTACATTTCTTAGTCGTTTTATCTTACCAAAGGCAACTCAGAGCGACTTACAACCAATCTAGCCAGTTTGCATTGCATGAAGTAGCCCAAAACAGTGGGTCAGGTTTCAATCCTATATAGACTTAACCTGGGTTTTGCCAAACTCTGCTCCCTAGCTGTTTTTTTGAACTACAACTCCCATCATCCCTAGCTAGCAGGACCAGTGGTCAGGGATGATGGGAACCGTAATCCAAAAATAGCTAGAGACGAGAGTTTGGGAAGCCCTGGTTCAATTTAACTTATTCGGGTTAGCTGCTGTATAAACATGCATAGAGCATTAAACTGACTCTCGAGTCAGCTCTATTGAACGTAGTGAGACTGACACCTGAGAAAACCGACGTCGGAGTGCACCATTAATGTTCTACCTTTTGCATACTAGTGTTAGGAGGAATCTCTTTCCTCCTCAGAGAATGAAGTGCAGTTTAGAGGAAGCTGAGGAATTGCCCTCAAGCCCCACGAATGCACGCTCGCACTTAACACTAAACGAATGCCATTATTTTCCGACAGGCTGTTTAATCTGGTGTGATGCCTGGAGTGAAGAAAACTGACAGATGTTCTGTTATTGTTCATTTTATTCAGAAGGCTCTCACGTTCTTATTCGCTGTTGGCTTGTGGTCCTTGGGCGGAGTGTAAAAAATAAACCACCTTTTAAAAGGTTAACAGCCATCGGTTTCCCAATGAACACCATGGAAACACAGTACTGTATTGATTTACCAGGAGCTGGTAGCAGAATATAGGGGGCGCAAATGGACTCAAGACACGTGGATTTGAGGAAACAAGCGATCCCTTTCATTTGCTGCAAGCAGCTTCTCAGCGACCATTTCCTTGTCACGAGGACCAACTTTCCCAAACCCTTCACTCCTTATTGAGCAACCCCCTAAAAAAATTCAGTGCGGACCGAACTTCCCGAACGCGCAAATATGTTAAAATCCGCTTCCACCCCGGGAAGCCACCGTAGAAAATCTGAGGGAAATGTTGCTGAGCGGCGTACGGTGGGGCGCTCGAAACCCAGCCAGATGGGCGGGGTATAAATAATCTGTTATTATTGTTATTATTATTATTTAAACCCGAGAAAACGGCACGTGTTTTCAAACGGGCAAATTACACGCTCGGGCAATAACCGCGTTCCCAAAATGGAGGCTGCCTCAGCCTCCGCTCCCTCCCTCCCTCCTTCCAGCCTGGCGTTGCTACGGAAACCAAAAGCTGACTTTCTTCCCGCCTCGCCGGCCCGCGGCGGCCTGGCCATTGTTACGCGCATGCGCGCCAACGGCACCTCCTATATAAGGCTCCGCGAGCCCGCATGCGCGTGGAGACGGTTGGGCTTTCCCCCCCTGCTCGGGCGAAGATGTCGCGGTATGGCCGTTATGGTGGAGGTGAGTGGCGCGAGCTGGGAGAAGCGGGTGGAGAAGAGGCCGCAGCGACGCCTCTCTTTGCCTCTTTTCGGGGCCCCGCTTAGGTAAATCCGCGGTGCCCAGGCCGTATTCCGTGTCGGCGGCGGCGGCGAAGAAGCCCGTTAAGCGGCAAAGTGCCGCCACTGCCGCCGCCATTTTGCACAGGCATGGTCGCCGGCTGCGCTGAGGAGAAAGCGACCCCGGGTTCGGCGCTGTGTCGTTTCGGACGTTGGAACTGCGCCGCTGGCTTGGTGTGAGGAGGGGACTCCCCTCGGGGTAACGGCAGACGGGGCTTGTGGCCGGACCTGGCGGGGTTTGTTTTCCCTCCCTTCGGTGCTACTGACGCTGCGCGGGCAAAATGGAGGCGGCGCCAAAGATGGCGGCGCCCAGGGCTGCTCCGCTCGCCTTCGGCAGCGGGGAAGAGGAGATGGGCGGGCTGGCCGAGGGAAGAAGTCGCGGCGGCGGCGCGTTTGGCGGAGCCGGCGGCGGAGGGAGGGCGGAGAAGCGGAGCCGGAGGGCGCGAAGGGCTGTTGCCGCTGTTTGCGCTTCCTCTGCCGGCTGCCGGCTGGTTGGCGCGCTTTCCAGGAGCCTCTAATAAAGGGAGTGGCGGCCTCATTGAGACCCGCCAACTTCCGTCGTTTTCTCCTTGAACACGCGCTTGCTTAAACTTTTGTGCCCCGAAGTATGGGAAGTGCGCTTCTTATGCAGGTTTTTATTTTTATCATTATTAATTGCTTTGAGTATCTCGACTATATAACACCTAATTAGACGGACAGAAAAACTAGGAGAAATCTTGTGCGTTTGATACAGGGTGTCGGTATATTGTAATAGTATTATTTTCCTCCTTGCTGTCGCTTTGACGTGGGCCCTCGGCCCCCCCATAAGCTGCCAGCATGGATGCCCGAAACTTGCGTTTATGATGGTTGCAGCCCTGCTTTTGCGGTTCAGTGGGAGTGCAGTTTGGCAAGTGAAGTGAACATGAATACTTCGATAGCAGTGAAATTGGCTTAAGATTATTAAGGACGTATGTTTTCTTGGAACTTTCTAAAAATTATTTTTTCTTTTGTGTGTTTAGAAACCAAAGTATATGTTGGTAATCTAGGAACTGGTGCTGGTAAAGGTGAACTTGAGAGAGCTTTCAGCTACTACGGACCATTACGCACAGTATGGATTGCGCGAAATCCTCCAGGATTTGCGTTTGTTGAGTTTGAAGACCCAAGAGATGCTGAAGATGCAGTTCGTGGGCTAGATGGAAAGTACGTGCAAGTGCTAACTGGTTATCTACACGGGAATAAAAACTGAATTCTGAGTCCATAGTTGGATTATTAAATATGTGTTTCTGTTGCAGAGTGATCTGTGGCTCTAGGGTTAGAGTGGAGTTATCAACCGGTATGCCACGCCGGTCTCGCTATGATAGACCCCCAGCACGCCGGCCATTTGATCCCAATGATAGATGTTATGAGTGTGGCGAGAAAGGTCATTATGCTTATGACTGTCATCGCTACAGTCGTCGGAGAAGAAGCAGGTACGTTTAGATATAAGGAGATTTGTTTTCAGCAGTTAATCATAGTTTTTATTAGCAAAGAAGGTAATGATACACCATTTTAAAAGTAAATGTTATAATTTATGTGGGTATATTACAATTGTTTATATTTTGTGTTACTATGTTAATATGTTAATAATCAACCTGGTCAAAACCTTTCAGGTTTCTTCGTTTGAGTCAGTCGCCTTGATTCAGAATGTCACGAGCCTTAAGATTTCATGCTGAGGCGCCTTGCAAATCCGACAATTAAGATCCTCCTAGACCTTGAGGTGATCAGCATAAGAGGCCAGATCCCCTCGAGCCATCTACACCTAGCTTCACCTTATTCTTTAAAGGGCAGAAAAATTGAGACGGTGATCGCCGTAACAGTAAATTTGGCTTTCAATTGGGGCCCCCTCCGGTTTAAAAAGAGGAACACCAGATTGACCACATTCCCACCTAGAAAAATCTTCTTGCGTCAATCAAGCCTCACCTGGCTCATTTGGCTGTCAGTTTGATCGTCGTTAGATTGAAGAGAACACCTAGATGCAGCGGCCGGCTATAGATACTTCTAGATCGTCTAGATCTGCTAGACCTTGGGCCAAAGAGGGTCGACCTGCAAACTTGCAAGGTTTATTTTAAATACACATTACAGTGTTTTATATTATGATTGTAATTCTAAAATGTTATTCAGTTTAACATCTTTTTTAGGTAGTAAAAATACTCAAGACATAGGCCCTGATTTTTTTCAACGTACAAGACACTAATTTTTAATTATCAGATATTTTGGCTTCGGCAAAGGCTCACATGTTAACTGTTGACCTTGTGGTCTAATACTTTTCTTATCTAACCTAAAACTAGGTCACGGTCTCGATCTCATTCAAGGTCCAGAGGAAGGAGATATTCTCGCTCACGTAGCCGAAGTCGTGGCCGGAGGTGAGCATCAAAATTGGAGCATAGTGCTTTAGTTTAAGAATCAGAATAGCATATTTGTAACAAACACCTTTCTTTTAGATCCAGGTCTGTCTCTGCTCGGAGATCAAGATCACTCTCCCCTCGGAGATCAAGATCTGTCTCGCCACGCAGATCCCGTTCAGGTTCTTTAAAAAGATCAAGGTAATTTTGCTAATAAGCTTAATGTTCATGGAGTCAATTTAATTTTCATTAGTATCTTAGTACTTTTACCCCATATTCAAAGCAGCTTACAAAAGAAAAAGGAATTGTAGGCAACATTTAAACCATAAATCAACAATAAAATCCTTGATCGAATCAAACATATATCTCTAAAGAAAAGCACATCTGGGCATCATATGTTCTAAGTTTCCTCCAGAATGAATAGAATTAATGAACTTTGTATATTGCTGTGACTGCATCTCTACAACCTTGTTTCATGACAGCTTTCATTCACCTGCATAGATGTGTTAAGAGCTTGGAATTGAGTATCTTCTCTTTAAAACCTAGGTCTCGGTCAAGGTCAAGATCCAGGTCCAGGTCTGTTTCACGACCCAGAAGCAGGTAAACATCGATGCTTTGTAAAATAGTAACCAGTAATTAGCTAATTTTTGTGAAATGGGCATTTTTCTAAATGGTAATCACTTCCAAATGCCTCTTGCAATGTTTTAATTGAAAGCATCAAATGTCTACTGTACACACAGGCTTATACTATGAATGCGAGTTCATTTAGCCTACTCTATGCATTTAAGTAGTTTAGAAGCAATCTTTGTGGTTCTCGAGTATTCAGCATCAAAATAACCAGTTGCAAGATATTACCAGCTTCTTTCATGCTTTTATTTTAAAACAGATAAATCATGGCTATAGATCAGGGGTAGTTAACCTGTGGCCCTCCAGCTATTGTTGGCCTCCAACTCCCATCAGTCTCAGTCAGCAAAGGCTGTAGTCAGGGATGATGGGAGTTGTATTCCAGTAACATCTGTAGGTCCACTGGTTTCCCTCCCTGGCTGTAGGTACTGGATCAGTCTAGTGTTTGCTAATGTAATGTAATTGATGCTGTTTTAACAGCCGTTCCAAATCAAGATCACCATCTTTAAAGAGAAGGTAAGCTGAGCCTCTGAAGGAGACATATTGCATTTTACGCAGATAACAATCGAAATAAAGTTTATAACAGTGTTGTATATCCTGGATTCACAGTTTTACATTTAAAACATTAAAATAATTGTTACTAAATGTTAAAATTCCTACAGAGCTGTGATTTGTTTATAGTTCTTTATAATAGTTTTTAGGTTATTTTTTAAAAAAGTGAAATAATGGGAGATACCCATGAAATAGGGTAAAAGCACAAAAACTGGCATCTTCTGTTGGGAAAGTGAGTGATTACTATTCACTCAGGGTCTGAGGAACTGTGGCAGGCCACTTAAGTGTAATAAAAATTTGCTCTTAAGCAAATTTAAGATTTAACCAAAGTCCAGAACCATTCTCAAAAAGGGTGTTTAATAATAATAATACAGCATATTAATAATAATGGAGCATATTACCTGGCTATGTTAATGGACAATAAATGTAAATGGCTCAAAGGTTAAACGGAGAAGGTTTATAGTTGTGACTGAAACCTTCAGGAAATTGGCAGGACAATCTAGACATTGAACAGCAGCTAGCTGTTACTTAATAATAGTAGACTGTGTCAGAATTTTTAGTTCCTCGTGAGTATATGTGTTTAAAAGCATTTTTACTTGATTTAATATTCAGTCTTGCTTTTTCAGTTTTGATATGAGCCATTTATATCCATTCTCCATTAACTCAGGGTAAGTATGCTTCTTGAACACTGCAAGAGAGCTTGGTAATACTTCCTGTGGGAATGGGGGTGCATGCAAACTTTTAAGTTTGCTTCAATATTTAACATTAAGAGCTTGTAGCCTTCAATTCCAACTAACTTCCTCTTCTAAAGCAGCATCCAAATAGGTGCTAGGATTAAAATTACTAATGTGCAGGTAGCATGGATCCCCTTTTAAGAACACTAATCTATTAATTTCCATTTTTTACTAATTTTAACATTGAGTAACCTAGTGACTTCGTTTTTCCCCCTTTTTATTTTTAGTCGTTCGCCATCAGGAAGCCCTCGAAGGAGTGTGAGTCCTGAAAGACTGGATTAGAATTGCAAAGAACATGATAGGAAGAATTTTGTTTACGTTATTTTAAGGGATTTCTTTGGTGTTATTGACAAATGTAAGGATTTAGTTGATTGAAAACCTTTTCTAGGGCTAACGCAGCGAGGATCTTGATCTTCTAGTAAAATCTGTAAAAGCTGCTACATTAGACTAGTGCACAATTTCTGTATGTAATAACATCCTGTGATCTGAAAAGTGGGTCTTTTTATGGGCACATGAAATAAAATGTGTATTTCTAACTTTGCTGTAATGCTATTTGCTTCTGTTAATCAAGTGCATGTTAAAAGCAGATTACAGATACCTTAGTGTTGTACACAAATACTGTGCAAGGGTATTGGCTAAAAATACTTGTGAATACCACTAGGCTGCGGGCATCAAGCTTAAGTGTGACATTTAATTTGGTGCTTCAGGCTTTCTGGGGTGTTATGACTTGCAAAGGTATTTTTAAGGAAGCTGCTTGTCAATCTGATTCTGTAATGGTATTTAAACAACTGTTGGAGTTTGATCTGTTAACTTGTAAAATCAAGTTGGCTTGCTTAGCAGAATACTCTTATGACATACCACCGCAGGCACAATTACCTTAAATGAGGCCACCTTAAGTTGTATTCAAATTGCCATTTTGTTTGAGTTCTATCTGGGATACCAAGAAAATAGTGTAAGCAATGGGCTTTTCCGAAGATGTTTGGATAGAAGGTAACAGTGAATTAGGCACATCCTAACCTGATTCAAAGCAGAATCTGATCTTGTGAAAGTAGTTTCTATCTCATACTGCTAGGCTCCCTGGCTCACTTATTCAGTTCACTCATTCTTTCTCCCTTAATGAAAACAGGAAGCTCGTTTGAGGACTGTTTTATCTGAAGCATAAATTGCATTTTAGCTTCCATAGCAGGGCAAAATTTAGCTGTAATTGAGCAGAATCAAAATGGCAAAGGAAGATGCTGAAAACAAACTTCAATCGTACACCTTTATCAAACATACATGTCTCATCTGGAAATGCCTGCTGCTTAACTGCAATGCCAATATTGCATAAGTTAGCTTCTAATCTAAAATTCATAGATAAATATAACATACTAAACCTAAGGTTGAACAGAGTGTAACATCTGCTTAACTTCTATGACAGAACACATAGATGGGACTTGAGTGACAAAGGGCTGAAATACAATACCCATTAGTTAGATGAAAGTAACTTCAGTTTTTGTTTTAAACTGTCTTGACATGGCTATATTTATGATACTAAATGAATATGCTGTTTCTGATAAATAAAAATGCTTAACATTTTCTAATCAAGAAAGTTGCATGCTCACTTTCACAATTGGCAATCCTTGTGATCTCAATTTTGAATTACTGTAAGCTATTCTACAAAAAAAATCTGTATAATCTTGCTAATTTAGATTGTTTCAGTGATGTATACTCTACTAACCTTGAATTGGTTGTCTGAATATTTCCTGCACAGAAGATAGTTTGTTACATACTATTTTCACTGAGTTTAGAATTTTGGAATAATAATTGTCTAAAAATCAAGGTGGGAAAAGTTTGTAAGATCAATTAAAAATGTTAGTTGCCTAGTGCAGTACCAAACACCATCCTTAAATACAACCCATTTTCTAGTAAATTTTCCTACTCTGAGTAAACTCATGAGTCAGGACTTACTTAGTAAACTCTGAAATTAATGATCCTATGAATAGGACTGAGTTGAATACAACCCAATGGGCAGGATTCAACTAACCTGTCCCAGCAGCAGGAGCTCTGCAAGGGCAGGCCTGAAAGAGTGAGTCCCCTCCTCGAGGGTCAGGAGAACACACACGGAGCAGCGGGAAGAATGGTTCTACCTGCCAAGCCAAAATACTTGTGTTGATGTTTTTATTTTCAGCCAAAAGGCAAGCAGCAGTTGACAGACAAATCTGTATTCTCAATGCCGCAACAAAATACTTTCTCAGAGTTTGGACAGGGGCGCAGATGTTTTGTAGTGGGGGAGACATAACAATAGATAAGGCCCTTTCTAACTCTTCCTGTTTAGTGTTCTTACCTTAAAAAAACAAAACAAAAAAATCACCTTTGCCCCTTTATGAGTAAAGAAAGGGCTGTGGGTGAGAGTGGATTATGACAGGCTATGATTTATCACAAGCCCGTCAGTGATGTTCATTAGGGGTTGGGCCAAAGGTGAGAAAGCTGACTGTTCCCACATTCAGTTGTGCTGAGAACTACACAAAGATGGTTGTGCTGGGAGTAGCATGCAGCCGTCATGCAATGTCATCTATTAATACTGCAGGTCACAGATGAGGCTTAGGTCTGGATTCCTGTTCAAAAATCCCCCATACCTCTTTAAGTTGCAGCAAAGGTCAGTCTACTGAAGTTGCCTCTTCCCATGCCAAATCAAGCACTCCATTAGATGCAGAAGCTTAATGCACACTGGTTTCACTTTGAAATGTTTAAAAAGTTTGCACATGAAGACAGACTTGCATTAGAGCAGGAAGTCGTCGTCCGTCTGTCCCCCCACTCTTCAGGTGCATGCCAGGGATCTACAACACAGCATTTTATAGCAGGGCCCCACCTGTATATAGTAAGTCTCCAATTTTTATGTAGCCAAAATAGTACCATGCATGTAGAAAAGAGGTAACAGCCTTGCTGGCTGATGGGAAACCCATCAGTTACCTGGAAGCTTAATGGGAAGCACCCCACCAACATACTAACAGCAAACTTGGGTACTGAATTAAGCCTATTTAGCATCACAAATGGCTACTGAGAAACCAGCAATATAGGCATGTTTAGAGATACTTCTAGGTATGCAGAAGAAAAAGGGAGCAGGATCTTCAGTATAGCTCACTGAGGACAATATGTTCAGTAGCCACTGCTGTTTGTCCTGTAGTGGAATAGAGAATCCAGAAAGGACATGTCTGCACTGAACAGCAGCAGTTAACTTTTTTTTACCAGTGCCACTTGTCTATTTGTTAATGATTCAAAGCACTTCATTTGCATTCTCATTAATCCTTGCAACTTTACTGAATTCCAAACCAATACAAGCTTTTAAACAACTCTTCACAGCTCTTGCATTTAGAGTCTATTTTAGACCCAATGCAAATGTAATACCTTTACCATTGCTAAGAAATCAGGGTGGGGAAGAACTGTGCCAACATCCTTAGCAATAGTATATTGAAGTGAATTTACATTTTAACATGATTTATTTCTACTATTTCCACCTGCCTTTGAACCAGTAAGCTCTCAAGGGGGCGGTGGGAGAGAAAGGTTGCCTGTATAAAATCTTAAGTCTATGCAGGATGGTGTCAAGTAGACTTCTTGAGTACATGAAGACACATTTGATCCTAAAACAAACAGTCTAGAATCTTTGAAAACTACCTTGTTACAGATTGCTACAAAAAAATCTTGGTCTTTGCTTAAGCTACAGAGAACTTGAAACAAGTTGTGGTCTTGTATTCCTCTCCTGGGTGCAGCAGGCTATCTGGGAAATTAGGCTGTAAGAATAAAAAATAAAACTCAACATTTGTCCACTTATAGAAGAAAAATTGCTTGCATCTAGGGTTTTGTTCTATTGCATTTAGAACAAACCATTACAAAATTGGGAGTCAAATCCTTGCCAATCTAGTGCAAATCATTCATATATACTAGCAGAACCTGATCTACCTTTGGCATGTAACCACAAGCTTTCTACACACATACATAGTATACTTGAATTGGTTCACATTTGATTAATCAACTTTTGGTGTTTTGAGCTTGCAATCCTGTACATACTTAGAACTGAGTGTAAATTTATACTGTGAGCAGTTATGCCTAGGAATGCACTGTTAGGTCTTGAAAATGCAGAGAAATTGCAAAGGAGCTGTGCCATTTTAGAGTGGCGGGGGATCACCTACTACAATGTTTTTCTATTGATCTAAAAAAACTTCCTATGCACAGAAAAGCAGCCTTGCTCTGCATAGCTAAATGTCATCTACCTGCAGTCAGAAATGAGATAATCACAGAATAGCTGTACCATGTGATTTCAGTGCTTATGCAGATCCACCCATTACTGGTTTCTATGTTCTTCTGAGCATCCTCAAAATGAAATCTGCAATAAACCATTGAAGCTGAGCCCCAAGACAGTTTTGTGTAGCTTCTATTCTTTGTGGCCCCGTGGTCATATAAAACTTAAGAATGTACCTGGTTCACTGCATTTGGCCAGTTCTGTGTTTCCAGGCAGAAGCCAGAATGCTTGGGATACACACAGCCTCCTTTTCCCTTTAGAGTGCCATCTAAGAAATTCCCAGTGTAAAATTGAATCCCGGGCTGAGTTGTATAAACCTCTATCATTCTGCCACTAGGGGGATGGTGGGCTCTGTAAAAAGAAAGTATCTGTTAATTAAATTTCTAGGAGTCTGTAGGCCTTTGGTACTCTGCATTTGGTTATGTGTAGTGGTAGCCAGCAGCTCTTAATAATAGATAGATACATGGGAAACAGCACTTGGGTGCAAGGAAGGGGCTGTGCAAATTTTAAAAGAAGTCACTTGGTCACATCCTAAGATGCATTTGCCTTTTAGTTGCCTCTTTCCATAAATACATGATAATGCATCACATGATAATTCCAAGAGACAACAAAATACTTACCTCCCTGATCAAATTGTAGCCAGAGAGAACAGACTGTGGCTTTGGCTCACATCCGTGCCATATCGAAAGTCACATTTAGCCAGTTCAGTGGGTCCAGGCAGGGTGAGCATCATGTTGCCAAAGCTCACTAGCTGTGCTGGCTCAAGTTCCTTATGTGTTATCACAGTACACAAGGTGGATTAAGAGCATCCTGCACTACCAGCCTTCCACAAGTGAAATTCGCAAGATCTGTGAAAACCTGAGCATGGTTCAAAGCAAAATACTGTAGCTTACTGTTAACACTTCCCCCAAATCTCAGGTGGGAAGGTATGGAAGTTAAATTATATAAATCACGCATTTTCCTCCACATTGTACACTTTTGGCCTTCCTACAGAATGGAACTTGGAGGACATCATTTTAATTATGTAATTGATTTGTCTAATCACATCTATGGATGTCTATACTTGCAATCCTTGTCATTTATTAATTTATTTACTGTTTATTGCCAAAATAGGCTTCTAAGCAATTTGCAAGTATGTAAATCAATTACACAAGCAATCTATACTGTATATTAAAATCAACCTTAAACAAGACCAGAGCATTTTCTGTAGCAGCCCCAATGCTATGGAGGGTCATATCAGGTATCTGCTTGCTTTCTGCTAACAGGTGAAGTTATCCCAGTTGACCTTTGAAAACTGAAACTGAGGACTGCTTCCCATGTTTTACAGTGATTTTGTTGCCTTTTCTTTTGTGGCTTATGGTTTTAATTAAATGTTTTGATGTTTTTATTGCTTTATTTTAAATCTGTAAAGCCCTATGATATATTTTATGAACAGCAGTGTATAAATACTTTTAAATAAACTGGGAGAAGGAAGAGCATGAAACACAATGTTTTGGTCAATATGCTGTCAAACAAAGGTGACAAACCAAACCTGTACCTCGCACAGAAGCATGTTTCTTTTGTCTGCTTCAGGCAAAAATTGTGGTCAAATCCTCCGAGCTGAAACTTCTGAAGGTGTTTTCCAAACTCCACCGGCTTTCTCAGATCAAAGCCTGTATCCTGCACTGAAGCAATTTCTCCTAATGGAGAAAGAACAAAGAAAGAGGCAGAGAAACTACACACATTTAGCAACCTTCCACAGCAACTCTTAAAAATGTGGACGGAACCAAGACAGACATCTGGAAACAGCAGGTTCCACCAAAAAGTCCACCACAGCAACAAACCACACACAGAACAATTTAGTGTGGGATTCCCAAACCACAGGTGTTCTGAAGACATTGCCACCATTCCCACTTAAACCAAGAATGGGGAGCCTGTAGCTCTCCAAATACCAATCCTGGACCACTGTCCTACCATTAGGCAGAGTGAGGCAGCTGCCTTAGGCAGTAGATATGAGGGGTGGGGATTGGACAGCTGTGAGTGTCACATGCCATGTTCTGTGTTTCCCCAAGTAAACTTCCCCCCTTTCGACGTCAAATTAAGATTTAACCTCCTCCATCTAAGAACATAAGCAGTGCACTGCTGGGTTAGGCTAGCGGCCCATACAATTCAGCATCCTGTTTTCACAGTGACCACCCACCCTGTGTTTTTATGGCATTGTTCCAGTTTTAGAAAAGCAAGCTGATTGACCACAGATTTGAACTCAGGGCTAGCACCCTACACTGAGGCCATTTCTGCACAGTTGGCCACGACAGCTCCCTAGATAACATCTGTAGATTCAACAGCATTCATCTTAAAAATCAACCAACCTGTGGGGATCTGGGTTTCATCCACTGGCAGGTAAGAATCTGCCTGTATAGTAAATTCATGGTCATAGATATTGGGTGATCCCTGAAATACGAAGTGAGGAAAAAACCTCTTGTATCAGAAAATAGAAAGATGGAATTTTATACCACCTTTGTTGTAAACACAGAGCTGCAGGTACCTCCGAATCACAATAATCACTTTACTGAATCAAGGTCAAATGTCAATGAAGACCAAGATAATAATTATAATTTTTATTTATACCCTGCCCTCCCCAGCCAAGGCTGGGCTCAGGGTGGCTAACAAGCAATAATAAAAACAAGTTGAATGAATACAACTTAAAAACAAAATTAAAATACAACATTAAAATATTGAAACATTAAAATATTAAAATGTAGCCTCATTGCAGGAGGATAAAGGAAAAGAAAAAAGAAAGAGGGGGAGGGAAATTGGTTCCAAGCCAAAGGCCAGGCGGAACAACTCTGTCTTACAGGCCCTGCGGAAAGAAATCAGATCCTGCAGGGCCCTGGTCTCATGAGGCAGAGCATTCCACCAGGCCAGAGCCAGAGTTGAAAAGGCCCTGGCTCTGGTTGAAGCTAATCTAACTTCCTTAGGGCCCGGGACCACTAGGGTGTTGCTGTTTATGGACCTTGAGGGTCTCCGTGGGGCGTACCAGGAGAGACGGTCTCATAGGTACAAGGGTCCTAGGCCATGAAGGGATCAATTGTTCCGGCATTTGGTTTCCAAAAGTAGCAACCCAGACTCACAAGAAGCATATACTTGGGGTGGGGAGGAAGCAATGGAGTATCCTGGGAAAAGGTATGGCTGCCTGGAATCCTGAACACGGGCACATTCTAAGTGCCTCCAAACTCTCCATATTTTGTAGGATTCAAATATGTAGTGGAAGTTTAGGTTTGTGCATTTAAAGTGGATTAAAATCTTCTGTTCCCCTAGTGCAACAAATCCCCTTTTATTTTTTAAAACAAAATTTGTGGTTTTGACAAGGACAGGGAAATGCATTGCAAAGTGAAATGAACACGTGACAAATGGGAAGATGTGTAAACAACACACAAACAAATCAGAATGACTGCTCACTAAAGGCTGAACAGTGTAAAAAGTAAAGTATCATAGTTGCCATACACTGCTGAGATATTCCAAAAATGAAGGGTGCTAAAAAGTTGTAACATGACATGGGGATTCAAAGATATTTTGGTTAAATTAATATAATTTAGTTTTGCTTGCTAAGTAAAATGTGTGTGAAATTGCATAGTGACCATTAAAAATGACTGCCATGTACTTGCAGTTATATTATAATTATTATTTATTACTTAACATTACCTGACAACTCAGAACCTAAAATTAAAATTCTTTGATTTTCCAAAAGCAGTTTATGTGCTTCTTTACCAAACGTAGATTTACCCAGCTAAATGTTGTACAAACACAACAATAAAAGCAGATTTTAATTTTTCACACACAAAAGCATATTTTTAAGACCCCTCACTGAATAAAATTGCAAAAATTAAGTTTCGCCCCCTAAAATGACATGCCCTAAACTAAGAAGTACATAAACGGTCTTAAATAAAATAAATAATGGGGTGCCTTCTCCCAAACATTCCTCCCCATTGTTCAAGTTCAGGGGACTGAAGCCTTGCACCCTGTTCCATTACTTAGCGACGTACAACCGACTTGGCAAGAAGGGATTATATCAGGCAAGAAAATAACTAATAACCCTTTGGACACTTTTGTAGCAGAAGTGGAAACGTGTGGGGCTCCAGATGTCACTGGGCTCCAATTCCCATCAGCCCCCAGGCAGCATGACCAAATAGCGGGGATTATGGGAGTTGTAGTCCAACATCATCTGAAGGAACACAGGTTCCCCCCCAAATCCTGTTCTACAGGATGTTACAGAATGGAAGAGCCAAATAGAGCTGCCTCACCTGGCCTGCAAGATTGAAGTACGCATGATTTGTCAGATTGACTGGCGTGGTCTTACTGCTTTGAGCTCTGTAACTGATTGTTAGCTCCCCATCCTTGAGAGTATACATCACCCAGACTTTCAGCTCACCAGGATATCCCTCTTCACCATCTGGACTTACTCTGAAAAACCGTACGCCATCTGGCAGCACTTCAGGTTCCCAGATGGCCTGCAATACAATTTCATTAATGGTATATTTTAAAAAATCACATTGGCTAGAGTCCAGCAACTAGACTGATGTACCTGGATGAGCACATGTGCCAAAAGATTACACATGACAACCATGGATCACTTCCAAGATTCAAAATATTTCAATCAGTGTTTCCCAAGCTTGGGCCTTCAGCTGTTTTCAGACTACAATTCCCATCATCCCTGACCACTGGTCATGCTAGCTAGGGATGATGGGAGCTGTAGTCCAAAAAACAGCTGGAGACCCAAGCTGGGGAAACACTAATTTAAATGAACTTTGAAGTGCTTCCCACCCTCCCTCTGTTAAACAGCTCACCTGGGCGACTGGTCACCCATGCTGTCTGCTTGCTTGCCTGCTGTTCCATTGTCATGCTGCCATTGGGACTGCAGCATGATGATAGCCTTACATTTTTATGTATATAGGAAGATATACACACATGTAATACACACTATATAGTAAGCTTGGTGAGAGACGGTGATTCATACATAAAACAGCCTTCCTCAAACTTGTGCCTTCCATATGTTTTGGACTACAACTCTCAACACCTCCAGCCAGCATATGATGAGGATTATAGCCCAAAGCAGGGACGCAGGTGGCGCTGTGGGTTAAACCACAGAGCCTAGGGCTTGCCGATCAGAAGGTTGGCGGTTCGAATCCCTGCGATGGGGTGAGCTCCCGTTGCTCGGTCCCTGCTCCTGCCAACCTAGCAGTTCAAAAGCACGTCAAAGTGCAAGTAGATAAATAGGTACCACTCCGGCGGGAAGGTAAATGGCGTTTCCATACGCTGCTCTGGTTCGCCAGAAGTGGCTTAGTCATGCTGGCCACATGACCCGGAAGCTGTACGCCGGCTTCCTCGGCCAATAAAACGAGATGAGCGCCGCAACCCCAGAGTCAGTCACGACTGGACCTAATGGTCAGGGGTCCCTTTACCTTTTATAGCCCAAAGCAGCTGGTGCACACCAGGTTGTAGAAGGCTGCTGTAAAATTTCTTAAGCCTCAGCACCTGGGAAAGGATTGTTCCAAACAAAAGCATGTGTTTCCTGTGCTCATTAACTGGAGGCATGAATGGGCAGTCTATTACAAAAATCTAACTGTTCCACCACGATGTCAACACAGAGCGGGCCACAGAAATAAGGCAACACTACAGCACAATTGGCATAAAGGATCTTCACAGCTCAAACCCATTATGGTGCAGTGGTTAAGAGCGGTGGACTCGTAATCTGGTGAACCGGGTTCGCGTCTCCGCTCTTCCACATGCAGCTGCTGGGTGACCTTGGGCTTGTCAAACTTCTCTGAAGTCTCTCAGCCCCACTCACCTCCCAGAGTGTTTGTTGTGGGGGAGGAAGGGAAAGGAGATTGTTAGCCGCTTTGAGACTCCTTCGGGTAGTGATAAAGCGGGACATCAAATCCAAACTCTCTTCTTCTTCTGTAAGGTTGTAATTCTGGCCGGTTGGTGTCCATCAGAGATGGGAACACAGGTGGGAGAAAATGATTGGGAAAATGTGTCCATGTACTGAAGCAGCCAAAGATCTATTCTTAAGTTTGTTCTTAAAAGGAAGGATGGCAGCTCAGTGGTAGAACATCTGCCCTGCACATAGAAGGCTGCAGGTTCGCTCTCCTGGCATCTCAAGGAGTCTTGTCTGAAACCCTGGAGAGCCACTCCCAGTCAGTGTCAACAGTACTGAGTTAGGAGGACCAGTTATCTGTCTCAGTGTAAGGCAGATTCCTAAGTTATATGCTTTCATTAGGCAATCTGTTTTCATTTAGGGTTGTCATATTTCAGAAAACCAGGACAACCTGAAAGTTGAGCTTTTTTTTTTTTTAAAGGAAACGACCATAATGGTTGAGCTCTTTTTAAGAAAACCAGAAAGTTGTTGAACTTTTCTTTCTTTTTTACAAAAACATGAGTTTTTGATTGAAGATCCAAGACAAAGCGCCACCTTTCGGAAATCCCCCCCAGACGTCAATTCCACCTTTGAAATCCCGGTTATGTCAGACATACGCCAGCCCAAATTAATTATTTTTGCTGCTGGCATCCAACTGTCTTGAGAGACAATGGAGTGTGCCTCTGGGCGGGGGGGAACCAAACTACCTTTCCAGGTGGATGAGCCCCATCTGCCCCTCACTTCCCTCTACAGCAGGGGTCCCCAAACTAAGGCCCGCGGGCCAGATAATGCCCAAGGGACTCGTTTATCCGGCCTGCAGCAACCCCTGCCACTCACTGCCGCCACCCGCTCTTACCGGCGCTGCGCCACGCAGCTGCCCACTTCTGGGTCGGAGGAGCACCGAAAATAGCTTGTGCGCATGCGCAGGCATTATTTGTGCATGCGCAAACGTTATTTCCGGTGCACATCCGGGTCGGAGGAGTCCCATGCAAATGCGCAAAAGCTACCGGTATTTTCGATGCTCCTCTGACCCGGATGTGCGCAGAAAATAGCGTGTCCGCACGTGTATGGGCATGCGCTCCCCCGCCCTCTGGCCCGCCACATGATCGGTGCTGGAGACACCAGCCCAAGGCCCGGTAGGTTTGCTGACCCCTGGACTACAGCTTGTGCAGAAACAGTCTTCTTGACTACTGAACCCCCTCTTGGTCTCATCCGCTCAGTCCGCCAGAGCCTGTCTTTGCACGTAGGGGGAAGTCCTTAACTCACCAAGGACTTGACACCACCAGAGGTACTACCCCTCCCCTAACACCCCATACACCCCAAATTAATGGTACTCATATCTGTTTTAAAAGATTAGAAAGCTTTGACTGGAACTGGAATAAATAAAACAAGCAAAGATAATTAAGCAACCAAACCAAGTGTGAAGAAGGAAGCAAAACCTGTGCCTGGAAACAGCAAAGAGATATGATCACCGTCATCAGTATGATTGCAAACAAATTGGGTGGATCCTTATGTCAGCCAGCCATAGTTCTATAAAAAGCTAAAACCACCACCGAGTTTAGAAGCATATCTATATCAATAGCTTTGCTTCCTGCAGAACTCAGGCCAATGCTGGGTCTCCTCATCAGAACAGTCTCAAATTACACAGGAAATAGTTACCGCAGACAAGACATCTAGCCTCAAATTGGTCAAACAGAAAAACTCACATGTTGCTTTCATTACTTCTCTTTGATATTTTTCTGTTCAAATATAATTACTATTCTGTATACTAATCCTGCTATTTACACTAGAAGATGAATGAGGAATCTGTGGCCCTGGAGATATTGTTAGACTACTAACTGCTCCCATCATGCTCGTGGTCCCTTCCAACTCTGATTCTCTGCCTGACCATTGGTCTTGCTGGCCTGGGGCTGATGGGAGTTGGAGTTCAACAACATCTGGAGGGTCACAGGTTCCCCATCGCAGCGCTAAAGTGTGCTATAACTTGCCCAGTTTTTGCCTTTCTTTAGGAGTGACTCTTTCCCTCTTCCATTCCGGTTATGATCACAGCAGTCTTTTAACATCAGTAAAGGAGGATCCTTTCTCAGAGTCTTCTCTTTTCAGGAAGACTCTGAGAAAGGTCCAAGCCTGGCTTCAGAGGAAGAAAGGAAAGAATTGGGAGCTCACAGAAGTGTCTGCATGCTGAAGTGAACTTCTCAGAAGTCTCTGGTCAGGGGCGTCTTACCCATAGAGGCTAGTGGTGCGGGGCGGCAGGGTGCCAAGTTCTGGAGGGTGTGAGGGAAGAGGCAGAGGCTGGACGCGGCACCTCCTGGCATCAGCTTGCCGCCCTCGCCCACCTCCACCATGCCGCACCAAAGCAGCGCAGTGTCCGGAGCCTCCGTCTGCCACGGCCAGCTTCTGCCTCTTCCCCGCTGGAGGAGCTGCCCTCCAGTCACTGCCCGCCTCCTCCAGCCCCGCCGGCAGTGCCATCCTCCCTAAAAAACTCTGGGAAATGGGGGGAGGGGCGCCGGAGGGAGCTTTGCACCACGGCGCCAGTCTCTGGTTGGCCACTGAGAGAAGAGAATGCCAGTCTAGATGGCCCTTTGTTTTGATCCAGCAACTTAATGTTCTCACCTTACCTGAATATGTCACCATGCCCTCATAGTAAATACAGTGGAACCTTGGTTCTTGAATGAAATCTGTTTCGGAAGCCCGTTTGGCTTCCAAAATGTTCAAAAACCGATTCGCGGCTTCCGATTGGTGCAAGAGCTTCTTGCACTCAGCGGAAGCCATGTCACACGTTCGGGTTTCAAAAAACATTCCAAAACATACGACATGGGAGGCGTTCAGGAACCGAGGTTCCACTGTACTGCCATTGTTATTCACTTGAGCGCAAGCACATTTACCTTATCGAAACCTTTCTTTCCTCCATGCAGACTGTTGGGTCCGTTGTTGATGGCTAATTGATACTCGACTCCTTCCACTGTAAATTTCCCTCTGGCAATTCTGTTAGCAACCCGTCCAACGACAGCTCCAAAGTAGGGGTGCTTGTTGGTGTACCCTGGCCAATAAAAGAACGTGTTAGATTTATAAGGTCAATACATTTCAATGTTCAACATTGGAAGCTAGCTAGAGATTTCCTTCTCTTCTATTTTTAAAGGAGGGACAGTTAACTGTACCCCTGACCAAAGCTTCCTCCATCGAGTAATCCCTTAGGAAAGGAGGGGCTTGGATAGGCTCCCAAACTCTTCCATGTGAAGGCATATCATATCCATTCACTCCAATGGAAGAAACACAGCCGTATTTAACACAGCTCCTCCCATCTTCATTAAAATTAGTAAGAACTGGAAGTCTGTGAGGTTGTGTGGTCATGCCGGCTAAGTTCCACACTGCTGCAGGTGGCATGCCTCTGGAACTCAGTTGCTGGGAAGAAGTAGGGAGAGTTTAGTTGCACTCAGGGTGCATATGATTGCTCCCCAAGCCTTGTGCCTTTTAACAGCCTGAATTTGGGGTTCTATTGCTGATAGGTCTCCTGCAGGAAGATCAGGGTGTCCCCTCTTGAGGGAGCTTTCTACCCTGGCTTGCTTGACAACAGATGACAGCCACACAGTGGAAGCTCAGGTTGCGAACGTGATCCGTGCTGGAGGCATGTTCGCAACCTGCAGCGCCGCATCTGCGCGGGTTGCGCTTCTGCGCATGCGCAAAGCGTGATTTAGTGCTTCAGCACATGCGCCGAAACCCAGAAGTAACCTGTTCTGGTACTTCCAGGTTCAGCACGGTGCGCAACCCAAAAACGCGCAACCTGAAGCGTCTGTAACCCAAGGTATGACTGTACACTGTGACTGTATGACTATTTCATGGGGGCGGGGGAGAGAAAAAGGAATCAGTAGTGATCTATGCAGCATTGTGTGGGGATAAAGAAACTGACTGAAAGCTCTGCTCTACAGATCGTGGAACAACTGAACAGAAACAAAACTGAGCATAAAGACTAATTAACCTTAAAGAAGAAGAAGAAGAAGAAGAAGAAGAAGAGGAGGAGGAGGAGGAGTTTGGATTTGATATCCCGCTTTATCACTACCCGAAGGAGTCTCAAAGCAGCTAACATTCTCTTTTCCCTTCCTCCCCGACAACAAACACTCTGGGAGGTGAGTGGGGCTGAGAGACTTCAGAGGTCACCCAGCAGCTGCATGTGGAGGAGCAGAGACGCGAACCCGGTTCACCAGATTACGAGTCTATCGCTCTTAACCACTACACCACACTGGCAAAGTCATCCACCCATTGGTAGGATTAAGAGGAACAAAGGAGCATTGCTTCATTTCAGCTGGGGGTGGGGGGTGGTCTGCAGAAGCCAATACACAGTCTCCAAGCCCACAGAATCTAGAAGCAGCTATAAAAGAATGGATTGCTGGAGGAAACGTAATCAGTGTTTATTTCAGCACCCAGCTTCCCACAGACTTAATGTCTAAAGCAGTGGTTCTCAACCAGTGTGTCGTGGCACCCTGGGGTGTGCTGACTGGTGGTCAGGGGTGCCGCGGGCAACACTGGCCTCTGTCCCTCTTTCCTTCCCTCCCTCCTCTGATGCCCTCTCACGTCTCTGCTACCCAAAGGCTTGCACAGCTGTTTATTGCAGCAGCCCTGGCCATAAGCTCTGCAGGTGAATAGTGCCTCTGGGGCTGGTCAGGGGGCAGCTCAGAGACCAGGGACAGCAGCAGCTGCCCGGAGGACTCCCAAGGAGATGGGAGAGAAGAGGAGGCTGAGGGTGTATGAAAAAGGGTGAGAGGCTGCCAGCTCTGAAGGCAAGGGGTGACATAACTGGGCTCCTGAGCCCCACAGGGGTGCCGCAGAAAGAATGCAATCAGTTAAGGGAGCCGTGGACTCAAAAGGGTTGAAAACCTCTGATCTAAAGCATTCAGCAGCAGCTAGTCAAGGTTATGTAACAGTGGAGGCACTCGACCCTTAGATTATCTGATCTCTGAAGAAGAACATGAAAAATGCTGATTGGTAACTGAGGGGGGGCAGGAGGAATGGTGGCAGTTCTTGAGAACCAGGGATGACTGATAGATATTCATACTCTTCTCTACAGCTCTGTTTCTACTTCTCTGGATGGAAGTCTACTTGCAGATCAGTTTTATTCTCTCATGCCTGGGAACCTGTTCATTATTCAGTCCGTTATCCTGATCCCTGAATAAATTTCAACCTCTGATTTATGTACATGCTTAAAGGGACAATCGGAAGCCAAAGGCAGACGGATTGTAAACTCTGGCCCTTCCTCCAGGGGCACCTGCGAGTTGTTTTATCCTCAAACGGCAATTCTGGAAAGGAAGGTTAGGATAAGGCCACATTAACAACTACACATTTAAAGCAATGTGACAGCACTTCAGACATTAATGGTTCCCCCAAAGAACTGTGGGAGCTGAGAGTGGTTAGGAGACCCCCTATTCCTGTCCCAGAGCTACGATTCCCAGAGCTTCATGTGAAGACAGATTGATTGTTAAACCACTCTGGGAACTGTATCTCTGGGAGGAAAACAGGGGTCTCCTAACAGTTCTCAGCACCCTCAATGTCAAAATGGAGGTTGGCTGCTGAATCTCTGATGGGCGCATGTTCCACAGCATGGGACCAGCAACATTAAATGCCTGACTTCCAGTGTATCTGTCAACCTAATTGCTCATGCAGCAGTCTTCTCCATTCATTCCCTGCAGATACAAAGGAGTGGGATCATGCCCACTGGCTCTGCCCCACATACTGTACACCCTACTGGCCCCACTCTCAATGCCTGTTTGTTCAGCAGAACATATGCAAAGGGTCGCACAGAATTCTACACACACAGGCACCTCTTTGCGGATATTTTGCCAAACAAATGTGCGGTAGTTGGGCGCCAACAGCAGGAATTATTTCAAGGGACAGGTACTAAACCTCTAACTGCGCTGTACCACTTCATTTATAGTGGGTGACTTATCCAAAAAGCTCCCTCCACAAGGAAAGTTAGAATGTCAGGAAGAACACAAGACTGAATCCCTTCAGAGCCCCTTCTACTTTTCTAGATGAATGGACTTATTTATTCCTTTAAGGTTGAAGCAGCATTTAATCCTGTGGGCGGCAATGTGATACACTCCAGACTTAGACCTCTGTTTGTTAAAAGTAGGCTTAAGTCTGTAAATATAATTATCTGTACAGTGGTACCTCTGGTTACGTACTTAATTCGTTCCGGAGGTCCGTTCTTAACCTGAAACTGTTCTTAACCTGAAGCACCACTTTAGCTAATGGGGCCTCCTGTTGCTGCCGCGCCGCCGGAGCATGATTTCTGTTCTCATCCTGAAGCAAAGTTCTTAAACCGAGGTACTATTTCTGGGTTAGTGAAGTCTGTAACCTGAAGTGTATGTAACTTGAAGCGTATGTAACCTAAGGTACCACTGTTATTTGCTTAAAAAAAATGAAATATGCCTGTAATCTAGGCACTTTGCCTGGGATGGAAAATACTGCGTATCTGTTTAGCTGTAAATGTGCAAACACCCAGGTGTTTCTTTTTCCGGGGAGTGGGGGAGAAACTGGAATGGGGAAACAGTGGTTCCCAACCCTTTCCCCTGCTGCTTCCTCCCCCCACCCTCACAAAACTGCAGATCAAAAAGGGGGGGCATCAGGAAAAGGATTTTGTGTACACCACCCATAATACTGCAATCAAATGAACATCCTTCCTTGGAAGTAAGCTCCACTGAACCGTTAAACTTCTGAGTTAACATTTGTTTGTTTCACAGCTTCTGCTTTTTTTCTCTCCAAGTACTGCATCCTACATTTAAAGTATGTGGCTTTCTGCAAACAACCCCAGAAACTGTAGTCCGCCGCCCCCCCCGAGTTAAAATGCCCAGCACTTTTAACAAACTAATGTACAGTTCTCAAGATTATTGGGGGGGGGGGTAGTTATTTGCGAGTTAAAAGCTTTACTTGTTCTTTTATGCTCCATTGCAAAACTATGGTACTAAAAAGCAGTGATGAAGCTTGAACATTTTTCAGCTTGGATGTACAGGGCTACTTATATTACAGCACCACCAAATCTGGGTGGGTTTCAATAAAACAAATCAGAGGTTGCACTGGAAACATATTGTGCCACGAGGTTTCTTCTGCGGAATAAAGTTTCAAGAAAGTTAATTCAAACCCACCTTCCAAATGATCAAAGCCTAGAACAATATCTGAGAATTTTCCATCTTTGTCTTTAGTCTCCAACGCGGTGATTATGCAGCCCAAGGAGATAATTTCCACTTTTACCGTGCTGGATTTGAGCAGGATTTTTTCCACAGTCCCTCCGCCAAGGGGCCATTCCCCAAATTTCTCTCTCTTCACTTCTGTCATTGCTCCCCACTCGCCCCCTCCCACGAGGCTTGTTTGCAAAGGAAGAGACACCAACACAGACGGATAAGAAAGAATCAGAGGGACACTATGGGGAAAAAGGACTTTGCCCAAAGGGTTTTACCAACTATCAGAATCACGTGACACGTGCCCATCAGCTGACGCGGAAGAGGACACACAGAGAGAGAGAGAACCTGCCTCGTTATGTTGCTGGGGGAATTTTTTATGCAGAGCAAGATTTCTGAGCAAAATGGGGCATTTTCCCGCGCAAGTATGCGCAGGTGCAACCCTGTCAAAGAATCACAGAATTGTAGAGTTGGAAGGCACCGCAGGGTCATCTAGTCCAACCCGCTGAAAAGCAGGAATCTTTTTGCCCAACCTGGGTCTCCAACTCGCGACCCTGAGCAAACCCACCTTGAATCCCGTGCGACTTATTTCCGAGTAAGCATGCCTTCTTAGGCTAGTAGTGCAGGCCGAACCCTTCTATACAGGTACTCAAAAGTAAGCTCTACTGAGCTCCACGGGGTTTGCTTCCGAGTGTGATAGGTACATGTGCACCCATCACTAAGTCAACTCGCCTTTGCAACATTTCTAATTTGAAGCCGATCCTATCCTGTTGACTCGGACTGCGCTCAAACGGGACTAGCTCCTCCTGGGCAAAGGATTGCAGCCTTTCCTTGCTGACAATTAATTTACGAATCTGTAACTCACAGGATGTAAACAAGCACTGAGCTACACTACAGCAAGAGGAAATGATTGCAGGCGGTAATTATTGCGACATTTCTCAGTACAGTTATTCCATGCTGGAACTTGTTCTTAAGAGGCTGTTACACTAAGGTGTGGTCAGTGGTCTACATATGCAAGAGCAATACTTCCCCCACGGCTTTGGACACAATCCACTTGCATCCTGCAGTTTCTTGAGAAATGCTGTGGCTTGGAGGCACTTTCCTGCAAAACCAGCTCCCAGCCGATTAAAAAGGTTTAAGCCAACATGTATACATTTTTTTTTTACATCAGCAGATGGCAGCACCCGTGCAAACGATGGTTTCATTGAATAGGAATCGGAGGGGGGATTGCAGGCATAAGAAAGCAAATCAGGTAATTGTGTGTGGACAGCGATGTAACATGAGACTTAAAAGGTGTGGAGGGGGGAGGCCGTGTTTTAAGCCACTAATGTATACATGCCCTTAGGCTATTGGCACCACAGTAAAAAAGAAAACAAAAGTGAGTACTTGCTTTGTCATGACCACTTACGGTAATTAGATTTAATAAGTTTAATCAGGGCAACCAGGAGACAAAACATAAAGGATTCATTCCAAACACTATGGAGTTTTTAATGATTATTCTTTATAAGAGGATAATGATTGCCCTCCACGCCAGATTCAGATTATGGGCCTTTTGAGCGATTTTCTCTCTTCTTCTCAAAACCCTGTGAATAAAAACCCTGTAAGGAAATCTCTCTGAAGAAAATCTAAATGGAGAAAGAAAGTGTGGAATTATCAACATGTACAGTTATTCAGCTGTCCTAAGCCTGTTACATTAAAAAACACCCTTCGTTTCAGTTTTGCTTTTTTAAAAAAATTGTGTTTTCAAAAAAGTTTGCTAAATAAATAAAAAGTTTAAATCAAAGTTAGTTACTTTTACATTCTTCTCGTTGGAAATTTCCATTTGTGTTAATGAACTTTTGGCATACACTCCGTTCATTTTGAGGCCCTTGGCCCGGCAGTTCCAGTACTTTGGTTTATATTAAAGTTATTCATTCATTCACATGATCAGGCAGGAAAAAGGAAACCTTTCAGAAAACATTCTTTTCTAATCAGGGATGGAAAAAGTGCACTGAACTGTAGCTGCATTTGGCAGTACCCAGAAATTAATTATTGCTGCACTTGTTCCAGGAAACAGTTTCAAGATCAGGTCAAAATGAGAGTCCCTGCCCCTTCTAGAAAATGACAACACTGAGGGCTTGCCTACACTTCTGCTTGTCCCAGGTCTGAGCAGCTTTCTGCTTGTCTAGCACTGGATTTATGGCGATGCTGGCGGTTTCCCCTTGCAGGGTGCCGAGCCAAGGGGGCACAAAATTACGACATAGTGCTGTATTACCAAAATATGCCCCTGGCTATGCCCATGTTTTCTAGGCACTGGTCTGAGTGGTTTTGCCTTTGCTCACCTCTTTCTCCTGGAAAAGCCACTCTTTAGTGCTTAATTGGAACATACAGCAGTCCACGGAAAACCCAGTTGCCATTTCTTCCAATTGAACGCTAAACTGGGGGGGGGGGGGTTTCTGGGAGAAAGTGGCAGGTCAAACAGTGCATCTGACAAGTTGACCCCAAAGTGCATCTGACAAGTTGATTTTGAAGGAGGGGTGCTCAGTTAATTCAGGGGGTACATGGGGTGTTCCTTGGGCCTGTTCAACAGGCTTTGCTTATGTAGCTCCCCAGCTTTGCTCTGTTTTCTCTTCTGATCATCCTCTCTGTTCCTCCACTGTCTCTCTCCCTGCCTACCTGCCTGCTTTCTAATCTGACACCTTTCTGTACCTGCTTGCCAGCCTTGATACCAACTTTCCCCTTGCTCTAGCCCCAGTTCAGCCCAGCTTGTAATAGACTCTGCCTCCAGCTAACCCTACTGTGTTAGTGTACACACCATCATGGCTGTGAGTCCTGGAAGACCACTTTGGAACTAAACTAAGTTTTACTGCCTATGCAACTTTTTCTGAATGCTGTATGAGAAAACACATTAATCTGACCTTTGGAGAGTTTGTAAGTAAACTTACCAAATGTGTGGTCTTTTTCTGTGCTGGAGAAGAGGAAACTTTGGAAGGAACTTGTAAGGGCATATTTAAAGGTTCTAGCAGCCTATATTTCCATTCATATATCCCTGCACCAACAACAGCAACATATGAAAGTAACTTGAAGAGGAAGAAAAACCTCACTGCAATTTAAGTGGCCAACACGCATGTAGCCTGAGACTAAACTCTGGCAGGATTTTTGGTGACAGAAAAGGAATATGTTGGTTTTTTTACAGTAGAGGAAGAGTTTGGTAGTGTTTTGTTGACTGGGTTGTTAATAACTCTTAACCAGCCAAACAATTCAGGCCAATCAGCACACATTCTGAACACCTTGCCCATCAAAGAGTCAACCTTATATGTAGTTGATTCACACATCCATGTTGGAGATGTAAATTGCTGTTTCCTAGTTCTGCTGGATCTCTCAGCGGCTTTTGATACCATCAACCATCTGGACCGTCTAAAGGGGCTGGGAGCTGGGGGCACTGTTATACAGTGGTTCCGCTCCTTCCTCCTGGGCCGTATTCAGAAAGTGGGGGGGGGGATGAGTGTTCAGACCCCTGGGTTCTCACATGTGGGGTGCCTCAGGGTTCTGTCCTGTCTCCCATGCTTTTCAACATCTACATGCAGCCGCTGGGAGAGATCATCAGGGGGTTTGGGCTGGGTGTTCATCAGTTTGCAGATGATACCCAACTCTACCTCTCTTTCAAATCAGAACCAGTGAAGGTGGTGAAGGTCCTGTGTGAGTGTCTGGAGGCGGTTGGAGGATGGATGGCGGCTAACAGATTGAGGTTGAATCCTGACAAGACAGAAGTACTGTTTTGGGGGGACAGGAGGTGGGCAGGTCCTGAATGGGGTAACTGTGCCCCCTGAAGGACCAGGTGCACAACCTGGGAGTCATTTTGGACTCGCAGCTGTCCGTGGAGGCGCAGGTCAATTCTGCATCCAGGGCAGCTGTTTACCGGCTCCATCTGGTATGCAGGCTGAGACCCTATCTGCCCGCAGACTGTCTCACCAGAGTGGTGCATGCTCTAGTTATCTCTCGTTTGGACTACTGCAATGCGCTCTTTGTGGGGCTTTTAAGGTTACCCAGAAACTACAACTAATCCAGAATGCAGCAGCTAGAGTGGTGACTGGGAGCAGCTGCCGAGACCACATAACACTGGTCTTGAAAGATGAGCGCCACAAACCCCGAGTCGGCCACGACTGGACCTAATGGTCAGGGGTCCCTTTACCTTTAAGTAGAAATATTAGCAGATTATTTTGCAAGACTTTTGTAGCCTGGGAGTGTGCCTGCCTCAGTGTTTACCTACCATTGTTAAGGAAGTTCTGATCAACTGGTGGTCAGGTAGGGATTTCACTTCCATCTTTTTTGTTTCAATATTTTTCACGTTTAAAGAATTTGTTTATCACAAAGAGGCCCAACTTTTAAACAAGCAAAATGATTTTCAAGCAAAGTTCCTAAATGCTCTCTGGGTCGTCCTCTTAATGTGCTCGTCTGTCTTTTCTCCTACTCAAGACCTCATATTTATTCACCATGTGATTAAAAGTTCAATACATTTTTTCTGTAACTTGCACATATTTCTGTTGGGTTTTGACCAGCAGACCTTTATAGAGGTCATTTGCCTTGCTTCACCCTGTCTCAAATAAGGCGTGACCCCCTCTTACTAGTACTCTAGTACTAGGAGACTTAGTGAAGTTAAACGGGGAAAAGATTTTTATTTTACAACAAAGTTGGTAAAACACAGGATGTGTCAGGAGATGGAATTCTTTCAAGAAACAGTCAACTTAAGTATATGTTAATTTCTATCAGTACAATCGTGCCTTGGAAGTCAAACGGAATCCGTTCCGGAAGCCTGCTTGACTTCCAAAACGTTCGAAAACCAAAGTGCGGCTTCTGATTGGCTGCAGGAAGCTCCTGCAGCCAATCGGAAGCCCCGTTGGACGTCCGGGTTCCAAAGAACGTTCACAAACTCACTTCCGGGTTTTGATCGTTTGGGAGCCAATTTGTTTGGAAGCCAAGGCGTTCGAGACCCAAGGTAATACTGTATTCCAGACCAATGGAATCACCACACCCCTCTCCTAAGTGGTTTGGGATTGTCCTCCTCTCACCAGGAGATATATATATCCCCATTTTACTGAACTGAGACCCATGTAGGGTTTTCCCTCACAACTCCACTTCTCCTTTCTCAGCTTCAGCCTCCAAGTTCCCATTTGTCTGTATACTCATAAAAGACTCTAATCACTATCCTTCAGTCTTCTCCCAGCTCAGAGACTTCCTTCTCTGGCTGTAGATATTTTCCTCAGGGTGAATTACACACACAGCCAGGGCCGGATTTAGGTTTGATGAGGCCCTAAGCTACT